ACTATATTTTTTATAAATTAATAACATTATAATATAATTAATTAAAATCTTTAATTAAAGTTAATATAGTATTAATAAAAGTTTAAGGTACCTTTATAGTTAAAACCTATATTATTTTATATAATAATATTAAATATAAGCTTAAATATATATTTTTATATTTTTATATAAGTTTAACTATTAATAGAACTATTTAATTAAATTAATAGTCTTTTCTTCCTTTAAATACCTATTAATAGAAAGGTAATATAAATAGTATATAAGCTATAACTTTAATTTATTATTTTATAAAATAAATAATTTATTTTATTAATAAATATAGCTTTAATAAATAGAACATTTAAAAAAGAGGATATATAGCTTTTTTTATAAGAATATTAGCTATTTATCCTTATATAATAAAGCAGTTATTATAGTTTAAATATTTTAATATATATTATATATAATATTAATATAATATTTAATTGGGTAATTTATATTAAGGGTAAATAGTTAAAAAGGAATATCCTTTAAAGATATACTTAATAATAGTTTAAAAGTTAAAAGTAGGACTTATAAATAATAGGTAATCTATTTATTTATAATATTTATCTTTAATATTAATATATCTTTAAGCTTCCTATTAAATATATTTAGTTTAATAGTATATATTTCCGATTTATATATAATTTAAAAATTAAATTAATTAAAGAACTTAGCTTATTAAACCTATTTTTAATTTAATAGTTTAATTGTTATAAAGTATTATAAGTTTTTATAATTAATAATAATTTTAATAGGTTAATTAGCCCTTTATAGTTTAAAATATTACTTTTTAAATACTTTTATAATAGTTAATAATTTTTTATTATATATTTTATAATTATACTTTATTAAAAAATATTTATTAAAGAAGAACGCTATTAGGTATAAGATATTGTTTATATATTATAATAATACCCTTTTATTAGCTTAATTAAAGGTATTTATCTTAACCACGGTATATTATAATAGGTTGAAAAATGCTAACGTTAAAGTATTAATAAAGATTATCTTTAATTTAATAAAGTCCTTAACGTATTTAGGACTCCATTTTTAGGTTAAATCTTTATATAATAGCTTAATTAATAGCTTTACAATTATTAAAAAACTTTTAATAAATTAACGGTAAAAGTTTATAAAGTTAAAAAACTTTTAAATATCCTTTATATTTTATAGCTATTTTTAATTTATAATAGCTTTAACCTTTAAAAGGTTTATTTTAATACCTTTTATATTAATTATAAAACTAAAGTAATATATTTTTATAATATAAAACTTATATTTATTAATATTAATATAGAAATTTACTTTAAATAATATAAATAGAACTTTTTATATATAATATATATACTTTTTCTTTATCTTTAAATAAATAAACATATTATTAAAGTAAATAAATATATATTTATTAAAGCTTTTATAAAGTATATTATTTATAAAGTTTTAAAAAGTATTTGGAATATTATATAGTTTAAAAGGTATAATAAATAACTTATAAAAACTAAAATAGGTAATAAATGTTATTTTTTAAACATTCTCCTTTATTATATATATTTAGTTAAATATAATGATTATATTTACCTTAATAAAAAACTTTATATTATATAAAGCATTAAAGGTTTTTTAAATTAATAATAAAAAGTAATAGTTTTTAATAATAATATTATGTAAGCTATAATAATTTATATATATTTATATACCTCTACCTAACTTTTTAATTAATAAGAAAGCAGTAATAATATAGGACTTAAAAGGGTAAATAAACCCTTTATTTAAGTTTTTATTAAAGTATTTCTTTATAATATATAGCTTTTATTAGGAAAATAATTAGTTTTTTATATTAAATAAATCCTTATTAAGATCCAGTTTAATTTTATAATTATAAGGCTTATAGGGTAGTAATTTCTTAACCTTTATTATAAAGAAAACTTTAATAAAGTTATAATATTTCTCCGGTAGTTTATTTTTAATAATAGCTTCTAATATTGGTTTTTAAAGATAGAAGTACTTTTAAATATCTTTATTAAAAATATAATAAATATAATAATAATTATAGTAATTATTAATAAAGCAATAGTATATTATAGATAGTTATAATTTAAAGATATTTAGGTTATTTTTCCTTTATAAAATTAACTTAAAGTTAGCTTTTAATAGGTTTAAAGGCTTTAAGTTAAATTTATTATAATTAAAGTATTTAAATTCCTTTTATATAATATAGATAAGCTTTATATTGTTTTATTATAAAAACTAAGAAAAGGGTGTTAAGTTAAATAGCTTAATATTATTAATTATTTTAAAGTTAAAGCCTTTAAGGTCCTTTTATCCCCATTAAGGCAATTATAATATACGTTAACCGTTAACCATTATTATTGGAGTTAAATCGAGGCAAGTATAGTAATAATAATTAAAAGTAAATATAAATATACTAATAATCCAATTAATATATAGGTTATAAATTTTCAACTATAGAAGTTTTAGGATAATAAGGTTTTTAAAACCTAGCTTAATAATAAAAAGCAAAAGGATTTCCAGGTAAGCCCTTATATATAATGTTACTATAATAAAGTGTATAATAAGGTTTATATTTTAATTATTCGTTAAATATAGAGGTTTAAGTTTAAAAAATAATAACATTTTAAATATATTATTATTAATAAAGTTAACATTAATAAATATTAATATAATATAATTAATATTAATAAAAGTAAATACTTTTATTAATTTTTCCTATTTATTTATAATATTTATAAAAAAAAAGGAATATATATTAAAATCTATTAAGTTTAATTATAAGTATTTTTTAAAATAATTTCCTTTATTTTAAAAGCAATTTTTTTTAAAGCTTATTTATTTTTTTAATTATTATTATTATTTTTATAAGCATCTTTATATATATTCTTATATTTAACCTCCTTATAAATCTTCTTAAAAGTTAGTTTTTTTATATTAATTTCTTCGTTATTCCATTTAAAGGTATATAAATAAGCTATATATAGGGTTTATAATAGAATAAATTAATAAAATAATAGTTATAAAATCTATCCTTATTTAACATTATTATTATAAAATGGATTATTATTCCTATAATTTAAAAACTATTATTAATTTATTAATTAATTAATTATAAAGAATATAAGCTATATAATATATATTAACCTTTAAGGTATAATATATAAGGGCTTAATGTATATTAGTTAAGGTAATATTAACCCTATTATTAAGTCCTTTATTATGCTTTAAGGTAATTATTTTTAATATAGCCCTCTTTACCGTAATATAAGCAAAGTTTTAAAGTAAATCGTTAATCTCTCTCGAACTAAAATATATAATTAAACGAAAGGGCATTTAGGTTTATAGGGTTATTATATAGCTAAGCCAAAATATCGATAGGTAATAAGCGGCTATATCTAATACGGAACTATATATCCGTAATATTTTTAAACAGTTCTTTATAAAAGGTTACCCATTTATTAAACTTTAATAAGCTTAATTAAAGGAAGATATTTATAGCAATATATTAAAAGCTTAAGTTAACTTTTACCTTAAGTTTAAAAATATAATATATATCCTATATTTTAAATTCCGCTATAATATAAATAAATTTAATAATAAAAAGGTTAAAATTTATTAATAAGCTTTAAATAAGTTCTATTATCTTTTAAATAAATTAATTAACCTTATTAATAGTATTATAAATTTATTAAAAATAAAAAAAAAGGTTTATAAAGTTTTATTAATATTATATTAATAAATTATATTTATTATTTATAATTATTTTAATATAAGGCTATATAAAGATTTAAGTATTACCCTTTAATTATAAAACTATATAAAGAATTTAATTAAAGTTAATTTAATAATAATTTTTATTAAATTAAAGCTTTAATTTATAATTAGCTTTTTAAAAATAGAATTTAATTTATTGCTTTTTAATATCCTTAATATTACTATTAAAAGATTTAAGGTTATATATTTATAAATTATTTCCTCCACCTTTCCTATAAGTAAGGCTAAATAATTAAAAGGTATAAAGCTACCTATTCTACTTAACTATTATTTTATATTAACCTATAAGCTTATTGCTTAAAAAGTTTAATTGGGCTATAAGGTTAATTACTTTTATATATTAATTAAAAAATTTATTATTTAGAGCCACTATAATACTTTATAAATAAATTAAAGCTTCGAAGTTTAATTTAATAGTTAAATAAAATAGCTATATATTAATATTATAATACTATTTATTTAAAGCACCTTAAATATTAATAAACTTATTAAAAAAGTCCTATATAGATATTAAGGGTTATAATTACTATTATTATTACTATTGCTATAGGCATTAAGGCTATAGCAGCAATAGTAGCTATTATTATAATTATTAAAGCTATTATAATTATTAAAGCTATTATAGTTATTAAGGCTATAATAGTTAAAATAGCTATTATTACTTATTATTAATTATAATAATATTTTTAAATATAATAAAGGGTATTAAAGTAGTTTTAAAAAATGTTAAATTTATATTAATTATAATTAATATATTAAAGCTATTATTAAAAGGCTTAATATTTATATATTTTAAAAGTGTATAAGGGAGCATTTATATTTATACTTAAATAAAAAACCTTATAATAAATCTATTTAAAAAATAAAAAGATTTTAATAATATAGAAATTAATAGCTTAAATAGTAAATAATATTAATAAATATTAATATAAGTAGTTAAAGCTATTCTTTATTTTATAACCTTAGCTTTTAATAATATAATAACGTTTTTTATTTTACGGTTTAAGCGGTTTAAATAGCTAGCTATTATATTTTATAATTTTAATTTATAACTTTAAAGGCTATCCTATAAGCTATAATATCTTTATTATAAAGTTAAAGTTTAAAAGTTCTAAAACTAATAATCCTATAAAGCTAATACTAAAGCAAAAGCTAAAGCTAAAAAACTTATAAAGCTAGAGTTAGAAGATCTGTAAAGTTAGTTAAAGCAAAGAAACGAATATTATATAAAGGCTATAAACTGTTATAAGGTGACCCTAGGTCACACGTAGGTCACAGAGGTAACAAGGGAGGTCATAAGGGAGGTACAAGTGGTAATGAACGTAGGGTCCAGGTAACAACTCTGTTGTAGCCTACAGAACTATCTACCTATGGGATGAAGGGGATACTTATATACATGTAGCTGCCTTGTAACAGCGTTCACCATGTAAAGCTCTCCTCTACCATATTTATAACCGTTCCTATACTTTGAACTTCTCTTACTGCTTGTCTTACATCATCGGCAAGTGCACCAGGGCCGCATACTGTAACTATCATGGCGCCGACCTGCTGCTCCACCTCTCTCTGTATAATGGTCGATATGCCCGGTCGACCAGGGAACATCTGGACGGTGCTGGAGCCGGAAACGATCTCCTTGGAGTTCTTTGGTCGGGTGACGAAGAGTCGAATATTAAGGATCTCTCGCCGTCTCGGCATACGCAGGATTTCATCCATCCACGGGCGTACCCACTCGAGCGCTTCCGTATCGCGCATGACCCATACCAGGGTAACCCTCCTTGTGGCGATGGTTCCGTCATTGAAGCCTTGTATTAATGGTTTGAGGTACGAAAGTTGATGGGTGATACCTGTCGAGCCGGCGAAGAGCACAGCGTGGCCGTATGAATCGAGGGAATGGTGGCCGGCGTAGGGCCCCTCCATAGCTGCCTTGATTCGCATTGAACGAGTCCCGCTTCTGCTCGCCATGTCGAACAATTGTCGAGTAAAGCCCGTGTGTGCGCCGATGACGAACGAGACGGACGTTGTGCCTCTATGAAGGGCGGCGAGGCTCTGGCCTTTTTCCCTCTCTAGTGTCTCATCTGCGTGATCCGGGTGGTGCTCAATCCATGCGATGGAGAAAGGGTGGTTCTCCCAAGGGTTGACTCCCATGAAGCGCACGTATGCATGAGTGCCTGGGGCGACGTCAAGGTATCGAGGTAGATGCATCGTAACACGGGTACAGTCGCCTGGCATGGCTTCTATTACCGCTTCAGTGAAACCGCGTCGAGACGTCCAATTGTTGTAAGCGAGGCGAAACATGCGAGCCAGTCGTTCGAAGAACCATAAAAGAAATATAGCAATCATATACGGAAGCTGTGGCAAACCGCCGGGGATAGCAGCTGAGGTGCAGTGAATGAGAGTCGTGGCGAAGATGATGAAAGCCAGGATGATGTGAACATTGAGGAATGTCTCATAAAAGGCATGGCGGATTGGAGATAGAGACAAAATGAAGAGGATTACTAGGGCAAGGGTACCGCTGAAACCGGAGGCGATAAACGTCTCATACAGAATCTTCTCGTTGAGACTATGCCATCCTGCTGCGGCGACTTGAACATAGGCCCAAGCAATCGTGTGGACCACAGCTTCTACTACTACTATACGGCCCATCCATCGATGCAGAAGGTTGTATGTATCGAAACTAACTTGCAGAAGAGGTATGAGTAGGTTATTTCGTCCAGCCAGGATGATTAGGGGCACCATGTTGACTACTGCGAGAGTGCCTGATCGACCTCGAATTTCAGCCGCTAAGGCATAGCCATTTGGTTGAGACCAGTCCAGGTAGAACGTGTAGACGATGTTGCTGAGTAGATAAAGGCCGAGGATGATGAAATGAAGACGGGATGGTAAGGTTCCGATACTGACGGCTGAAGAGAGTCGGATTTCTCGATTGTGACGCTTCCGCCAGAGAGGAGCGTAAATCAAATTCTTCTTCAAACTAGGCATCCAGCTCCACTGTGACGACTTCCAGTATCCTTGCTGATCTGCTGGCCTCGACATGGCAGAAACATGCCGTAATTTGTTCCAGCCGATTTCTAGAAGCCTCACAGAGAGGACGATTAATGCGAGTATACCTAGCGACCACCATAGAGCATCTTTCAAGATCATGTTTACGGGCTGATTGACACCTGCTAGACCAGTAGCATAAGGCGCGATCGTGGCGGCCGCATCAGCGACCTCTTCTGTTTGTGTTGTTCCAGGCATGTCTCGTAGGGCTAGTATGGGCGAGGGTGTTAGTGATCCGAGAGCAGCGATCCGGCGCCGCATTAATGACATTGTCTTCTAATCTGAGTACAGTCTTAATGAAATGTTTGACTTCGTGTATAAATATAAGAACGATTCAGTTGCCTTGAGCCGAGTCTAGTTGTTGTGGCCGAGTTTCAGTTGTTTTGATCGAGTTCAGTTGCCTTCGTCGAGGAGAAAAGAGAGAATGAGACGGAATCTATAGGAGCGAGTGACGGTTCGCTAATTGTCCAGAATCCTCCAGACAAAGAAGTCTATTTCTTTTATGAGCGCCCGTTATAAGCGCATTGTTTTGAACTACAACGAGTAGTCAACGAGGTGGAAGGAGAGTCTTTGTGTGGAGCCGATTGAGACTTGTTCTCTGTGAAGTTGGCGTAATCGAATTATATCTTGAGATACTTGTGACTTGGAATCATCGAAGCCTTGTGCCTTGTTTTTCTTAGCCTTTGTTTGTTATCAAGGTGCAATCTGAGATTGGAGGCTTAGCACACCGCCCGATACAAAAACTTCAGAGGCAAGAGAACGTGGGCCTCAACGTGAAAATCGCCCGACGCGCAAGTACCAGTCCCGTTAATGGCTTTCGATGTTGGTAGACAGCGCCTGGTGTTGTGCTTGAGATGACAAGCAGGTGCTGTTGTTGCACAACCGATCCCGGGCAATTGACCACCCAGGAAACAAACGGAGCAAATATCAGGTTAGAGGTGGAAAGGCCAGTGAAGGACAACGGGAAGCGCGCTTAGCGGCCTGCACAAACAAGAGAATGAATAAACAGGCTGTTGGGTAGACAGATTGTTTATCAATTGTTTTATGGGTGCTGTTCTGGGTATACGTCTCGCGCTGACCCAAGGTAGATTGTGATGTTCGGTTGACCATGCAGATGACGATATGTAATATGTTTGTTCCCCAGTAACGGCGGCTCTTGACAGGACCCGGCTGCAGGGAAACGAAAATAAGGATGGGAGATCAGCTCGTCAAGAGCCGAAGGTCACAAAGAGAGGAAGAATACCGGCATACGTATGTAAAGGGATGACAACCACCTCTCAAATAAGTCCCGAGTGAATGGCGCAGGGAAAGGGGGGGTTAGGCATTTATGAGAAAAGAAAGCAGTTGATTCATCAACCAACTACCCACGTACCAACCCCCAGTCCAGCCGCGTGTAGTAGTTAATTAGTGTAAGACCGGCCGGCGACAGCAAGCCTGTACCCACATGAGATGACGGGCGTAATGTAATGTCATGTAAGTGTGTCGACTTCGCGTACAAAATACCCAGGAGCGCCAGATAACGACTTGCGTCTTTGTCCCTGTGGCGTTGACAGATGCCCGTGTCTGCCCATGTCAGACCCGTACCTACATTAGTCTAATTTACTTCACTCGCCCCAGAGACCCGTGCAATACACATTCACGAACGACATGTGTATGTATCTGGGACTGTGGCGGACGATGCCGTTTGCCGTGAGCTCAATTACATGTCTCCTTTCTCGCAGTTAGCCCATCTCACCCTCGGATGGAATGGAGCTACATGCAACCTCTGGATAAGTACCGCCCAACACTAAAACTACTTCCAGGGTGGGGACATACAGCCCAGCTACGCCGAGCTACGCGAACTCTCTTCCTGCCTATCATCTGGCCATCTGTCGCGGTCACCAGAACACGAGAGGAGGGTTGACGGGCCATGGCCAATTGGTAGCTTGAGTGTGGGCAGAGTGTGGGCTTGGGGATGAGTCGCCTTGTCTTTTGATACCGACTCTTGATTGAGGAAAATATCATCGGGCCAGAACAAGTGGCTGTCGCCGCTCGCTAAGCTCGCTAAGGGGAGGCCGGCCGGGGGGGAAGGGGGCCAGGGCCAGGGGTGGTTGGCCCATGCTGGGCCTGGCAGTCTAGGTACCTACCTAGGTACCTACTTAGGTATGTAGCAGGGGCACAAGCCACCAGAATTTGCAGCCAAGCAGCGGCACGCTGGCGGCTCAGAAGTCTATCTCGGCTTACCCCACCCCCCGTCACACCCTTGTCACATCCCTGTCCTACACCCAACCACGACCGCTGACTGGCCACTTGTTTCTCGATCCAACTCAGACGAACAGACAGAAAACAGACTCTGGGCTGGTCTGAGCTGGGAAACGCTGCCTAAGCCTGGCCCTTGCCGGTTTGGGGACTAGAATGTTTCACACGGTCGAGATGATTGCTGGAACGACTTGACTCTGGCAAACGCGCGCGCTCCTGTCGGCTCCCGCTAATGCACCTGTTCAGCAGAAAAGATGCACTGCTTGATTGGACCTCGCTTTTCGGCAAACCACATACTTATACCTACTACGTAGTAAACCCCATACGGCCCCTGCCGAGAGAGGCATCCAGTTCACCTTCTACTTACTATGTAAGCTTAAATGCGCCTACGTACGTATATGCTCTCTCTCATCTCCTGCGACAGCATGTCTCAATACTTAGTTGTGGGAGCATGGAACATGCTTTGATTTAGGATTACATAGTAGTCCCCAGTCAATGTATAAGCTTAACAGACCGGCTCAAACCTTCTTGGCACTTGTCTACACGTACCGAGGAGGACGCTTGCATTCGCCCCAGGCAATTGCTCTTGACTTCGAGTCATATCGCTTATGATATCAGGATGGGAACGTACTTATAGCGGAATCATGAGGCGAAGAAACTCGTGAACAAGATTCAAAAAAAAAAACTCTATTGCTTTACCCTCGTCCTTGTGATACGTACATAATAGGGTCTAATCATATACGGAGACAAAACATTACTATCAACCCCTTCCATCAACGTGTTATGCAATTTACGTTTTAAACTCACTAACAGGAGCAGATAGTTGATTATGTGGTGTTGGAAAACCGACGCCGAATATGCTCTGTTAATTACGACGGGAGGGAGGAAAGTGAACGCAAGGGTGAACGTGGTGGCCCCTATGATTCCTTGGCCTTCATGATAATCAACAAACTCGATCAATGTGACCATTAGGTATACAGGTGGCGTTGCTCTTGTCCAGCGTAGCAGGTGGTTGCATGCAGTCAGTTTTTCCTTCCTTTTGAACATGAGAATAAATATCTCAAGGTTTCTTGAGGTTTGGATGGATAGGAAAAAGACCTGAGAATCCTCAACTCAAACTTAACGGCTGAAATCGGCAGCAATATCAACACTCGCCAGGCAGGAGCCGCCATCATTTAACCCGTGCAACACATAATGTACGAACTATTGAGAGCGGCCATGCTTCCCACGAGTCAACTTTTGGATACCGCAGAGGCAGAGGGTTGCCCGCACGCTTGCGACGCTGGTATCTATGGTGTAAATTATGACCTATGGCGGAGCACCGGTATCAACTGGACGACACACAGGCGCTTCGAGTACGGCCATTGCCATAATAGCATATTGTCGCAAAACACCTTCTTACGAAGCGGTTGGATATGTCACAGCTGCTGCTACAGTGTGGAACGTGGCCATAAAACCTGTTCTTGCAATCATAATCTTTGTTACAAATGACAGCAGTCATAGGAATGAGAAAGGTCGGGTCCCATGAGAGATCTAGACACTCAGATACAGTAAGCATATACGATGAGTATTGCTGTTGGGCCCTAGAACATCAAGAGGCGAACCAAACTTGCAGCATGATGATCTAGATGATGCAAAACACGGCGACGCACCCTGAACGCATGCGAAAGACAAAAAGGGCACCGTAGTACCGAGAACCCATCGCGGAGATCATCCGCTGCGACTCAAGTATAGACTGCGACAATAGAAATGTCACTTAAGTTCTCAAATCATACCAAAACATTTTCGAGTGGCCGTATCTGGGAGAACTACCTCATATGCAGGCACGTATTAAGAGAAAATAGTTTATCTAGAGACCCCGAAAGGAAAAAAAGGAGCGGAAAAGGAAGCGAGACATACGGTTATGATAGGGTGAAAACAGAAGGTGTTATAATATTTGCAGAGAGTGGCAATTTACACACAAAGCTGATAGAAACAGGTCTCGTCTAAGTAAAGTTAAGAGGTTCCATGAGTAAAGCTTTTGTTAAGATACTTGATGCGTCAATGCATGGATGAGACCTCTTGAGACGGGAGCCGCCTGGAATTGCGTTTAGGTGCATATGTGCTTAAGCCATTTAGAGGGGCCCTTGCGTCTGAGCAGGGAGGTGCATGTTGTGCATGTAAGTAGGTACCGGTGCTTGGTGTTACCTTAATTGAACCAGAGGCGCGACTGCGAAGAATGAGGACGACGGACTGAAGCACCCCAGGCCATGCCCTGGACAAAGTGCAGAAGGTAGAGAAGCTAGCTCTCAGGAAAATCTCTTCTCGATTACTCAACTCTGCTGGCTTGAGATATCTCTGCATACTGTTGAGATTCTTCCTCTTTCCTAGTCGGCGAACAATCCACATAACCAATCAGGACGAGATGGGCTTGACTGAGACCTGGTCGCACCGTCGCACTCGTTATTTCCACCACTCTAGTTGAAAACGAATATCTTGTCTGCTGCCGCAAGAGTCCGTCTGACCCTCCGCCAGAGGCGAAGACTTTCTCCATGTCTCGATTCCTCAATCCGGCCAAAATTGGCCTTCTCGCCCTCATCGAATTGTATACAAACAATACAGTGCCAACATCGTCGATCGTGGATGTACTGTCTTTCATAGCATCCCACTTGATAGACAGTGATATTTCTAGCTCAGCTTCAACCTCGACCAACCGGTGGCGGCGAGCTGAGAGTACTGTCAACCTCGTTGTCTCTATCTCGGATTTTGAGAAGGTGTTGACGCCACATACCACTGCCTCGGGTATTCCTGGGCGTACCCTGTGGTATGTGTTCCTAGACAAGCTGTGGAAGATCGATTCTCTCCATGCCTTGCATGAATTCTTCGACAACTGTTCATGTATACTTGCCAAGACCAAGGAGGAACTTCGACGAGATGCAGAAATGGGAGTTCCGCCGGTTGCACCCGAGGTTATCCAGCTGTCTCGTAACTCACCGTTCGGCGCGTTCGTGCGTAGGTCTCAACTCGAATTCACGCGTCTTCGCTTCCATGACGCCATTGAGCTATGGAAAGACTTTGTGAAGTACCGAGACACAACTGCAGCGTATTATAGAAAGAAGACACCAAATTTTCAGTCGTTGAGCTTTGATAACGTCCTTCTTACAAGTGAGAATGAATGGGGCCAAGCTGTGGAAGCAATAACTTCAGTGACTTACGGCGATGCGCTCAGAGACGATTCACACGCGACTATGCCAGTTAGCACGGACGACATCGAGAAGCTCCTCGAATTCCAAATCGACCAGATGCAAAAATACGGGAATAGGGTACCCCTAACAATACGGCACCAATTTCACGATCTCGTTGTAGACAGCTCTATGATACCAAGTCTGTCACACTATCTGAGCTATTTGGAAGCTTGGAGAGCTGGTGATTATTCGACTTCTTTTGATTACCTCCATCGATATTTTGACTATACGATGCAGAACAGAGACAGATCGTTCTATCAGTATGCACTGATGAATCTTGCTGTACTCCAAGCCGATTTCGGGTGCCACAAAGAAGCAATTGCCGCAATGCTGGAAACAGTGTCAACAGCCAGGGAGAACCGCGATATGACCTGTCTCAATTTCGCCCTTAATTGGTTGTTTCACTTTGGGCGGGCGCATCCCGAAGTTACACAGGAACTAGAGTCGAAGAGTCAGCTGGGCACAGGCAAAGAATCCCTTGCATTTCTACGAAGTAGAGCAAAAGAGACGGGAGCATGGTCACTGTGGAGCTCTGCTCTTATGAGCGAAGCGAAGATGTGTCTTTCACATGGTGAGAGTGTCGCTACCGCGCTGGAACATCTTATCCGAAGCTCGCAGATATTGGTCGAGCAAAACATGAAGAGTATGGTCGGGTCCCAGCAATCGATTAACATAGCACTTTGGGACAGACTAGGTATTGCATATTTATCAGCGACCACATGCGAAGTATTTCTCCAATGCCACGCTCGCTACTCGATTTTTGACGATGAGCTCAAGGTGACAAGTCGCCAGGCTTCAATGCTGGCTTTAAAAGGCAAATATGACGAGGCATTGGAGAAGCTTGGGAGCCTAGACGTAGATTCTTTGCGGGCTTGGAAGCCAAGCCAATACTGGCACAAATTTAGAGGCATCATCGAATTGAGGAGAGACCTACATCACAACAATCTCGAAGGTGCCGAGCTGTTACTTTCTCAATTACTACAGTCTAAGACTGAAGATCTGGAGCCTGATCTAGCTTTCGCCATTGACACGCTCCATGTGGACTGCCTTGTTCGCCGAGGAAATGTGGAAGACGCTTTTGAAAAGGTTGAAAAAATGATTGTGGAACTCCGGGACGAGAACAAGGACATCGCTCTTCGACTACGACTTCTTCTCCTCAAGGCAGAGCTACTAGACAAATGCGGCAGACCTCAAAGGGCATTCACTATCGTTGTACGTGCAGCTAATGTTGCCTGGCGAGCGCGCCTCATCCCCTACCTATGGCCCGCTATCGGTGCACTCGCCAACATTCTGTGCTCACTTGGCGAGTTTGAGCCAGCCATCCAGCTGTTACTTGCTGTCCTTCCACGCAGTCTAGAGTGCGAAAATTCAGCTATAACAGCGAAACTATACTCACATCTAGGAGATGCAAATGTGGGCATGGCCGGCAAGATGCCGCCCAAGTCCAACAAGCGCAGGGAACATTTAATGAAAGGGGTGGAGGCGATCGAGAAGGCATTTAACCACTACTCGAGTATCGAAGATATCAACAAACAGTGTGAGATGATGGCCAAGAAGGCTACTATCATGAAGGTCGCGGGGGATTGTGTTCTGGCAAATGATTACGCCGCAGCATACCTAGCCTTACGCAAGGATGCTGATCAACTAAAGATATAGAGTCACGAGGCAAAACCTCGTATCGAATACCTACCCAGCTAGCTAGCTTTGCTATTGTTGAGCAGAGGGTGGTCATAAAACTCATACCCAATTCATAATATGTACGCGGTATCGGCAATGATTCATGCTACTGCCATTAAATGTACAACGTATTCGAGATGCGATTCGATATCAAGTTATTCATCGCTCCAATTAATATGTCGACCTTGCTTATCTTTTAACTGGCCCTCTTTGGCATTAGTAGCAGGGGCCGTGACAATATCCTCCCCCTCCCCCATATCGTTGGTCGCCCATATGCGCTCAATGCAAAGATTAAAAGGCCCAGGTACCCGATCTGTCAGGCCAATGCCGAGCGTGCGCACCTTCTGGCGCATGATCTCGGTTTGCGGCTCAACTACGAAGCCATGGTTCGTGCGCACAAAGTCGTTCCACTTGATGAGCACCGTTTCCCATTCCCCGGGCCGCTTCGCGAACAGCCGGTGCTGGTGCAGATCCGTCGGCACCACGGACTCGGTCTGCACGTTCACTAGATAGCTCCTGCCGTCTGAGCGGACCCGAAGCGCGAGATACGTGTACATGTCGATGTTAAACAGCGACTTGCCGAAGAGTGTCGGCTTGGGGTCGAGAGTGCGCCACGCGGCGTATCCCGACCGTTCGACGTTGGGTTTGTTCGGCGGCAGCTCCGTCGATATCGTGCCGTGGAAACGGGCGTACCCGGGTCCTTCTATGGACTCGTCGTCGCCCGGAGATGCTGGGCGCTCAACCCAGTCGAGCGCTACATTGGAGAAGCCGCCGATGTCTTTGTCGCTTAGCGTTTTGGTCAATTCTATCGAGTCGCGGCTGTGGAAGCTGTGGAGGGAGAGAGGCCCGGAGGGGCCTTTGATACCCTCGAGTTTAAAGGCTGTTATTGCGAGTTAGCATATGCAGCAATGTGTTGAAACCGCAGAGAAGCAAGGAGATGCCCGTACTAATGTTGGCCAGCCGTTTGAATTCATCAATGCTGCGTCCCCAGAAGCCCTTGGATAGATAAGCGCCTGTCGCGCGCATTGTGTCTGTTGAGGTGGAGGACGATAGAAAAGTGTTGTAGATGTCGGCCTGCTTCTTTTTTTTGATCAAGGTTGTGTCCGAGAGCCAAAAGGCTCTGTCAGTAGATTTGACATTAGCAGTTGGATGCTCCTTACTGCTCAATTGATTTTGTGTCCATTGGTATTGAGAGTAATGCTAGATATTAGACGAAGATAATCATGAAAATACCTAGTTAAGTCGTACTTGAGTTATCACATTAGTGACGAAAGCTTGGCTGGACTGCCACTGAACCCTGTGTACTTGATACATCTCACTTGAGTACAGACAGCTGAGCCCGGACCGGCATCGGGTTTAAAGGTACCTAACTTGGGTATAGGGGCTGCCTAACTCAGAGGTATTGTAAGCTATTCAACTTTGGTTACAGATCGGACACTTTAAGGAAATAGGATACCAAAAGCTAATCGCATAGGACATAAAACAAGTCCTTCTATATTTTTCCTATTTTAATCAATGATTCTATAGCTACATAAAGTGACAGAGGTTTGGCGAGGATAGGCGGTAAAAGCGCACACCTGTGCTGTCTATGTACTTACCTCCTAGCTAGCTCCTTGCAGCCCCCCTGTGCTCTACCCACTAGGCAGAACCCAATAGCAGCCGACAGAGCTTAGTTGGTGGCACCCAAGCAAGTGTCATTACGCAACCTGGGTTGCTCGCAGCCTACCATATCTTGATGTCCCGAGCCTAGCCTCACTGCATTGCGCAACCTCCTCACACTTGACCTTGAAACCCCGACAAGACGAGACAGAGCTCTCCTAATACTACGTCGACGGCTGACGTTTGCTCTCTCTTGGCAACACGCGCCATTGTCACTTGGGGACTAGGCCAGCTCTTTGTCGAGAACCCCGTTCTTCTCGCCCGTAGGGCATTCGAAATAAATTACATCGTCGTACGAGCTGCTGCGGTTCCTCCCTCCCGCGTCTCCTCGATTTGGTGCTCTCCTGAGACCTCGAACCGCAACCGCCGAATCTGACCGGAAAGCGAGGTGGCATGCGCTGTCGGTGAACAGCTGCTGCTGCTTGTTCGAAGTTCTTTCCCGATTCCTTGTACTACGTCGCTATCTCTACTTTCACCGCAGCGGCTACACAAAGTTTCTTACATCATGGCGACAACCCGTAGCTTGGATCACACGAGGTGCGTTCGGCCGGTTTTGCTTGCATGTCTTATGATGTTTCTTTTGGCTGCTTTTGTCCTCCTGTGTTGAACTACGCCTGCCCTTGCTTCTATGGCTAGGGTCGTAGAGTTAGCGGTGCTCATTTGCTTCCAACATGTCCTATACAACCGGAATGGTATGGGTTGCTTATCCGTCTCCTAGGTCCGAGGCCGAATTAGGTATACACATTCGAAAAGCGACAAACACCGACGAAACTGCCCCGAAACGCAAGCATGTGCGCGCCTGCATTGTCTATACCTGGGACCACAAATCGTCCCAGTCGTTTTGGGCGGGCATGAAAGTGTACGTTGATGATCCCGTGGGTTAGTCTCGCTGGACAAAGGTTGCTGACTCACCATCCAATACTAGACAGCCAATCCTCGCCGATGAGGTGCAAACATTCAAGGCTCTAATCACGGTTCACCGAGTATTGCAGGAAGGCCACCCTCAGGTACTGAGGGAAGCATTGGCGAACCGTGGCTGGATTGATGGCTTGAACAGAGGGCTAGCCGGCGAGGGTGTCCGAGGCTATGGCCCCTTAATCCGAGAATACGTCTATTTCCTCCTTGCGAAGCTCTCATTCCACCAGCAACACCCGGAATTCAATGGAACATTCGAGTACGAAGAGTATATCAGCTTGAAGGCAATCAATGATCCGAACGAGGGCTACGAGACGATCACCGACTTGATGGCCTTGCAGGATAAGATTGAGCAGTTTCAGAAACTCATCTTTTCTCATTTCAGAAACGTTGGAAACAACGAATGTAGGATCTCGGCTATTGTACCATTAGTCCAAGAAAGCTATGGTATCTACAAATTCATTACTAGCATGCTGCGTGCCATGCACTCCAGTAAGTTAATCGTTCGGGGCGAGGCTCCGGGTGCGATTTCTAACTCTTTGAGTAGCAACTGGCGACAACGACGCATTAGAACCCCTTCGAGAACGTTATAATGCGCAGCATTATAGATTGGTCAAATTTTACTATGAATGCTCCAACCTACGATATTTAACTGGGCTCATTACTATTCCGAAACTTCCCCAGGACCCTCCCAATCTACTAGCTGATGACGAAGATGCGCCAGCACTGCCCGCCCGCCCGAAGCAAGAGATTGAACGCGCGCCTACTCCAGTCCAGGAACCAAAGTCAGAAGAACCTGATCAGATTGCTGAATTTTGGCAAAGTGAGCTCGACCGTCAGAACCGAGAATACGAGGAACAGCAGCGGGTACTACAAGAACGTCAACAGCAAGCTCTCCAAGCTCAGCAACAGGCTCAATTGCAGGCCCAACGAGACTTCGAAGAGCAGCAGAGGCGTTTGGCTGAGCAGCAGCGAAGAGAGCAAGAAGCCCTGATGAACCAGCAGTTTCAGATGCAAACACAAGGACGATTAGCTGAGCTCGAGCAAGAGAACTTGAATGCAAGGGCACAATATGAGCGCGACCAACTGATGCTTCAACAATACGACCAAAGAGTGAAATCTTTGGAGGGAGAGCTGGCGCAAATTCAGAACAATTATGGCCAGCAATTGAATAGCAGAGATGACCAGATTCGTTCACTCCAAGAACAAGTGAACACATGGCGTACGAAATATGAAGCTTTAGCTAAGCTTTACTCACAACTACGACATGAGCATCTTGACCTACTACAGAAATTCAAGTCGGTTCAATTGAAGGCGGCATCTGCGCAGGAAGCAATTGAGAAACGCGAGAAGCTTGAGCGAGAAATCAAAACCAAGAACTTGGAGTTAGCAGACATGATTCGGGAGCGAGACCGAGCGTTGCACGACCGAGACCGGTTGACAGGCAGTAACAAAGATGAAGTCGAGAAACTCAAGCGAGAATTGCGCATGGCGAATGAGCGGGCCGATAACCTGGAACGAGGAAAAGGCAACGAGCTATCTTCAATGCTTGCGAAATACAACCGTGAAATGGCGGATCTTGAAGAGGCGCTGCGCACAAAATCTCGCGCCTTGGAAGATGCCCAAGCTAAGATGCGCGATGGCAGCTCGGACCTAGAGCAACTCCTCCGTGAGAAAGAGGAAGAGCTCGAGGTCTACAAAGCTGGCATGGATCAAACTTTGATTGAATTAAATGAGCTGAAGCTCAACCAGGGTGATACAGACATTGCCATAGACGGCCAGCTTGATGCTATAATCATGGCCAATTTGGACAAGATCAACGATATCATCGACTCTGTGCTACAAGCAGGTGTTGCACGGGTTGACGATGCGTTATATGAACTAGATTCGACAATGCAAGCGGGTAACCAGAACGCTTCACCGCAGTATGTCTTGTCTCAAATCGAGAAGGCCTCTGCCAGCGCCATGGAGTTTGCGACAGCCTTCAACAACTTCATTGCAGATGGGCCGAATGCCACTCACGCTGAATTGATCAAGGCCATCAATGTCTTCTCAGGTTCTGCTGCCGACGTCTGCAGCAACACGAAAGGTCTAACCCGTCTTGCGACTGATGAAAAGAAGGGTGACCAACTCATGAATGGAGCACGAGTGGCTGCCCAGTCTGCAGTGAAATTCTTCCGCGGACTTCAAAGCTTTAGACTAGAAGGAATGGATCCTATTCAAAAGACAGATGTCGTTATTAACAGTAATAACGATGTGCAAATGAACCTCCAAAAGCTGAATAAACTAGTCGAGACATTTGCGCCTGGCTTTGGCCGCTTGACGAACAACAAGGGAGATCTGGGTGAAATCGTTGACAATGAGCTTAGCAAGGCAGCCGATGCTATTGCGGCGGCGGCGGCTCGCCTGGCGAAGCTGAAGAATAAGCCTCGTGATGGCTACTCTACGTACGAGCTTAAGGTCAACGATACTATTTTAGATGCTGCCATGGCAATTACCAATGCAATTACCCAGCTCATCAAGGCGGCTACAGCCACGCAGCAAGAAATTGTTCAGGCTGGCCGAGGATCATCTTCAAGAACAGCTTTCTACAAGAAGAACAACCGATGGACCGAAGGACTTATCTCTGCGGCGAAGGCTGTCGCGTCTTCTACAACCACGCTTATTGAGACTGCCGACGGTGTCATCTCTAACCGTAACAGTCCAGAGCAACTGATTGTTGCATCAAATGATGTGGCTGCGTCTACAGCCCAGCTTGTCGCTGCCAGCCGTGTCAAGGCTGGCTTTATGAGTAAGAGCCAAGAGAACCTCGAGCAGGCTAGCAAGGCAGTTGGTGCCGCGTGTAGATCTCTAGTCAGGCAGGTGCAGAATATGATCAAAGATCGCAACCAGGAAGAGGAGGCCGTTGATTATTCTAAGCTCGGAACTCACGAATTCAAAGTTCGTGAGATGGAACAACAGGTAAGATGGCACCTCAACCATTGTGCAATTTACAAACAAACATCTCCTAACACAGTTGCCTTGAATAGGTCGAAATCCTCCAGCTTGAGAACGCCTTGTCGGCAGCTCGACACCGTCTCGGTGAGATGCGCAAGATCTCTTATCAGGAAGAGTAGAGGGTCTATGAAGGCCCTATTACAGCCGTGTTCTGGTCTACCCGGAAGATATTCGCCCTCGGGGTATAGCGAACATGAGGATGGCTATAGCCCACCTATGTTTAATTTATTAATGACGATTGCAAGGAGATGGACTTTGAAGCCTCTTTCAAGGATTATATTCTGGTCTGACAGATTAGTTTGACAATCAATCAATCAACCAACCACTTTAGTAGTCTTGTCACTTAGGAGGGCTGATCGACAAAACGGCGAGTTGTATGCAGATGTGGATTGATGTATATATTCTTGGAGACTCCGCTTCGTGGTAGATAAGTACTTCGTCTTCGAGGCGGATTTATTCGTTTCATGTGTTCGCACACATGCCTCTCCTGGTGGCAGTTGGTCACTCGCTTTTTGGTTGGATAACTAGGTAAATCATCCATTCTTATTGCTTCACACCAGCCCTGTTCTATTGCCGATATATCATATCAAATGTAATGTGTACTTATTTCATCGTGAAATTTACGTAAGCATCACTAGAGAAAGCCGTGAGACACAATGACATGCAATAAGATGAAAAAGCCCATGGATTTTCAGTTGCATGTTCTGTATTTGACAAAAGGAAATCGCATATCTACAATAGGATAGAGACGTAAGTTGGTCAGCAGTGGTGGTTTGATAGCCGTGGGCCACTTTGTCTATTTCCAATGGGTTTGTTCCTCGCTCCTCTCTTCTCCATTCTCTCTGTCTTCCTAGGCTCCTCTGCACCCTATGATACAGATATCTACGCCTAGATTATTCCCCTCTAGACGGTTTCTGATCGATAAGTTGGCGACAGGCTTATACAGTCTTGTCCTTGTTGTGGTAGTTGACCTTGCTGTTCCAGCTATTTGGTGACTAGTTAGTAGCGTTTCTTTTATTTATTTTTATAATTTATTATTTGGAGAGAACTTAGGTTAAGTAGATATTAATGGGTATATGCGTACAAGAGGGTCTTGTCACCGTCGCCCCAGGGGAAGTTCTTAGTGCGGATGTTCTGGTAGGGGTACTCGACGCGCTCCTCTAGAGGGGGCATGTGCTCCCAGTGCTCCCAGTGCTCGTTCCACAGGTTGTAGGCGTTGACGCCGGAGAGGATTAGGACAGGAATCACGGCACTGTTTCGTGTGAGAGATGGTCAGCCTTTCTTGCTCTATTCTATCTCATGTCACCTTTGTTGCGTTGCGTTCATCATTGAACAACTGGTATCAGGCGAAACCGGAGCCGGAATGATCGTGGTAGAAATGAATCTCAATCGGGGGTTTGAAGATCAGAACTCATGATCGCGGGATATCGGCGTAGGTTGTGTGTTCCATGAATGAGGTATGGGTTTGGGGTTGGCTTACTAGATGGAGATCTTGCGCCAGAGTTCTATGAGGCTGTTAGCAAACAGGTATGACGAGCAGAGACCCAATTAGCTCCTCTGAAGGTTGCGTGAGTAGCGTCACTGACCGGTGGTGCTAGCAGCGTGGTGTTTGATGCCCTCACGCTCCTTGACGAACTTGTTCTCGGTGGAGGCAAGACGGCGCTGGATGGTGGAGCGGACGGCGGGCGCACGGAGCTGAGCGGCCAGGCGCGGGGTGGCGCGGAGAATGGATCGTTGGAAGACCATGGCGACGTCGGTACGATTGGCGATCGATATGGTTGGAGGGGAGATTGTGCTCTGATTGCCAATTGAGGCTCTTTCGGGGAAGTCAGTCACTCTAGGCCAGGAGATGAGGTCAGGATTGGAAGCTCCCGAGCTTGGCCCCGGTTGTTCTTCGGCCAAGAGGAGAATGAATCAGACCACCCGCAATTGGGCGCGAGATGGGCTCATGCCGGTGTGGCTCGTGCATTGACGTATGGCAGGTACTTAGGTACTTGTGTAAATGGCAGTCACATGATTTCGGGTCATTTTGGTGACGCAACGGAGCATCGCGACTACCTACCCTCGAGCGCATAATGGGTGAATACGACTCGCCTGGAACCCCAGACTCGGTTTTTCAGCAGTTGAAGTATACCTAGATCAGACCCAGATAGACCCAACCATTCCCGAAGACATCAAATCTAGTCGAGTCTACCAGGTCAGCACACAACACCTGATGATCCGTGCACTTACTCCCTGTAAGCTTTCGAGGATGAGCATTGGTGGCGTCGCTGGGGTGGTAATGGAAGCGCCCTCTTAATGTAAAATCTCTGGTCGTACCGTCGTAGATTACCACCGCAAAGATGGGTTTGCGCATAACGTCATGGAACGGTAGGACTCTCTTTTCTCGTGATAACCGAACAGTAACTGACTGGACATGTAGTGAACGGTATTCGGTATGTGTTATACGGCCCTAAGACTAAGACTCAGACTAGATTCTGACCCTGCTGCCAGGAACCCGTTCGGTTACCAGCCATGGAGAGAGAAGAAGACCTTTGAAGTGAGATCCAAATACCTCTATGCCGTAGACATCCGCCTAACTCTACACACAGTCCATGTTCGATATCTTGGAAGCAGACATAGTTGTCATGCAAGAGACCAAGATACAGCGCAAAGACCTGCAGGATGACATGGTCTTGGTACCTGGCTGGGATGTATTTTTCAGCCTACCACGACATAAGAAAGGTATACCTGAGGAATCTCAAAGTTACCTTCACTTAGCTATTGTAGCTTACCTAAATCATAGGCTATGCTGGTGTTGCTATTTACACTAGGAACTCAGTTTGTGCGCCTATTCGAGCAGAAGAGGGCATTGTTGGTGTTTTATGTCCACCCAATTCGAGCACTCAGTTCCGAGACTTGCCAGAAGAGCAACAGATTGGCGGCTATCCCCGACCTGGACAGCTTCAGCTGAATGGAAACATCGACGAAATGACACTGGACTCAGAGGGTCGCTGTGTGATTCTTGAATTTCCGGCTTTCGTCTTAATCGGCACATACAGTCCCGCAAACCGCGACGAGTCCAGAGATGACTTCAGAATTGGCTATATGGAGGCATTGGATATACGAGTGCGTAATCTAGTGGCGATGGGCAAGCGTGTCATAGTGACGGGCGATCTCAACGTTGTCAGAGCTGCTATGGATACAGCAAATCTCTCCGAACGCTTAAGGAAGGAGAATATGACGATGGCTGACTTCTTCTCGACGCCATCTCGCCGCATTTTCAACCAGCTTCTTTTTGAAGGAAATATCATCGGGCCGAGAGACGAGGACAGGAAGAACTCAGTTCTATGGGATCTCTGTCGATTCTTTCATCCCACGCGGGAAGGCATGTTCACCTGTTGGGACACCAAGAAGAACACCAGGCCAGCGAACTTTGGCAGTAGGATAGACTATGTCCTGTGTAGCGATGACATGAAAAGCTGGTTTATTGATTCAAACATTCAGGAGGGTCTCATGGGGTCGGATCACTGCCCGGTATACGCCGTTCTTAATGATAAAGTTCGAATCAACGACGAGGAGGTTTTCATCAAGGATACCATGAATCCACCAGGAATATTCAAAAATGGAAATCGGCTAAGAGAGTGGTCGACAAAAGATATGCTACCGCTATCCGCTAAGTTAATTCCAGAGTTTGACCGTCGCCAAAGCATTAAGGACATGTTTTTCAAGAAGCCCGCTGCTCCAAAAGCCACACCCTCGCTTTCTCAAGAGCCTTCTCTCAGCCAGGTTAGCGACGTACCCGAAAAGCTAGTAACGCCAACGCCAACAAATACGGTTGACTCAGAGGTCCTATCTGCTGTTTCGCCAGCTCGCTCGCCAGTCAAGCCTCCATCTAGCAGCCTTAAACGCACACCTTCCGCCTCCGTTTCCAACAAACCACAGAAAAAGGCAAGGGCCGGACTGAACAAAGAACCCTCGTCAAAGGGTCAAAGTAACTTGATGGGTTTCTTCAAGCCCAAATCTACAGGCAATGACACGAAAAAGAATGATGAACAACCTCCACCTCCAACTGGTGGTCTTGACGGCACCGTGGAAATCGAGTCCAGTCAAACATCAACCGAACTTAACGTCTCAAAGACACATAGCAACGATTCTAAAGACTCCTCGAGCTGTGCCGACACCGATAACGTATTCGATCCCATCGAGGCTAAGGAATCGTGGTCGAAACTTCTAGGCCGTCGCATTGTCCCTAAATGTGAGCATGGAGAGGATTGTATTAGTCTAGTGACGAAGAAACCCGGAATAAATCGTGGTAAGTGGCCGGAACTCTTCGTGTTTGACTTGAATTCTTCAATCTATATTCACAGTAGCTCACACAAGCGCTCATAGGGAGGTCATTCTTCATCTGTCCACGACCCCTTGGGCCCTCCGGTGAGAAGGAGAGGGGGACTGAGTGGCGCTGCGGAACATTCATTTGGAGCAGTGAATGGAAACCGACTACTCCAGCTAACTGAATACCCCATGACAGTCATCGATTGTATCGAGAATATCTGGAGCTGTAATATCATGCATCTTACTGTCAGGATGCATACATACACTTGCTATCCCGCTATCCGATGTACTTCCTGACACCATTTTTCGGGTAGCTTGTACTGACCTCGCAGAGAAAGATGGAATGAAGAAATTTACAGTGTGTTATGAACATCAGTCTCGTACTTACCTGTTTACACCCATTTCGCTCTCTAGCCTGTGAGTTGTCGCCGTTGTCTTCTCTAATACGAATACCAGATCCTGTTCGCTCCGTTTTGCGTGCTTGGCGATCAATCAACCTGATCAATATGAACTCGGGCTCTTTTGAAAGTTTTCCCCTCTTCTTCTTTTTTCCCTTTTCATAATAAGCAAGGCTTGAGCTTTGCCAGCCTATCAAGTCGCTCCTAGGGCTGCATACTCCCCATACCTAGGTCTTTAGTAAAGGCATTCAGCCATACTCTGCGGTTCATTGTCATCAGCCCTCAGATTTGTAAGGGAATACAGTCATGAGATGGTGCAGCTGAATCCCAGGGTCCGGGTATTGTTAGAAGGCTTCTTCAGACATAGAGATTTAAGCGCGGTCATACACATGACAGTAAGCTAAGCATATTCTCCCACCTAACTATCCAAGCCAGTCACACGCGGCCTTTATCCCAGAAGTCCCATCCAACCTTCTCCGTGTGTGCTAGTTTCAAGTTATGCTTGTAGAAGCGAATCGAAATGGAGCCTACTCGTTTGATGGGAGTAGATGTGGAATTGTCGTGACCAGAAGAATGGTGAGTAGACTCACACCACTAAAGGCACGATACTAGCCCCCCCCCCCCCCCCCTTCTTTTTCTTTGAACAATAATAATACCAGCTACATAACCCAGAGCCTGAAAGAGGACACTGCTCGGTACACTCACAAGGAAAGACCACTCGCCCCGATGGACTACACGCCTAGGTCTATAGCAGTGGAGGGCCACCCGCTGTTTTTGCTAGCACGCCACTCAATGGTCGCTATACCGGAACCCCATACGCCATGAGCTTCATAACATAGTTTTCGTTTTTTGAAGTATACACTGTGGGCTACGTTGACTTAGAATGATATAAGCCAAGTCCTAGTATGGAATTCATCGATTCACCTCACACATGGATATTGGGCACGTTGTTATTGATAAAATTCATTTAGGAACGGAAGTATGGCAGCTGCTTATATGGGAAGAATGACACACTGAGGCTTGCGACGCCCTTACTAATAACTGGAGGGCATGAGGAATAAACGAAAACAACACCTTAAAACTCCGGCAGTACTCACAGCAGGAGTATATACTGTCTTGATGCTTGGGTATCAAGAATATCCACCAATTTTTGTTCAGATACCAGAAAACGCCTAAGGGAAAAAAAAAGGAAAAAGAGAGACAAGAAGACTCTCTTGACCATTGGAAAGCCATCTGATCCGACTTCCAACCCAACAACGCCCACTATATCACCACTTCCTAACCTCCACCACTATTTCTTAGGCGCTTTTGGCTTAGGGTATTGGTAGTCGGGATAGAGCTTCTTATGCTCTTCCATCTTCTCATCTGCCAGCACGAACCACGACTTTCGGTCATCGGATGGCAACTTGTGCCATATGTCGCTGATGATCTTAGCTAGACGCGCACAAAGTTAGTTCACATCCCGATATGGATGAGCCTCTGGAAGTAGTATCGGGATATACTCACAAGCCTGGGACACGTGAATCCCTGGTTTTTGCTGTTTTACTATGCGATTCTCAGACTGGCGGAACAAGATCCACGCATTAGGTGGGCGCTTGATCTTCTTCTTGTTCTCTTTATGAACTCGAGGACGCTTTGCTGGGGCCTGTGCTGGGGCTGGAACTGGAGCTGGAACTGGAGCCGGAGCTAGGGCCGGGACTGGCGTCGGGACTGGGCCTTGGACAGCAACCTGGACAGTAACGGTATTCCGGATACTGAGGCCCTCCTCAATGCCTGTAAGGCTCGGATGAATCAGAGCGTTTTGTTCCATGTTTGGCTGATTCATGACCCAGAATGGATACTGTGGTGCTCCAGCCGGTGAAACATAGCCAGAATCAGGAGTCAGAGCCAGAGGCTGGTATTGAGGCTCCACGTTCATCAACGGCTGGGGCGGAGGGTAGAGAGCTTGCATATGCAATCCCTGGACAGGGCCAATGGTGAAGCCAAAGCGATTGACTAGCTCTGCACCAATGCAGAGGTAGTATCTCTCACAGTTGTTCCCATCCACAAAGAACTCTGCTGGACCATCCAGTAGTCGACTACATCAATTATGGTCAATACAGTCACTCCAGCAAGGTATGAAAGGGTGGGTTGCTTGTCACAGTGATCATGGGGATACATATGGCGATAGAATCCATGTGGGATTTAACAGGAGGAACAATCATGTGAATGTGAGATGGGTGGACCTACCTGGCCTGTTCAGCGAAATACTTTTCACCGCCCTCACCTAGAGAATTGAAAGCCATGCCATGAATCTTGATCGTGCGGCAGTGTGTGTAGGCATCAAGCTGCATTGCACATTGGTCCCAAAGAAGGAGGAGTTGATCGAGAGCCAGTGGGGGTATCATGGTGAATTCGACGGATGACAGAAGCAAGAGTCGAGCAGTGTCTTTATTGAAAGTAAAGGCGAGCGATGAGAGAAGGCAGTGAAGGGGCACAATAAAAGCTTCTTTGTGAGGTAGGAGATGTTGAAGCAGTGTGGGAGAAAGTTGTGTGGGATGGAGGAGACGGAGGAGATGGGTTGATTCGAAAAACGAGAACGACACGGCACCAAAGCATGGCGACCGTAATTATGTGAAAAAGGAACTGTGTGCGGTCAACACAAGCTTCGGTACCTCTCTACTTCACATGAGGGGGATGTTTGTTGCATTGACCACTGGGAGCTAGTCTAGCGGAAGGAGGTGAATGGGAATGCCCGCCAACACCCATGGAGATGGCACCTCAGCACCAGTTGACGGAGCTACAGGCTTCAGATATCACCTGCCAGCAGCAACAATAGAAGGTGGCAAACACACCCTTTAAGAGGTACAGTACATGTACATCCCATTCATACATCTCCTGTATGACATCTGGCAGATGCTAGTGAAAGCTAGCCTACGAATCAACCCCGTAGCAACTTGACCTGTGCCTAGCAACCCCCCGAAAATTGATTTTGCCGAGTATGATCAGTTGCCCTGGGCATATGCTATGGTGGGCTATGCTCAAACAACTTGAGCTGGTGGTCTGAGCCCATCTACAGACTAAAGAAGGTCATACGGCTACGAAAGCACGCACCAGCTCTCTCGGAGAACGGTTCACCTGTTGGCATACCAGATGCATTGAGAGCAGGTGACTGACGGCATGAGTGGAGCGGCGAACCGAGGAAACGGAGCGGAAACCAAACGAACGTGAGTCCATGCATGTCCTATTCCCAGCTGCTGTGAATGGACATCCAATGTTCCTTTGGGCTAAAGTACTATCCTGATCACTATCTTGCCCCCCATAACTTGCAGGCTTGAAGGAGCTTTACGAGAGGAATCTAGATTTATTGGTCAAACTCCCTGAAGGAGGTTATGTAACTGTTCTCAGAAATTTTCTCCTATTGCCACTAGTATACATCTTGTCAGAACTGCAGCCATTCGGGTCTATATAACATCAGTTACTACACGATGCCTCTTCAAGACCCTTTTGTGCCTAGTCTCTGAAGCTGGCTTGGCGACGTTTCTCCTTTGTCTATACAGATCATTGATCATTAAGCCTTGAGCGATACTTTCATACACCAGTGCTACCAATATATAAAAAGCAACCAACACCCCTACAATGACCCTTACACACCCAGGCTTTCGTCCAACCGTCACGTCATCTACACATCCCTGATTCATCATTCCCTCATTGAAAGCAGCACGATAAAGTATGGCCTCCAACAAATTATTCAGAGCCAAGGACGACTTAGGTGAGAAGTCTTCTTCTTAGGTTGGTATTTCCAGTTGGGATGTAGTTGCTTGTGGTCATCAGCAATATTAGGTGCCTGCTCTCACCAAGGCTGCTTCTCTTCCCTTGACATGGATTGCCAACAATGCCCGAGGACCTTGACTAAAAGAGCACAGAGTCAGTTCAGTTATCTGCAGGATATCCTAATCAAACTCTTAACTCACGGATATGACGAGCTTCCATCTTCTTCTCTCCCTAATGTAATCAGCGACTGTGGAACTTTCGGAATGAGATCCAAGCATTAGGCGGTCTCGCGATATGCCCTTTTCCTTCGACCCGAGACTCTTCTGTTGGGAGTGGCTTTACCACCATGCGATTCATCACGGGATCCTCTCTCGCCTCGTTTGCTTGTGAATTGCTGCTCTGGGAATTTTCGTGTTTAGGGGTTGATACGGGGATAGTAGTGCGCTTTTCAGCTACGAGGAGTTTCCGAAGAGGAATCATGGGGTTGTATGAGCCTCGAATGGGTGTTGGTGTATTAGCGATTTCAGGAGAGTAAGGCGAAGACGAGAAATTATCAACGTTCGCTGCACTCGGAACACGCCGAGAAACTCGAATGGGTGTTGACGGAGCAACTTCAGGGAGATAATTCGAGCATGAGAAAGTGTCAGAGGTCATGGCACAATGAACCGACTGAGAATATCGAATGGGCGTCGGTGTTTCAATTTCATGGGAATAATTCCAGTATGGAAAAACGTCAACCCCTATTTCCCAGGGAGCAACCTGGGCCTGGCGCATGACTGGTACCCTCGGTGGCTGCTGGCGTACCTCCGATCCTCTACTGACGAACGGATCGTCTCCCAGGTCATTCTGTGTACTCAGTATCGGCACAAGGACGCGAAGGCGCTCTTTCGGGTTCGAAATAATTGTAAATCTCATGCTTCGGATCACATCCATTTGGCTCGCAAGATATACATAATCGTCGTTCGTGGCATGTGAGAAAAACTCTACAATACTATCCAATATTATGCTACATGAGAAGAGTCAGCTTGAAACACGTCCTTAAAAGCTCCTGAAATGGGAAGTTTGAATCCCTCTTTAGCCATAATCACTTAATATGTAGCTGTAGTTATGTACGAACAGGCTTAGGTGTGATATAGTACATTATGGGGGGCGCTGATAGGATGAGGAGCTTGTAGGTTGTCAAGGAGATGTATACAAGTGCAGCGTTGTCCATCGAGGTACAAGAACACTGATAGAAATACAGACAAATGAAATGAAATTCTAACTTGCCTTAATTGACCCTTGAAGAACTTCTCGCCATCTTCTCCCAGAAGAGCGAAATCATTAGCGTCGATCACGATGATGTTGGTGCAGGCAAGCTGATTGCAAGCACTATCCCAGAGACCCTTTATTGTTGCTGACTTGGGAACCGAGTATGGATCCATTGTGACTGCCGTGTTCAGAGCAAGATATTCTGGTTTCACGAAGCAAAGAGTGCATAAGCTGGAGGAGAGGTACTAAGGCTCAGACAGTGAATGAGGAATCCGAAAAAGCAAAGAAGGTGTTGTTTTTAACTGAATTTTTGTTGAGTCAAGAAGCTTAGTAGAAGGACCTCGGAGAGAGGAAAGGCTGTAGAAGTAGAATAAGAGAAGAACGACACATGTGTAGCGATTGTAGAATGCTCCCTACATAATAAACGTGGTTACTCCACGCAACAGAAGCCGATGTTTATTCAACATATAGGGCCTCATCATCGGCTCAATGCTTCCCTACTTCTTCCAGTCCATTACCTTAGGTATAGAGCTACTACTAGCCATTCATTGTGCACAATGGAATTGAAGGATGGGAGTGGAAAGGATACAGTGAATAAGGTGCGATACATACAAGTAATCACACTAGATCACCTAGACTGACTCTCTACGTATAACACCACCTACCCAACTCACATTCGATTACAGCTAGATCCAGAGCTAGAGGGACAGAGATGTTGCAAGTCGTCCTCTAACTGAGATCATGAGGGATCATCGCAAACTGTACTCCGTGTACACTGTAAGTGCCTAGGTAAGTCTCCATGTACCGTTCTATCGGAGTCCCAATCACATTCATTATCTTTGGGTGGACACTATGGGTTCAATGGCAGTTATGACGGCAGAACTTCTAGACCGCTCAGCCTAGGCAACAGCTTTCTCTGGGGTACTGAGTGTAGTAACAAGTATCTATGGTCAAACAAACACTCTAGTTAGCGTGCTACTTGATAAACCGGGAAGAAAGATGAGCAACACAGCAGCACTAGTCTTCAAGCCCGGCTGACCCCATGTCGTCAACGAGGTACATTATGACCGGTATTTGTACTCTGAGAAATAATTTGTTAAGAGATACATGTCAACTAATCATCTCACATATAACCAGCGCAGGTCAAGCCAACACCCGATGTGTCTAACGGAGAAAGATCAGGATACTACCTTGCCCATCTCAAACTAGCTGTTCACTCATTCTTCCTGGTCACTGAGAAAAAACCTAATCATGATCTCTGGCTTCTCAAAAAGCCATGATGAAGCAAATTCCTGTCTACGTCGAGGAGGTGATTGTCCATCTTGTGTATGTCAAAACTCCAAAGTCCCTTATTCCAGAACAACTTTCCTTGTAACCATGCCATTTCCTTGCCAAGGCAAACCTAAGGGCCAAGTCTGAAGGGATACAAGCTTTTGAGGTGATCTTTGGCGAACACGTTCTCATATAAGAGATACCAGGCCAGAAGCCATCGCTGGACCTGGAAACACAAAGGACTGTGGAAGTACTGTGGCAGCAGGTGAGTGTCCATTACAGCTCTGGGCATTAGTCTACATGTAAGTATTGGTCAGCATAATTATGGTGATGAAACGAAACATTGACATAGAGACGCAATTTTCTCTTCTCTACCCCTTTAGGAATGTGTTGTCCGTTAATCATAGCCCTCGGACTTACACAAGGCACATCAGCGACATCGCCGGAAAAAAGCCAAAGAGTTTCCTATGTAAGCATGGAGGTACGGGAGTATTAACAGCGCCGTCGGTGTTGATCCCATCATACTCTTCGAACTAATCTCAGATTTCTTCCCCTAGAATGCTATAATACTCAGGCTCCTACAGAAGAACGAGCGCGCCGTAGAATCGATCACCCATTAGTCACCCAAACGGCGAATACAACCTATAAAGCAACAGACTCGATATACAAGAGTTACCGCTGATCTGTAGGAGCTGGAGTGCCGGCGGGTAAGACATGGTCGAAGTACTCTTAATAATCCGTACTACCCCTTTGGTCAATACGTTGGAGCATACCTTTACGAGTCGCGGCCTTCATTGCAGAGAACGGACTTACTTTTCTTAGGGGACTTTTTCTTAGGGGCGCGAAAAGGTACTGAAGGGATTTCAACAGCGAGAACCGTTTTAGAACCTGTAGGAGAGTGGCAAACTTGTTGAAGCTCAAGAAGACATTGAGGTGAACCGAATCTTTCATTTGGAAAACAGAGTCCAATCAACATTCAGTATCTATGACGTGAGACTGTTGCGTACTTTCCTGCATTTCTTCATCTTTTCTCTTCTCATTCCACGCCAATTCTGCTGACAAGTCCCTGGCTAGCCAACTCGTCCATCTGAGGCCATATACTTACAAGCCAGGGGCTCCATGGCCGGGACAGACCGGGTACCGAACGAAGGAGACAGCTTCTTAGCCACCTCGCGATGACGACAGGGATCTCCTTCCCAGATAATGCCACCGAAACCCTTACCACGGTTCTGGAAGTCTGTCTTGACGAAGAACTCGAAATTCATGTGATGCGGCGCGTAGATATCTACATTCTAGGAGCACTGGAATGGCGCGTGCTGTTCGTCTCACTCACCGGTGAATGGCACCGGGGTATAAAAGACAAGTTCGTCCGGAGCAAACCTCACGATGGGTCCATACTTGCGTCGAATATCTGAAATAGCCCACGGATACCTCCTACATAGTCTAAGCACAGCGAGGCCAAACTAGACGCAAGACGTCCAAGACCATGCCCTGAAATATCTCACCAGCGATACTCGTGCGAAGGATTGGACATAGCTGCAAGCCGTGGGCCCGAGAACTCCGGTAGCGGGGTGGAATACACGAGGAAGACAGCTCGAGAGATAGCATGTGCGGCGAGCCGACACTCGAAAATAAAGCGATACTACTGGGTCTGAACTAGCATCAGGATATACATACAGCACCAAGACTATAAGCGGCCACGATGTTCGACACACACGTCTGCCATGAGGCAGCACCTTAGACGTATATAGCTGAGAGCGAACGCCACTGGAAGAAATAAAGACATACAATGACCCATTAGAATACAAGTTATCGCATCAAGGACTCTTGATGAACGGGCTGCATTCATGATGCCGAACTAAACTGCGAGCAACAGGGTTGGTTCGTAAACTGTTAGTTACATGCGAATCAACAATACTTGGTAGTCAGCCCCAGTCACACCTCGCAACGACCCAGGACTCGGCCAACTGGTAAAATGGGGTATACGGAGACAGGGCAAGATCTTTTCATAAATCAACAGCGGTAGCGTCTGTAGCATCAACACAAGGCAAAATGTCACTTTCAAAAGATGATCCGGCACATGAAACGACGTCATAAACAGCGTGATACAATTCCATAAGTGATCCTATATATATACGGCTACTTCTAGCACCACCAAGTCCACGCTTCATCGGTTTACAATACTAAATAAATAAACATACGAGCCTAATTGGTAATAATCAGGGATCTATGATTTTCGCTCAAAGACACAAAGTATACAAAAACAAGAATCCCATTTCCAACCCTTAACCCAGATCCAGAACTCCTAATCCGTCCCTGATTTCTTTATCTACATCAACCGCTGATAGAATTAACAGTGCCAGCGGGCTTTTCAAGAGCTTGTAGTTGCCCATGTCAATGGGTAGATAGCCTTGCGGACACCCACCTTGCTTGAAAAAACTCCAATTATGCATATAAAACATTAGTGATATCATTGTTTGGTTTTGGTGTGGCCGACCTCTTCTTCTTTGAACTCAGGATTATCAATCCAGTTTGAGTAATCCTCATCTTGATCGTCTTGTGCTGTAATATTGGCATCTCCCGGTTTAAACGGCTGAGGCTGGTCTAAATTAAGCGACTCGGCTGAATTAGTAGACAAAGGCAGTGAATCACGAGCTCCTGATTCGCGCTTGTCCTCCTCGACTTGTGAGTTCTCCTCCGCATCTTCAACCCATGACTCTGTGTGGTGCGCAGCATCAAGAGAAGGAGAATTTGGCTCAGAATCATCAGGAGCCTCGACAACAAGTAAGTGCTCTTCCGTATTCTGGGCAGCGTGAATTTCAGATACTCGCCGGCGTCTCGGAAGGGGAGGCGGTGGAACATGTCGACGCTCTGTTTTCTGCTCGTTGAGGTCTTTGGAGCTCGTAGAGGTCAGCTGAGGTGGCGCTGCTACAGGCTTTCGTTTCGGGGCGGTCACGGGCGTTGCTATCTCTCCGGGTCGCGGTAGTGGAGTTCCAGGAGGGGGGAGTGGTTGTCCTCGTCCCATAGGCTGGTTGAGGTCTACAGGAGGATCTGAGAGTTTTCTACCGTTTCCATTCCGCTCGGCCTGTCGTTGTATGGCACCCCAGCCCCAGCGCTTTGCCGTAGCAGCGGCGTTAGACATTGCGGTAAGGGTTTTGTTCTTAGTCTCTGGAATACCATCTGGAATTTTAGGGGATGGGGGTTCTTTACGTGCAAAGAACCCTCTAGATATAGATCCTGTCCCACTTTTGATCGAGTTCCTACTAGATCGGCTGGGGGAGTCTGGTGGCTGGTCATTACTGATCACGCTTTCTGAAGACGAGGCCGTATGACGCCTCCCTGGGCCCTTAGGGGTGTATTCTACGTCTTCCACTTCGGGCACAGTTTTGGGTATTGTCTCGGCTGATGAGTTTATTGGAGAACTAAGAGTTAGAAGTGTTGGTAGTGAATTTGAAGGTGAGCTGATCGGGGTCTGTGTTGGTGAGTGGGCCTGAGACCGAGCAGATATGCTTGCCATCGTGCTGGCAGCATCGTCATGACTGCGAGGCGACGGGGCAGGCTTAAAGACTTCTGCATGAGTGGCCTCGGTACCAATAACAGGACTGGGTGTAGAGAATGAACCCGACCTAATTAGGAGGGGCACATCTGGGTTACTGGCTAATGAGTGTTTCGTGTCTACAGCCGTTGAGGACGCTGAACTGAGCTGGTTAACATTGGTTTGTGCGCCCTTACTGAGTTTTCGTGCCCAAAATCCCGCTGGTTGGCTATTCTCAACGTTAGGCATACTATGACTCTTCTCCATTGGTGGCAATTCTGAAGACGTTTCAGGCGCTGTCTGCTCAAGCCGACTAACTTCGTCGACATTTCCCAGTTGAGCCGCGATCGCTGCATGCTCAGGTGAGTGTACAACCTCATCATCTCCGTCGAATATACCACCACGCCACGTTTTATGCTCTGTTGAGAAAAACGGCGTGTCGTCCCAGAATGGGTGGACTAGTGTCTCTGCAACAACTTCCTTGATCCGACTCTCTATTTGTCGTAGAATGAAGGTATACGTAATTTGTTTGGAGCTGACAATAGGTTCAATGTTCATCTTCATTTTCGGCATTGACTCGAAACAGAACCAGATCCGGTTACTCGGAGGCGGCTTGATCTTGAAGAAGACATGGCCCTCTAGCTTCCTCAACACTACAGCTAGGACAAGATTCACCTCCCGGGTTTTAAACCGAGGACCAAGATCAATACGAGCAGTTGCTGCTACCTCAAGCCTAAAATTACCAGTGTATTTGAGATCGGCTTCCATCAGCAGCTCGCCTTCAACGTTGAGATCTTTGAGGCGAGGATTCACGAAATATGGAGCCGAATCACCAGTATTGATACCCTGAATCGCAATTCTTGTCAGGAAGGAAGGGCGTTTCACGCGGGATATCTTTTTCGTGAGCTTCTCTGTTATGAAGGCCTCGATATCCTTGGTTCGGTAGACACCGAGGAATATCCTACCTATCAAAGCATTGAGCCATCGGGTTTGTGTGAGATCTTCTGATGCATGTAGTTTCTGAACAAGCGCTATAATGTGCGTAACATTGAATCGTTGGGGTTTGGGTGCAATGTTCTGAGCAGCAAATGTTTGTTCTTGATTCCTCAGTAGAGCGAAGTAGAAGTCTTCCTTGGCAGAGCAGTTTTCTGAAAACAAATAAAACGGCTTCGAAATTTGTATATCGGGTATGGGCTCTTTCCCGCTGACTCTCCTAGTTAAACAGATTGCATTTCGCTTGATGAATAGTTCGCCTTCCGGTGTGCAGTCCCCCCCTGAATATATGCTGACGTTGTGATTGGCTAGGGAAATGACGTGTCGTACTTCAAGCTGTTCTATGTCGTCGAAAAGCATGAGATGGCCATGCCTGTTGTGATATTGTATTAGCCCCAGCTGAATTGTGAATGGGTCTCACACTAGACCTACCTCAAGACCACATAGAACACGTTACCGGCCCGCTTCGGCCGCTGACTGGCACCTTTGTTCTCATCTAAAGGATTAGGGTTCTGTTTGCGATCGAAGATGCTCCTGTACATGGTCTGGTATACACTTGGGCTCGGAGCGGCAACGGTCGTGGATCCAACGGGGGTGGAGCGCTCGATAGGTTTGGCGTTGATGCCCATGGGTGTATATTCACGACATACTGCAAAATAGCCGGCGGCGACGTCGGAATCGGCGAGGAGCTTCTGTCTCGATTCCTCTTTCTGGGCGGATTCAAGATCGCTCGTATCGTCGGCGGGCTGGACTATGCTGTCGGCATCGCTCGCGCGGGCTGAGCTGGCGTCATCGTGGACTGGGAAGGTCAAGTGGGCGTGTAGTAAGATGGCGGCTATGACGAGAGGAACGAAAGTGACACCACCGAGAAGGTAGGTCAACAAGAACGCAGTCCAACTACCCATGGCTCCGGTGTAGGATAGCCGGCCGAGAGCAGCGGGATCTGATTGGGGATGATCATGGATATGAACTTATACACATGTGAGACCAGAGGGGAAGCAATGGGAGGTTCGGGGGTCTAGAAGCGAGGTCTACTAAGCAAGCCGGATGCTTGAATTGACAATAACCGTATACTGGGAAGCGTAAACTTCCCTCAGATTGGAACCGTGAAGAGCAACACGCGACGTGGCCGAGAGTTGAGCCTACATATACAGCTTCAGGTAGCTACAATGTATTACTTGTCTAGTTCAACTGTCTTACAGTGGAAGCCCACCGAGTAGCTGTGCCGAGAGAGGCGGGCGACCCAAAGCGCACGTCACAGTGGAGAGGAGCCGGGGATTGGCGGGGTACGGCCTAGAACACCTTGCCCAGCTGCAGCGCCTGCATTGGAACTTATGAGAGACTAAACAGTACAGGCATATCTAGTTGAGATACAAGTACCCATTAGGTACCTTATCAGAGATGTATGGATTGTCAGAATTGAAGCATTAATAGATCAAGGTAGGAGACCTTGATCATGAAAATGCTACGATATCATTCATGTATTATTTACTAAATCTAGTTATACCAAACCCCTGAGAGTGATGCTCTTATGGATGTGCCCTCTCTGCACGCATGGGTATCTCGTTTGCTTGGTGCCTTGTCATCGTCGTCTTCATCATGAACTTTACCACTGTAACGCCTTTCGACCAACCGAACCGTCAAGGAGCTGCTGAATAGCGGGCTGGATCGTACTCCTCTCGGCTCTGAACCGCGCCGTCTGTTTCATCCGTGTATAAAAGACGGGGCAGTCTTTACTATCACACGGAACATCATCCAAGGGTGCCAGCCCAGCGCAGCTCTGGCATATTGTGTTTATGTCCAATAATTTTCTCTCTTCCCTGTTGAGCTGCACCTGCAGTTTCGACACTGATGCGGGAACATTGCGTCGGCATCGTCTGCATAGAGAGTCCTTATTCTTAGTCTTAACGCCACAGACTAAACAAGCTGCTACTGTCATGTATGATTCCAGCGTCTTCTTGGCTAATACATTGCCATAGCTTCGGTCTACGCGGCGAATGCGCCGGATTTTGGGCATCTCATCATACCATTGTCGCACATTGGCTCCGACAAGGTTGAATATTCGCTCCAGAGGCGGAATAAGGTTTTTGGAAATGTAATATTCTGAGTCGAGTGAAAGGTGAGAATTGCTCAATAGCTCTTCTGGCGCCACGCACCGGTCGATAAGTCGTGCGCCTGGTGCGCCACTGATTACGACGTACGGCACTCGTTCGCCATACTGAGGCTCTGCTCTCGCATCCTCGAGCATTTTCTTCGTACTGATTAGTGCACCAGGTGGCGGTGGCCCCCTGGTACTGTATGTTCCTAGCTTTACCTCTCTTGCAAAGCAGAAATCCTGGATAGACACCCCGCCACGCATAATCTTGGTGCATTGCCTTTTGAAATACGCCTTCACTTGGCTGAGATCAGCTGTTTCGAAGAGAATTTTCAGGGCCTTCTCTTCAATCATTTGTTCTGCTGGTGTGCCGTCCCTTCGGACCGTCTCGATGCCTTTGGCGTCGAACTCGGGCTTGACCTGGTCCTTGCTTTCGTATTTATAGCCCACGTACCGTTTCTTCGCAAGAAGCACACATGGGTGATAGACCTTCTCAAACTTCAGCTTTATTGGCCGAGGATTCATATCCGTGATGGTTTTGGCGATTTCGTTGCCGATGTCGAAGGCCTGATCTCTGGTTCTACCCGGGAGGTAAATAAACAGACTGTCTGTATCGCCATATACGACCTCAGCTTTCCACTTGTCCACCGAATGGATGAGCGCTATTGCCCGCTCAAGAGTCTCTCGTCCTGTTTGCACAATGCTGTCCGCAATCTCGGAGCATGGCATACGCCCTGAAAAAGATGCTGACGTATATCCGTAGGTGACGTTTGCGAGCAGCTTAAGCGCTAGTTGCCGATTATTCAAAAGTCGTTGAAGTGTTTTGTCATCCTTGTCCTGCTTCATGCCGCTTTTCACCATAACTCGAGTTTCGAGTATCTCTGTTAGCATCTTTGCCAACAAAGACTTCCTAATTTCGGCTTTGCAGTACATAATACCATTAGGTGCGACGTTGATATGGTCCTTAAGGAGCTCCAGGAGTCTGTTTTGGCGTCGATATTCGGTAAATCCCATTTTATTCGTGCCTCGCCAATTGACTATACGGCCCAGGAATGTCGAATAGCAATAATTGTAGGCGATCATGACACTTGGGTACAGACTTTGAAAATCGAGAACAACAAGCGGACTATTATAAAATGCACTTTGAGGCTCCATCACCAGAGGCAGACACTCAAGCGCATTTTGCATACCGACTTGCTTCCTATCTGGTGATACTAGGATGAAGTTTTCGGGTTTGGCAATCCTGAACATGATAGACTCAACTTTGAATTGTGAACCACGAGAAAAGACTGAAAAGAAGTCAACGCCGAGCACCCGCGCCTGTTCACTGGTCCGAGCAATTAGTTCATTTGCCTCGAGAATTTCGATGTCAAGTTTAGTCCGTGTCAAATAATAGCGTAAGAGTTTGGCAAGATCCCGAGTTCTGCCCCCAGTGTACCAATCGGTCAATGTATGCCAAGGATAGTGTGGTATACGCCGGTGTAGTAGATGCCAGACCACATTTTCCATCGTGTATTGCAGAAGGTTCAGCTCTCCTCGCATCGACCGCCAAATATTGATCATGTGTCTTCCAGTAACTCGTATTGTGGATGTAGTATTAAAGCCCCATTTGTCAGCTTCCTTTCCAAACCGTCCGAAAGATTGACTTTTCATTCGGGAAAACTCATCACAAAGATCATAGTCATACTTGAGGCGGGCCCGCTCGACGAGAAATCCCCATGAGCTCCCATGGACTTCATACCCCGTAAGAATATCTGGGTCGTGGGTTCGAACGATCTCAACCATCCTTACCATTAAATCTAGCTCTGATGACTCTTCAACGACCTCGGTCTTGGTCATCCTTTGCATAGTCTGTGCCAACGAGCCATCCTCAGAAAGCACGATGACTCCTGATTTGGTGTTTAGAGACGTGTCATTTCCAGTCGTAGAGTTCTCGTCTGATTTCGAGCACCAGAAAATGGCTTGGACTTCATCCTGTTCAGGATTCGGGACTAGCTTCCCGCGAGTGTTGACATGTATCTCTAGGCTCATAGTGCTCATATATTGAGCCTCATGTTGAACGCTTGTGGATTTCGTTTTCTGCGAATACTTGAAGCCATGCTTGTTCTTTGGGGTTGCACCTTCGATCTGAGACAAATACGGCTTCAGCTCAGGATCCATTGCCTTCATAGAAGAGCCAGTTGAAGGTGTTGCAGCCTGCAAATGAGTTTGTGACCATTCCTGTACCTCATCGAAGCTAGGTGGAGGTTGTGCGATTTCCCAGCCTCGCAATGAGCACTCGAGACGCTGTTTTTTATACATTTCAGCATCCCTATTGGGTTCGTATAGGGCTTTTGATCTGGCATGATTGGCTGAAAAATCTCCGGTAGGGTCAAAATCCGGCAGGAACGGGAGAGTGTCACCCTTTAGTCGGAACTCCTGGCCAGCATATTCTCGAGCCCTTAATGGAACATCTTTCGCCTTACCATAATATGGATCTTTGTAAATCACATCAGGCTGGTTGTATTCTTCCATGGTCGACAGAACTTCGGCAGCTGATGGTGGTTTCTGACAGAATACATAAAATGCAGCATTGGGTTGTGGAGCACAGCCAATATCTGTCATGTTGACAAGTTTCGTGGGGTTTATCGTCATTGTAGAAGAGCTAGAAGATTGTAGTGCTGAGGTTTGGGAAAATATGTCTGTAGAGAATTCCGTAGCTTGGGCTGGCGCTTCGAACGAGACATGCTTCTTCTGTCTATCATCATCGCTCGGCTGAGAGCTTGATTGACTTAACCGTAACTTAGTATTGGGATCATGCGGGTCTTTGACAACGGGAAAGTTGAGACGCTGCAATCCCGACTGCTGCTTGTTGTGCGGGTTGCCTTTGCCTTTACCAGCCTGTGAAGACGGCGTGGATTGCGAAATATCGTGCGCCGCTACCACTGACTGTTCACTGGATTCTGCCACAACGGTTGACATACTTCCGTAGTTACTTGTCAAAGGCGCAAACTCCACACGACGTCGCTTGGTGTCCGTAGACTCCAAGTTTGGTTGTGCATGGCGTTTGGATGGTACCAGATCTGGTTGAATAGTTTGCACACCTTGCGTTTTACTTACTAAGCCTCGATTTGCGGCAGCGTCTAAAAATATGTTAGAGACTGGAGGCTTCGGTTGACGACTGGTATGCAGGCAGCTGGCAAGTAAACCTTCAGGCAGACAGCTTGCGTTTGAAGCAGCTTTTAAATGATCCGAACGATCTGTTCCAGTACTTTGTGGACTATGGATTGCTTCCGTTGTTTTGCCTGATAACTTTAAGGCAGGCACTTGGGAATTATGCCGAGTTTGTGATTTGGGGATGGGCACTTCTTTAAGCGTATTCGAAGCTCGAATTGCATCTTCGTCAGAGTCATCAGGGAACGTATCACCTCCAATCGGCTCTATGTCTAGGATCCGATGTTCATCCACGATAATACTGCTTATGGGGTCCCCATCAAGCTCAGGCGGTTGGACCGTCCCCAGCATAGATTCTGGATGGTCCGAGTGCAGATCTTCGACGGATTGTAACACAGTTTTAACCGTAGACTCGAAGGGGACATTCTGAATGAATGCGTCAAAGTTCACTTGAATTTGTTCATTGCGCTCCTGTTCCTGATGGATCAGTTCTTGAATTTGACCCCTATATTCTTCCTCGTGGATCCACCCGGAAGGCTGTGAATCGCGAGGATCAGCAGACATGGATACTAATGCCTCTGGAGGAAACGGGTCGCTATTTCCTGTGAGGCTGGACATTCTTCTCTTCCGGCGTTCAGTCTCGTCTCTCCATAGTCCCGCCATGCTATGAACCAGCTTTAAACCAGCTGGTAGTGGGTGGTTCCTTTCGCTGAAGTCATTATGCAGTCGTCTTTCTCTGATCTCGCGCCGATTGAGAATATCGCGAACACATATGTCGACTTCAATTGAACAATGACTTACGCGGGGTAGGTCTAGATCATCGGTGATGTACCACCGTGAGATGGACTGGCTATGCCACAAATGAATTGAAGTCTCATCGTCTTCGTGCTTCGGAACCGGAGATCTGAAACAAACCCTTCGTGCATCTATATATGCACACCCATAAAGATTGTAATCGGTCATGAATTGAAGAAGATATTGCAAATGTGCCTCGTGCGGTTGGAATCTCTGCTTCATAATAGCCCCCTGCTGAAGCAGTTCGGCGAGTCGCGTCATTACTACCGGATTAAGCATGTAGATTTTGAGATAAAATCTATATCCAACATGGAAGCCATAGAAGGGAATGCCCTTCACCAGGGTAATTTTAGCCACATATCTGTGGTTACCATCATATACATTACGCCGATAGCTCACGGCTAAGGCATGGTCGATGGACAGATGCAGCCGGTAGATGTATGCATTTACTATTTCAATCAGCCCAAGTAATCAATGCGCTCACTTCTATGAAGACTAACCATCATCCGGTTTCAAACTACCAGGGTACTCTATGAAGAGGTAGGGAAATGCGCCATGGATGTGGGCGCACACTTTCTGGCCAGTTTCGGTAGACCCGAAGACCCTGATGACAGGGACCTTGGGCTCCTTGCGCAGCTGCGATGATCGCACGTCACTTCGAAGTGATGGATCATATTTTGTTGGTGTGGCTTGGTAATGGTCAATGCAGTTCAACCGCACGCGGAAGACATCCATGACGACTTATACATGGTAGCGAAGAGCGTTCTTTGGGTTGAGAAGCACTGTATGAGAGCGAAATCATGTTATAATATTAGCTCCCTCATGAGATGCAATTCATGGGACAAAAAACCGTAGACATTATAGCCTATCCTCCCATCAATTAACGCGGTTGACGCCGAATGCTGAATGCGGACGCGTTGCGTTGAGCTGAGTGACGCGAGCTGCATGCGCTGTCAGGTGGCGTCATTGCTGATTTGGTAGGCGCTATCGACTAAGTATGGATTTCCAGTAGGCAGGCGTCAGCCACCCCTAAGATTCCCGCTAAGGCACCAGCCACGCTAAAGTTTACCTAAGCCTTTACATAGAATAGGTACCTACCTACTTGCCTCTTCCAACAACTTTGCGCTCAGTTACTACTATCGAAATCTCTGCAGGTTGAATCTTACATCTCCTATCGAGGCTAGTTTCAGAGGTCCCCAATACGGGACGGCGCTAATTTTCATCATGCCACCTCCACCTCCTCCTCCGTCGCGGAGGAATGACTCCAAAGCATCCGCGGCCTCAAAAGAAGAGAACATATACATTCCATCATTCATCAGTAAACGTCCGTTCTATGCCGGCGAAGAGGGCGACCAGACAGATTATCTCGAACATCAGCGTCTCCATAAATCCAAAGATGACCAGTCTAAATGGTATGACCGTGGCAAGAAACTGGGGCCTGCGGCCACCAAATATCGGAAGGGCGCATGCGAAAACTGCGGCGCGATGACACACAAGGCGAAAGACTGCCTCAGCCGGCCGCGCGCAAAAGGCGCGAAATGGACTGGGAAAGACATTCAAGCCGACGAGGTCATACAAGATGTACAGCTGGGCTGGGATGCCAAGCGTGATCGTTGGAATGGCTACGACCCGAAGGAGTATCGCCACGTCGTCAACCGCTTCGCACAAATGGAAGAGCTGCGAAACAAGGTCGACGGAGACGACAAGGGGGGGAAGGAGGAAGGTGAAGACGATAGAGACGACGGCGAGAAGTACGCCGAAGAGTCAGACATGGGGCGACATCAGAGCACGGCAACTAGGCAGCTACGTTTACGAGAAGATACAGCGAAGTATCTACTCAATCTTGACCTCGAGTCAGCGAAGTACGATCCAAAAACGAGAACTATGGTCGACGCCGGAGCTACAGCAGATAAAGCTGCGCAACTCTTTGCGGAAGAAGGGTTTCTGCGCGCATCAGGTGACGCCGCGGAGTTCGAAAAGGCGCAGAGATACGCCTGGGAGAAGCAAGAAAAGAGCGGCGACACGAGTCAGCATTTGCAGGCTAACCCTACAGCTGGAGAGTTCCTGCGCAAGAAAGAACAGGAAGAAGCTGAAAAGAAGAAGGCCGCGCAACTGAAAGCACTACAAGAAAAATATGGTGGAAACGAGAACACGATATCGCCAGCGCTCCGCGATGTTATCGTGACCGAATCAGAGCACTTTGTCGAATATGATGAAGCGGGTCTCATCAAGGGCGCCCCAACGACCGTTTCAAGATCAAAATATGCCGAGGACGTATTTACGAATAACCATACATCGGTCTGGGGCAGCTGGTGGTCCAACTTTAAATGGGGCTACGCATGCTGCCATTCGTTCATGAAGAATAGCTACTGTACGGGAGAGGAAGGCAAAAAGGCTTGGGAAAATGCTGAGAGGCACCGAACAGGGACCGGCCTCATAGAAGATGTGCCCGCCCAGGACGAGCAATCAAGAGCGCATCAAGAGAAAACCGAGTCTGTTAAACCAGCGGCCAAGAAACGGACCATGGAAGAAATGATGGGTGGTGTTACGGAAGCGGAACTCGATGAATACAGGAGGAAACGTACAGCAGCCGATGATCCTATGGCCAAATATTTAGGTAAAGACCAGTTAGCATCATAGTAGCCACCAGAAGATTGAACACAAAGAAGTAAATGCGCAGTTTTCAGTCACTAGTAAAATCATCAATTGGTGCACTCGTGGTATCATTCATGAAAATGTCATGCATTCCGGTTCCCTGTGGCCTAACGCCCGAACTCTGAACGGGCGAATGAGCCCGTAGTGTCCTCTCTTTTCCGTATCCCGAAGGGTCCCATAGAACTAATTTAATTTTGAGGTCGAGATGTTTACTCTTCCTCTTCCTCCTCCTCGCCGTCATCCTTCTTCTCAGCGGCCTTGGCCTTCTTTCTTCGGACACGGCCAGGGCGGCCACCACCGAAGGGCGAGCTGAGGGCGAAGTCAATGTGCTTCTGGGAGTCGAGACGGACAACGAAAGATGGGACGTTGACAATCTGCTTTCCGACGCGGATGTGGCGCTGGCGGATGAGGACACGGGCATGGTGGATAGACTTGGCAAGACCAAGCTTGTAGACGCAGGTCTGAAGACGGCGCTCCATGAAGTCCTCGACCTTAAGGGCAAGGACGTAATCGAGCTTCATGCGGGACTCGTCGAGCACACCGATACGCACGAGACGGCGAATCAGGGCATTGCCTTCGAACAGACGCTTAGGGTCCTTCTCGTCGAGGGTAAGAAGCTGACTGTAAAACGAGATTTCTGGTTAGCATCGAATGATTTTTCCCATAAGATAATCACGACAAGTTGCAATCACATACCGGGCAGCACGACGAATCTTAGAGAGGGTGAGCTGAACACGCCACACCTCACGCTTGTTGCGTAGACCGTACTCTCCAACGAGCTTCAACTCGGAGTCACTATGATACGAACCGTGTCAGTCTTCCAATTCACTTTCGACTTAAGCAGAGACAAGCTCTGGCTCAGTGGCCGGTGATTACTGACAGTCGGGCGGCCTCGAAGGGGCGACGGGGGACCTTTGCGGTCTTGGAGTAGGACAGGGGCGCCATGGTTGCGATGCCTTAGTTGTCGTGAAGGCGTTGATGGGCGACGGCGTTGGGAAAGGAATGAGGTTGTCGGAGGTTCGCGAAGTCGAAGAAAAAGTTCGCAAGAGAGGATTCGGTAAAGGGAGGGTGGATTGTGTGGAATCCTAGGGCAAAGAATTGGCTAGACCAGATCAGGAATGGTGCACTCTCGCTTAAGCTAATCGATTGGATCTGTCGACTGCGCCCACTACCTTTTTACTATTGCCAGCTGTTTGCCGGCCCCATCCACACGGGACGCACAACGATGCACCTGTGCAAAGAAAGACAAGCAGCCTAGGCTAAAAAATCCCACCGCAGCCAATTTCTCGTGAGCCTGTCATTATCGCAAAACCCGTCAACCTCAACTCAACCGATAATCCCCAACACACGACAATACCGCCGCCATGGGTCACGCAGCCGGTACGTTCACGATTTTTCCCAACCCCGAACGATTCTTTGGTGGAAATGGCTTCGATCTACATGTCCGGATATCCTTCCAGTGGCGATGTACCGACATTTTGCTGGGTGGTCATAGATCGCCCAGCTCGAAGCTATCCTCAATTACGAATCTCTCGGAACGGTTGAGATAGCTAACACGAACAATTAGGTCTTCGCGCGGGTACACGCTACGCGTTCAGCCGTAACTTCCGTGAGAAGGGTTTCATCCGCCTGTCCACATACCTTCAGCAATACAAAGTCGGTGACAGTATGTTATCCCTCGAGCTCGTTTTCTCCCTAGTTCAGTCGCTTGCAGCAGCCAATCTTGTCTATTTGGCGACAGGCTTGTCTCTGGAGCATCTGGACATTTTTGGACAGCTCCCAATCATTTAAGTATAATTACTAACTTTAGCGAATTATAGTTGTTGACATCCGTGCCAATGGTGCCGTACAAAAGGGGTAAGCAGAACATGCTTAAGCTCGATATCTCTTTCTTGAAGATTCGAGATGGGTGTACAGACAACACGATCATTTACTGACTCCTTGCAGTATGCCCCACAAGGTGTACCACGGAAAGGTATGTTTTATCCGGAAACGGCAAAGGGAACATGAGGAACTGACATTTTTCAGACTGGTGTCGTCTACAACGTTACTAAGTCCGCTGTTGGTGTAATCATCTACAAGAGAGTCGGCAACCGCTACCTGTGAGTCTTATTGCAACGGCTGCCTCTATTGCCAGTCGAAATGCAATGCTAATACAAACTCATGACAGTGAGAAGCGTGTCAACCTCCGTATCGAGCACGTTGTCCTTTCCCGATCACGAGAGGACTTCCTCAAGCGTGTCAAGAGCAACGCCGCCGCCAAGAAGGAGGCCAAGGCCAAGGGCACCAGCGTCCAGGTCAAGAGACTGCCCGCCATACCCCGCGAAGCGAGAACAGTATCCTTGAAGGACAACCACCCGGAGACGGTTGTACCCCTTGCGTACGAGACGACTATCTAAGGAAGATGGACGTTGGGTGATTGCGGTACTGGTGTTTTCTGGGTCTGTCGGTTACTTTTCGCATTGCATTAGGGGTTTTCACGCGGCCAGGACGGAATCAATCTTCTGAGCACAAAGGCGATGCCTGGAGGAAAATAAAAAATACCAATTCCCAAAAATTAAACGCCCCGACCTCGTGACGGTGATATTTGTGGCAAGAAATATTGGTCAAGGGATTTGGATCAATGTCTCCACAAATTGGACCGTCGAACATCGCATGGTCAGAAGCATATTTCATGCGCAAATAGAAGCGAAGACAAGCTTCGCGACTATCAGGTACCCGATGACATGTGACTCCAGGCATAGCGGCTTGGGGGAAAAGAATGAGAAAACTATATTCAATACTTTCGTCAACCAGATGTGTCCCACTTCGTAATCTCGAATTAACCTGTATCCCCCGTTTTCCTGTCTATTTAATCCCCAACTGTTTGCGACTCTTGAACGTATTATCGATGTTGATTCGTACACAATGGATTATCGCCAATGATATCAAGCACCCAAGCTCAATTGACTTACAGTACCCGATCAGGTTAAGCCGTTTCTGACTATCGACAGTGGTTAGTATGTAGGTATCATACCTGCCTACCAGCAGACCCCTCCAAGCCAGGCACCCTTAGGGCTAGGGCTCGCCAGTAGTCAAGTACTTGAGACACCATCTACCTGTATGAGGCGCTGACGATAGAATGTACCAATCAGATTATCCCTCCCCGCCATCTGCGCTATGGAAATTATCCAGCCAATTACAGATACCTTCACCGACGTCTTAGGAAGGTAGGCGGGCCAACCTCCATCACATGTATGCAAAGGACAGGAGACCCAGGAAACGCAGACGATGACAATCTAAAGGATGGGATTTGAACTTGTAAAGATGAATATTTATGATTGATACTTTAGTGATGAATGTTCTCGTTTACCCTCCTACCCTTCCTTCAAACTACACTAACACAACTTTGGTCAAACCCATGCGAACCGCGTCCTCGAGGTAATGTAGGTAAGTCGTTCGACAATCATAAGGCCCCCCCAGTCCAGCCCGTGCAACACTTCATCAGTTATACCTGCCCTTCTCGGTAATCATAACCAAGAGAAAGGCGGCGAGGATGAGCAAGATCAGCGTAAACGCCCCCATGGTCCACCACATGACTTTGAGGGCTCTCTTATACCGCGCCACGGCTTGCAGGTGGTACGTCATCTCGTCGCTTCTGAGTCGCACGTGGGCTTCGATGGCCGCTGGCAGCTGCCCTAGGTACTCGCGCGTGTAATCGGGGACTGAGCCGGCTAGTGGTTATCGCGTCAGCTTGGGAGTAGAGCGAAGTAAACCGTCGAAGAAGGGAAGGGAGGAGTTGGATCTGTCTTACCATCTTTTGCTGTGTTATATGGCGGAATAGCACCTCGAACATTGTATCCTTCCCCGGCGTTGTCTGGAGAAGAATGATTCGGTTCATTAGTGATGTTGCTGATGCCCTGTTCCTCGGCTTACCAACCTGGCGTCATGACCGGCAATGGATGGGCTGTTTCGGGGTCGTTTTTGGATGAGAAACCCATCGTGGATATCGGGGGGTGATGATGTCTTGCTAGTAGTATTTGAATGATCTAATGTGATGCTTAATTCCCATGCTTGGGAGGATGGGGTTTGGTGGAATGTTTTGCTTGATGATAGGCTTAGAAGAAGAGGTAACTGGGACGTCGATAGCACTACCAATGCGTAGATGTCGTAGCTTTTTCCGAACCAGGTCGTGTCACTCGAGCTTGCGTTCCAACTGTCGATATACACCTACAGGCATGGTAGCGGATGCCATGTTCATTACGCGGATTGGGACTGTTAAGTGCAATGGCAGCTCCTGCCGAGTTTCGTCTACAAGTTGGTGGTGGAAGGCATGACGGACCAGGATAGGGAACTTGTATCCAGCCTTAGGCAACCAAAAGCCACGAGGCCGATTCCAATGTGTAGATTCCTTATTACCTAGATGCTGAAGAACGATATGGCGGAGCTTTATCTCGACTTGTATTCTTCGTAGCTATGAGAAACTAGCTACCAGTCTATCAATTGTTTCTGTCAAAGCAAAGGTATCGTCTCCATGGACTGTGCAATCAAATCAATGACAAGCTTGTCCCAGACATACGAAAAGCGTGCAAATATTCATACTCAAACTTCGCAATATGGCTAACCAGCGTCGTTTCTGCAAAATACGCAATTGCACAGAAGCCCTCAAAATAAAATCCAGAACTCAGCAGTCCAAGCTCACTAGATCCGTCCATATTCCAGAGGAAGGAGATACGTCGAGACTCCCGCTTCCCCATCACTTGAATACTCCAGCCCGCTCTTTCTTGTATTGCGTGACACACAGCTGGCAAAGATTCCGACTGCAATAGGGGCATTTGAACGCCACCATGCCTCGCTTCGCACAACAGACATCGCATTTGAACTTCTTCCGCTGCGGGATCTTCTCGCAGAACCCGGAATGCAGACAGATCGCAGCCTTCTGCTCCTCAGTGGTAGCGCCCGCCTGCTGCCATCGTTTCTGCTGCTCGAGGGTCTCTTGATTGAAACGAGTGCTCCGAGCGTTCTCAGCCATACGCTTCTCGGTTTCCTCAGCCTTCCGTCGAGCTTCCGCACACATGGCCTTCTCCCTCTCTAGTTGATCGTGGTGTTCTCGTTCGCATCTGAGTTTCTCCTGTCGTTCTTTTCTATCCTTCTCACGCGCTCTCACTGCTTCGTCGAATACTCTGCGTACCTCTCTCTCTCTCTCACGTCGTTCTTCTTCCTCCCACGCTCGGCGTGCCTCGGAGTGAAGATCCGAAGGTCGAGGTCTACCCCCGAAGAATTCCCAGAAGATTTCATCGTTAAATGCGAATACGCCAGCACCAGGCGCACGTGTACGATTCCGGAACATGTCCTCTGGAGGACCATTGCGAGCAGATAGACTTGCATCATATCGACGGCGCTTGTACTCGTCGGATAAGGTCTCATGAGCCAGTTGAATCTGTTTTCTGGTGAGTTGATACTGGGCTGAACGAGGGGCTTGAGGCAACGCATCTTACCTTCTGAAAGCGCTCAGTGGCCCCAGCAATGTCCTCTGGATTCTTGTCCGGGTGGTGCTTCATCGCCAGACGGCGATAGGCAGAAGTTATTTCTTCATTTGTCGCGGTTTTCTCGATTCCCAGCGTAGCATAGTGGTCAGACATCTCTATCTTGTACTAATGGGGAGTGATAAGATATAGACAACGGCTGTGACTAGAGGGATCGTAGACTGTAGAGCCAGTTCAGCGACGAGACAAGACGGGAAGATCTGCCAATAGTTGATACAGGACAGGAAGCTCACAGCCACAAATATAGGAGGCACTGTAGAAGATGGGTGATTGTGGGAAAGTATCCAGAAGGTTGATATACCTGGTCTTTTCAGGGAATGGATGTTCCTCAGAGCAGTTGCTTTTGCCCCCTGACAATACCAGCGAAGGAAGAAGGAAAGAACAAGGAGAAGAAAGGCGGAGAAGTAAAAGGAACACAGGGTGTATGAATATATGTGAGTCAGACTCTGCAAACGCAGCTTGATCGTTTCTTGGGGCGATGCGTGTTGAGAGGTATCAACTACCTGCTACACGATCCTTATTCACTGGTCAACAAGTCGTCGTTAACTATTCAAGATGGGAGCAGCACACAAAGCATATCAGAGTACTCCATACTACTCATACTTTTGCTCCCAAAGTCAATTCACTAGTTCTTTTTTGTTGAGAGCAATCAGTCCCTTTTGTTACTAAGTCGATGTTGTTTGACTCTCTATCACCAACTTAGATACCAAGACAAGTGCTGCCTGCAACTATGCAGCCACCCGTGGCCACTTTCATACCACCTCTAGCTCAACATATTACGCAATTTTTCGGCAGACTCCATGAAAGGAAATAGGCTACATGATCAGCTCCATCTGAAAGCTACAACAAGCATCCGGGGCGGCGCTGCAGATACCAGACGCTCACGAGAATATTACCTTCAGCGGGCCAAAGCACAGGGCTACCGAATACATTGTCACGAGAGGTAATACAGCGAGATCTGGAATATTAGTGATTTCACCGATTTTAATTACATCATGTCGGAGGGAAAGACATGCATGCATACGTATGTACGTACGTACATACCTAGGTCTAGCTATCCTCTCAGACATGAAAAGTAGGTGAAAACCGAGGGCAAAACATATTCATAATAGCTAGGTAAAATAGGAAAATGAAACTGCGACCTTTATTCTTCGAAATTCTATAGCATGAAGGATAAAACTATTTTTTTTTTTTTTTTGTCTTGAGAGCGAATCATCTGCTCCTTTATCAAATTATATACATCACCTCAACAGCGGTCTAGCTTTCCTCTTTTGTTCGTAATCCTTTAGAAATGGAACACTGCAATCACATCTCTTTTACCCACTCATATTTGAGCCTCCGAAGAGTCGATGACAAACCAATATGGCGCTGTAGCTAATCATCAGCCAAGAGAAATGCGCCGTGGGCTTACAATCAGAGTTGAAGATTAACTTCTGAAAAGGTTTCCATGTATTATATTAGTGTTTCATCGGCATTAGAACCAACTTTGTACGTTTTGAACATGCTCTAGCTCTGCTGTACCATATTTTGCTGCCTAGGTCAGAGACTTGCGTCAGCTACTGATCCAAGTTCCTGAATTCTTCTCAAGATATGCACCCCAAATTCAACAGAGCGTGCAGTATAGGAGAGTGAGACTAATCCGCGTAACATAATGCACTGTAATTTTTACAGCTCCCAGTGGTAAAAAAAAGTGATACAATATTTGCTTCGCAAATAGTTACCAATATACCTGGCTAACTACGAATCGTGTATACTTACAGCATCCTGGCCTGACTGCCCGGGAGCTGCGCAGAAAGCGAGTTTCCTACATAAGACTCCAACCCCCTAGGTATCCTACCAATAATCAAGACAAGCCTACTCCGACCTAGTACCTCAGATATGAACAACTCCCGACCGTCCCAAAGACCCTGGGTCTAGTAAGCCCGATTTGCGCGGGCGGGTATTCGATCAAAACAAATTAAAAGTTCTAATCGTAGGCAAGACCAACTGGCGAAAAATATGGTGGATAGTGGCCCCAAAAAGCACAGTCAATATTGGAGTAGTATGTGAGGTGTTGGGAATCGAAATTGGTAAAATGAAGAGCTAAGCTCATGTTTAATGGTCTTGGTGGGTCATACCGGGAAAAACACCAAAAAGCTGGGTGATGATACAGCTAGGGCGTGTTCCTTACGGGGCGGCTTGTTGGTGTTGAAGGGCTCGCTAGAAGACAACGGTATGCCTTAAAAAAGAGGTATATTATACGGCTGGATAAGCACTCCCAGGTATCATGCCTGCTCCAACAGCTCCTCTGGCGGGGCTGCGTGACCCACCGCGGCGGCCCGGCAGTTGGAAATCTGGGTTATTGTTGAGAATATTAACGTCATTGCGATTGACTGGTCTTCGTGGAGGGATTTGCTGGCTGTAAACTTGCCCGGGAGGAGGGTTCCAACGAGGGTTTACGCCTCGTTGCGAGACCGAAGTGAATCCCGATCGCTCAGATATTGTAGGGCTCCGTGCACCGGCAGCAAGATGAGGATCTTCCAAATTCGTAGGTCCCTCTTGTATGGGCTGTTGAACTCTTGAGGGCGGCTCAGCGAAGCGTGGATCTATATCCTCGTAATAACCTCCATTCGCTGGCGCAGGTGACTTGGTCTCACCATTGGCCTCTTGAGGGGGTGGTGGTACCCGGAGAGGAGATGGAACGCCTGGGGAACCGCGACCGGGCCCTTGATTCCAAGCCTGTCGTGGAGGGACATACCCCCTATGAGGGGATTAGCATCTCTGAAACTAGTTATGGTGTTTTGACTTACTCGTCTTGACTATATTTGCTCGCGTCACTCATGACAGTATCATGTCGTTGAGCTGTCGATGTTCTAGCCTCCTGCAAAGCGAGCATACCAGCAACATCAGTGTCGCTATCTCTTATGCGGTTGTCAAATTGACCAAATCCCGTCGGCGGGTGAGCAGGGCTACCAGTTCTAGCGTCCATTTCTACAGCTTGACCCACAGGTCCTATTGTTGTGAGGTCGGAATTGGGCAGAGGTGGCGGTGATTCAGCACGTGGTAAATCATCGGCGTTATCTGGGCGGTAAGGCTGATAGCCACCTGTGTTTGTGACACCCGTAGATACACTAGGCATTGAGGGATTGTCGTCATATGGCGCTCCAGCAGGCCCTGGTGATGCTTGTCGCGCAGATCCATAAGCCCCATAAACGCCGGGAGGGGGAGGGGGAAGGGGAGGCATCCTCCCATCATATGGCGCTCCGCCGGCATAGCCAGGTGGTGGTGTTCTTCCACTTCGCATACCACCGCTATAAGCTCCACGCGGACCATAACCACCCCTTCCATTCGGCCCTGGTCCATATCCGCCACGGCCGGGAGGACCGTATGCCCCTCTTCCACCTGGTGGACCACCATACCCGCCTCTTCCATTCGGCGGTGGGGGGCCATAGCCGCCACCATATGCTCCTCTTCCGTTACCGCCTCTTCCCCTATAACCACCACGTCCTCTACCATCCATGCGCTCCATCGAAGGTCCTCTTCGCATGCCCCATGCATCGGGAGCAGGAGCCGGCGCTAATCCATTCCCATACTGGTCGGTCGGTAACGCTGGCGTTGACCCGGAAAATGAACGGCGGGTGTTTGAAAGATCTGACACGCTTGTATCATTAGGTGCAGTGTTTGGAGACCTTTCAGATGGTGTATGAGCTGTCAACGGAATTCTCTCATCACTGCTGCGATCGTCCCTTTTCTCATATGCTGCAAAGGTAGGCAACCCATCAGCAGGCCCGTTGGCTCCGCTAACGCTTGGAACAGTAGGCTGAAAACTGGAACCAGCAGCAGAGGTGGCTTCTTGCTGGGCCTGGCGATTATAATAGTTTTCACCACTCATCTCAGCATTCTCCGCAATCCGCTTCTTGCGCGCTTTCCTACCAACGAGAGTGCGGCGCATAGCACAAGACACAATAAAACTCAAGAAAACCAAAATCGTAGCGGCAAGTACCAACCAAGATCCCCATGCCAAATGGGGTACGAATAGAAGGACGTCAATGAGAAAGGCTAGGAGACAGACAAGAAAGGTGAGAATTCCGAAAATGAAAAGGCCGCACAGGTAGCGCGACGAATGAGAAGGTGAATGCAAATGAGCCACTACTGCCATGATGAACATGATGAGCGTAAACAACGCAGCCACGGGATGAACTATGAGAATAGCGGACAACGTAGAACGGGTTTTGGTGTCGAGATCGAAGTCGTCAGACTGAGTACGGTCCTGAGGAGCCAAGATTGCTGGTTTTCATGATTAGCCGCCTCCACCAAAGAAAGTGATTTAAGCCATCCGTAAAAGGGAGGCAGTTAATAAGTAGACATACAGGTGTCATAACCTATCTCGATTGGACTACAGTCATTTCCTTTACAGTACCCAAAGACTCCAAAGTTGACAACGCCATCATCGGGTTTGTAGACACCAAGAGGGATAGCCTTGATGATTGGCGTAGAGAGAACAGAGATGAGCAACAAGGCGAATGCTATGAACAGCAATATCGCTAGCGGCGTTGCTGGCCGCAGCATGGTGACGGCGGGTCAGCGCGCAGGCTCTTGGTGAGCCGCAACGCCGGGGATGATTTCGAGGGATGATGGAATAGCAGTCGAATTCAGGAGTAGTAACACCGTTATCAATCAAGCTATGATATGTGCAAGTCCTGAGGGGGCGCGTTCGAGGTTTACGAGTATCGACTACGGCGGCATGTGCAGGGCTTGCTTTGTTGTACTCGTCTGGCTTGTCTCGCGATATCGAATCAGCGGTATGCAGTATGGAGCAGTTTACTGGCTAGTCGAGGCAACGGTGATTATTGTCGTCGAAGGAAGTTGTTGTTGCTGTTGCTGCTGCTTCGTCTCCAACATTGGCGATGGCGTCCGCTGACGGTTCGAATGGCGATAGATTGGCGAAAGGACGAATATGAAATCAGGTTCTTGGATGTTATTCAAATGCGCTCTCCCGGAAACGAATGACGAATGGCGAATACCAAGCAAGGGAAGAGGAGGCGGCGACTGTTACGAAGTAGAAGCCGCAGTGGGTGTGGTGTGTATCACTAATAGGTGGCAGTGCTGGGCCTGGCTCGAGAGAACCGAAGGTTGCAGCGCGGGAAAAGACGGTGCAGGTGGTTTGGCGCGAGCGCTCGAGGGGTGGGTGGGCAAGTATAGTAGGGAAGTACCTTCTGTAAGTGCTTGCTGTGCCCACTAGCTGCTTGATTCTTGACAGTGGCCCAGGTCTCGGATAGGGGGGGCCGAGGGTGGAACATACATGACGAGTACTTACACTACCTACACCACTACGTATATAGGTACAGTAGTCTCGATAGTGTACTTAGGCAGATATCAATGCAGAATTCGGGCACAGCTCCCTTTTCTTCGGTACCTACCGTCAGATACCTGGGAATTCAGAAAAGCAGGTGCTCAATAAATGCTCAGAATACATGAGTACATAGTAGGCAGTGAGTACACAAGGAGTTATCTGGGCTGGGGAAATGAGGCTGCCAGTCAAGACTCAGCTACCGAGTCGTACTTACTGTGTACTATCTCCTATGTACAGTACTATACACTATAGCACAGATGCGGACACAGATGCTTAACGGTGTCCCTACCTCATTTTTCTGCCTGTTAACAAAACACGCAGTTTCAAATCGATGCCTACTTTTTGAGATGGGTCTGATGAGCAAACATGGTCGCTATCATCATCAGATCCTCGTCAATTTCCAATCTTATTTCGCTAGGCCTGACCATGCTAGTTTTAGTAGGTAGGCGAGTAGGGATACCTACCTAGGTACCTACCTACTTAGTGTCTGTGTGTATCCACAGTGGGCAAAGAGCACGTTATCTACTGTGGGTTGCTTTCGCGCTAGGTAGGTATTCCCACTTCTTCATCCTCAAGCCTAGATGCGTGTCCATCTACAGGATCTAGACAGGAACTACTACTTAATCTATCTACGACTTGACACTTACTATTATACATACATAGGTACTACGACAATATCCAGTGTGCTTTGCTCGAAACCGGGTTTCAGTATGGATGGTGATGACAATCAGGTCTCTGGTAAAGTTGGCGCTTTTTTCATCCGGTAACAGAAACACGCCGATGTGCTACATTGAATTGATGTAGACTCAACCTACCTAGGTATATTGCAGTCTTCGGAGTACTGAACTTGAGCCGCCATAACTTACCTATTTCTATAACATCTCCTATCTGACTACCTACTTCTATACCACGCCATTTCGCGTCTAACTGGTCACAACCCCAGATATGCAAAGCATTTTTGCAGTCGCCAAAATTGCTCCGAAATGAAACACTTGTGAGAAAAGGGAAGGTCAGCCAATACATGTATTCACAACACCCACTTCGATACTAGCTCACCCGAAACTGCGGGAGACATTCTCGATCCAGTAAGGCACCTCTGCTCACCTCGAAGCCGGAGGTATTGTCCCCTACCAAAAAAGAATGTATGTAGACTAGTTGGTATGGTCGTATTGAATTGGCGCACTATGAGCCTCAAATACAGTACATGTGTTTTCCTAGCCTTCGCATACCTAGGTATTAGCAAAAGTACGAATAACATGGACTCCAGCATTGGGTAGTTCTGACGACAGATACCGACGACAAGTGAAACCTCACGCGTCAAGTGTCACCTGATCCCAGATACGACGTCACGAAATATAGCAATCAAGCTTAATTAGTTGTACCTGTGTCAGAACTATCCCCAATCCACGGCAGTGGACGTAGAACAAGGACCACAGAAGACCAACCCACGACTCTGCGTAACCTCGAACAAATGATCCTGCGCGACGATGTGCTAATGATACCAGAGGGAATGTATAGACGTTCTTATACTTATAGCCATCGGTTTCCGAGTAGGTACATATTAAGGCAGGTAATTTCATACCTTCGGGTCTCGTGCCGTGACGCCGTAATGTGTTACAAGTTCCCTTGCTCAAGGTTATGCATACTTTTACTTGCGGCATATACGGTCCCCCAACTGTATTGGGATAAGAACGCAATGAGGCCAATGCCTCGCCAGTCTCGGGAGTCGCATTGTGCGCCTTCGTGCTTGTGGTGTCTGTAGTTTGTCTTTTTGGAGGCCGGTAAGATTGGCCAACTCGGAGACGTTGCCATGATGTAAATGGTTAATTAGACTCAAGGTCGTGGGTAATACCGCGCTTTGGCGCCAAATCGTCTTACCCAGACATTCTAAAAGCTATTTCGAAACCTTCAATTATGTAAACTGGCTGGCTTTCATCCGGTTCCGAATACCTACCTAGCATGTGTGGCGTACAGCATATGCGAAAATAACCTGCTATCCAGACGTTTTTGCCGATCTGTTACCAGATAGGTATAATAAGCGCCTCGACTCGACATGGCGACCCGCGCGCTGCTGACGAGCCACGTAGAAGTACCGTGTGTATGAGCCTCAAACCTCAAACCTGAGTATCAAATTATTACAGGCGGGACCCTAGTATGCTTTCATGCGACGCTGCAGCGGATATATCCACACCGTAGCAACCCAGTTCCACTGCCGGAGGTTTTCAGCCACGTTGGCTTACATGTAGTAGTAGGTATTTCGTTTATTCTTTCCATTCGACGTGCGTATATTGGTATTTTACATGATCGATTGGTATCTACCTACCTATGTAGTAAATGGCATCAGGCACGAGATATATCTTTATTACCCCTCTCTGCGTACGAGCAACAATGGGTAGCGTGGCTGCTAGTGCACTTCAGCTGTTTCATTGTTGCATAGTAGACGCTGCGCAGGTCCTGCACATTTACATAGTAAATCTAGGTATGTGGTAGCTAGGTGAATTAGCTGGTCAAAAGTAACCGCATTGGAATTGGAGCGTTGTCGCTTTGGCATCATGGGTTGGATAGAGGCAATGTCTATTATACCCGCCTGCCGGTCTAGAACCCTCTCTTGACTAGAAGGGGCATCATGGGCAAACTAGGCTTGGAGCGATGGTGAGGTTCGGCTTCGGTCTATCTACCAAGTTCTTAGTTGGAAGCGCAACTACAGATACAGTGCTTATGCAGTCCACCGCGATCTAGTGCAGTACAGTTCCATTACTTACCTACATAAGTAGGTACTTAGGTAGGTACTGTCTAAGATCACTTGTCTGTTAACCGCCGATTCACGAGAAGTGCGCTTGCGTCTCTCGACTTTTGCTATCACCGAGGACGGGTCTCTCGGTGCCATCATACATAGTACTACATAAGCATCTTTGCTTGGCCAGAAGTGCGTCCAGCATTGTATACTTCGTAGGTATGTAGCTACCGTACCTGATGATGCTTAGTGCGAAATGAAGACTCTTTATTCAGTAATGTGGCCATATTGCTGTCCGGAGTTGAGAGTGGCATACCGCTACTGATGATAACTACAGTAAGTACCTACATATACCCCGAGAGAATGCGGACTTAGTGGCGGGTGCGGGCATTATCGGCCCCGAGCGTCCCAAGCTAGTGGGACAACTACTCGGACGAATATCGTCATTGGTTTGGTTGTCATCATGGCAGTTTTTCGATTTTCTTCTTTATTCTGGTTTTTTCACCACGACATCTGTCGCCTAATGCGCTAAACACGAGACGTTGATCCCGGTATCGATTGATATTGCACATCACCCTCGAGGTCTTTGTTTCCGGGTTTCCACGCGAGCTAGGTTCCAATCTTCGCCGTCGTCATCGGATCGTCACACGATACAGTTCAAGAGGTCGGAAGCTCTGGCTTCCACCTCATCCTGCCGCTCCCACTCGCGCAGGTGCCTTGAAGCAACCTGATTAAGCGGTGAGATATGCTACGTGCGCCGGTCGCGGCGCGCCACTGCGCCCGCCACGAGCCATCCCGATTCTTGCATGCCGGCCACTTTGGCGCTTCGATACCCAGATCCCGCGTAAGCCACGCGCGCGCGCCCATACAACTGCGCCAGCAGCGGAGCGTACAAACAAACGGTGCGCCCTTCGAACCGCTTCGCCCACCGTCTCCCTCGTCCCTCGGACAGCCTCAAGCGGCACGACAGTTCAAGCGAGGACGGAAATGGGGCCGGCGGCTGTTGATCTTCAGCGCTGTAACGGGGAGTTTATACTTGGTCGATCGGACACTGTTCGCGTCAGGCGTGAGCCGCTCCCTGTTCACTTTTGGGACGGGTCTCTTTGTGGCGCTCGATTACAAATTGAATTTTCGGCCTGAGCCTTTAACGGGTGGCACAATAGAGGACTTGCATCGGCGTAGCGCCGAGCGGCTTTTCGAATTGTTAAGAGCCAATGGCGGACTGTATCTCAAGATTGGTCAAGCTATTGCTATGCAGAGCGCTGTTCTGCCACCAGAGTTCCAGCGCATGTTTGCCCGCATGTTCGATGATGCGCCTCAGGTTAGCTGGAAGAACGTCGACAAGGTCATCCGCCAAGATTTCGGTGGGAAGAGCGCTGAAGAGGTCTTCGGTGTAAGTTTTACAGGTGAAGAGGGCAAGGGATTGATGGAACGGCGCGCTCGAGCTAGCGCAAGTGTTGCGCAAGTCCACTGGGCAAGGTTACCGGACGGCAGGGAGGTCGCAGTTAAAATACAGAAGCCCGAGATTGCGAAGCAGGTTGGCTGGGATCTTTGGGCCTTCAAAGTTGTCATGCGTGTATACACATGGTGGTTTGATCTCCCATTGTACTCTATCGTGCCGTTTATCACTGAGCGTCTTATGTTGGAGACGGATTTCAAATCGGAGGCAGAGAATTCGGAAGTGATGCGCAAACTAGTCAATTCTGAGCCGTCGCTTAAGGATAGGGTGTATATTCCTCAGGTGTACCCCGAGTTTACTACCAAGCGCGTATTGGTCACGGAATGGATAGAAGGTGTCCGGCTCTGGGACAAGGCCGCGACGACAGGACGTTGGCTTGGCGGCTACGGAAACCCGTCGGCCGGTGTTCACGGCGAGAAGCTGAAGTTTACTCCGGCGGACACAGAAGCTGCGCGCAAGCAGCTGCGGTATAACCCGTTGAACGAAAAACTGAAGCCTGAACGGGAACAATGGAAGGGTCGAAACGGCAAAGGCGGACTAGGCCTTAGTAGCAAAGACGTGATGAGTACGATGGTGGACTTGTTTTCGGCGCAGATTTTCAAATGGGGAGTCGTTCACTGCGATCCGCATCCGGGGAACATTTTCATCCGTCGGCTGCCCTCCGGCAAGCCCGAACTCGTGCTCATCGACCACGGCCTCTACGTCTACATGGAACCTAAATTTAGACAGCAGTATGCTTTATTCTGGAAGAGCCTCATGACGTTTGATAATAAGACCATTGCGGATATAACGGAACAGTGGGGCATCAAGGCTCCAGATATCTTCGCCAGCGCCACGCTCATGCGTCCCTACGAAGGTGGTGACGGGTCCGCTAAGGACGCGCTGACGAGAGAACTCTCGGGCAAGACCAAAGCCGAACGTCATTATGAGATGCAGCAGCGCATGAAACAGGGCATCCGTGACGTTCTCGCGGACGAAGACAAGTGGCCCAAGGAACTCGTGTTCATTGGCCGCAACATGCGCATCGTGCAGGGGAACAACCAATTCATGGGATCCCCTGTCAACCGCGTCAAGATGATGGGGAACTGGGCCAGCGCCAGCCTGTTCCAAGATCGGAACCTGCCACTAGGCGAGCGACTTCTGAACGCTTGGCGCCACCTGCTCTTCAAGACGGTGCTGTTCGCGACGGACGTGGCGTTCTATACGTTCAAGGTCCGGCAATGGCTTGGCCTCGGCGGTGGCATGGAAGACGAAGTAGAGAAACGTATGGCCGTCATGGCCAAGGACTTCGGGGTTGAATTACAGCATGAGGTGTTTGAGGGTTAATTCACAGCAGCAGCGCAATGGGGGACACACAAAAATGGTTATAGATGGCTTGGCTTTGTCATAGAAGAATCTCGGCTCGCTCTGTATAGAGAGATAGATCACGAACTACTAACTCCTGTATACCAATACCTACGAATCTGGCTAGGGCCGTGTAGATTTAATAGAACACAGTCACGACTACATACTTAGTATGCGTGGATGGAGTATATTGAGAGAGAGAGCTGAGCTATGGTCTTGGAGCAACTGTAACTGTAGACGTGATTCCGTTGCCACTGTAGACCTTGACATCCAGCGGTAAACATACCTACCTATTCCACGAACAAGAGGGTGGGCTATAATGCAGGTAATATAGGTGTAACGAATGTTGGCGATGGGCGCTTCAAAAGAAGCTGCTGGGTCTCGACGGGTGTTGGCTGATTGGATATCCCCGTAGTCCAATGAAAGGGATCGATGTTCTCCAAGTAGGAAGCTTGGTGGAAGTACCTACACCAACCTACAGTAAGTACTATGTAGACCAGGATGAGATGCCAAAGCTACTTCGTACACTACCTCTAGTCTAGTGTACCTAGTAGATAGCCCCTCATTTAAAAGGGGCTGGGCTGGATCTCGACGATGAGAGATAATCACACTCTCGTTTGATACCGATGATTCTGATGATATCGAAATCAATTGGTAGTACTCATGCCACGCAGCGAGCCATGACCGTACGACACGCTATGGGTCTTATGTGGGAGCGAGAGAGAGAGTTTTGATCGTTGGGTATTGGGTGTGCCATACCCGTTCCACCCTGGCCGGCAGCTTGCACTTTCGTACCGGCCGGTAGCCGATGGGTGGCAGGAATCACTCCTCCTGACTTCTTTCTCTCCGTCAACATAGGTAGGTATTAGCCATTTTGACATCTGTGATCTGTCTATACGTGTGTACTTAAACAAATAGATGTCTTACTGCGTGATTATCACACTACATACCATTTCATACGCTTACTATACTGCGATGGGAATTGGGCGATTGATAGTGAAGTGTATACTTACAGAATAATGTACGGTACTTAGACAGAATCACATCTACTGTACCCAGGTATCGTATTTGGAGACCCCTCCAGGTGCTGTCGTCTTTAATTAGCTTGTTTCAGACTGTCGAGGGAAACAGAACGCTCAGCCAGAGGCCAGACAGAGGCTTAGCCTAGCTTGGACATTTTCATCTGGCTCTCTTGCTGCGCTAAACCACATGCGGAATGAATACCGGGCGATATAACAACTTGTTCGCACTAAACGCGCCTAGTCCAGGTACAATCGTACACTAACGTCAGTACTCAAGTACTACCTAGTGTACTTGCATCGTATCTCTCTCCATCTAACGGTCCTCCGTCATCCTATCCCATCACATCCCAGCAGCTCTCGATCCTCTTCCGCACACGCCATTCTTGTTTCCCGCTCTCGCCGCTGTCCTGTCCGCTACGTGTGTGTACTAACAGTCAGTAAGTAGGCGTGTGTGTGTGTGTGGTGTACGTGTAGTGCACAGCTTTGTCCTTCTCTTTTCCCCAGCTTGCGCCGCCCGCTGGTCTGACTTGCATCGTTTTGTCAATCGACTCTTCTCTTTTTGCGTCTCACGCTCATTGTTTGCTTCTATATCCATTGAACGTCACTGGTGGTGTCTTGTTCTTGAAGTTGCTTTTTGTGTCTTTTCTTTGACTCTTGTTCTCGTCCTTTGCTTGCACGGATAGTGTACCTGGGTTGATTGTTTCATGCGCCAGAAGAACCAATCGATTGGCTCGGCCGCACTTCCATCGTCCTGACCTGCCGTACTGTAGCTCCTAATGCAGAGACCCTGAGCCCTCGACAAGGTAGAGCTCCCCTTGCTGTATATTATTTCTCGACCCGAGCATAGCATCGTCCTCCTTGAGCAGACACAACCACCCGCCCGCCCATTCTCTCTCCCACGAGCTCTGCAACGCGAGACTTTGTCTGAGACCTGCGCCGGTGGCCACAGACGATTAAACGGTCCAGATCCCACCAGGATACTCGACAACGCATCCTTGCGTGCCCACGCTTCTGACGTACGTCCCTCCAGAAACCAACAGGTTGGTAGACACGCCTTCTCCTTGCTTTCGCTTTTCTTGATTTCCCCCCGTATGCGCAACGAACCTGCGATCGACCACCCTCCAGTACAGTCCACCACTCTGCTTCGGTTGGTGCAAGTACCGGTTGCATACGCCACGGCGCATTGGCAATACACCTCTCCTTGGGTACCTACCTATTGGCTCGCCAGTGACGAAGCCAGGAGTCGTGTGGCTTGGTACGCAATTCCATCTATCATTTCTCGCGACAAATAGGTTACATCGGGGACTCCCGCAAAGCGAACGACATAGTCAGGGGAATCCATCATCAACTCCAGCCAGGGTCCCAACCCCGGTGGTAAGGCGATTCGTAACAGTCCCGGAAAACGGTTCATTTGACTCGCTCTCTGTCTTCTCGTTCTTTTCCGCTCGTGGCACCAGCGCACAACCTCTTGCCTTACTGGAAACACTCATGGATGGATCTGCATTGGCGGACTGCCAGACTGGTGATTTTGATGTGCATCGTGTAATTGGAGACTGGAAAACTAACTGGAATATCGTAAAGACATAGGTTTTAGCTCCTTGTGCTAGGTCACCTTCTCAACGACGGACCGCTTCAATCACTCGTTCAATATATCAACAGTTAAAGACAAAATAGGGGAGCAAAGTCACACAGCGTCCGGGCTTGAGACCCAGCAGCTACAAACGACATTTCCATTGCGCATAAGTCTCCATAGCTCGAACAGTGCTGGGACCTACCTGGCGATTTGCCTTTCGTTAACAACGTTTTATGACGTGGACCGGCCGAGTCCGGCTAAGCCCATTCGTTACTGCATTTGACGCATTTTTGGGGATCACACGGCGGGAGCTCTCCTCTTTAAGCCCTCAAGCAACTTGATAATCTGCCACTAATTCATATCGGGGTCTAATTTTATATTTTTATTTTTTTTGGCAGAGAGTCCTTGTTGGACAAAAGATAGGCGTGTAACTAACTGCGATCGCGATACCTTCAAGCCTCTTCACTCCTGCGAACTCGTCACGCGCATGGCCGTTTGGTATACTTGTCAACATACCTTGCTGATTTGGTCATCATTCTGCATCGATATTGCCTGCTTGTTATAGGACGTATATGCAATCTGCGCCTGCTGCCACCGCCTCATCCGTAAACGCACCTACCTCCCACTAAACTCTGATTCCACATACGCTTGCATCAACAATCTGCAAAGATGAGCCAAGAAACTCACCCTCGTCGATCAAGCTTCGGGAATCTGCTTCGACGCAGTAAGTCCGGTGATATGAAAACTGGAAGGAAGGGTTCACATGGCCATCAGAAAGAGTCGGTTCCCAAGTCCCCTCCTCGTCTGCCGGCCCTCTACAATGGTTCTCAACCTCAACCTCTTCCTTTTGGAGGCGACACTCGTCCCGATTCTGTTGCCATAGTTTCTGGAAAGGCAGATCACTCTTTTCATCACCAGCCACCCCGTGCTTCTATGGACCCTGGGCGTCCCTCCATGTCGTCGTCCATCGCAAGACCTCCTGTCCCACCACTACCAAATGGTGCAGCCGTCGATCCCTACCCTCGTACAGAAAGCATGACGAATCGTGGCCGATACAGTTACGCGAGTAGTGCTATCAGTACTGTTAACAGCCCTAGAAGGGTTCGTAGAAGGAAGGATCCAACTCCCTTCAAGTACGTTACCATATATCCTCTACTTTCATCCCAAACGGCTTTACTGATCAGGCCTTGATAGCATACTAATCGTCGGCACTCGCGGTTCTGGCAAGACTTCATTTCTTGAATTTTTGAAGACATCTCTTGCCTTGCCTCCAAAGAAAAGGTCCCAGCGTTCTACTGAGATCGAACAAGAGGTTACTTCTCGAGCAACCCCATCAGGGAACTTCATACCCCATTACCTTGAAAGTGAGATAGACGGAGAACGTGTAGGCTTGACCATTTGGGATTCAGAAGGCCTCGAGAAGAATGTGGTGGACCTCCAGCTACGAGAGATGTCCACCTTTTTGGAAGCGAAATTTGAGGAGACTTTTGCTGAAGAGATGAAGGTGATTCGATCACCGGGCGTACAGGATACGCACATTCACGCTGTTTTCCTCATCCTCGACCCAGCCCGGCTCGATCGCAACATAGCCGCTGCTAGGGCGGTGCCCGGTGTTACTCAGGGCGGAAAGCATGTCATTGATTTGGGACGTGTTGTCGGTGGTCTTGACGAGGATCTCGACTTGCAAGTTATGCGCACACTGCAAGGCAAGACGACGGTGATTCCTGTCATTTCGAAGGCAGACACTGTCACGACAGCACATATGGCTTTCCTAAAGAACACGGTCTGGGCTAGTCTTAAGAAGGCCAACTTCGACCCCTTGGAGGCATTGGGCTTAGATGACGAAGAAGAGTCTAATTCTAGTAGAATTGACGAGAATGAAGAGTTGGAGGCGGATGGAGCAGTAGCTGAGTCCAGTGGAGATGGAGAAAAGGGCCAGGCCGATGCTGAAGAGCACGGCGATGGGAATATCACAGGAGAAGATCGGCCATCGACCTCACAACGATCCAACCCATCGCTCCGTCCATCCAAGGTATCAAACGAAGACAGTGCTGATGAGCTCCCTCTCTTACCTATGTCGATCATCAGCCCAGATCTTTACGAGCCTGGTGCCATTGACCGAAAATTCCCTTGGGGTACGGCCAATCCTTACGACCCCGATCACTGTGACTTCACTCGTCTGAGGGACGCAGTCTTTTCAGAATGGCGCAGTGAGTTGCGAGAAGCCAGCCGTGAGCAGTGGTACGAGGGCTGGCGGACTAGCCGACTCAAGCACCGCAGCCCTGCGAATCGACGCCGTTAGGCATTGCGACAGGATTCGCAAGGTCGCCCCTTGTTCCATAGATAAAATCCCACACCGCATGTTCAACGACTTATGCGTTTTTTCTTTAATTTTTTCAGATCACCCGCAGCAATACCCATTGATTGTTCTCTCTTCGATTCACGTATTTCCCGGACGACTACGCACCACGTACAAGCCAAAAAATTCTTTTCTTTTCTGATGGTCATCGATTGAGTAACAAAAGTAATCTCGAATGTGGCGGGTTCTCTTCGAAGTCGGGAACCCAGGAGCAGGAGTACAGACAGTTGGAACGAATTTTGGAGGCCGATGCTATAACCCTATCTACCCAACACAAATACTATTGGTTTGTTGTGGAAACGAAGTTAGGGAAGAATGAATAGTCTTCAGGGTGCGGTACTATTGTGTAGCTACCTATCTCACTCGCCTTTGGAACCCCAGGGAACAGGGCGACATAATGATCGGGTCTAGGTCTTTGGTATGGCTGCCCGAGGTTTCTCTACCTCTGGTCTGCGACCTTCCTGGGTCACCTTGGGCCCTTCATCGCATATCTTCTTGTGTTGGAGTGACTACTGCTAGGTATACCGCCGTAGAATGTTAGGATTCTTTCAACTCAACCTCATCGCGCGCCATGGTTCATGCATGACTGATGATAGCATGATGTGATGTCAACTTTGTTATTTTCTCATAATGATATGTGTTAGACCGAGATTGTCTTGTCTCCTTAGATGTGAGCCAAGCATAGTGTGCTCTTTTCTCCGTCTCAGAAGAGACAAAAACAGTCATTCAGTTTCAAGGGTGCAAGATATATCAAAGCCTCATATGAAGAACAATTAGCATCTAAAAGTCTGTCTTCGATCTAACTTACATCATAGGCATCGCCTGTCCAGGGAGCTCGTCGAGCCAGCCCTCCGTCTCCTCGACAACAGTATTCCGAATCGCACACCTGTTCATCTCCTCCACGGTCTGCGTCTTCAAAACGCCCTGCATCCCGGGACTGCCGCAGGCATGGAACATGCACGAGTCGTTCATGGCGCGCTGCAGGGAATCCCCCTTCCACCCGAACATGTAGTCGGCGTGCGTCCCGTACCCCCTGCCGTCCACGAACGACCACACGAAGGGCTGCGACCCGTCGCCCGGCCACATGTCGCCGAACAACTGCGTCTGCCACATCGTCTCGTAGGCCACCTGCGGCACGCGCACGGGGTGCGACGCGGGACAGGGCCCCGCCTCGCGGAATTGGCCTAGACTCGTGTCGTACATGTGCGATTGGTGGTCTGGACTGTCGAGGTTCGCGCCGTCCCAACATGCTGGGAAGTGGTGGATGGCCATTATCCCTGCGGGACAGGGCTGAAAGGGATAGACGCGGTTAGTTTTTTTTTTTTTTCTCCTTTTTTTTTAGGTTTTTTTTTTTGTTTGCTTCTGTGGAAAAATTTGGTTGTAGGCGAATTTTGTTGAGGAGGGAGAAAGGGGGCGAAGGGGGGAACGTTCGGAAAGCAATCAATGGAGGGGATGAACTTTGTTTTTGACACTGCAGAGGAGCTGACTGCACCTTTTTAGGGAAATCAGGCGTCTCGAACCCTCGAGTCAGGATCGTCTGTAGACACGTGTATGCCAGACCGGGCTGGGCGCTCGAGTTGGCGATGGAAGTTGTTGTGGGCGAACCGACTGTCATCCGGAAGCCCTAGATAGATGGACATCGCGTCAAACCCTCATATATCCCTTTTTACTCAAGCAGGTAATACTTGGGTGTTTACGTACAGGCGGGAAAGCAGTGATGTACTTATCGCCATTCCCGAGCAGATCCTTCTGCGTGTAGTAAATCGTCATGCCGCCCTTGATATCAGGCGCGTCCTGGCCCTCGTAGCCGAGCTGCGCGTTCGGGTACTGCGGCACGCGCTTGTACGAGCCGTTCTCGTGTCGGAAGTACAGCAGCGCCGTCCAGTAGTTGGAGAAGTCCTCGGTGTACGCGCATGTCGTGCAGGTGCCCTTCTCGCCGATGTCGCCTTGCATCGTCGCGTTGAAGGCGTTCCCGCCCACGATCTGGTGCACGTGCGACGAGGGGATGTTGCCTGGCTCGACGACGGGGTCTAGGCGCTGGATAGATATCGAAGAGCACGCGAAGCGCAGGCCCGCGTGGGAGAACCCGGCTTGCGCGAGGAGGAGATAGAATGTCTTCATTCTTGCGGAATCGTGTGTGCGGTGTGGCTTTCTCAAACGAGTATCGTGAGCCTCAGGTCATCAAGATGGCAGCCTTTATGATGTCCATGGTACCGCTCCATCCTTGTAGTTGTTAATGAGATTTGGAACGTATTGTGTCTATATAGCAGAGATGTGCCGCCTCCTATTGCTGATCGACCCGCCAAGGTAATATATCTCCCTTCAACGACTGGAGCTTGAGCCTGATCAGCTAGAAGCGAGATCTTTATAGATTGGAACAATATAGATTGGCCTATCTGAACGTAACGATGGGGGGTTCCTGAGTCCGGATAATTCACAAACATAATTGCCGATTCGCCCATCTGCCACAGGCGCATTCAGGCATATCAACTTGATTCCACGTCCTGGTTCGTCGTGTTACTTGTGTACTATATTCTGAAGATAAGCTAGTATATCTGTGGATTGAGTTATCTCTTATATCTTAGTAGCTCTATCATTACTGTGAAGTTATATTGATTGAGATGAGGCTCTCAATTCGTCAAGAGAGATAAGACGGTAGTGTTTAACATGAGGGTGCAGGCTCTAGATATGGTGACCTTATTCTGATAACTATACTGCATAAATAAGTTCAGCGCAACCGATGTCTTCCTATGATCTCAACTAGTTGCCCAGGTGAGATAGACGCAAGACCCGTTTCCATCGCAGAGGGTGCATGTGGGAGCAGCGAGCTCATCAGCATGGGTGGTACAAATGCGGGGACTCACTCAATTATACTTCGACTTCTCGGTGTATCGTCTCGTTCTGCTTGAATACTGAGTATACAACGAGTAAATATACAAGAGTCTACAATAAGAATACATGACGAGTAGCACAACTCTCTTGAATTTATCAATCTGATTAGGTGACATAGATAATAATTATTATAAGGAAATTCGTCACTAAAGATCTTTGAATTCAACCTGACGAAACCAATTTCCGAATCACGAAACAGAACTCCGACCCATTTCCTTCTATTAATAAACCCGATACAAGGCGACGGTGAACGCTGAGAAGATACGTTTTCGTATGCCCAACGGCCTAGCGCTTCTTGTCGCTACTCTTAGCATGTCCCTTGCTGTCAGTCTTCTCTTTCGCCTTGTCGCTGCTTTTCGGTGGTCTGACGGGGAGCATGAATCTCAGGGTTTTCGCTGTTCGGCAAGTTAGCAAAATCGCAGCTACAAATATGGGTGATTAGTTATATAGACATACGAGGGGCGTTCTTACGTTTGGACACCTTCTGAGAAGATTTCCTAGTCGCCAAGCTGGACTTGAGCGGCATGGTTCGAACCGGCTCACCGGCTCTGCGCATACCTGGTGGTGGCATACGTGGTATTGGTGCCCCATGCCTTTAGTGTCAGGTTAGTATCGAGCAGTAGCATGTTGAGAGGAGTAAACGAGATCGTAAGGAGCTCACCGGGCCTCCATGTCCTTTATTAAAGTCTTGGTAGCATTGTACATGTCTTTGCTGACGTTTTCAGCGATCTTTAATAAACCCATAATCTCAGCATACTGAGCCTTGTTGAGGGTAATCACGGCTTCCTCGGATTTGCGAGCCATTTTGGCCTGTGTGTGTGTGTGTGATGGATTGGTGTCTATGGGCCTGAAAATGTGTGCTGTGGTGAGGAGTGAGGAGGATTTAAATAGACGAGCAAACCTGGGAGGCGCACATGTTCGTCCAGTGTGAGACAATGCAGAGAATGTCTGCGTCCGTACACCCGAGGGAGGTAAGGGAGGCAGCAGACCGCCTCAGTTCGTTGTTGTCTCCCGTACCACAATCCATTTGTACTCTACTGTGCTAGAACGAGGCTGTCACGGTGGCTATAATTGGTTCTGGGTAGCCGATAATGGATTGCTGCAGATTCTGTCAAGGGCAGACTACTATCACAATTTACAGTGGCAATGAGACATGATGAAATTGATGTAGATAGGTAACAGTGGATATCACATCGATGAGAAAGGTCCTTGGTGCCGACATAGTCCTCCCTCCATTTGACTTTGCTACATGCAAATAGGTAAGATGGAAATCAGAAGGAGCCGTCTAACTAACATACTGGTATTTCTTGACGAGATATGACTATGACTATGACTATGACTAGGACCGATGGATATCAAGGTTTTAGTGTTCCTCCCTCTTGGAAGCATATAGCTTCATCGCGTATTGACTCATCTCACTATTCCTCACATGTAGAACGTGACCACTTCCAAACTGAACACCGAGCTGTGCGACCTGTACTCCCCACCGATGGCTCATAATGAGAGCAAACAACACAAACAGACGTCACGGTGAGTACTGAGACTAGGATCAACTTTATGAGAAGCACAGTTCGGAGACAGGTTTATGACAAAATCCCGAAGTGCCGGCAATACATTCGGTGCCGTATAGTTCTTATGTCGGCAGAATAAGTCTTTCCGGACCTTGGCAATATCATAGACAGCCCCACGTGCACACTTGGGCCGAAGAAGAGCGGATTCGCACAAGCCTTGGACAGGTCCGTCTGTAACCGAAGGCAGACTTGAACACGGACATGCATGCAACAACTAGGCTGGCAGTCTTGTCGGATTCACAGATGTCGTGCTTGCAAGATTAGAGAAACTACCGGGCAGTCCGCTGGAGTCTTTGACTGACGTGACAGCCGTTGGGCAAGCAGGGGATGCTCATTTATCATCTTGCTTCACCGTGAGCTTACTTTTCTCCGACGATTAATGCATGGCGTTGAGCATCTAGTATACATAATGACTGAGAACGTGCTGTTCGATAGGGATATGGCTGGATTCCAGACCGACCGCCTCAAGAGCAACCGGTGTACAAGAACAGCTTGTGTAGCCAACGTCGGCAAACATAAGAGAAAGGTTCGCACGTGTCCGTACCTTCGCCATCGTCAATTATTGCTATGAACGCATCTGACTCACCAAGCTTCCGAAAATGGTGTCCCCATACAATGTTTGCTCCCAAAGCGGAAATATACACATGAACTCCACGAAATGTAGATAAAAGCAGAGGAAACCGTTAATTACATAAGGCTATGATGTTTTGAAGCCAGCCGACTGCGCCCAAACTCGAGGGACATAATCCATTGATGAGGCGCAGCAGTCCAGGTCAGTGCAAGGTTGCGTCAGTCAGTCACTAGAAAAACGACGACCTGTGCCGCAAGGAGCCCGCCCATATGCCCTATCAGATTCTACGTCACAGGCCCCGTGGAGAAGACCGCCTTGCGATAGAGAACGGATGAAGAATGAGGCCAATTGGTAAGCGACATATACCTGACTTCGGAAATATGCTCGCTGAGCTACAATGAGGGTCTTCAACACCGTCTCGCAGTTGAGAACCGACGAGAAGGTGATCATACAATACATACGAGGGTTGCAACCTCGGCAGCGTCTGGGCCTGGGACCTAATAATTGCCAAGATCGTCCTGCCGAGGGAAAGGTTAGATGACGTCTGCCATGGATTATTATTATTGTTGTTGGTCGGATCACTTTTTGAAGCATCACGCCTCGCTACCGCAGCATCAGCCTAAACTTCATAAAGCAGTCCTCATGCAAGTACGCATACGTACAATCACCCTATCGAGAGTATTCTATCCCTGTACAGATGCCTTAGATAATTAGAAGGTAACCCGGTTATATTTTTAGGGGTCATCTACGGAGTATTGTACGGGCAGTATGGGGAAACAGAGGATCCCTGAACCACTTCGCACCATACTACCTGACTAGGTTTAGGGTATTGCTTCAACACCTCGTGAGACGCGAGGCTTCAAAAAGTGAGCCCATTGTTGGTAATCACGCCGTTGCATGCTGGGTCGCCAAGTAATAATCATAGGCATAAGCTCCATTCACATTGGCACAAAAGCCAACACCATGACAGCATAGAATATCAGTTCTGGTGCGGATCTGCGAACTGCTAAAATTATATGAAGCAAGCACTACTGTAGAAGGCAGCGAGTCAGAATAAAGGATTATATGTAGGACGTACTCTGGGCGTATCATGTAAACATCCATTTATTGATACTTGGAAGACCTCTCTCTTCTATGCCCAACTCATAACACCAGAGCCACTACCGAAGCTAGTAATTTAATTAGCACATACCGATAAAATGTTCTCATCAACAATACTCGGGACAGGCCTGGCGCTGCTTGCCTCAACTCAACTGGTCGCTGCTCAAAGGTAAGAGAGGCAATCCGCACATCTCAAGACCGTACTGACCGCCGAAAGTCTGAACCTCACTCTTACGTTCTACCCTGACGAGGACAATACGTGCTCTGGTGACGACTCCAAAGCAATTACTTTCACCACCGCCAGCTATCCTACCTCGCAATCATGCTTCAACCTAGGCGAGATATTCGCTAGGAACTCAACCGGCGGCTTCCGGAACTCGTCAGTCGTCCCTACTCCCAATGATGAGGGCATACGATGGGCAATCACCAATGCGCAGGCGTGGGACCCAGCCGGCAACTACTCGCATGTCAAGTACGAACAGCTGAATTCCGTCGGCATGGACGAAGATGACGATGCCACGTACGCATCGAGGAGAGTCAACATCTACAACGGGGAGGACTGCCTCCAGGTGCGCTACGCCGATGATGACGATGGCGATTTGGCACCTTGGTTCGGCTGGACATGTCACAGTTCCTCGGATGACAACTGCAGGACGACTCCTTATAGCATCGAGAGCTTCATCATTATTCCCTTCGATGAAGACGACCGGGAGAAGGGAAAGTGTTTGACCTTTACGGAAGAAGGAGCCGGCGCCCTTAGCTTTCCTGGGACGTTTGGCGCCCTTGTCTCTGCGATTGTAGTTGGATTCTTCTTGCTGTAACGAGGCTATTGTTAGGCGGTATGGTGATTCATTACTACATAGAAATATCAGCGTTGTCAATATATATTTCCCTTGAGTTCAACTTTAGGCCTTGAGTCGCGAGACAGGTTCCGTCCTCGCTCAATGAGTAATCTAATTTTTCCCGGTGATGCCCTCACCCAAAAGGTACCCGGCTTTGCTCTTCTCCATCTTGGTCGTAAAGCTTCATATAGACCGTCTCTCCCCCGTCGAAGTAGTCTTTGACAAGAACCAACTCCATATCCAGCCCCAAGTTCTCGAGATCGACAAGCAACCGAGTGACAGACTTCTTCCTGAAGAACATGTCGCAATACCAGCCCTCGGGGAATTCCGATTCCCAATCAACTTTTCCCGCCTGTTAGCAAGTGTAACATCTGTCAGGCAAGGGCCGGATTGGATGATAGCAATACTCACAAAAGACGAATTGAGCAAATTGCGACAACGTCTGGTTCTCGTATACGTCCCTTCCGCGAGTATGTCCGTAGCTGCCGTCTCTCACGTTGATCCACATATTTCCGAGATCTCGATATCCGCGCTTATGCCATCCCGCACCGCGAACTTTACGCGGGTTGTATCCTGGCTTCCATCTTCTCGTAGGTGGAACGCCCAAGGCGGGAAGAGCCGGGCTAGATTTGGCGGCGGCGACTTTCGCGCGGAACACTATGTGAGGGCCGAGAGGTAGTCAGCTAGTCTTGCCCTTGGATCGCTAGTACGAAGCTGTCGCTCTGCCGCTTTCGAGTGTCTCATCTGGAAGAGGGATTACAGACACATCGGGAGCCTCGTGAGATGCGAATTGCCATTAGTGGAACTTCAACCTACTGGCATAATCGAAATGGGGAAACGACGATCGGCCGTGTATGAAAGGATGGGGTTTATGGCACATCTTGAATATTGTGTAGATTTCCGAGTCGTCAATCTCATGTAGATGCTCGGGCATCTCGGCTGGAGGAGAGTCTTCACGGTCGCCCACCCTTGCCTGAGAGCCATTGGTACCTAGCAGCTCAGAACGTAGACGCCTGGGATTCACATTCTCGACTGGCGATAGATGATGACGCTGAACTGGGCGGGGTAGTTGAGTTTCATTGTGTAATCGGGCTCGTCGTCTCGCGAGGGCCCGCTCTAGAGCCGCGTGCTCCTCGGGCGTGCGCCCGACAGCTCGAGCCTCGACGCGTCGTCGTCGCGCCACAACTGCATCGTCCATCGTGGTGTCGAGTTGGGGTGCTACCTTATTCACACGCCATGAATTGAGTAAGCGTGAATACATGCTTCGACAATAATTATAGATCGAAACGCTGGGTTGGTGCTCCCCGTCCGTTTGCTGGTGATCAAATTGCTCCCATTTAGCGCGGGCCACGATCAGGGGTAAGCCAAATCAACTTTCCCGTCTCCTATTATTGACTAGTTGAGGCAGGATTTCACTTGGTACAAACCGCGAAAATAGGAAATTAAATTCGACAAAGTCTGACAATAGGAAATTAGAGACACCAAAACAACGACCGAGCACCTTCTCGTAATGGTCTAAGTTAAGCAACCAGTTATAAAATTGCTTTAGTGAAACTGGACCTGATAAATAGATAGGCAACTAATTTATTAACTTTATGATTAATACTCTAGTTAGATCTTTTGCTTTGCTTTTGGCTTATATGTAAACTTTTATTGTCAGTGCTATGTGCCAAGGCCCACCGTTTGCGCCACCATATTGGCACGATGAGTCAGCAGACACTTTCGTACGGAGTCCGAGTGTTCAATATCTATTGCATAGTAGTAGAAGATGAGAAGATTAAAAACATTTTAAACTGTCAATCAACTCAGTAGAGGTTCATGAGTCGCGAGATATCACCTGTAAATACCGGCAATGGCAGAAACCATCACCATCCGAACCCGTAGATTCAGAACCAACCCATTACTGTCTCGTGTAAGTAAGTCGGTGCCTGCATGTAGTGGTGTCCGGTCCTAATCAGACTATAGAAGCAAATGGTTGTGTATATATTCCCCCCATATCTGAGGCGATTCACTGTACACTCACCTGCCTTCAAGGGACGTGTTACACCCCGGCCGATCAGGCATATCGAAGTCGCACCTAGAAGAAGCACTGGCGACACTCTACAAGACTACAGCTGAGCAGATCAGCATCCTCGGTCTGCAAACCGCGTTCGGCGGCGGTAAGACCACCGGTTTCGTATGTATCTACGATTCGGTCAGAGCGCGGACGACATTTGATGCCAAGTACCGGTTGAAGCGCGCGGGCCTCGCGTCTCGAGGAGATCGCCAGTCGAAACAGAATCGTACGTGTTACTCAATTGACCGCCTTCTCACAAGTCATTCATACTGCTGTGATACCGGGCTTACGCATGTGCCCGCCTTGTGCGGTTATAGGGAGCCACTGGAAGAACTGGAGGAAGAGATTCCGAGGTACCAAGAAGCCACAGTACCCTGTGCTATCTGTGCGCTGGGTCACAACTGTACCACCTTAAGCTTGATAAATTACACATGGAAAACGTATGGGGGAGAAGTGCAGTGGGGTCGGCACATCACGGGAGGACCTACAAGACCTAAACCGGAGTGTCTAGTTTACTGAGATTCTCAGTATCGTCACACCTCTAACACATATCGACCGCTTGTTTCATACCTCAATAAATGTTTCGGTATCCCAGTTTCCAGAACGATATAATAGCAGGTGAACGCAAGAGTCGATGAGGCTTCAAGTACAGTAATCTTTTACATGTAGTTGTACACGCTGGGCGTCCAGGGTCGAAACTCTCGGATGTGATGGAAAGCAATGGAATCTGAACGCTGAATTCATCTGAACGCGTCTACAGGTTATAAGTGGCAAAGCTAGTCGAATGACTCTCGATCTTGAGACCTTATTATTGCGGGTTTAGACTGCGTGTCTAACATACTGCTGAAGTAAGCACGGGTGAGAAAGTGACGATATTATTACCCGCTCCCTTTAGCTCGGTCCTGACAGTTTCTCCTTGTCGACAACAAAGATCCCAAACCGACTGATCTCTACCTCATTTTCTCCTCCACTTTTTCGTTCCTCTTCATCTGGTAAGTTCCCCCATCCTATTTAGAATTTGGCATCGGGACTTCCTGGCGTTACACGTGCAACCTCTGTGCTAGCTGAATATGCAGTTCGCCTTGCACTTCGGCTGTACGAAGGACCTTTGCAGGCTGTTCATGATCTTTCAAGACATGCAGGCAATATTGGAAAGTGAGGTTATACAGACTTCGCTTCTCGAAACAGACCCCAGAGACCTAGGCGGTCTGGGCTGGCAGACCAGTTGTATATAGAGTCAAGTCAAGCCACCAACAGCCGAGAAGGAGTTGGTTGGTCAAGGACTCATACAGCCCTAGTTGATCATTGTAATCCGAATGACTTCAATTCCAAGCCCAGTCACCTGCCCTTGTTATAACCACACCGGTGAAAAGTTACAACCGTATGCAGTGAGTTGGCTTCATACATCTTGTGTCCCGCCTCTGAATAAGTCTATAAACCCTTTCTTAGTGAGAATTTCTCCTAAGTTTAAGCGGTTGCAGGCTAGAGAAAGTAATCGCTACTGGCTAGACGTAGCACTGAGCTGTGGCATAGACCAGCAAAGTCAAGTTAGCCAGTATTCTCATAATGGATGAAAATAGTACCAGTATTTCTAAGAGCCAGAAGACACAGGGTACCTCCACGCCAACCATGATATAACAAGTTGAACTAGACCAATGATAGTTGCGAGAAGGCCGAATACAGCAGCAAAGAAGAGACCTGCGATGGCTACTGTTAATGCATTTCTTTCAGAAGTATGTCTCTCGAACCAAGAGACAATCGCGTTCGCCGGTGGGGGTCGCTTCGCCAGCTTATACAGATTCACTAGACGTGCCCCCCAGTAAGTGAAGGTAATGTCAGATGCTATAGGCCGAACAAACTCAACCCACAACCCGTCATGATCAAAGCCTTCTGTTCGAATAAGCTTCTTTAAAAGTATATGCGACCGTTCGTTTCTGACACTTGCGACTGGGAAGAGAATACAATGAAAGGAGACAAGTGTTTCGAAGAGGAGCTGGGGTGGTAAAGTCCCTCTGTAATATTGGTTAGTGTTTTCCAAAAGACGATCGTGGTTTGACAGTACAGTTCTAAGCTCTTGGAAAAGCCAAGCTCCATAGGTTCGTTCTTCGACCGCTTCAGGTGTGCCCTCAAGAACGATGTGTGGTGGAAAACCTGGAGAGTTCTTTCCTTGGGATCGTATAGGAGGTGTTCCAACAAGTTATTCGTAGGCTTGATCTTGATCCTATACCGTCTTATAAGTTTCCATGCTTTTAAGACCTTTTTCCCCATCAGCATCTCGTCAATTTCCTTTTGTTGCGCGGCTGTCTGAGTGATATCAGAGAGAAAGCTTTGCTCCATGAAATCTGTAAGCGGTTGGTTTGCTTCCCATTTGACTGGGCGCAAACCATCCCGTCGATCTCTTAAGCCCTCAGAGTAGTAGTCTTTAGAACTACAGTCTACCATAAAGGCAACCTTTGTGGCTACCGTTGCTACGTAATCCTTCTCTTTAGGTAGAATATCTCCCGAGGGTAATGCTGCGCCTAGAAAGCCATCTCGCGATAAAGACGGGTTCCTGTGGAGAGACCTGATATATCTCAGAAGGTCCGCATGGCTCTGGAGTGCCGGATTATCGATTCCCACGAGCGCGTCTCCATGTGTTGCAGGGCAAACAACTGAGACATAATAGTCAAAATACGCCTTGAACATCGTATCTGTTGAACCATGAGGCAGCTCACTCCCAAGCAGTTGCTTTGCGATTTCATTCTTCTCTGTCTGACTTGGCGGAAACATTATTATACTGCTTGATTCTCCATTCGGGGGGACTACGGGTACACAAAGAATTATTTGATACTCAGGACGGGAGATTCAGCGAGTTGAGAAGCCACCCCCAAATTCCAAATTCAATCTTCAGCCAACACAGCCACGGTCAGATCCACTCAAAGGCAACCGAAGGCAATTATTGGTTCGTGAGAATGCGACCAGCTACCCCGCCTACAAGTAGTTTAAACATCCGCAGTAGCGCCCGCATCGTGGTTTTGTTTCATCAACCTACTAATAAGGATTATGGCTATGGCTGGCTATAATATGAGAGACGTTCCACTATCTGTATCCAGGTAAGTTTATTGATATGATTAGTTCACTTGAGAACGCTCACAAAGGTCAGGCATTCTCAGGTTCGATCAGGCGTTTTTGGCGAATCACAGTCAACAACTTTAAGACAAGACAGGAGTCAACCAGGCTCGTTGGCGAATGACCCGCCAGTGGCAGCCACAGTCTCAAAAGACTCCATGCTAAAAACTTGTTATTCGCATCCCCAAACGCTCCAAAGCGATATCAAAGTTAGTATTTGAGACTTACTGAACAACACTTTCTCGGCACAGCCCAATTAAACGTATGCCTAGGAACTAACACAGATTCTTATAGGCCGAGACTAGTTCTGTGCGGAGGTTTTTTAGGCAACCTCCTTCAACTGCATTCGCGAAAGACATACAGCCGCAAAAGACCCTCTCCCCTTACCCAGTAAGTGGGAGTAATGCGGCGGCTACTTCTGGCTTGTCCAGTTCCTCGTCTAGCTCAACTGCAGAAGTCAATACAACAACCCGGTCTATTCCGTCTCATTCCTTAGAAGTTGATGTAACCCATCATGCAGTACAATGCAATGAGGATCCTTTCCGCGACCCTGTACAAATTCCAAATGCCTCCCCTCCAATTTTTGTTTATCCTCATAGCCCTTCACTTATCAGCGATGCCTTCCGAGAGAGATACTATGAGGTCGTGAATATATTCAGACAGAATACTGAGGAACATTCGACCTTAAAGGATCGTATCCAGCATATAGACTATACACTCAAGATGTGTGGCCCCTCAGTCAATGAATCTCATCCTTCAATCTTGGTGTTTTGCCGCCCAAAGGAGTTCAGTTCTCTAAGTAGCCTTCTTCTTAGCAAGCCCCTTAAGTTTCAGTACTGCCTTCGGAGATCATCGTCCAAATACTCCTGGAAGGGGTGGCGGAGAAACCAGCCCGCCTTCCCTGGAGATACAAGCAAACCACTCTTCAACCTTTATTTTTGGTGTCAAAAGAGACCACGAATTCTGCTAGGGTGTGACCAAGTTAGAGTCTTTATCGAATCCGAGACTAGCATGTCAACTTCAATATCGCAGCCAGATCTTGATGCAGGGCTGACTTTATGTGGCTCGACCATTTCTGTCTCTCCAGGAGGCCTTCAATGTTCAACGATAGGCTGTATTATCGAGATAGAATCAGATCTTTACGCTCTGACTGCAGCACATGCTATAAGACCATCAAGACTACACTCAAATATAGCCGAAGCAAAAGATAATAACACAACATTGGATACAACTCTGCATGATGCAGTAGCATCCCTCCCTGGCGATAAGCGACTCACGTTAACAGCAACTACGGGGAACGACCATATGCAAACCGGGGTGTTTACCATCCATTCCATTGACAGAAATTCACTTGATGAAACTTACGAAAACGACGATTATGTCGTTGATGAGGTGACGTACGATATTGTTAGTGATATCAGTGAGGATGACGAGTCAATAGACGGAAACCGGCCACCAATTGCTGACGATTCCGTCCCCGAGACCCGACCATTTGCTCCTGGGCAGGAGGCGTTGGCTTTCTTCCCTGAGTATCACAACACACGTGATTCTAGTAGTCTAGATCTCGATTGGGCCGCCATTCCATTGAAGGAACGAGAGCAGTGGCGTCCGAATGCCTTCGTGAGCGTTGAAGATCCGTCACATCCTATGTTTCTCTCCGAAGTTGCTGTAACTCATCCGAGGAGTGAGACGAGAGTTTTGATAGTTAGCTCCGGTCATACCGCAAGAAATGCGATGCTACAGCCGGTATCGTCAGTTCTAGGGGGAATCAATGGCAGTCGGGCGTCAACAGTTTGGAGTGCTATTATGACAGACAATGATAGTAAGTTTCTCAATTTGAGATATAGCCGTTATTAACCTCAGTTATAAGGTGTCTCCAAAGGAGATTCTGGGTCAATTGTCATTGACGCGCAGACCGGCGTGATATATGGACACGTTATAGCGTCGAATCCGTTACGAGAGGTTTATATCAGTCCATTAGCTGCCATTTTGAGCCAGATAAGCTCATGCTTTCTTACCACGACAGTATCATTACCTAAGCCATTGCCACTACTAACTAGTCTAGCTACTTTGTGTCTCGAGAAGAAGCAAGATGCTAGAGCCGTCAAGTTGCTGACTCACTTGGACTCGTTGATCCGATCTATGGAGGATGAAGGGCAAACTAGTGCATTAGCATCTTGGAGGAAATCCAACGAACGTGAGGCCCTCTCAGCATCAATTGGCACTTTTTGGGAAGGAAAGATAACTACCACAGAAGAGGTATGCTTATAACAATAACGCTAAAACAGCGTGTGATTGATTGGCGGTTACTAAGGTTGAAAAGACTCAGATCATACAAAAGTTCGCCGAAAGCTTCACTCATCCATATACCCGCAGCACAGATTCCTCGCTCGATATTGAAAATAGACCTTCTTTAGCATCGACGATGGCACAATCTAGTACAGTACCGACGAAAATTCCGGACGACTACCAGAACGATGCTGAACTTGCCTCAAGTTATCAAAGCATCCAGCAGACTGGGGACAGCGGATCAGAAATTAGCACTAACACCATCGAAACCGGTCGCTCCGAATACCAAACGAAATATCTACTGTACCAAGGCAACCAGTCCACCCCATATGTCAACAACTTTGATTCACTCCAACCTGATCGGCCCGTCATGGAGTCTACACCTGCCGTCTCTTCATCAGAGCCGTCGTCAATAGCTTCTACTTCTCATGAAGTAGGCCCAACTCAGTCAGAAGAACACAATATAAACGAACTCGTTACCATGTCATCCACGTGGTCTCTTCGGACGGCTGGGTACCGTGCTGGCTGGGCTACACCAAGCGACTGGGCGAGCCATCGGTCGTTGATAACGGCTCTTTACATAGATCAGAATAGGACATTAAAGGATATTATGCGAATTATGGAAGAAAAGCACAACTTTTTCGCAACGTAAGTGGATCTGATTCAATACTATTCAATCAGCCTGGCGCCCCTGAAATACTAATATAACCTTGTTGACAGTCTACGAATGTATAAGGCGCGCTTTAAGCAGTGGAGTATCGATAAGAAGATAAAGGCCGATGATGCCGTCGAGGTCTTTCGTCAGCAGACAGCTCGGATGAATGCCGGCAAGCCCTCGGCCATTTACATAAGGGGCCGTAAGATTGATCCGGTCCGATCTCAGAGATACAAATACCGTGCTGCTAGTATCGTCTTGGAGCAAATACAACAACTCGATGAACATAGAGCGATCCCGTTGCCGTTGCTCTGCAAGTCAGAGCTATCCTATAGCAATGAAATTGCTAGTGTTCCCCAGAGGCTCACAGACCCTATCGACACAATGGCATTTCGAGAAAGCATGCAAATTCTAGGGAACTACGTCGCTGACTTTCTCGAGGCTAGAAATCAGCGAGTTACTAGCGATGCTGTACTAAGTAGTATTTTTACTTGGGACCATTACTTGACTATCTCACAAGCGTTTATTGGTCGGAATCGAGTGAGAGAGGGGTTTACTATACTTGAGCTTTGCTTTAGCAAGTACAAAACATACCTTCAGCAACCGGACTGGTTTTTCTGGCCCGTCACTTATAAAGTGATTGCGCAATTAGCGTACATACATGACGATCTCGCCAATATGTTCCTCGTATACGCATCGGAGCTTACGTCAATATTATTGCCACCTCAGCATCCATTTAATCAACTCTGGTCACGAATCAAGATAATCGGCTTGTCAGGTCTTTGCCAACACGGAGAAGTCTTATTAGAGTCCTATTTACATACCTGGGAACACTACGCCACTTCGGCTCGCCTGGACACTGCGGCCGTTGTACGAATCGCGCTCTTCTTTATTCAGCTCCATTGCAGTGGCAGAATCACATACGCATTTGTGCGAGACGCTCTTACAACGATACTGGAGAGGCTACTTCCTCCAGGTAGAACTGTCGACTATTTGCGAAACGAGACCAATTACCGCATGGCTTGTCTGTTGATTAGCAAACGCAAGTTTAACCAAGCAGAGGACCATCTCAAAGAGATAATGGCTTGGCTAGATTTGCAGAAAGGTCAAGAGTATGTCTATCTTCGTGCCAAATGCTTGTGGAGCATGTTCAACATCAAAGATAAGACGAAGCAGCATTATGAAGCCGCTCGGAAAGGATATGAAGTACTGGGTCTCTACCAGGGAATATACGGAAAGCCCAGCTTGGAAACCTTGGATATAACATCCATACTGGAAGATTTTATGCGACGAACAGGCGAGGTCATGGAGGCCGAAGATCTAACTAAACTTTTCGATGAAGGGTTGGCCGAATTTTATAAACAGGAAAAGGTTGACGGCCCGTTCCGAAATACCATCCCATGGGCCCAACGACATATTGAAGTCGAAGAACGTCAGGAATATATCCAGCAGATAATAGATCTTCTGAATAGTCAGCAGGGCGATTATTATGGCTTACCGCAGCCAATGAGGCTGGCAAAAGGGTAGTTAGGGTTTAGTCTTGATATATTGAAGTACCTAGTATAGGGTACAAGGGTAGCAATACCGTACATCTTCATTTGACGACTTCATCTGGATATTCTTTTAGGATATTCTGGAGCAGTTGAGAACTTGCAGAGAGCTGAGATGTACATATCGCGCATGTAACAGTAGCATCGCCAACAGCCGGACTTTTTGGGGAGAGGCCCAAACGTTATGCTGGACAACTGTTTCGGAAATGACTCGCGTGGGTGGTCATGCTGCGTATCTAAAGCCTTTTAATTCATTAGCGGTTATCTAATGTAACGGGTGGTTAGAGTTGTATCCAATTAGTTTAGGATGTAGAGCCCATCGGCAAGCGCTTGACATTGATACTACAACGTCAACCAAATTTATTTAAAAATGATCCCGGTTCTCATTATATTGATGCCTTAATCGAAGATACCAGCTGCCCATGCTCTAGCCAAGATATCATCTGGACGAAAGTTGATAGAAGTGGAAGCACCCAAGAGCTCCTGAACGTCTAGACCATTATGTTCACGTACAATGAATAGAAATACGCATAACCACCTGTCCTTACTCAGCTCTTCATATCACAAAGTGAGTGCTCAGTCTAACCAAAACGTCTATTATACTTGCTCATCCACTCCCTCAAGCGAGTCTGTAATATCATTGCTACTATTTGTCCAAAGTCATTATCTCCTGGTCATGGCCGAGCCCCCAAGATTTTACATAACCGGCAGCACTGGCGGCAGCTACCATAACTTTATCAGAGAGCTGCGGCGACTATTTGCCCATCCTGGGACATTTGCTCATAATGTCCCAGCCCTTATTCAGGAAAATGATAATCGTGTGGACAACTTGATCGAAGTCGTTCTACGCACAGAAACTCACGCCGTGAGGCTGAGCATCCGGCGCGATAACCTTTATCTAACCGGCTTCCGAGATGACACGCCGGGAAGCACATGGTTTGAGCTCGACAGTGATCAGCAGCGGATACCGGGGTCTATATCGGTGCTCATCGCACACAGTTATATGGCGCTTGAGGGCGCCGCGGGCATTAGTCGCCAAACTAGACTTGCTGTGATGCTTGGCCGGTACGTATTCCTAGATTAATTCTGTCCGGGTATGGACCAGACATAATGCCGTATACTCTTGAAACCCCTTTTCTCAAATCATGGGTCTAGTCACTATCTAGATGTTAGTGGATTTTTTGGCGTTCCAACATTGTCTGTGAACAGAACGCCGCTTTCCGCTGCCGTGAATCAGCTTGCCGCTTTACGAAATCCGGCACCCGACGGCAATAGACAGGCGACGGGGTATTCCCTCCTGGTTGTTATCCAGATGCTATCCGAATCCATTAGATTCGGATGGATTAGCGACCATCTTGATCGGAACTGGCTCACTGATTTGACCACTCCCATCCGAATGATTGAGTTTGAAAATGCTTGGAGGACACTATCTGAAGCTCTGATCCACGCCGACCAAGAGTACGAGTTATCGTAACCCCTTACTCTCATTGCATCTACTGTCTGAGGAAGATTGTTGTATCCCGTGATCAATACCGTATAAGGGCTTGCTGTTTAAGGCCCCTGACTGACTCTCGATATAAACAGTCCCGCTCCTGAAGACTTCCGACTACCCAGAAATAACAATTTCGGCATCACGAATGCATTTGGCTTAGTCGCTGTCTTAGGGATTCTACACTATCGCGGTATTCCTCGGGCTTCAGGATTATTGCGCAACCCACGCGCTGTTGCAGGCCTCTAGGACACTTACCCCTCGATCTTTCTCGATCCATATTGGCCGGTGACAGCTTCAATATTGCCTTGGACCTCTGGGACAAGGACTTCGACCCGTCTCCTGATGACAGCATCGTCAAAGAGACGATCTACTGGTATCCAAGTAATGTGTGCACCACCTGGGACCAACCTATTACTCAGCGAGTGTCGGGAGAGTCTGGGACTTCGGGCGAGATTAGTGTGAGAGTCGGCTGGTTCTAGGAGATTAGTGGGAATGAATCAAGCTAAGATGGAAGACTGAGTTTCGAAGCGACGAGTCATGCCCTTGGGAGCATGCAGACGAGGCAGGTTTTGGTCTATTTCACGGTTTTAGGGATCGGCTATCATGAGATTGATGGCAGATTGAGTTAGCTCATGGGTTTCCCTGGGTTTCCCTTCCACCCATGACAGCTGTTATAGACGTTGAATGCCCTTCCCCTCGACTCTAATTAATAGCTGTCTTTTATCCTTCAGGAGGTTACTTATACAAAAGCGCTTCCACTTACCTATTCTTACATTTACATTACTGCTTTATATTGCACAAGGTGCTTTGAATAATCATGTCTCAGAGCATATCCATCGAAGAAGCTCCTGATAGCTCAGTTGGTAGAGCGATGGACTGTAATTGAAATCATATCATAATCCACAGGTCGCGTGTTCGACTCACGCTCGGGAGAGCTTTCTCAATCGCAATATTTTTGGTTCTTGTTAATATTCACTCACTTTTTTGACCTCAGTTTCCTTTCCTTTTTTTTTTTTTTTTTTTCATCGGTAAAGTTTGGGTTTGGTTACTTTCCTTGTTTCTCTTCAATAGGTCTGATGCCTGCGTCCACCATCTTACTGGTGTCAGCAAGAGCTATGCATTTCACCATTTTTGCTTCGATGACAGTATCTTCCACTTCTGCGATAAGTAACAGCAGCACGCCAACAGCAATTCGTTGTAACGGAAAACTCGAAAAGCCCTGTAGCACCCTATATGTCAAGAGGAGACAAAGTCGGGTGAGAACCCCGCAACGCATGACAGAGGCGATGACACGAGTGAATTGGCTGAACTCGAATATGAATTCTAGCATAAAGCTGGCCAGCCGCGCGATGAATAAGAACAACTGCCTGCTCTGTGGCAACGAGACGCGCAGTCGTTCTTTTGCCGAGGATTGAGACGGCTTCTGGTTGTGGCGCATGATCAAACATCAATTCGAATCATCGCTTGATTTCACTCTGATTCTGCTGCCACTCCCGGGGGTATCAACGTGATTAACACCAATGATTATCAATACACCCTATATACAATTCTATTTCGATTTGATAACGCTATAGTTGAAATAATCGCTAACTAGTACTAGTCCTCATTCACTTGGCGCTTCGATGGCGTCGTAGGCGTAGCCAGAATCAGTTCCTCACCAGTTGACTGCGGTATCAAGCGCTCTACCTCGCGCACTGATTCCCAGTGCACCGTTCCGTACCTATACAGCTCGCCAAACGTACCCGGTCTATGGTCCGCGTCCTTGAAGCCGTCTTTCTTAACCAGGTCCCCAAGAGCGGGCAGGCCACCCGCCGAATTGTGATAGACCTTGTACATGTGGCTCTTCTCGAGCACCTCTACAACAAACGCCTCGGCGGCCTGCCTCTTGCTCTCATCCGGCTCATCGAGTGCCGTCGTGAAAAGCTCGGCCTGCTTATATCCGTCGAAGTCGGTTCTAATCGCCCCAAGAATGCCGTTTTCTATCCCTTCTACCATGAACACGTTGTTCTCCCAGAATTCGCGCCCGTTCCAGCCTGTGCTGACATCGAGTAAGTTCTTCGTGCGATCGCCGAGGAGCATCTGCGCCACGTAGTCGCTCATCTCGAGGACCTTGTCCTTGAAGTGCCAATCAGACATGCCCTCGGCAATCCCAATGTCTTGAACTAAGGGTAATTTGTGGAAACCAGTGGCATTGGTGCGTCCTTTCCATAGCTCTTTGTAAGAGTTGTGCCAGTTCCTGATGAAGATGCAGCCCTTTCGCGCGGCTAACATGTAGTTGCCGAAACTGCCCCATTGCTTCCTGATCTGTCCTGATATAATCCAGACAGCCATCTTGTATGGCGAATCCGGAGTGCTTAAGGCATTCCAGAATAGTTGGTCGAGATGCGTGTGCAGCATATTTCCGACGTCCATCCAGACGCCTCCGTGTTCGTACAGCAATGGTAGCCGTACCAGATCGGCAGCGTGCTGTGCCGCGTGATTTCCGTCCATCGTCCGGTTGACGAAGCATTCGGGGAACCAGTCCTTGCTCACGTACTTGTAGACATTGTTGGGCGAGTCGTCAACGAGATCGACGATGCGAACGGTCCACGAGCTACCCAGCTTCCTGACCCAGTTGAGTACGGTGCATCGGTAGCTAGGGTACATGCGATCCAAGCCCTTGTCCCAGAAACACCATACGTTCTTTTCAGAGGTGACGGGGCGAAAAGAACAGAGCTCTCGTACAATTTCCTCTTCAGGCCGGAGATCTAAACGAGACCCAGGCACCACGCGGAGGCCCGTCGCCGATTGGGGCAATGCGAATCTAGCCACTTGGGCCTGGGAAATCATGTTAGGTTTTTGTAAGGGTATTGCGAATACTGCGACAAGTGGGAAGTATGTTGAGGTCTTTATAAAGTGGCTTTCGCTTGATGACTTGTTCTAGTACAGTATCGGAGTTTTTGAATGCTTTGCGCTTCGTGTATATATCTACTTATACCAAGAAATCTAGATCTGAATAGTCAGAAAGACACTACTGGCTTTAATCTGCACGTAATTCGCCCTTGGGGATGATTCATAGTGATTGCGCTATATTAATTATCGTATATCCAAGCCCCCTTTCATCGGGCGGGTCTGCAGCGGAATAGAACACGGGTACGAACTAAATATTTCCCATAGCATATCTAATGGTATTTTCAAATTTGCAACAAGAACCAGATTGTTTTTGACGGCAAACATTCTTTGCGGTTCTTTGCAACGCCCCCTATGTGAAACTGACTAAGCGCTAGTCCAAGGGGGGCTAGCACGAATATGATTCATAGTGATGGGGTGCTAAGCCTCCGGCCTCATGTTACACTCTGTGCCGGCAAGTCACGATACTCGCCGCCGTATCATATGATAGCGAAATGAGCAGAATGAGAAACATGGCGTACTCGTTGCTTTTGCGCTGGCAGTGCTTACGGTAAGCAGCGGTGTGGTATCATAGTGTGTCAACATGTCACAGCCCCAAATGGGCGACGATGCTGGCAATGGTTGGATTCAACCGATTCAACCGAGTCAACCGAGACCGGCTCTCTCATGTCTTATATCCTTTTTCTCATCACGATGAGAGAAGTATATAAGAAGCTGCGACGTGCGTAGGTGAGGGTTGAATACCACCCATACGACCATTATCCCAACAATCTACACACATCGCTAGAGCTCACTCTTCTCTCCTCTCCTCACCATGATCGGCCTCAAAGATAAACCCCAGTACATCGACATGGTCCCCGACTTCAAGCCTATGCCGAAGTATGGTCATCTATCTGAGAAGACGCCAGAGCTCCTGGACTCAGAAGATGCCATTAGCGCCGTCATGGAGGCGCTCTGGGCATTGCCTGACATGGCTGCTATCCGCCAAGCGGCCGGCGACGCAGACGCTGCTATGCCCCCTGGGGGTCCTGATCGATACCGCGAAGTGAAGACCGAGTTCTTGCATTTTCCGGCCCGTGATGGACACCTGGTCGAGTTAAAGGTCTACAAATCTCCCCACGTTGCGGCGGACGCGACACTCATGTATTCTATGCACGGTGGTGGTATGGACTGCCGACCCGCTTTCATCCTGAGATACTTGATGCTCACCACTTTCGTTTAGGCATGTGTGTTGGAACGCACGAAACACAGGGCGCTGAGAACGTTTATGCTGCTATCAACCGCAACATCGTTGTCGTCAGTGTAGATTATAGACTGTAAGCGCATTCCAGACCATGTGTACGAAGTCGGCTCTTACTGACACTGCAATAAGGGCACCCGAGCACCCTTTCCCAACACCAATTGAGGATTGCTACGATGGGCTCCTATGGGTACGAACCTTTGTGCAGATTTCACTCCTTGCTTCATATATCTCTACTAACACACGATATCCAGTGCAAGGAAAACGCGAAAACTCTTGGCATCAACCCCGAGAAGATCATCGTCGCAGGAAGCAGCGCCGGTGGGAAACTGGTGAGTCGACGCCTTAATTCCTGCATAATCCCGTCTCTTGCTTATTAACAACACATTTTCTAGGCTGCCATTCTGCCAATCATCGCCAGAGACAATGGAACTTCCGGCATCATCGCCCAAGTGCTCCATTTCCCAGCATTATGCCACCCAAAGTTCTTCCCGCGCGACAAGTACGAGTTCGGCAGTTACATCCAGAACGCAGAGAGCTGCGTCCTGAATATCCGCCAATTCGAGACTTTTCTCGACTTCCATTCACCTAACCCCACACCAGACTACAAGCACTCGCCTCTGCTTGCCCCCTCGTTAGCAGGACTTCCGCCAGCGTGTAAGTAGATCTTCTTCTTCATCCATCACTGACTTCTCACTTAGCATAATATAATTCTCTACCGCCCAAATCAAACAAGCTTGGCTAAACTAACTAACGCCCGTGTTCATCGATGTCGTACAGTGATCCAATCCGCAGGTGTTGACATCCTCCGTGACGAAAGCTTCGCTTACGCCGACGCTCTCGCGGCAGCCGGCGTAGACGTCGAGATACACTGCTACAAAGGCGTGCCGCATTGTTTTCCCGGTCTCATGACCAGGCACCCTCACACACCGGTATTCTACGAGAGGTACAATGCCTTTCTGAAGAAGCATGCGACTAGCTCAAACTCGGACTCCCTCGTTTAAAGAAAAAACAAACGTGTAATGATTCCCATACTTCGCAGAAGAAGAAATTGCTACGGCAAGGGCATGCTTCACACCTTGGAAATTGAATCTAACGACGGCTATGATCAAGAGCAGGGCTAAATAGGCAGTTATCGGGCTATCTACAGTTGCCAGTCATCTGGAGCCATGTTAGCTACACTATAATTACACCGAATATATATATATATATAGCACGTTCTGTAGCATGTAGTATTCGATGATTTCAGCTTGTTTTTAATCCACCCCCCTTTTGGTGTAGTTTTTTCGTGATAATAATCACAAGGCTAAAAAGGTAAAAGCACGTAAAGTTATTAATGTAGAAGTGTTAATTAACAGTAAAAGTGTTGAAGGTAAAGGTGGCCCAATAACAACGCATTTAGTTCTGCTCATAATTAATAGAAGTCAAAAAGGGGGAGAAGCAACAAAAGAAGCTAACAAGACATATATGAATAATCCAGATAAATCACTAGAACTTGGAAATTAAGCAAGCTCTTACGAGGCATTACCTAAAGGTGCATAAAACGTACCGAAATTATTCCTCGACAGCAAACATCCCTTGCTTGGCAAAGTGAAGCACGGGGTTTCTACGCAAACATACAAACTTAACGAATTCGTGCCTTACCTCGTGAACGAGGAAACATTGTGCAACAAGGATCAGCTTTGGAAAGTATTTGGAATACTATGTCCAATACTTGGTGAGATCTGCTCTTTGTTTGGGGGCATGATTCAACGACGCTCATGCCAGCCCTTAGTTTAGCGGTGTAAAATCCCTGATCGACAAACATGTACACATATCGGAGCTGTATCGTTTCAGTTGTTTTTTCTTCATTTTCCCCCCTTATTCTATGGTAATAGAGTGCTACAGGACTAACTGCAGTGGTCCGAAGCAATATCTCACAACATCTCTTGGGATGCAGATAAACGAATAACAGCGTACCAACCCATCATGTCCAGATGGAATAACCATCGCGGACGTATTAGAGAAAAGAAACATGATATGCGTACAATAAGAGTTCCAAGCAAGATCTCATCCTGTGATTCTGCTAGGATTCCCTCTAACAGGTCTTGAATGGATTGACCAGAATTTTAGTCAGCATCATTGGAAGTGTTGCCAGTGACGTATTTTGAAATTATTTTTGCAAGTAAGGAGGCCAAAGACTATGATCGAATTTTGGAAGTTTGGAATACTGCGCCAGATCCGGAAGGTTAATGACCCCCTGGAGTGCCATTGACAGCAAAGGCTTAGCACTAGACAATTTTAGGCGTTAGAAGTCATAAAGGGCAGAGTTTTAATGTAGTTGTTAGACATATCCTTTGGTTGCATAGAAAGTCTAAATTCAGAACTGCGAGAGAAGGGACGTGAAAAGGTAAGGAGGGAACGTACTGTTCACATGTAGGCATAATAGATGCTTCGAGGATTCCAAGGTGAGGGTTTTCAACTCTGCCTTCTCCAAGTCGCCGTTCTTGACAAGGACGGCCAACAGTGTGAGTTACAATGCGATTTGTGTGCTCATATTTGGCCTCGACGAATCTCTTACTGAAAGCATGGACACCGCTGTAGAAATGATTGTTGATAAGTCGGTTATGTTCGTCTAGGTTTCTCTCCGCTTGGTTGGGTAAGTATCCAAGTTTCTCCAGGCGGTCAATGGCCCAATGGGGGGAAATGGGCTGTGTTTGGGGATTGAAGTTCCTGGGTAGACATTTCGGGTAGAACACTGCCACGTCATTCGATGTGAGAGTATCAACAATCACTTCTGGTTTACGTTTGTAATAAGTATCCTTACTGTCTTCCTCAGCCCCGTCCAAGCTGTCCCGGGCAGTTTCCATGATAGGATTAGAAGAGACACTTTCGCCTTCGATGGACGCCTCAGCGACATGCTGATCAAAAGACGGGTGCATATGATAAGGGTTCATCATCGGATTCTCGTCGTCAAACTCCCGAGCTCTTTGAAGGGTTTCTTGTTCCAAGGTTGTCGATTTGAATTGCCGAACACCAGGGGGACCAGCAGTCAGCGGTGCAGGTGGACCGCGAACTCTACAATAGGCAGGGGCATATATGGAAGCGTCCAGCGGCGATAGTACTAGCTCTGGCTCGAAATCATAAGCGTTCGGTTGGATGTCCAATAGATGGGACTGGAGCTTGTTAGTACCCAATACATCGTTGCACTATTAGTAGATGTGGGAGAGTCTAGGCACCAAGGAACTCACATCAGGGACAGGATTTGGGCGGTGAGAGGCGAGGACCTTTTGTGCAGCTCGTTGCATTGGGTTGGGGTAAGAAGCTAAGTTTGTCAAGCTGTTGAAATTCATGGCAGATATCGGTTTGGTGTCGGTTGCGTCGCTTTCATGGTCAGAGTCGGTGCTGTGCTTAGCAAACATGCTAAAGTTGTTTGTGACACTGTGTTCCATAAACGAATCCATGCTGCCAGCTGTCCGATTGTTCATGTATTGAGATGCGTCAGTACCGTCTGAAGTAGGTGCTTGCAGTGCGCCCGACATGTTTGAGATTTGTTGAACGTTGGAAGCTACTAAGCCAATACCTTGTACATCTTGTCTCTCCTGGCGGCTGATGTTCATGAATAATGGAGACTCGAGGCGAATTGGGCTAATGGCGCGGTCGGAATTTTGCTGTAACGGGGTGTACTGGAGTTGAGACGGTCCCGCTGGTGAGTCGCTCTTGTAAGGGAAGAGCGACTTGACTGTCCGGCCACGGCGAACTGGCGGCTGGAGAGGCTGAGGCTGGGGATTGTAAACAGAACCGACTGTTGTGTATTGACGAGGAGGGGTGGACTGCCGGGTAGCTTGTAGCTGAGGGAGGTTTGGAAGCTGATGAGATTGAGACGGTTGCGAGTGTGGAAAATTGAGTGGCAGGTAACTTTTGAAGGGCGCCTTCGAGTTTTCAGGTTCGTTACTTTCCATGATGGTCGAGTCACCTTGCAGGCTCACGCACGGTAGTTCGTCAGCTCTACAATCAATGTTTCTCTCACGGGTAGTGGAGTTTGACTCGGGATAGGTGCGATGGACAAGGTTGGTGCTATAGAACAATAAACCGAGACGACTATAGATCGTAGAGGGGTTATTTCTGTGGCGTGTACCTTGCAGTTGCTATCATAGGAACAAGAGAGCTCGAAATATGGCAGACAATTCTTTCGATGATGACTGATGACGATGGTGCTCGTGCTTCTGGAGGGAAATAAGAGTAAAACGGGAAACCTGGGACGAAGATCAGAACTGCACTGGAGTTGAACACGGGGTGGAAGCAAGATGGAAACATGAACGGGAATGTAGTGGGAGGAGTTTACAGTTGCTGCTTCCGTCAATGTCGTCAATGTCGTCAACGTCCTCGGCGTGCTACAGCCCGCAAGGCAGGTGCGTCTAGAGTGGGCAAGGTGGAAACGTGCCCCTACCTTGTATCTTAAAGTACCGAGCCTAGTGGATAGACAACTGCAAGGCGGTACTCAAAATGCTAAGGAAGCTTAACTCTAGGCGCTTTTGAGGTTGTTGTCTCTATTGCTCTGCGATCCGGGGTTGTGATCGGGACAAGAAGCAAAGGGATGGGTAGAAAGGAAAAAATAGGACCAGGAGAATTGTGGGAGTGACACAGGTTGACCTACCACACTATCATTTACATCCGTTGGGATGAATATCTTCTATTCGCAAGCAATCAATGGACCTTGATTCGTATTCGAATGGTTGTTTTTACCGTTGTCGTCGTTGAGGGTGGCGTGTTGATAACAGTATTTGCCATCCAGTGAACCTTACCTAGACAGCAGTCTGTATAATGCCACATTATTCACCCTTTCTTCTTGGCCGATTAAACTGAGCATTGAATTAGAGAGTGCTTGGATATGATAGCTGAGGTTGGCGATGTTAGAATTGGTGGCTCACACCGAGAATGGCAACAACCTAGCTAGGTAGGCAGGTATGTGACCCGATATAAGTACTCTAACTTCCACAACTCACTGAAATAGACAGGAGGGAAATAAACGAAAGTTCACTTCTTGATTTAAAATTAAGCATCTTGCAAACCTTGTTCGGTCCACAATTTGCCTACTTTCATGTTGTTGGAATGTTGTCAAAGCCCTTACCATAGATCGGATATTACATAACATGTTGCCTCTGACCCATACTTGCTATATCAGTGTGGCAAAATGCTGACCATTGGTTTGTGTTAGTGATAAATCTAGACCAGCCTGTAGAGAGATAAAACGCAATGAAAGTCAAGTGCCCTCAACGATAAACGCCATCTTTCATTGAGATATACCTCCTAATTGCCAACGGCTCTTCATCTAAGCACGTGATATCAACTAAGAACTGGACAGGTGTGCTTCTAACAGCCAGATGATAACAATGGGAGGTTTGCTTTGGAGCCTTATGAAGATCACCCAAATTACTACTTTACCATGCCATCAGGATTAACATAACATTGTTTTGATTGAATTTTACGACAGTGATGTAGTGTGAATATTCAATCTTTGACGAGAATATAGCATAAATATGTGTTTTTTTTTTTACAGCATTTACTCAATAATATCCTCAAAGAATAATTAATTTCTGCAGACTCGAATTGCCACAGAAGCTCCTGGACAGGATTACCTTGACAGTGTGTCTGCACCTACCATTTTTAGTCAACATCTCCTCATACTCATCTTCTTCCCTGCAAGACAAGATGGGCTTTTGAAGTGAGATGAATATGGGAGTTACCGAGTGGCTGCTAAGATATGTGGCGGCTCAAGGAAGTTGTCTTTAAGCATTATTTGCAGTAATGATATAAATTGCCCTGCCAATTTGTATGCAATTATAGGCTTAATTGCCCAGGTGGTTTTCGGTGCTAATGAAAAGTTAGATCTCGTAAGCCTTGGTTCTTGATCTAGGGCGTTGGTAGCCTTGGCAGCAAGATTAACTACATAACGCTTTATGTTCCCACCCCTCTCTATGTTGCGCTGTGGACAACGTGAAGGAAGGTCATAAGAAGTTCATAAGTAGAGGAGAGATGAAACTGCCCCTTACATATCATCAAGGCTATAAAGACTAGGTAGGTTCGATTGGTCCAAGTATTCTCAGATTATTACATCACCACCTACATATCAGCAATATCTATAAAAACATAAAGGTACTGCACTACTGAGAACTATGACTTACAGTCGAACGTCCCAAAGGGAAGTAAATGCATGGATAGATAAAAAAGATGGGCGCACTCTTTCAGAACACCTACCAGCTGTTAGCCTGGTTGGCTTCAACTGCGTAATGATACTGCATGAAAGCATGCCGTCAGCTACATGATGGTGGCTTTCGCAAGCATCGCTAACCAATAACAATGCCGATCCCGTATAGCTGCATCAACTGGTGCTCGTACACAACGTACACAACGAGCTCGTGTTTTTCGTTTCGGCCTTACAGCTATTATTAATCCATCTTTTCGCATGACATACCGTGTAAAGAAGGGAGAGGGTAGCAATAGCTACCTCAAGCAACAACGCCAAGGAAGACAAGTCAATACGTCTCTTGATCGTTAAGCTTGACTAAAAAGCCCTCTTTTCTTCTAGAACACCCTTAGAAGCTTTGTCCCGCCGGATAGAAGCTTCGTCCCGCAGGGTGAGCCAAGCTTTGACAAAATTGCCGAAGATGCTTGTAAGATAGTAGAGCTACCTAGTTGAAGCTGCAGGAACCTGTTCTGAACCTGGAGTCTTCCAGCACGGGGGGTTCCAGTCCATGGTGGCAAACCGCTTGCTCTCACCCTTGTACGAGAGGAGTGATTACGACTTTGGCAGAGAACTCCACCTGCCATTCAGTCACCACTCGTGTTCATTGGCGCTTACGGGTCTCGACAGTGTGTCCTTTTCGCGGGTTATTCTCCGCCATACCGCGATTGCCATATCCGCACAGAATGGTTGGTTGACGGTCCCTGCCCACCGGCAAGACGCTAACTGCATCTCAGAGCACCTCACGCCTAAGCGCTTTGTTCAGAGAGACGAGGAGGATATAATAGAGAGAGAGAAAAAGTCATATAGTGAGTGACTGGCCACGTGAGGGTTGTGATACCTACTGGTATCCTCAAGCCGAGCCGTGCATCGTGCATCAGCCGCCGCAAGTCTCAGGAGATCTTGAGAGACAGACGGCAGAAGAGGGGATAAGGATGTGTGCCATTCGTCTAATATACCACACTAGGGGGATTGGTAACGGCCACCAGCTTGTACTGCTCCCAGGTGAGTACTGTAGATGGAAGGAATGTATGGAAGGGACGCACCTATCACGAAGGTGTCTAGGGGGTAATGTGGCGGATTCGTGCAGAGAGCCTGCGTATTGGCCCCCTGTTGAAAAGGCTTTGGGGTGCGCGGCACCTGAGCCATGGGATCAACTTGGGGGCGTGGTTTGGTCCCGCAGAGTCCCGACGCAAGGGGGATGGGGTGTGAAAAGCTGCATGGTCGAGGCGATTCCCAGCTCCTGCAGTCAGACTGTTCGTGCCGGAGATCAGCCACCAGGCCGCCATTGAGGCGGCATTGGGCTCTCACGCACTACCGTATGATTTAGCTGCAGACATATCGGCCTGCCATTTCTGGACAAGATATTGCATCGCGGGCTGGCCCAGGGCTCTTTGCCATTGGGAGCCGGGCTTCGGCATCTCCTTCTCACCCCAAGTACTGCCAGGGGCTGTCTGTTCATGTGCAGTCGGCAAGGTGGCATCCAAGGTCGTTTTCGGCCGGCTCTAGCTCTCCCGTCTCGCCTGGGTGGTGCTAGAAGCGCAGAGTCCCACAAGAGCAGAGCACTTGAACACGTTTAAAGTAGCTACATGTTGGTCGTTCGGTCCGGGGTCGGATGCTGCTGCTGGGCACACCTTGAGGCCCATCAGTCTCCGAGACCATCTCCACTTTGTCCACAACATGATTGTAAATCTGACGTGTGCAAAGTTATCTCCGTCCCACCCCAGGTCGAGCACCGTAACACCGGCTCATTTAGCGAGGCACTGAGCGGTTGAGAAGTCGGAGCCGAGCTTGGCGTATACCAACGACGACATTGGCTGCTGGACGGCGGCCATGGTATTTATCCCGTGGTGATTTCCGCATTTGGTAGTGGAGATTAATGGCACAGATACCGAACCGGAGTGTAGCTGCTGTAACGTCGTCGGCATCATGTCCTTTTTACTCATACATAGTACAGCGTCGTTGAAAGAAGATGGAATATTCCGCCGCATTGTACTTCACCAACTAGCGTGTAGACGCAAGCTTAGCTTGGCCCTTACGCAGCAAGGCACGCAAGCTGAGCCAGGATCCTTGGACCGTGGTTGGAGTAGGGTCCTAACGCGATGCGACATGGAAGAGTTGCAAAGATGGGAATCTATTTCTGAAGGTTGGAGGACCTGAATTGACGATCATTGTGGCTTTCGAACGATGCAACGATATCGAAAAGAAAAGAGGGGATTAGACTGGTCCAAACTGTTCCACTCACATTCCACCTAACCGTTTCCCATTCTCATCAATATTGGCACTCACACTACATACTACCTATCTACAGCGTACACCATCTACGTAGTCGAGTTGATGGTATTCTTATCCTAGATTTTCACCGTCATCCTTGTGGCTTTTGTGAAGTTGTGACGCGTAAGCATCCTCTCGATGGCTTATCGTTCTGTGTATCGTATTTCCGCGGGACATTCACAGCCTCAAAGGATCGAGCAGACTTCGACTATAGCCAGCATGCTAATGGTTTCGGTTCACAGTGCCCAAGTTACCAAAACCTGTCCCTTGGCTCTCTACGTGAGAGTAACGTTGGGGTTCACATGATCGGAGGGATTAAATATGACGCAGTTTGATGTCACAAAAGCTAGGATGATGGCGCTTCAACTGGCGAGACCACCAACATGGCAGTGTGACGGCTTGTTCCATGCTCATCCAACACGAATTCTTGGACTGAGCCTCGGATGCTTCTGGTTAACTCACATATTGTCTTCTTTCTCTGCTTTCCTTCTTCATAGCTGTAGACGCTTGTGAATACTCCTGGTACCCTGGTGTACTGGTTCAAGTAACATTTCTACAAACGCAGTGCTTGCCTGCCTATACAGGACGCGGACTATACTCCAACCCTGGAAATAAGGGTAACGAATATAGGTAGTGCCAAGGTCCATCTGACCGGGGCAGAAATGTCGCTCGCGGTCGCTTGTTTAGACGAACAAAACTATCCAGGTTCTGTCAAGCTTAGATTAGTACACTACATATGTAGTTGAGGGTGTGGTCGTTGTCGTTTGTCTTACAGTGCAGTGCCTACCTCCCCCTCCCTCTGTCCTCCTGAATCTTCACCTAACACCTGATAGGATACCTAATAGGATACCTACCTAATACTTCCCGCTTGATTCACCTATTTGTCTCACCACCCACAGTCTCATCGTTAGGGCACAATGCATGCTTGCTAAACAAACAATTTGAGACTTATGTACTTTTTGCCTTACGATTGAGGTCATCTTCCATCTAGGCATCTTCCCTTGGAGGTTGTGCGAGTTAGCAGGGTGCGAGCCCCGCCCGTCTCCGTCTCAGTCTCGGTACCTAGGTAGGCACAGATGGATGTAGGTATGTACTTGAATAGGTACTTGTCTAGGTAGGTGCATAGGTGCCTTAGCAGGTGTCTACAGCAGTAGGTAAGTACCTACTACTGTAAGGATGTACTAGATACTTATTGATGTAGGGCTCCTGCCTACCTGACACTGGCATTGTACGGTGCCATTACTAAGTACACGTGTGGTGATTTACCTAGTACGGCATCTAGGCTAACCTCCCTAGGCATCTAGTGGCAAGTATTTCACGGCCTTTCCCGCTTGACGCTAGCAGAACTTGGTACGCTAACGACAACCGGTAAGGCTTTCACGGAGCTTATTTTGTGTCTGCATGGGCCGCCAATCAGTGCTCATCGAGTGGTCCAACGGCTGGCGTTGGGGCTATAGCACTGGCTTGGCACAGCGTCCCTACCCGCTACAGGCAAGTACCTACCTAGGTCGAGGTACCTACATGTAAGTGTCCACTGTCCGGTAGTGGATGGCATGCCTTTCAGTGAGGATGTTATGGCCTAGAATAGAATCGGAGGTGATCAGAAGATGCCCAGATGGTGTCCAGATGGCGATCAGTGGAGCGCCCCAAACCCCAAACTCCGCGAGTCCAAACCAAACAGACCCTTCCAAAGGCCTCTTTGATCCCGTGTTCTGCCCGTGTTCCTCTTATTTCGCTTCATCGTCTCCGCACCATACCGACCCTTCGAACGTGACTTCGACTCCGATGTTCTGTGCGTAGTCGTTGCCGTCGCCCGTTCCTGACTCATCACACCAGAGCCGCCCCAACTAAATCCAAACTACCGGACTGTTACCTAATCTACCTGCTGGACCTAACTGTTCAGTCTCGTCGTCTGCTTTGCCTTTCTAAGACAAAGTTGTTTGGAGACTGCTTCACTTGACGTTGTACGAGGGTCACAGGAAACGCATCCTAGGCCGCACGGTAACGAGGGGAAGAGGACGAATCCCACGCACACGCATACATACGCACTGCCGCACGTCGAGCCAACGCCCCCGTTTCCCTCTTATACCTCGTTGGCAGACCCCGTCTCCCCTCTTTCTCTGCCAATCCCCTTCCTTCTTGACTTTGCCTACCCTGGACTGTCACTCCAAAGAGGCACTCTGATCAATCATTATACATACAGCCTCGTTGGCAGCCTCTCCTTATAACAAGTTTAGTCGTCTTACTCTTCTTCTTCTGCGTTTACTAGAACCATACCGCCATTATCGACCTCTGCAATGGATTTCTCTCATGCTTATTTCAGTGGCGCTCAGCCCTACCAATTCATGGGCATTCCTCCCATGACACCCTCCCATTCTACTTCGGCCGCCTCAGACGAGTTTGGCCACAACAATCATAACCGATCTCCACATGTTCGTTGCCCGCTCTTCTGTGCCTCGGCAGTTCCTTGCTCTGTCTTCCTCATATCGTTTCATCTGGCCATTGGCCGTCAATCTTTGAAGACCAGGGACTAACATAACCGGCTTCTCTCACTACACAGGAGATATACGATTCTTTCTCGAACCATGACCAGTTTCCACAGAACTTGGACCAATATTCTCAGTTCAGCCATCACAACCAGACCTTCCCTGGTCCACCTGGCCCGCCGACGCCTCCTAATATTTCACTGCATGGCCAAAATCAAACGGGTACGAATGGCTCACATCACGCCAAAGGCAGTCAAGCCGATATACTACCCTTGACTAAACCGGATCCTGACACGAACCGACAAACAGGCTCCAACTCAGAAGAAGACGATCTTAGCCCAGCCCAATCACGCCGTAAGGCCCAGAACCGAGCTGCGTGAGTGACCCTGTTCCATTGATCCTGCCCAGGAAAACGGTTATGAGCCGCTGGGGCGCTTGATATTATGGTAATCATTGTTTCTCGCTTGGCACTAACGTTGTTTTAACCAGCCAACGCGCGTTTCGCGAGCGTAAAGAGCGACACGTCAAGGATCTCGAGGCGAAACTAGCTAGTCTTGAAGCGGCTCAAAGCCAGACCGCGACTGAAAATGAGAAGTTGAGACGTGAAATGCAGAAAATCAGCACCGAAAACGAGGTCTTGCGGGCAACATCAAGTGTCCATGCGCAGCACAATGGTTCTATTTCACCCATTACAGGTATCACTACAGGGCCCATGCAGTACAATCCGACCGACTTCTATTCGGATCTGCTTCAGAATCATGTGAACAAAACTCCCAGTCACCGCATTGTCGAATCCGGCGGTGAGCGTCTATTGGCTGCTGGGGCCACATGGGACTACATCATAAGCCACGACTTGTTCAAAAAGGGCTTAGTGGATGTTGCTGACGTGAGTGAACGCTTGAAGTGTCAGGCTAAATGTGATGGGCAAGGACCCGTCTTCGAGGAGCGTGCCGTGTTGAAGGCCATCATGGATAGCGTTGCTAGTGGTAGTGACGAGCTATTATGATCAATTGGCGGGCAAATTTTGACCGCCCCCTGACGGTCTGAGGGAGCTACGCCTGCAGTTAACTCGTACTTACTCGTGAGCTAGCAATGCTGACATGATCAAACTAACGGAATGGGATGAAATTTGGAGTCGGAAAGGGCTGAGGAGTTCAAGCAAGCGTGACGACCTTTTTTGGGTTTCAAGTATTTTGGATATGGTTTGACAGCGCATGAAGACACGAATAACAAGCTTTTTGAAAGGCCACCTGACCTGAACTTTGCAGTTTGCTACTACTGACTGGCCAAAGATGGGTGAACGAGGTGACTTCAACTTTATGAGAACATTGTTACTCGCGGATTTATATCGCTGCATGTCGGGTTTCGTTTTCCTTTTGTTTTTTTCTTCTATTTCTTCTCATTTCATGTGTATTTATCTATCATTTTGTAGGTAACAACCATGTACAACTCGTGCACAATTAGGAGTTTCGGGGGGGATTACTTGCATATTTACATGTGGATAAGGGGGGATGGATATTGTATTGAACGAGAAAATATATATCTTTGACAGATGAAAAGATTCTCGAGAGAAAAGATAAATGGGGGTTACTTAATGATTTGTTAGAGCGTTGTCTGGGCGCTTTACGGAAACTGTTCTGATGATTGATGATGGGTTAATTGAGTGCTGAAATCACGAGTGTGTCAAGCCTGAAATTCCCTCTGTGGTACGAGGCGTTGCTGTTGTGTATAGATGGGATTTTGAGCGATGCGGAACTTGGAAGGGAAGATTGGTGGTTGCCTGCCTGTCTTGTCTTGTCTTGTCTTGTCTTGCCGTACTTGAAGTCGTGTTCTCCCCCCTCTCCCTTGAGGGATGTATGACATTAATCTCGGACTCGTACCTACCTACCTGCGTGGTTGCATGCACATTCTAAATACAAACATACTCGTCTGACAGGGCTGTGTGTGTGAAAACGAGACAGGAGTCGTCATTTGAATCAGGACGTGTCAGTTTGCACATTCGTCTGTGCGGGGGTATATTTACAGACCTACCTACCTACCTACATATACTTATCTGCGCATTATACCAGAATATTTGATAGGTTAATGGGGATACTAGGGTAGATGTTTGGGTTATCTATCTGTTTGTCTAAGTATGTATGTAGGTGTCGTACAATGGACTCAGATAGATGAGATGAGATCAGATCAGATGAAGTGTATCATGGTACCCGAGAGGTCGGGATTGTGCTACCTACCTACCTACCTACCTACCTAGTAGTCTACCCAGGACCTTTGTGCTGACGAAGTTGTGCACTGTGAGAGGTTACCTAGTTACTACCTATCTACACTTTTCCTCTGTTGTGATATGTCTTGTCATGATCTATGGGTGTGGTGGTACATGTATGTATCTCCGCGTTGGATATAACAACCAGTGAATGGTTAACAGACAGATAGACTGGTGTCTCGTCTTTGGCATCAGATTCCATGTAGAATACTAGGTAATTTGTGTCTTGGCGACTTCCTAGGAAGTCGCTCTAGCAAACCGGCTCGCAGATCGGACTCTATCCATCAAGATTGCACGCAGCTAGAGTCCTTAAGGTGCTTAAATTCGACTAATACGCGATCCATTCTTAGTTGAGAAGAGATAGTCAAAAGAGGTTGATGAATTAAAATCGAATTATTACTGTTCTAACTAGACTGAATCCAACACCGTGTGCCTAGCCCTTGAAAAGGGGTAACAGCTATGTGTTGCTCCACAGAGGCAAGGTTGATAAGTATTCTCGCAGGCTACTCAATAAAATCCAAAAGAGATCCCCAGGAGAATAACTCTAGCCTAGGATACCTAGCAGCAATTCGCACTCCGCAGTGTAACAAGCTTCATCCCAACGTAAGTACCTAAACGCCACTCCGTAACGCAAGTATAAAATACCTCACAATACAATTCACTGTGACATCATCAACTCAAGAAGACATAAATCCATTAAACTCATTCATGAATTTCGTAGTCAAATAACTCATTAACAATAGCAATTACTATAACTAGGAGCTTCCAGATATTGAGAGATTCTTTCTAGGCGAAAGTATATAGCATAGCGCCTGTCCATGCGTACGCAGCCAGGGTATTTGCGCATGAGATGTCTGGCGTGATATACTCCCGAGTTTCTCTAGTATCTCTCGCTTCTCAATCCTGGGTATTTCTCTGGTATATATGATATCTTTGCCATATCCCCAATACCTTTACCCCATCTACCATCCATTTCCATCAGATCGTGCCTATCATTAGATGTATAGAAAGAGAGAGAGGGCCCCCTGGGGGGGTTGAGGGTTGGGGTTTACGCCCTCCCTTGCAGGTTTCCCGCTACTTGCATAGTTCTATTCCCTTTTCCACGTTCTTCATGTAGAAGAAGATAATATGGGGTCCCGAGAGAAAGATATAAACCCCTAATACTCTGAATCGGGATAGCGAGAGCTTGACGTTCGTTTTGGAGGTTGTGTATGAATTTAGTTGACCTTCTTGTTGTTTGCATCCCCGTTGCCTGTTTGCTCCTTGACCTCTACGTATGGATGCTTGATGGTAAGACACCAGATGTCGAGATAGTCACAAATAGTCACAATGACATCAACGACAAACGAGCCGTAGACACCGACTGCCGTACCGAGCATGCAGAACATGAAGGCAACCTGGTAGACGTCGTCACCGAGAGCGCTAGGCCAGCCAGAGGCCCAGCCTATGTGTTCTTTAAGGATAGGGCCGAGAGAATCGATTATGCCGAACCCTAAAGGTAGAGTCAGGATATTCCAGTAGGGGAAGTCGAGCTTCACAAGATGAGCTGTGATCATTTGTCCTACGCTGTATGCGTTCACCATGCCTGCGAACATGGCGAAAGGGACAAGGTGCTGTGTGCGGATTAGTGGCTGTAGATATAGGTACGAAGCCAGGAGGAACCAAGTGCCGAATAAGGGAACGAGGCCAAGTAGAGCACCACGGCTACGATCGCCACGAGCGCGACGCGCGCGAATGACGTTGCGCGCACTCTCGACTGTGTTGTATGCCATGACGATAGTGCCTTGGGCCAAGTAAACATGCGTGAATGACAGATCATACACGAAGTCAGGAATGGCAACAGTCTTGGCCACGCCGAATGTGGCGAGGATTGATTGGTTCCAGAATGAGGCGCCGCCCATGTAGCCGGTGAAAGCGTAAACCAAGACTAGAGCCAAGATGCCTTCAACTGGACCATTCACGATGCCCAAGGTAAGAGTTTTGGTGTGGTATTCTTCCCAGGTCTGGACGTAAAACGTGCCGAGCGCTATGATCATGTTAGTAACTAGGCATGGGAATGTAATGTGAAGCGGGATGTCGAGATGGGGAATGCGTACATGCGAAAACGCTAATGACTGTAAACCAGCTCTGTCCCATGTTTTGTGATGCAGCAAAAATAAGACATTCAAGCGAGGTGTTGAGCGCATCTACGCCGTGGTCGAATAGTTCGCCCAAGGGGCCGCTCTGTCGGGTTCGTCGCCTACGACATTAGCTTGAGTTAGTTTGCGAAATGCGACAAGTATACTGGAAAGGGAGGACGTGGCTTATCACGTACGCTTGTGAGCCATCGACGGCATCAAAGGTCTGGTATATGAACAAGCCGGCGGCCCAAGAGTAGTATACCCATGGTGGACAGTCTTGGTCGAGTGTGGGATTGTACCAGAGCAAGGTGAGGAAGTTTGCGACGACGAACATGAAGCCGGACAAGGTTATCAAGTTCGGGGCCATCCACATGGGAAAGCACTTGATGACGACATGGGTGTAGAAGGGCTTGAGGATGTATTTGGAGGTCAGCGAGTGGTCGACACCGCTGTATTTATACGCCTTGAGGTTCGGCAGGTATTCCTGGCGCACGTAGACCATCTTGAATGACGCTGTCGCAGGGCTGAGTCGCACAGATCGAGGTTGGGATGGGATGGGGGGGTCGGTGGAGCAGGTATCGACAATATCGGGTTGTGTTTTGTAGATGGCGATAAAATCAGTTGTGCGCTAGCTGTTGCAATACTTATTTGCAGACAGAGAATCAAGTCTGCATTCTGCTGGCTCGACTTTCATGGAATCAAAGGCGAGGAGGGTAAAGTCGGCTTCAGTGATGCATTGATATTAATTACACTATTTGGCCTTATTTTTTTCTTTGCTGCCATCCATGCCCATCAACCATCAGGGTTTCCCTCCAATTTCATGCGAATGGAACGTCATTAAAGTGGAGCAGGGCGCGTCAGGACCGCGTGCACACAAAGACTGCCAATTAATTAGATTAGGTACCTATGTACCTGTGAAGTGCTTGTGATGGTAGACCATGAAGGCAGATGGCGATGGTACTGGTTCAACACAACTTGGAAGCTATATATATTTCTTCAGCTTGTTGTTGTCTGCTGAAGTAGTCTTTCTGCATATCTATGAAGTCGACCATCCCTTGACTCAACTTTCTAATCCCTACAGTAGGTAGCTATTGTTGGCCATGGCCACATTTCAGGAAGCCTTGCCCGCCAGGCGTAGTATGTCTCATTTGCTGTGATATAGTACAGAGATTTCGCATTTATATCATCCCTTTTCGCCCAACTGTATTGTAGAGTGGGTACCTGCGTGATACTCAGCGAACCAACAGGCCTCCCGCCATCATCTTTCCTGTTCAGACCTATACATTGATACTTCAGACACTTCGACAACATCAGCGACAACATCAACAGAGGAACGAAGATGACGGGCGTCGATGCAACTCAACACGCCGCCAGTGCATCGCAGCCGTCCTATTCCCGCGTCGTAAATGTAAATCCCTACACAGAGGCGGCCAAATGGAATCGCCAAATGCTCCGCAAAATCGGAGACACGTTGAAGGAAGATCCCGAAGTTGACTTTACCAAACTCTTCACTAAACGGTATGCAGAGAAATTGAAGTTTTTGAAAGAAGGCAAGGCGTTCCTACCAGTACATCGTCGGCTTTTCATATTAATGATTGTGTTTCATTTTCCATAGGTCCATCGGCCAGGTCATCATCCCAGCAGCCGTCTGGTCCATCGTTCGACCGTCTTGATCCTCGGTCAGGCCTAGAAGCAACGGACTCTACTACCATACTGTTCGAACCAACGGCAGATTTACAGCTCCTTATCACAACTCAGAATGAATTATCTACCACGCTTATTGATCTTCTTGCCGAAGGTAGTGTTCTTGGCAAAGGCCCGTCTATGATAGTTCTCCAGATAAGCGATACAATCATCGTGAAAGTCAAGCTTCAAGATAGATTTGCTATCAAGGAATATCATTCACTGGCGTATCTGCAAAAGAATCTTCCAAACTTCCCGGCACCGAAACCCCACGGCTTGATTCACATGGGCGTCTTCCATCTACTCTTCATGAGCCTGGTCCCTGGACGAACCTTAGAACACATCTGGCCCGAGCTGAACGATGCTCAGAAGCAGGACATCAGCTGCCAGATTGACGACCTACTTTCGAGTCTCCGGTCGCTCCCGCCCCCCAGCACACCACTTGGGGACGTAGAAGGAGATGGTTGTATCGACAGGCGGCGATACCCTCGAGCCAACTCAGAGCCAATATTGAACTCTGAGCAGTTTCGGGATTTCATTTTCGCTGGGTCCAGAGGTACAACAGTTTATAATTCTCTCCTGCGCGAACTACTAGCAGACCCGGCAGGGTGTGTGTTCACACATGGAGACATCCGCCCAGCGAACATCATGATGGAAGCGGATAGCGGCGGGCGCTGGCGAGTTTCGGGCATTATAGACTGGGAGACGAGCGGTTTCTATCCCGAATATTGGGAGAGTGTCAAGATGACGAATAACCTGACGCACATAGAAAAGTGCGACTGGTACAACTACTTGCCCCAGTCTGTGTCTCCCCGCCGATATCCGACCGAGTGGCTTGTAGACAGAGTGTTAGATGCAAGTATGAAAAATAGTTTTTGAGATGAGAAGGAGGCCCAGGGGAAGGAGACTATCCGGAGATCTCCTTCTATAGGTGAGCACCTGCGGTACGATTCTCTAACATAAGTCTACACTTATCATGATACCAAGCTCTATCAAACCACGAATCTATGCCCTTATTAACTTACAGGAAACTGATAATTCAATACTCGGAATGAGCCTCATACTGAAGCTCGTATGAAAGGGGCTGGGATCAGGGCTAGGTATTGACTGTATACAGTACAATCATATACTATGACTACCAAGGCGTCTGAAGCCATTTGGGCTGTATTTACTCTGGTAAGTCAGCTGTTGTATGCTTTCTATTACAAGCCTCCAATCCCTCAGGCATTCCACCGGTTTTCTTCTGTTTCTGGGCTGGCTAGTGTTGGAGGACTTGCCCCTGAAATAGTCATGAGTGGCCAGAAAGAAGATAATATCATCATGGGAGCCATTCAAAGTCAAGGGGATAAGAAGCGGAACACAGGTATAGCATCTTGACTTGACGATTCAAAGCCGTCGACGGATTTTCAAGGCGTCCTTTACTGTACCATAAAGACACATGAAGTCGTCTTTAAACGGTAGGATAACATGAATGTATTACTATGATGGTATATCCCTAGTAGGATGACGTTTAAAGGGCTAGCCGTTGCGCGACAGCCCTGAAAGACAGATAATGGCCCTGGGCTGATTAGGTGACGTTGAAAGTATGGGAGATAGTACTGAGTCTCGGTTCTTGACAACACCTGGACATAATTCCTAAGTAACTAATATACCCAATTACGCAATAAGCCACCATCTTTCTACTTAGGCAACGAGCATTACTCATTGGATCTACAGCAGATCCAGTGTTCTGCCTTGAAATATCAAGGGGAGCTTCAACAACTCCCGCGAGAGCTTGGCCTTAGTCTACATCTCAAGACTAGGAAGTGACGAGGGATGTCTTCAGGGTAGACGTGTTCGGTTCTCGATGGTTGTCGTAAGTATTTGGTCTCTTACACTGTCTGTTGGCACCGCCTAGCACCAGCAGAGATCACACTTATCTGTCTAGCCTAGAGACGAGACCTTGATCTAACACACGTACTACTGATCATACATCCATCGTAGCCCAAACGACAAACAACCCAGGGGAATGTATGAGCATATTACTAAGGATGTAGGCAATCATGACCAACATAATACTACTTACATAACTCCATATTAAAACCAAATTTACATGTCTTAGCAAAATGTACTCTTTTCGTCTCTATTGCAAGCAGTGCTAGCAAGGCTCGTCGTCTAAAAAGGAGTTTACTTGACAGCAATCGGTTGCGTCGCCGTATGCTCCATACCCGAGTGCAATGTTTCCGATTTTGAGAGAAAACGAGGTCATTCCAACCCTAAACATTCTCTACTATGCATATATCTTCAAAATCGAAAAACACGAATCTCGCTAGCCAGATTTTTGCAGAACGATAACGCCCCACCCCTCCCCCCCAATTTAGAACCCGTCATTACGCAACTGACGCTACTATCATAGCTGCAACGTTTTCTTCCTCGCTGCGGACCGTGATCTTGGTCGTCACACCCGATTTCGACGAATACGCCATCCTGATGTTCGCCACCACTCTGCCGCCGTTGACTGTCTTGCCTAACAACTTGAGCTGGTGTGTTGTCTGGCTGATTGGTACGTCTGTGCCCTCTAACGGTTGTAATGAAAGCGCCTTGGTTAGTTGTTCTGTGGCATCTGTTTCGGTTGTGTCAGTCATCTCCTCAAGAATTCAAGCCGCTTAGATTTGAATACATACCTGCAATACTCTTCATGCTTGATAACTGTAATGTCTCCTCTGCCTCTTCACCCGCCGCCCCAACTTGCTCCCAGATGTGATTAAAGTTACCTGCGAAAGTGGGTATTACGTAATCACTACCGGATAGGTCGAATTCTGCCACCTCATACTCGTCATCATACCCAGTCTCTTCGGGTTCATTCGTCGTAGGGTCAATCTCCTTGCTTGTGAACTTGAGTATGTTGGAGAAGGAACTGGTGGGCATAGATCCTTCCCCGCCCGTCTTCTTGAATGCCACATAGACTTTGCCGGGTTGGTCTGTCTCGAGCTTTTCTGCAGGTAGAATGAAAACTTCCTCAAGCTCCTCCTCATCTGATGGTGTTGCGACGACCGAAACGTCTTCCAAGACAGTTGCAGGTAACGTGTTCTTAATCTCATACTGTAGCACAATGTGCTCCTTGAATATGTGCTTGACCACGGCTACCACGTACTCCGTTTCGGCTTCGGTAAGCTCAACCACAGGTGATGACTTGAGAAGACCACCAAACTCCTTCATGTGAGATATCGACATGAGCTCCTGAGCATATTTCTGGGCAGCAGCAGCAGCTGAGGCTTGCGCCTCTGCGCCAGTAGCTGCAGTCTTGGATGGTCCAGTTTTCGGTGGCTTGAGCGATGGTGTTGTTGCTGTAAGCTTCTTTGTCCGGTCTTCTGCATCTGCTTGCTCTCTTGTGACCACGGGGATTTTGCTGATGTCAAACGGAACATCAAATGCCGACTTATCATCCGATGTTACATATGTGACAAGTTGGTGCTCAAAGTAGGACAGTGAATACATATTATCTAATTATAGAGTTAGTATAGAGAATTTTCAGTTTCGGGCGATACCTACCATTTTTAATGAAACGCTCGCCCAGAGCGTCTTCCTCGTGCATTAATCTGAGATTGAGTGCAGCACGGTCACGAACTTCATCATCAACGTCATCCAAACACCTTGTAAGGAGGACATCGACACTTCGCTTCACTTCTGGGTCCTTCTGTCCTACACCGAATTTGGCCAACGCAGTGACAGCAGCAGCCCGGACAAGGGCGTTCTCAAGAACGACTCTGTTGTAGATATAGCGGATGTACTTGGTCGGTTGAGACGTCTTGGGACCCTCAAGACCAAGCAGGTGGAGAATGCGGACAGCCAGCTTCGTGAATTCGCAATCTTCGATAAACTCGCAAAGGTGAGCAAGGGCATCCTCCTTTGAGTCAGGGACGAACTTGATGAGATCAAACATGCTTTCGATGACGGCCCGCTTGAATTCATAACCGCCTTCATCACGGAGAATTCCACTAAGGAAGGCCAACATCCCAGCTTGCTTGCTGGGGAACTTGAGACACAGTGTGCGGATAGCTTCGACTATAGTGATCTTGAACTCGTCTGTGATTTCCGACATGAAAGTAGAAATTTGTTTCATCAGTCTATCAACGCTGGCTTCGTTGCCAGTCTTGAGAAGCGTAGTGATAGCGAACGTGGCAATTGATCGGTTGCTATTTGAGATAAGCGCCTCGATATCCGGGTTGCAGACATTGACAGCTTGAGGCTTAAAGGAGGCAAAGTTGTGAAGAATACGCAGAGCAGCGAATTTGGTAACCGCCCTCGGGGAAGACAAAAACAGCTGCAGTACATGCACCGCTTGCGTGACCTCAGCATCCGTCACGTCTCTCATGTCGCAGATTGCCTTAGCAGCTTCGAAGTTGACCATCTCGCTCTTGTGTCTTAGCCACCCATCAAGTAGTTGCATCATGGGCTTTCTTAACGACTGATCCTCTTCAGCCAATTGGGCAGCTAACCTCACTAGCATAACGATAGCGGCAGGACTCTTGACAGCGCCGGCAGCACCGAACTGTTGGACCATCTTAACCAGGGCCATTCGGTCATGCGATCTCATTTGGTACAGCAAGCCAATAGCATGATACTGTGTCATCGTCGAGTTGTTTACGGGGAGGGAGCTAGAAGACGAAGAAAATCCAAGGGAGAAGCCCCCGGAGGACTTAGTCGAAGCAGCAGCCTCCTGGGTCTCAGACTGCCACCGTCGAACAACATCTTTTGCAATCGGGAGGAGATGGTAGGAAGAGACGAGAGCTGCGGACGAGACGGAGGGATTCTTGTCAACAATTGCTGTCTTCATGACTCGTTCAATTGATTGCACCGTGGTTGCCTGCAACTGTTAGCCTACCAAGCTTGATAACGAAGCACAGAATCCAGGCAGACCAACATCAATGATGCGGCAAAGAGCTCTTATCGCGTTTGGTCGGTAAATCACGTCTGTGCTGCCTCCTGTGTCCTTCATAATTGTACTCGTAACCATGATAATATCCTCTGCCGAATTGGCAAGCTCTTTGATAACAAGGTGGACCATTTGGCGCAAGCTGGCATCCTTGTTCTGGAAGAGCTTCGAGATGCCGAAGAAGAGGGTTGTGGCTTCATTGGTCGGGAACTTCTCTCCCGTGTAGAGGAGAAGAGCTATCTTTGTGAGAAGTATACGGCATCGTCGCGGTTGAATTGGTGAACTGTTGAACAATCGAGCTGCCCATCTCGTTTAGCTGTCGTTCTGAAGGGCGAGCGTTGGTAGGGGGTATGCGGTGACGAATAAATGGTACACACCTTCTTGAAACACTTGGGTGCGATCGACTTTGACCAAGCCAAGGTCGGCATCTTCATCTTTCTTGCCGTAGCTCATGGTGGCGGCTAGACGGCTCTCCAGGGGCCTAGGAAAGTCGAAGATGTCGTAGGTCTTTAAATGGTGTTCTTCGCATTTAGAGGGTTACGTTTGGGGGAGGTTAGGACAGGCTACACATATCCCCCATGCTAGCGTGGATTAGCGGCCTCGCAAACCAGCGACGTTGCAAGTCGGTCAGTGAGTTAGTCACGTGAAAGTATAGGTACATATGTACCTTATGCACCCAAGTACGGTACGGTAGGTCTTTACATAGTACTTAGGTACTTACCACTATTCCCCCCAATACAGACAAGGATATCATGAGATGGATGGGGATGCGTACCTATCACTTGCAGTCTTTCGATGTTCATTCTCTGAAAAGCACAGTTATGTTTGTACCGTAGTCATCATCAATGGCCTCTTGGAGCCGTCTTCATTAGCTTGATAGCGTTGTCTACATATCCACTCGTGCCACCATATTTCCTCAGTATAGCAGGAATATCAGTAGAGGCCCAACTCTCTAAACGGCGTCTTCCTAAGATGCCTGTATTGCGTGTACTTGGGATCCTAAGCATCTCTGTTTCGACCTCCCAACCGCAGTCGTGGGCGATTTGCTTTACCCATTCCACAAGAGACGAATATGCCGATGCAGACTTGCCCTTTTCCTTCGGTGCGGCAGCCCTGAACCTGGCCCCTGTCAAGTCGTGACTGCAGCATGGTATCATCATGAATGGACAGTCCGATATAGTAGCAAGAATTGGCGTCCACGGTGTCAGCTCATCTGCGTGGTTTGAAATAATGAAAGTTCCCTTTGGGAACATCCCATCGTGAAGCAGTTTAGCAAGCTCGTCATCTTGTGAATCCTGATCTTGTAAAATCCCCGGAAGCAGTACCAGTTGACGCAGACTTTCGTCCATGTCATCTTCGGAAGACGTTTTGAGTCTTTCCGAGAAGTTAACCCACGATTTACGCTTCCGGGCATCAAATCCCCATCCTGAGTAGCCCTCTTGACGTAGAATGTATACCAGCAGACCATTCCCACATCCTATATCCACGAAGCCAGGAAAGGGGGAGTCTTGATACATTTGGGCCCAGAGCTCAATAAGAAACGCAGCTATTCCCAAATCCTCGAAGCAGTGTTTTGCTGGATCCGTGACCTCGACCCATTCTTCGATGAGTCTTCGTGCATACTTCATCTTAAGCCTTGTGTATGTTGACTGAACAGTAGCTTGAGGAATGATAGTATCATGGTGAACGCGCTTCACGTATCCCGCTTTGGCCCCCTCTCCATGTTTATGAAGTGTGGCTAGCAGGTGCAGCCCCGTTCTCACCAACTTGGGAGATGAGCCGTAGTCGTCAAAGAAATGGTAATGAATGGAAACAGTGCCTTCATTCAGCTTGGTATTCCACTCGTGGTGAAATGCGACGCCCTTTACCTTGGGGTGGTAAAACGGCACATCAGAATGGGAAGAGACATGTGGTTTATAGACAACCATTGAGAAAGAAGTGTCGTTCTCATCTGCTCCACAGCTGTGGTAGATCAAGCACGTTTGGTCTAAAGGTGGATCTCTCTGAGGATTCCTCGGTATCAGTCTTCGAACGAGCAGTTTATCTAAACGGTAACCCGCGAACTGGACAACACGGGGCTTGGGACCCGTCTCGTCTGTTTCGGCAATCTGCGCAAGAGTCTGCGCAGAGTCTCCCTCAACTAGGATATCTGCGCGGAAGAGCCAGGCAGAATTGATATTTGGATTACGGATGAGATTATCCATGACCTTGAAGAAGTAGCTTGATTCGAATGAGCACCTCTTTCGGAAGAGTGGTGTCCATGTGGCTTCTGATATATCTCTAATGAGACTTGGAGAGCCTTCTGCGAAGGGTTCAGGCTCAAACCCCATGTTGTCTGACTGATGTATCGTGTGCATATACTCCTATAGACCGATATCTCTTATATGCGAGGCCAGACTGCGCAGGTCACTTTGCAGAATGTCTCATAGCCGCAGCAGAGGCGGATAGACAGAAAAGTAGGCATCTACTATGAGCGCATGATAATAACATAAGTTTTCAACCTTAGGTAAGTACCTACATACGCAAGAGTTATTGGGGGGTTAAAGTCCGTATGTAGGCAAAGTGACCCACTAACTTGCCACCTCTGCTAGTAGTACCCAAAATTTACTCTAGGTTAGATAGGATGGGCTAGGTATATGACCATCGTTAAAGGATGAGTTTAATTCCATTTTACTTTTCATCTTTTTATAATATATATGCATACTTAGAAACCTTGCTGTTTTGTGACTGAATAGCATTCCGCGTTTTGGTAGAAAGCTACCTAACCTTGGATAGCTAGGATCATTCTAATCTATTCGCTTTTTCCTGCTAGCTGCGCGGCAGCTATGATTCTAAGGGACTTACGCATACTTATTCATAGTTGACGTTTATCATCATCTATAAGAAGACTTCCAAATTGAGCTCAAGAACACTCACGGGATACCTATGGGCCGAGTTAGTGCATAGTTCATGTCGGAAAAACCTCACGAGGACTCACTTGATCTCGAACTTTTCAAGTACTGAAGGATGTAGCACGCCGAGCTCTCCGATACGCCGGCTTTCTCCTCCTCTCTTTCCAAGGAAGATCCCAGCCGCGCGTCCAGGGAAGAATGTCTTGTCAGAAATCTCCTGGATATAATAATCCTGTATGCGAAGCATAAGGAAAATCCTATCCAAAAGTCCATGTACGACCTCGAATCCGCTGGTCTTTCCATAATAAGCTGCACCCCAATGCCTCTCGTTCTTTGCCTGTGGGAGTTCGTTAGTACTTGGGGCACGATTTATTCAATGACCGGTTAGCTCCACTCACACGACGTTCCAGCGAGTCGTCCTTTAGCGAGATATCGGCTGCCTCGAAGATTTTCAAAGGAAGGCGCACAGATTTGTTGTCACGAATAGTCTTGAGCAGGCCTGGAAGGAGCGACGTACGGACAACCTGGTATTCGGCTGTCTTGGGGTTTGCAAGCTTTACAGCAGTGGTACCATCATCATGCCTGTTAAGCCAACCAAAGTTCTCATCGTGCGAGCAGAGAATGAGCGGCATAGCTTCGACCCAGCCGACCATTGCGCACTCTAGGCGTACGATATCCGCGAATTTGTTTATCGGCAGTGGTTTGCCAACAGTGGCTGACTTGTTCGACAGGACTCGTGGTAATTTGTTAAAACCATATGCTACGGCGACATCTTCCATCTGTGATGGTGATTAGCATTTCGTTTTGAGGTGGTGTTGATAGATCCAATCTTACTATATCACAAGCATGTAGCACATCCGGCCGCGTTGGTGGCACGAAGACTTCTATGCTTGATCCTAAGGGTCGAGATGTATACGCCATTTTCTCCAAGAGCTTGCAAATGGCATCTGCAGATAGGTCCAACCCACAGCACTGATTAAGATAATCCACCTCTACCTCCATCCTCACTGGCGAAAGGTTAGGTGTGACCTTTGTCGTTCCATCAGCCTCCTTAATTAGCACGGGTTCCACAGTGAAAGGCTCGGAACAGTATTCTGAAAACATCGTCACCATGGCGTTACAGATCATCTCGAGTTTCGTTCGATCAGTGGCCGTCAACTCGATAAAGACGTTTGTCGTGTTTAGGGTAATCTTTGAATGGTTACCGTTGATAATTGGAGGTAAGGAGCAGACAACCCCCTTGGAGTCGTAGATGACTGGGTACCGAGGTGCCTCGCGGATTATATGTAGGTAGCGGCTCAAGTGCTTGTCTAATTCAGCTGGTAAGCGTACTGAATTCAGGGACATGAATGAGGGCGAAGCTTGCCGTTCTCCAAATGTGTCATCAGCTCATTGCCATCCATCTCTTTTGTCTGGTTCAGAGGCGCAAATCGGATATTCCCAGGTTCTCGAGCTTCGTAAGTGAAGGGCCCCTGCAAGGCATCGAGGTCGTGAGTTCCAATCGCAACTAGAGTTCTTTGGCGTGCTAGGTTCTGATGGAGCTTGTCCTGAAGGCCGATGAAGGAGTCATATGAAGCTTGAGTAAACTTGACGCCACGAAGAATAGCCGCTGCGATGAATGGCCGCACGGCAGCCGTCTCTTTCGCGACGGTGACATGATGCATGCGATCTTGGGGAAGGTCAAGCACTTTGTATGTCGGCGCGGATTGCTTGCCGCGGAAAATGTTTAGGCTGCGGGCCAGGCCTTCAAAGCACAACAGGTCACTCCTGTTGGCAGGCACCTCTATTTTCAGCTGGGGCTTCTCATCTGCAGGTCGTGACGGGTCGTCTTCGGTATCCTCGTCGAGTTCTATACCGTAGTCGAAGCATAGGGCCTGAAACTCGTCGGCTGTGAACCTGGCGGGCGGATGAGTGGATTACAAGTTACAGGAGTAGCTGAGCTGCCTTACCGCTGGCCCAGCGCCACGAAGAAGTCCTCTTTATCTACGCCTATGGTGGGCATTTTGGCGGATCGTGAAAGTGTGCAGTCTTATTTATTTGAGTCACAACGGTCAATCAGTCTACGAACGAGGGACGGTGTTAACCCAAAGAACCCCACCCCCACCATGCTTGGATGCTTATCTTCCAGCCTACCCTAGGTGAGTTGTAAGGGTACCTAGGCACTTATTTAGGTACCTGTAGTGAGCTCTAGGTACGCTGTAGGAACCTGGTATGTGTTGTATTCAAGGGGCGGTAATCGGACCTGGTTCGGCTCTACCATATTCTATCCTCAATAATTTTTTCACAGTGCATTGCTGCCCCTCCATTCGAGTTTGCCTTCGTATGGGGCGTCATTCTTCACTGCCGCCCTTCGCCAAGACCCCCCAGGTAACCTTACCACGATCTGCCCATTGGCAGACCATTGGGCTTGTACTCAAGTACTCGGTATACCTGTGTTGCACCCTCAAGACCCTCTCTGACCCTCTGCAGGTACCTACCTAGGTAGGTAGGTACCAAGCCTGGAATTGGAAGTCAGAGGTAGTGATCCCATAGCGACCTGAACAGGGACCTGGATAGGGACCTGAAGAGAGGTTAGACAGCTACCTAAGTACAGTAGAGACAGGCACTACAATCTGGTGGTACCTACATAGGTCTGATAGGTACTTAGGTAATCTCGCAATAAATGACACACTGTCCTCCCGCACTGTATACTTACCTCGTCCATGCATGCCCACTTTCCCGTTGCGGTGGCTCCCTCCCTGCCACGGCCTGCCATCGCCTGCCATTTGCCATCCATCCATCCAGTTGCTCACAATTGGCTTTGTACAAAAGGCCCTCACTCCGCCTCCTTCTCCCTACATACTCTCCGCACACCAACCGGCCCACCAACAACACCAATATCATACTGAGTACCATCACAACTACAACACTCTGTATCGCTTCGTCCGCGCCCAGCTCTTCTCGCCTTCTACTTATCGCGCAGACTCTGCCTGTCCATCCTTCCATCAATAGCCTAGCGAGACAATAGTCGGTCGCTTCCTTCCACTCCCTCCACCCAGAAACCCTTTTCCCAAGGTTACCCGGAAAACTCGAGTTTATGTCCATCGAAAATCTCAAGTCTTACGGTACGACTCCATGCTGCTGCTCATCACTTCTCGAGATTACCCCGCCGTGTCCATTGCGTTGTTGGGGCGCCCAGCCTTTGCGCCCAAGCCTCCTTCTTGCCCCTCTATTGACATTCAGGGGAATATGTTACTAACCTGCATCTTTCTACAGACCCCTTCGCCGAAGCCGACGAAACGCCTGGCGAATCCAAGCAGGCACAGAATTATATTCATATTCGTATCCAGCGTACGTACTATCTGTTTCCCTTGCGCCACCCTTTGACGTATTGGGGGCACATGCGCCCAGCGCGTCATGTGTTCCGTTCCCACGCTATCGGGCCCCCACATCCGTCGCGCACTTGACCTTCTTGCTGACATTGCTTTTCCACCGATAGAACGAAATGGACGTAAAACCCTGACCACTGTTCAGGGTTTGCCTAAGAAATTCGATAACAAGAAGATTCTCAAGGTCATCAAGAAGAAGTTTGGTATGCTTGTCTCTGTTAACCGACGCTTAGAGCCGCCGCAGCTAACCACTACCGTCGTAAATAGCCTGCAATGGCACTATCGTCAACGACTCTGAAATGGGCGAGGTGATTCAGCTCCAGGGTGATCAACGTAACGATGTGCAACAGTTCCTCGTTGACAAAGAGGAGGGTCTAGAGCTCGACCCCAAGACCATTAAGGTCCACGGTTTCTAAGCTGGCCATGTCCCAACGACCTCCGTTATATCAGTTTCTTCGACCATATACGGACTGTGTCACGGAATGGACTAGCTCACTCTCTGCGGTGTCTGTATGAAGGGTGACTGGATGACATCGCTAGCTGTCTATCTATCTAGTGGACAGGCTTCCTTCGGTCGAGGCGTTATACGGAATGGTCCGGACATGATACCCTTTTTTTGAGTCACTGGAGAATCCCCCGTCATGGATGGGAAAGAAGTAGATGCAAGGAAGCATTTTCTCACGCGAGTCACTCGGCTTGGTTCGGTAGTACACCAGATGGTCGGCTTTAAAGCTAGCCTTCCGTTACCGATGCTGAAAGCATACGTTAGTAAATCAGTAACCGGAGATCATGCTAGAAATCATTGCTCGTCTCACTATACTCGTGATCACGTTGCCTCAATTACGCACAAGTGCGTTGTATTCCAACCGTAGTAGTGACACTATCTAGGCTATTTTGGCCTGCTCTCATCTCCTTTCAGTGTTTCAACACATCAAAATATTACGAAAACGTTTTTAATGTCCAAGCTGTCGTAATGGCAGCGCTACTCTCACATAGCTGAAAGGGCGAGACGCCGTTGAAATCTTGCACTATGTGGTGTGGGGACAAGAAAACTTGAGTTTGCACTTGTCAGTGAAACTTACAACTGCGATGTTACATATTCCTCATAAAAGTCTCCGTAAGCAGTCTCACTAACTCGGAAATCAAGGAAATATACCATCATCAATATATACGGGGGCAATTGCCGGAAAATATGGATTCGTGATCTTTTCGGATACTCACTCACCCCTCACTTGACGTCCTACCTATTCAGTCTAGGTATCTTAAAGTTTCAGCACGGGAAACATTGGAAGAGCAGTAAAGCTTTCTCAATTCCATTTCCCAATATCCTTTTAAGAAAAACAACGATATGAGGACGTCGTCGGCACTACCGCTTCCTCCCCCGAATTTCTCGCGCAAAAAGGAGTGCATCCTCGAGCTGCTCGCCGTCCCGGAGGCGGAATACAGCGATGCGTCGCCCAAGGGTTCCGTCGACGCGGAGATCCGAGATTTGATTGAAGAGATCAATGCGATGGACGGCTTCGTGACGACTAGTAGCTGCGCAGGGCGCGTGAGCGTGTTTGTTGAGGGGAGGAAGGCTGGGACTTCTGCGGAGGAAGACGATGCTGCTAGACCTACTACGGTTGCTGCGGCTGGTGGGAAAGGAGGTGGTGGCACTTGGTTGTTTGTCTCGCATGATCCGGTTGAGGAGAACGCGAGCGAAGGCGTGAGGGGCCTGCTTGGGCTGCGTGGTTTTTCTGTGAAGTCTGAGGGAGGGGGGGACGATGCTGCACGAGGAAACTCTAAGGATACAAGGCTGGTCCATTTCAAGTTCGAGCCGATGGTAAGTTGACCTTGACTGCCTTATAAGGGGACAGTGTAATACCAGGCATATCGTATTTACTTACATTTCATCTAGATACTCCATGTCCTCACGGCATCGTTGGAACACGCTCAGGTCATCCTCCGCTGCGCCCTGCAAGCTGGTTTCCGTGAAAGCGGCGCCGTCAACCTCACATCATCAGGGGCCGAAGCTGTAACTCCCATTGTGGCGGTCCGGTCAATGGGGCTTTCGCTTGAGTCGTTGATCGGCATACAAGAAGATGGTGCAACGAGGTGTACTGTCTCTGATGACTATCTGCTCAGTCTGTTACGCATTGCTAATGAGAGGTTCGAAGAAAACAAGAAGAGGATCGAGCGGTTTCGCACTGCTATTCTAGAAGTCAGTTATCCGCCGAGGAAAAGAGACGGCACCGAATGGGAAGATGCCCAGACTAGACGCGAGAGGAAGAGAATGGAGGGGCTTCGGCGAAAAGCTGAACTTGAGAGGCAGAACAAGGAGAGGGGTGTGATTGAGGGTGGTGATGATGGGGATCTAGATTTCCCCGTGAATACAGAATTTACATGATCAAAAGTGTCCCCCATAAAAGAAATTTTAGCACAAAAATAACAGTGACCGAGATTTATGTGACATATGTTGAAATGGTATTTTCTATACAGCTAGCCTTTTTCCCTCTCGACACGCTCTATGTCATAATATTACAATACGAGGGGGCATCGGCCAATGTTCGCTCCAATATCAAGTGATCCATCATGAGTCTAGAGCCCCCAGCATCGTGGAGCAATGAATTTTTTTCGTCCCCCATATATCCGAAGCCAAGCAGCGCCTTGGGACTGAAAGCCTCCGGGGCATTGTCGCTTTTAAGCCGGCCATCGAGACGAGGAAAGAGATTTTATCCAGGTGAGGTTTGATCCGTTCTCCTTGAAGGCCTTTCATCGCACGACTTTGTCAACCCAGCTCTTCTCGAGCTTGCGCACCTCCTCCTTGAACGCCTCGACCTCCTCGTAGCAGTTCAGCGGCCGACGGTCGTTCTCCGTCAGGCACCGGACGACGTCGCCGCGGGCCTTCTCGACGCTCTCGGGGAGCGGACGTAGCTGTTTCCGCTTGTCGAGGCGCGCGCGGAGGGCCTCGACCTCGGCCGACACCGTCTGCCTGTCGCCTTGCGCGTCCCCGCTGGTTATCTCGGATACTTTTGCGAGCGTCTCTTTCAGCGCTGCGCTTTCTTGGGTTGAGAGCTTCTTGAGTTCTTCGGATACGCGGGCTTGCACGGCGAGCTCGAGTCTCTGCGCCCGGGCTAGGTCGGACTGTGGTACGAGGAGTTACGTCAGTTTCGGGTCTTTTTTCTTCCTTTTCATTCCTGTTGTTTCTTTCGGTACATCGCAAGAAGGTATCGTCGCACGATTGCGATCGGGTTGCTCACCTCGCCGTTCGATTGTAGAGAGCCGATGACATCTTGGGACACGCCTACGGGCGACGATCTGCCCAAGCTCACGTGTCAGTCGAACAAACTCCTGCGCTATTTTGGAAGGGAGATATTTTGCTCATTTGGACCAGATTTTACTTACGCCGACCACGTATGTGAGTCCCCGGCGGGCTTGGACGAGCTCAAACCCATGGTGTTCGCGGTCAATTGCTGTGTAGATTGGCTCCCCCGTGTAAGCTTGAGCAGCTGGTGCGAAGCGTACGGCCGACCGGCCAATTCGAGGTAAATATTTCCGACGCCGGGTTGGCCCGAAAATCTACACAGTGTTAGCTTGAGTATCTTGCATTTATTAACACTGTGAGTCTTGTGACGTAGGGTAGGGTAGAGTCGGGTCGTTGGTCAACTGTGAGTCTGTGTCAATTCCTTGGATGTCGAGTAGCAAATCAAAAGTGACTTCTTTTAGAATTTGCAATATTTTTTTCGCCCTTATCCGTTGAGACTACTCATATCAGCTACAAGATTCGTCAATGCCATGTTGGAATGGGTACTTGACACCCCTCAGTTTGGTGGCAGGAAAGATACAAAACAAAGTAGAATAGGGTGATACGCGCCTGGATACATTTTTCCTACACATTTACCTATATGACATCGTCTCTTATTTAAATCTATCCTATTCCGAGGTCTAATGCATGCCTAGTTGGTACCACTTTCAGGCGTCGTCGAGTAGATCAGATCAGATGGTCTCCTTAGAAGCCGCATACTCGTGGCTCGTAGCTGGAGATATTGGGGCACAGTGACAAGGGCTCCCCCCTGCAGAAAGTTCATTTACCACAATATGTGCTTTCTTTGGTACTAAACTTGCCGACACATCAGAGTACTGATAAATGATACATTTAGAGGTTTTCTTATGACCTGTTTCTATATAGGAAGCCGGGCTCGGCCACTTGTTCTTTTCGAACAATTTACCCGCTCTAATAACTGATAAAACTTACTCACTGAAGCAATAATTTGGAAAAGCGGAAGGCATGATATAAGCTCAGTAGGCTGTGCATTAGTCCATGATTCTGCGAGGCATGAGAGATGTTTTTGCTCATCTCTACATTGTGGCAACATCTTGGGAAGTAAACATAGTAGAGCAAGGTCTCATGGCGTACACATTTCCTGAACACAGCAACTCCTGTCATTGTGGTGTAACTTCTTGAAAAATATATACACCACTTGGTGCTACAACGCAGGTATTGGGGAGAGTGATAGTACCGCGTTTACTTGACAATTCAAGTGAAAGCCACGAGATACATGTACCGTAATTATGGGCGAGGAATACAGGCTTCTGGCAGCGGCTTCCGTAGTGTCATATTCGCATTTGCCGCCTGTGGCTCGGTAGACTCAGGGGGCGGAGGGGGTTTTGATGGTGAAGGCGCAACATCTATCATGGGTGAGGGTGTTCGCACGACTACACTGGCCGGTAGTTGAGATAACTGGCCTGACGGAATCGTTAACAGTGAAAATTTTGTATGAGAGTGTTCGACTCACTATCGCCAGCAGATCTGTAACCTGACCTACGGATCTCCTTCCAAGCTTTCTTCCATGGAATTCTGGCTCCATTAACATATATTCCAGTCTCCTTGTCCCCACGATCCCGAACCCGCTGATACACAGCTGGCCAATCTGATCGCTTGAGCTTCTTCCGTAGCCCAAGCTTATCCCGGAGCTTTACCTCGTAAGTCGATAATCTATAGATGAGTTACTGTGAGGCTGAGAGATCGAATTGGGTAATCTGGAAGTGTGAACATACGGAAAAGAAGGAAATCCGTGTTGGCTCTCCAGTATTTCTTTGACCTTCTTTAGAGTGTGTCTTTCGGATATGTATAGCTGTCTTATGAGATTTGCATTCTCGGTCCAGACATCATCTCCGGCGACTGGAGGTTGAAGATCTGAGCTTGACATGTTGATTAGCGATGTTACAGATGAAGGTTTCCAATATCTGATGGGCCACAGTTTGTTATTGATGTTGGATTAGATATTTGACCCAATCCCTCACTTGTTATCCCTTTAGGTACAAAATACTCGTAGATCTTAATCAATCTTCATTGAATCACTGGTGGTAACTGTCAGTACAAGGGATTTGAAGAGATCATAGAGTAGGAACTACTTACCGTACACCTTGAGGAAAGCGGGGTAGTATAAGGCTCCTAACTAGGTAGGTAGGTTGAGTCACCAAATGCTGAAACGATACGTTGCGAAGATACTAAGCATGTTGGTTCAAACTACCTATGATAGCCGCCGTGATATGTCATTGAGGGTACATACTTTTTGTATGTTGGATTGGTGTGGGTCGCATGTACCGACAGAGCAGGAATTCCAATGATAGGCGAATGTGTGTTGTCTGCCTGAATGTAACCTATTAGGTAGACTTGCATATTGGAACTTGAACGCATGATATGCATGCGCCTCGTAAGCCTCAGCCTTTGCGAAAGTCCCCTTGAAAGTAAGGCTGCGCACCCCATCATTGGGATTCTGGGATTAAATATCATCCAGTCGTTTCCCAGCCTGCTCCTATCTCAATGCTCATTCCCCCAAACTGATTTCACTTGGGGGTATATGGGATTTACAGAAATCCGTCTGCCAGCGCCTCCGACAGGAAGTCGCCTAGGTATATGTTTCACTGTGAAGCTTATATTACTAACTTATTAGTAATGTAAGGGCTTTCATCTCCCTTCTCGTAGAACAACTTCCAGACATTCCCGATGTTCTAGTACCGTCGTTGCTAAGAAGTAACGTATTAACTAAGGCTGTTCCATACAAACGGCCCGGAATTTTGAAAATAACTTCATTGATATATGCTCAGCCAAAATAGCATATTAAGCAAAAACCCTGCCTCACGACCACCCCCTATCACGACCACCCCCCTTGCCTATTAATTACCCAACTTCTGAAGCGATTTTCTTAACGAATATGTTATTCGTAATGCTTTTTTTAATGTTTTTAATTAAATCTATTATTTTTAACCTTAATAACCTCTTTTATATCAGTATCCTTATATTTTAAAATGTATTAATTAATAACTTTATTAATATATATTAAATAATTATATAATTTATGTTTTACCTTTTATATATATATTATATAAATAAAGTTATTATTAAAACCTATTTTAATTAATTTTTATTTAACCTTAATATTTTTTTAAAGTTTAACTTTTAATACTTTAATCTTTATTTATAAAAATGTAATAATTTTAACCTTTTTATTAAAGGCCTTATTAACCTTTATAAAAAATAGCCTTTATAATAAATTATTAAATAAAAGAAAGGTTTAAATTAATTTTTATATATTAATTTATAATTATTAACTTTTAAAAGGTATTTTAATTATAATTTTTAAAGTTATTTTTAATAGATTAAATATAATAAATTATTTTTTAATTATAAATATTAATATTATTACTTTTATAATATTTTTCTTTTTAAATATTATATATTTTAAAAATAGTAATATTTATTAATTTTTTAAATATATTTTAACTATTTTTTATACTTTTTTTAATATATTTAATTTTATTATATTTTTATATATAGCTTTAATTATAAGTATTTTTTATAGTTTATTTTTTAACTTTTTCTTTAATAAATTAAAAACTTTAATATTTAATAGTTATAATATATAATTATAATAAAATTTATAAAATAAAAGTTAAAGCTTATTTAAAAGATAAATTTGAAAAAACTTATTATTAATATATAATTTATAGCTATTATATATTAATATATATTATATATTATTATAATAGCTTTAAATATAAGGTATAAAAAAGTTTTATAATTATTTTAATATTATAAAATTATTAATTTATTTATTAAATAAATATTTAAAGCATTAATTTTTAAATAAATTTTAATTTTAATCCGGAAATTATTAATTTTATATTTATATACCCTTTTAAATTATTAATAATAATAAAGTATTATTAATAATATTAATAGCTTTAAAAATAATAATTTATTTATTTTTTTAATAGCTTTTTTAAAAGTTTAATATAAAATAAAATTAATAATTATTTAATAATTATTATTAATACTTTAATTTATACCTATTTTATTAATATTATAAAAATAATTAAAAAAAATATTTATAATTTTTAAAGCTTTAAAATAATTAAAAAAAGGTTAATATTAATTATTATTATATTATTAATATATATATAATTAATAAATTATAATTTAATTAATTTAACTTTATTATTTTAAATTAAAAAATATATATATTACTTTTTTTAAAGCTTTTATTATTATTTAAAGTAATTAATATATATTTAATTATAAGTTTAAATTTAAAAAGTAAAGGTATAAAGCTTAATTTAACCTACCCTATTACTTAATTTATTAATTAACGTTTATAATAGGTTAATAAAGCTTAAAAGTTAATATAGGTTTATTTTTTAATAGGAATATTTTAAAGTTAATAATATAGGTATAATTTATTAATACTTTAAATACGTATTACTATTTAAATTAAGGTTTTAAGTTAAACTATACAAATAGCAGCTATAGTATAATAATTTTTAGAATTAAAAGATATAGCGATAAAGAAGAGTTAATTCTGAACAAAATAAGGGTAAAAAGTTATCGTAAGACCTAAACGCGGTTGCGTTATTAAGTAGTGTTTAATTAGGTGGTTGGAAGTCAAAGCGCGTTTTAGGGTGCTTAGGGCCTTGGTCGTGACGGGGGGTGGTCGTGAGGCAGGGTTTTTGCTTATCATCTCTTTGAAGAAGTTGCCGTTGATGAATGTTCACACAGGTTGGGTATGCCTTTGCTAATAAGTATATACTTTAATATACCAAAGCCGGATAGATAACTGGGATCGGAATTGACACTATTCAGATTACAATGATCAGTTGGGGCTGCAGGAGCCCTTGACCAACCGATTCTTTCTGGGCCTTGATGGCTGGACTCGACTCTATATACAACTGGTCTGCTAGGACTGACTATTACAGTACCATATAGTATCTGTAGATGTGTTACACGTGTAACCTCTGTACGAAGCTGAATATGCAGTTCGCCTTGCACTCCGGCCGTACGAAGGACCCGTTCATGATCTTTCAAGACATGCAGGCAATATTGGGCAATATTGGAAAGTGAGGTTATACAGACTTCGCTTCTTGAAACAGACCCTAGAAACCAAGGCGGTCTGGGCTGGCAGACCAATTGTATATAGAGTCAAGTCAAGCCACCAACAGCCGAGAAGGAGTTTGTTGGTCAAGGACTTATGCAGCCCTAGTTGTTCATTATATTCTGAATTGCCTAGATTCCAAGCTCAGTAATCCTGCCCTTGTTATAAGACGTGCAGGATCTCGAACTGATAAAGTCGTTCTACATTTCGATAGCGTAGCGGCCTAGTACTACACTCCTATCCTGTTCCGTGACATTGACCGCCTAGGTCTCATTAGCTTGTTTCATGAAGTGAAGTCTGTATAACCTCACTTTCCAATATTGCCTGCATGTCTTTGAAGATCAAGAACAGCTTGCAATGGCCTTTCGCACGACCGGAGTGCAAGGCGAACTGCATGTTCAGCTTGTATGCGTGTAACGGCCTTGGTGTATACAATTGTACAGCCTTTTCTAGTCCCTGCTAATCTTCAAAGCCCCAGATGATTATCTCATTGCCAACGACGTTCGCATAACCTGGTATTTTTATATGTCCTCAACATCCGGAAACAAATCTTAAGGAACTATCCTAGGTGAAGTGAGATATGAATAGATTTCTTCTCAACACACTTGCCTTATTCTTGATGTGCTTAAGCTGTTGTACAGAAAATTGTGTCTTCAAAACTAGAAAGCTCTTGAACTGAGCATTGGGAGGAGCTACTTTGCTTTTAATGCTCTCATAAAAATACTGCTCTAATAGTACACACTACTCCATTCTTTATTCAATATTTGCCAGATTGTGAGCCCTATCCAAGTATTTTTAGCTCAAATTTGGTTATTTTAGAGGCATCACACCTATCATTGATGAATATCTTCTTTGATTACCTCATTGGAATCTGAACAACTCCCTTTCATCTTGACTTTCATCTTCTTACTCTATATGTGCTCTTGAAATGCCTACCCCAGCTGTGCTCCCCCTATTGACACAAAGGTGTTCTTCAAACCTTACTTCACACTGCCCTAGTAAGGAATCTAAAGTTCCAATCATATTATACTCACATCACTTGTGCTTGAAGAATAATCATAGTGACAGTAGTTTCACAATGACAAGGAGTATTGGAGATAGCAGATGGCCAGGATCCCTGCGCCTTTCTGAACTGGATATGCTACATAAAAGGGTGACGGTCTAATCTCTCCACTGAGGTTGAGATATCACATGCTAGCCCGTTCGTTTTCTCAAGGGCTGCTATTGTTTCCAAAGGTTGAGACGTTGACTAGGCTCATTTGGACGTGTTTCGCCCGGCCAACACTATCATCGTTGCCTGAACAGTACCTATGATCCTCGTCAAGTCAATGGTACATGGCCTCAAGCAGGAGAGGGCTTCATGAAGTGTTCTATAAGAGCTGGATCATTGGGGCCCTCTAGCAGCGGCCATCCCTTGGAATTATGGGTGGTTTCTATTCTTGATGTACATGGGAACATCAACCCATAGGGGCTATTTACATCATTCACTTGAGGTAGCGTATGGCTTGATGGTATATTCAGTATATTGAGAGCGGAGAGAATTCTAGCGTACTTCTTATGACCCCGTCCACGTGTGTCTACAAGCCCGCCAGGCTAAGGTGTTGTTGTTGTTGGTATTATTAGGTCGTTGATCTTTGATGAATACCACGTAGACGTCTCGGACAGCTACTTAGACCACGTCCTCTTGTTTACTACTACTCTGTCTTTCCCTCGCAGCTCAACATCCCGAAGACTTACCTCTTCTCACACACTTCCACACACCCACCCCAACCTTTTCCTGTCTGCCTTCGTCTTTTTGTCGCCATCGCCAACCCGCGTGACGAGTTCAAGGCACACCAACACGATCTTGTTCTAGTAAGTGATCTCTAATCTATTCCTTACCTGCAGTCTCATCTCATTCCGCCGCGAATTCGGGATTATGGTGTGCAGATAGAGGAGACAAGAAGAGTTGAGGAAGTGGCAGCCAAGGGCCTCCCGCTTTCCGCTCCTGAGCATAGCACCTACTCCTTTCCACAGCTCTCTCTCACATGGCAGTCACTGCACACTTCCTTTTCACACCGCGCCCCGCCTCCTGGCTCTGACATGTACCTGTCTCATGTTGGCTCATCCGGAAGTGACTTCCGCCACCATTACCTACCTACTCCTTCACCACTCCTCCACGCGCACATACACTCTGAGTCCGCCCATCCCGCCTCGCACTGCTGTAGAGCCCCGTCAACTGCTGCAGTGACCCTCTCTCTCCTCTCCTCTCTTCAGGTTCCCCTTCATCTGCCTGAGTCCTCGCTTCCAGGGTTTCTACTGTCCAACTTCTGCCTGGGTACTGACGTGTTTATTATTTGTTGCCAGTTAGCTTGTCTACACTTGTAACGCAGTCCTAACTCTCGTCAAACCGTCGTCCTTGGTGAGATCTCCTTCTCTCTCTTTTTTTTTCCGTTCCCGTTCTTTCTCCTCGCGCTCGAGCGCATCACTCGCCACCATCCGGCGCCGTCTGGAGTCCTCGATTCAATCAAGAAACCAGTCCTAGATCCGGAACAACACTTGAAACTCTGACAAACCGCTGGGGCCGCAGCCTTGTTCGACGTAGTATTCCTCGCTCCATCGTCATCACCATAGGCCGCCCCTCTCTGGCTATCTCTATCCACCCCGCTACTGGTCAATCTTGTTGCATGCGATATTGACAGCTAGCTACCAGTATCTCGTCATTTGAGCTTTTCGCGCTCTTCCCTCTCAGTAAGTCGCATCCTCTAGTTGAATTGTTACTCTAGCTCGTTTCCTTTCACGGCTACCCGCCTCCAGGGCACTTCACTCTGCTCCGCTACATTTACATACACCTTCTCTCTCCCTTATTATGATAATTCTCGGTTCCAGAGGCTTGTATGTGGCCTTCTTTCGTGTATATCCTCACACCTCAAGAGCATGGAGTCGTGGTGGCTATAAGTTCGTGCGTCTTGTGCTTCTAGGCGGCTCCGCTACCATTCCTGATTTCTTGTATGACCTGCAATTTGCGCTCACAGCAAAACCTGTCCAATATCTTAACTAGGCCACAGACACAAACTTCACACAGGTTGCGACAAGACTAAGTATGTATCCTCTTTTTTCATTTACCGTCTACTATTGCCCGGCGGACAAGGATGTCCCAACAACGTTCAATTCGTAACTCCGGTGGCTTGGGGTTTGAAGCACTTAGGTGTTTTCTTTTCTTTTCCCGCTTCTTTCGCCTGCCTAATACCAAAGAAACTCGCTCAAATCTTCACACTGTAATTGCAGGTTTACACGCCTGGTTTTACTACTGTGATATTAATATGTCTATAGGTCTTCAAGTCTAACTCTCAAGATGGCAAGTCTTGGCCCTACGGGCGGCCAACCTGCCCATGGAATGTCTGATCGTCGTACTCGCTCGGCCTCTCTGTCATCTGAATCATCAGGTGGTGAGTGTTGAAGCCTCTGATCTCGAGGACATGCTGACAAACTGGACTAGGAGGCGCCCCTCTGAATGTAGACTTGAGCGATTTGACTATCAGCGACAATACTCATCAAAGATCGATGTATGCTTTGATATGGCATCTCTCATTTATCCTCCAACGACTAACTCAGCAACAGTAGCGAAATGGGCACTTCACGTGTTCCTCCAATGGCTCCTCCAGTCAATGGTTCTGGTGACTTTGCGGAAAACGTCTCCGATGGGATTCGCCAGCAAAACTTCCAGATTGGAAGACCACCACATGGTGATGAGGAAGTTTTCAGTGCCAACGCGTCGATGGCCCGGCATTTGATGACTGGGCCAGCACCCATAATCAACCAGTTAGCGACCTCTGCACCTCAGAATATAGTTCCGATTCATATCCAGCCATCTCCCGCGGAGCGACGGCACCAAGTTCAGGGTGTTGATGCTCAAACTTATTATCCTCCTGAGGCCTGCATTTTTGTTGCTAAGTACGTACCTGTATCTGTGCCATTGTGTGGGATCATAACTTCTAACTATATGCAAATAGTTTACCAGAGTCGAAGTCTGACACAGTGTTGGAAGTTGCTGTTACCAAAGCCTTCTCCTCCTTTGGCCCGGTCTTTGTTAAGATTCGCCGGGACCCTAAGAACATGCCCTTTGCATTCTGCCAATATACGGTCTGTGATTCTCTGATCCTATTCGGCCTCGACTAACTGTAGACCAGGATTCTAAGCATGCCCAAAAGGCACAAGTGGAGGGCAAGGGATTGCTTGTTGAGGGACGGCCTTGCCGAACTGAGATGGTAAAAGCAAACCGTAAGTTTTGATTCCTAAAACCGTTTACTACATACAAAGACTTACTAAATTTTCAATAGGTCGTTACGTGATGTTCAGTCGTGAAGGTCATCAGGTGAACGTTGCCGAAGCTCGAACTCATCTTTTGCAATTTGGCGATATTTCAAAACTAGAGCCACTTCACCAGGAAGCTGTAAATGCGATGAAACTTCCAGGCGCAGTGTTCGTTGAGTACACACAATTTGATCCTGTTCGCGACATCATATCGGTATAGTGTTGAATCTAGCGGTCCCGAACCAATTCACAGCTAACATGAAAGTAGGCCTATAGATACCACGATGAGTATGGTGTTGTAGCATATGATCTCAAGAAAGCAAACCCATCTCAAACCAGTCACTATTCGAACTACCTAGCGCGTTACGAAATTGATCGTCGATCAATCTATGTCGGGAACCTGCCTCACAATGTCGAGAATATTGAAGATGTACTACGCCACGCAGCTTCCAAAGCAGGCGTAGTCGAAAAGGTCCAGGTCATTCGCAAAGAACCTCGGAACGGTAAGTCAGAACTGCCTTCTTCATGGATGATTGCTAATTTAGTGGGTATTTAGAAGGCGGACGTCCTACAGTGTTCGCATTTGTAGAGTATGCGCGTCCAGATGAGGCGCTTATTGCGGTTGACAACCTAGTAAGTTCGGAATTCAGTACATCAAAGTGGTTACGTGTTCTAACAGTTTGCTTAGCGAGGAACAATTCTTGTCAATAATCGCATTCGGGTGGAGAAAAAGAAATGTGCAGATCAAGGCGGTCATTTTCGTAATGCCGAGCACTTTTCTACCAACCGAAGCGAGGGTGTGATGTCTACAATCGTAGATGTTGACGGTAGAAGTACCGAAGCTGTTCCCGCCACACCAGCTCGATCTATTGCGGTCGGCCACGATATCATTGCCTCGGGTAGCGGTATTGATCTTGACCAAGCAGCCCGGTCCGTCTCCCCGAGCCTGGATTACCGAGCCGCTGTTTTTCCCCAGCGGCGAGCTTTCGGAACACCTACAGCGTACCACCAGACGCGTACATTCACTAGCCCTAGCCAGGGCTACCAACCTAGCACTTTTGCGAGTCCTGATGGATATAATCAGTCTCAATATGTCAGCCCAGCCCAGGTGTACCAGCCGTATATGAGTCCAAACTATGCTCTCTCTCCTGGCGATCAGCATCGCAACCAATATGTCCAAGGTAGCTATCAGCCAGCGACTCCTCAGGTCGCAGGAGGAACGCATAGTCCCTATCATGGAGACAGCGTGGGAGCTTATTACTCTCCCAACACATTTTGGCCCACACCATATCTTCAAGATCAGAACAATGGCTACCAGTATTACGCGGGATATGATCAGCTACAACGCACACCCATAGAACCGATGCGATCTATCAGCACAATGAATGTCGGCCAAACACCTACTCGCAATGTTGAACTGGCTGCACAGCAACACAGCGGGGAAAGTGGTGAGCAACCTGACGAGGATGCTGGCGAGAGCGCCAGCGATAAAAAGTAGTCAACTCTCAATGATGTTGCGTAGAGGTATGCTTCGTGTGGTATAGCTCCTCCCTTTGCCTCTCCCGCGCTTGCGAAAATGACAGACTCAGAGTATTCTCTTATCCGAAGTCAAGGTGTTGTTTGACATGTTGTTGAGCTGATGAGAAATCGTGTATACTATTTGACCAGGCAGGCCGGCGTGCCGTTTGATGTCATGTCAATGAATGAATGGTTCATATCGACTTTGGGCGGTCCGAGGGCAAACGCATAGGATAGCTGCGGTGGATCTAGCTTGACTGCTGGTTAACCATATCCCTTCGCCGTGTTGTACCCGATCGTCCAGGCTTCAGTCCATAGCTTTTGCAGATAGACCCAAAATAAATGAAAGAGATTGACACGAAATTGAATCTTCAGAAGAGCGTTGTATTGCGGCGCATGATTTCCGCAGGCCGTCTCGACGCAAATACTGATTGGGACCATATGTATTAATGTAGAAGAACTAACACGACTGGATTACAAGAGAGGACCGCGGGATACATAATTTCGAGACTGAGATGAGGCAGGTCTGGCATAATCACATTAGCTAAGCTGAATCACTAGCAGAAGCACAGAGACACTTGACGCTGGACCAGATCTAGAGGTTTGAAAAAGTTTTGATAAGTATGTCAATCAATTACTTGGAGAAGGGTATTTGTTATGATTATGAGGTATTTACCGTGCGCAGGGACATACACTGTAGGGATTTGCACAGTAGACTAACCTTGCGTTACTGTACCTAGGTAAACTCCTTCTCGGCTTGTCTTCTTAACGTGGGTCTACCCTAAGATCCCCGTTTTCCCAATATCCTGGCTTAAGATATAACCCCTTATATTTGACAGAATTATAAAATATCTAGGTTGTGTATGATGAAAATACGTGGTTGAGTTTAGCCGGAAAGGAGCTTAGCCAGAAATCTACTACCTAGCCCCGGTTAGTCAATCGGTCGGCTGTGAGTAGTGCCACCTAGCTGGGCAGTCATCATCGGTGATAATTTGCTTCAAGGGTTCGCAGCTTTGGAGAGGGAAAATTTTTGTCCTCTTCAGCTTTGTAAACTCGCAGCCGCCGTCATCATGGGTCAACCATCCTTCGCGGCGTCTAACGCCATCATATACGTGACATATGGCGCCTTTCTGTATTTTACCCCAAGTCCCGTTGCTTCATTCAAGTGCCTGTTCTAACTGCGTGGAAACCCCCTCTGCAGAATCATTGGAATTGGCCTTGCCTGGCGAATGAGGAATCAGCCCAAAGCCGACTTTCTGGCTGGGAATAGATCGCAAAAGGGTCAGAGTCTACTTCTGGGAGCATCATCATATGCTCTTCCTAGTCTGGGTCCCCAGGTTCTAGATAGGTGGCTAACTGTTGAGCAGCGTTGCCTCTGGCACTGAATTTCATCGCCTCTGGTGAGTGAAAGGGCTATTCTGCGGATACCGCAAATGCCTCTTTGCATTACCCCTAGAGACCAATTCTAGAGCGGTGGCACACGAACGACTAGCACCGGCCACACTGGATGGGCGCAATGTCACCCAATTATCCACCCCAACCATACCGGCCATGGTAACATATGAGTAGAGTAACCGGTTGCACACGCAAGACTGTAGGTTCATACCCAAGTTCAACAGGTCAACTGTCCCTGAAGTAAGCAGGCTTTTTCGAGGGTGTTGCTGCTTCAGGGACGGTTAGATCGCGGCTCACTACGGGCGCCGAATTGAAACAGCACCCTCTCAATCCACCCTTCCGCCCACCCCTGGTTATCTTGGGGGTTGGAAGGAGATTTTGAGGGCTCTGTGGATATGAAGCTGAGATTGTACCGTAATTACTCGATCAAGTTAATGCTTGCGTGGGAAATGTGCTGCCGCTTCGGTCCCCCTTCCTCCCCTTTCAAACCGTGCTTGTTCTTGCTGACCCTCAATCCTTTTAACTCACCAGCTATGGGATCTGGTATTCTGTTCTCATACCCCCAATTAGCTACTCTTGCCGGTCTACAAGGTGTCATTGTGTATGCCATCTCTTCGGCCGCGCCGATCTTGATTTTCGCCGTCCTTACGCCTATCATTCGCCGCAAGTGTCCAGAGGGATTCGTTCTAACCGAATGGACGCGCCAGCGATATGGCCTCGTCACCGCGCTGTATCTGAGCGCTTTGACGCTTCTGACGCTGTTCTTGTACATGGTGGCTGAACTTTCTGCCATTGGCCAAGTAGTGACGGCACTCACTGGGTTGAATGGCTTACCTGTAGTCATCGTGGAGGCTGTTGTTACTACTATATATACATGTAGGTATCAGTCAATATTATTTCATGGGATTTGCAGCTAACGCATATCGCAGCCCTTGGAGGATTCAAGATTTCTTTCATAACCGACAACATCCAGGGCACTATGATAGTTGGATTGATCATCATTGCTGCCATTACCGTCGGCGTCAAGATAGAGATTAAGCCTGAGCTCATTGAGAGCTCGGGACTGCTGAAGCCAAACCTGGTTGGTTGGCAGCTCATATACATTCTGCCAGTAGCCATCCTCACGAACTATTTCTTCCTCGCCAACTTCTGGCTGCGCGCTTTCGCTTCCAAGACGGACAAGGACTTGTGGATCGGCATCTCCATCGCCACTGTCTTCATCACTATCGTCCTCACCTTAGTCGGCGTCGCAGGGTTAGTCGCCGCGTGGTCTGGCGCGTGGCCCGGCGACCCACCGCAGGAGGACGGCTCCATCGCCTTCTTCCTGCTCCTGGAGCAGCTGCCCAACTGGGTCGTCGGCATCATCCTCGTCATGGCCGTGGCGCTCAGCACGGCTGCCTTTGACAGCTTGCAGTCGGCCATGGTCTCGACGGCGTCCAACGATCTTTTCCGCAACCGTCTGAATATCTGGATCATCCGTGGCGCCGTGGTGCTCATCATCTTCCCCGTCGCCGTGCTCGCCCTCAAGGCTCCGGGCATCCTGCAGATCTACCTCATCTCGGACCTCCTCGCCGCGGCCACGATTCCCGTGCTCGTCATGGGTTTGTCCGAGCGTTTCTACTGGTGGCGCGGCTTCGAGGTCGTCGTGGGCGGCCTCGGTGGGATCCTCACTGTCTTCATCTTCGGCGCTATTTACTACGACAGCGCGCAGAAGGGCGGAGAGCTTATCCTCTTGCAGCAGGGATTGTACACGGGTGACTGGGGCGCGTTTGGTGCCTTTGTCGTCGCGCCTGTTGGCGGCATTATCTGGGGCTTTATTGCTCTTGCGGGACGTCTGGGGTACCAGTACGTGCAGGCTAAGAGGCATGGCTCTCGATTCGATGCGTTGGAGCGTCCTGTTTCTTCCGCTGGAGTCTCTGATGAGCATGATGCTATTAACGCGGCTTATGTCCAGGATGAGGTCGTGTCTACTAAGTCTGCGGGCAAGTTCTTCTAGACAATGCCTTGGCGCTGCTGTAGATTCGTCTTGGTTCTAGATGTTGGCGATACTTGGGATGTGGAGGATGGGGCGTGTAATGTCGCGGCTTGGAGTAACGAGATGTCAGAATGGCAAGAGGTGATGAGTTGATGAGTTGATGAGTATAGAAAGTAAGGAGAGACTTTAGGAGTGAAGGCTAGAGAAGCAGGAGTCGATAGATAGATGACGGATTTGGAATGCTGGAGTCAGATTACTCATATCTGCGTATGATAAACCTCTTGCTATTGTGAATATCCATTATACCCAACCCGAGTACTTTCCGCGGTCTAGATTTCAATGTTTTAGGAAGATAACCTAGACTTTTGAAAACACCATGTTGATAAGTGGTCATGATATGTGTCTTTTTATGTAGTCTGTTGACGGTGTAGAGTACAATTTACATATACAAATTGCTTCTTTTTCTTTGCCCTCCCCCTTATTCCACGATTAATAGGGCAGGAGAGTCGCGCTTGATGGGGTTGTACAGACAGGTTTCCGTGGGTTTATGTTACAAAGAGCCGGTTGCTTTCTTCGTCTTCTCTTCCTGAGGCTTCAACCCCTCCCCCAAGCATAGCGCCACTATCTATCTAACCCCTATCTTGTTCTCTACGGACTTTCAAGCAACCAAGCAAGCACTTATTATCACCTTCCTGCTTTCGCATTCTGAGCCATAAGTTCCGTGAACAGCGCCGCATCATCGCGCATCTTCTCAAACGACATCTCAGACAACGTGCCCCAGATCTTCCAGGGCTCCGACTCGAACGTCTTGTCCTTGATCTCGGCCTGCAGGACAATGTGCTCGACCAAATGCTGCTCGCGCTCGCTACCGGGGATCTTGGCACCGCCGTATCTGTCATAGTACCGCGCGATGCGCTGCACGCTCGAGATGCTCACGACAGCCTGCTTGACGAGCCGCATGTCCTTTGCCTTGCCCGACGGCGAAGGCTGATAGCTGCATCGGAAGTCCGCGAGGCGCGGATACCGCGCCTTGTCCACGTAGCGGAGCAATTCCCACTCGGCGCGCACCCCGTGAGGGCGGTTGTCGATGACGCCTGCTAATGTGCCGAAGAACCCGCCCGAGCAGACGCGGCGGAGCGTCTCCTTGTCGCCCGAGGCCACGGCCTCGGACATCTCGAGATGAAGGGCCTTGGCGGTCGGTATGGTCGCGCCCTTGTGCGCGCGGAAGCGAGGCAATCCGAAGCTTTTCTCGGGAAACGAGACGAAGTATATCCCTATCAGCGAGAACAAGGCTTGAAAGCGGTTCTTGGCGACTAGGTACGCCATTTGGAAGAATTTCGAGGGCGAGGTGGGCCAGCGCCATATTGGTGGGGGCACGATGGTGACTGTGTGTTTGTGGAAATGAGGGTGTTAGTTGGTTGATTTTTTTTTTTTTTTTTTTTTGAGAAGAGAGGTAATTCATATATATGTAACTAGGTTCAAAATTGGAGTTTCTGGGGTTCAAGCAAGCAAAATCAAAAGACTCGGAGGGGGGAAACCGGGGGACTCTTGATCTCGCAGGGAATGGAACACTGTATATGTACATGCATTATGCGGATGAGGATGTCGACTGCAGTTCGAATAACTTACAGGGAAGCAAAAACTGTGGCTGGGCGTTAACCTCGTTCCTCCTCATGCTCTTGTGTGCTGTCTTCATCTGGGTGCGGTAGACTGCTGCCGTAGCGCTGAAGCTGCGGCTCTGTCCCAGGCCGACATACGGCGAGGCTACCATACACGTCTGAATCGGTCGTCTCAGCAGCGGCAACCATGGCCGTGGTATGCGCGCGAGTTCGGCCATGGTGGTATGGTGGTGGTTCTTCGGTAGTAATGCGGGAGATCTCGAGAGACTACGGATTTATCGTGATGGTGCTCGGATGGAGGAGGCTCATTGCCTCCCTCGCCCCGGAAGTAAAGCTGTTGGAATTAAGCCGACCGAGACCCAATTGTGTGGTCTGCGTAACTTGATTTCCGTTTGGGGGCTCCCGCGAGTCTCCCTCTCGCCGGCAATCGCAGGGTGGAAATGAGACGTCCACGATACGGTATCGTGGAAAGCCCTGATGCGATCCGGTCAATTGGAAAACTTTAAGTGGGTCCGGCAGGGAAGCTGGGTCTCTGCCGCCGGCCCGCCTAGCTATCTAGTCGCCTGTTACATCCCATCACCGAGTCGTGAATCGTCGACGGTTGGATTGCAAAGGAAACGAATGAGCAAATTCAATAAAATTAATTTGGGTTACGTATTTGTAAGGTGATATAGTCACGATGTAAATGGGCCGAGGGAAAGAGGGTTGTGGATGGCATGTTTCCTAGTTAGTGCAGCAACAGGCTGTTAAGCTTGAATTCAAGGCTGTACGACCTAAGAGACACATCTTCCACTGCCCGTAGCGGAAGATAACAATAGACTGTATTCGCGTGAGAAGGCCAAGTACTGTGCATATTCTTCGCAGAAAATAAAACATAAAACTTATGTATATTGGATATCATCAGCTTGAACCGCCACCGCCCTTTTGCACCACCATTGATCCAAACACCAGCCAACCAAGGCGAGGTAATATATACCCACCCAACCCCGAAACGCCGCAACTTCGTCGTTCTCATCTCACCCAGAGGCTCAACTTTTCATTAATCTGTCCTTCCACAAGTTATGAATCACACGGCCGCGTTCGTCGATATCGTCCTCCATCCTATCCGGATTATGTCCCGAGGCAATGACATCGCTTTTCTCCTTCTTGCTGAGGTAGACGAGGTCGAATCCACTGGGTAGAATCGCGTCCGCACAGAGGTAGCCCTTTTTCAAGTTGCGCGCCTTGTCGCGGATAGCCTGCTGGTTCCGGTACGTCTGAAAGCCCCCTTGTCTCTCCATTTCCGACCAGGAGCAGTTGATGTTCGGGTCGGCGATGAGATCAAGCAGACGGTTGGTATCGGCGCTACTCCATCTCTCTCGAAGTTGGGGGGCAGGCCTGCCTTTGTGTGCGAGCTTGTTGGCGCGTGCCGCTCGGCTCAGCGTGACGAGGTCATCGTTTGTGAGATTTGTGCCCGCCGGTGTGGCAGCTGGGGATTGTGCTCTGCCTGCAGTCTTTCCCTGGTCCGCTGAAAACCGGGACCGTTTTGGAACGGGCCTCGCAATGTCAGGGTCATCGTACCGGTGTCTCCTGGACTCATTAATCACCTGTTCGTTGACCTCGAAATCATCGTAATCATCCACATCATCATCATCTTCTTCGGGCCGTGTGCGCTTCATCGCCACTCCCAATTCTTGAGAATTAGAACGAGAGCGGGGCTCTGCGGCCCTATTCCCTGTGGGCACGACTTCGTCGTCGTCCTCGTCGTCACTCGAGTCACCCAGAACCTCAGCTGGATTGAGTCGACGAATAGCATCTGTAATTTGTGACTCTGTCATTTTTTCTTTGGCAGTTTTTTGTTTTAACGGTTGCTCTCGTTCAGGGTTTTTTGATATATAACTTTCGCTTTGCCTAACTGCAGCCAGCGTACCGGGGCCTTGAATGAAACTTGGCCTAGAAAGATGTTAGCACGTTTCCTTGGAGGTAAATACCGTGTAGCGAGGAATGGCTCTTACTCCTTGGTTAATGTCTTGAGTTGGTGATACCCGTGTTCACTGCTTGCATCGGAATCAGAACCATCATTTAACTGATGGTCGTCGCTAACAAACAAGCCTTCTTGTTCCCCCGGTTCGACACCATCGGCTTCATTTGCATTTCGGCTATCCGACGGAGGATTGTCTACCTTTATTGTCTCAATAAAATGCAAATATATATCAGAGGCAAATAACCGCAAGTCTTTGAACAGTTCGTCCCGTGAATATGTTTCATCGAAAGCCTGGTCTATCTCGGCTTTTGTTGGTAGAGAAAGCTTCGAGACAAGGTCATCCATTTGCGTCTTGAATTGTGAGGAAGACGTATAATCTCCCTGGTCCTCATGACCGAAGCTCCTGAACGGTCCTTCACGCAGTCGTTGCATCGCCTCTGTCGTAGTGTTGGCCGACTGTTGGCAAAAGAGGGTAGTTGCTACCACAAGCGGATCAGTCTCCAATTCCTCTCTTAAGAGTTCGATTAACCGGCGGCATCTGACACGATATGCTAGACTGGTGCCTTCGAAATATGAGGAATCTGAATCTAGGCAAGCAGGAAACTCCTCGTCCAAAGTCTGTAAGAAATTCGCGGCATCATGGTCGGATTTGTGTAGGTCATGGATTGAGAGTAGGAGAGAAATCAAGTTTGCTTTGCGCGTGAATTTATATGTGTGTGGATCATCTCTATAAGGCAAATTGGACGACGCGAGGTCAATGTAGGCTGCGCTCGTCTCAGCAAGCGGGCGACGCGCGAGATTGAAATGCTTTCTCGCCGTTTTGAGTTTCTTCCGCCATTCTATAGTAGGCTCAGAAAACGTGAGTGCCGTCAACGCCTCGAACACCCTATCACACCAGCGTGATAGTTTCGGTAGATCAAAGTCAAGTAGGTCCTTGAGTCTATGATATGAGTCATCTTCGCTCTCTGTGTCGGAAGACAACACCACATGCTCGGCTCTCGGTGATTCGGTGGCCTCAGGGTCCATAACGGCTAAGAAAAAGGTGAGCATACAAGATGCGACAGTCTAGAGTGAGATGGACATACGAGGATCCGGACTAGCGTGCTCGGCTGTGCTCTTAGGAAAGTCATTTGTAGCAACGCTCTCTAGACTCCGACGGCGACGACGACGAGTGCCCCTTTGGGGGATCTTGAAGTGGGTGTGTTTGGATTGGGGGGAGGCATCTGATGGTGGTCCGGCGCGCTTGGAACTGCTCCTCGTTTGCCTGGCAACGGCGCCCTCGCGCAAAGATGAAGGCTCGGATGATTCTTCGCGGCGCGAAGCTGCGCGAGTCCGGCGTGCATTCATTGTTTCATGTTTTTATGTGTGTGTCACACAAGATGCGATTCAGATGGGTGAATGTTGGATTTGGATCAGAACCGTCTCTGCCGACATCACATACCGTCACACATATCGCGACGGGCCGGCCACTGTGACCTACGTTGAGTGTAATGGATCGGAAAGTAAACATTAGATCTGCATAAGGCCCACCTGCCGATGCATAAGTAATCGCTAGCCTTATTGTGGTTAGTCCCGTATGGCACATCTGTCTGTGGCTTTGACTGGGTAAGTGGATTCGTGGAGGTGGCTGGTGACGAAGTACTGCTGTACCTCTACCTACCTGCTCTACCTACATATACATACCTAGGTATGTACAGACTAGGTATGTACAGTAGTCACAGAAGGCTACGTACCTACCATGAGAATACCGGTAGCAGCACGCAAGGCTCTGTCTTCGGTAGCTATTTCTCTATGAAATCCTGTTTTTAGCTGTTGGCAGAGTTGGGATCTGCTGGTAGGTTGCCTTTCTGGTATTCCAAAGTACTGTGCTATGTACTACCTTAAGTTCCAGGTCAGGGCTTGTACAACATCAGTACCTGCCTAGGTAGCCTGCCTTAACAGCCCTAACACCTTCCAGGTTATCAGCTGCCCGGTTATAATTATAGTGCCTCAACGTCGCATTACCACCTACTTTTTCCTACCTAGGTACCTATCCTTGATTGAATCATTACTTGGAGGCTATGCATCATAACAATTGGAACAATACATAGTAGTGGTATTTTCAAAGGAATTCCTAGGGCGGCCGTGTCCCCCGCACAATAAGCAATCTTGGAGCTAAGTACAAAGTAAGTACCCAGGCTGCATCCATCAAGTCACCTTTACATCATCATCACCACCACCACCACCACCACCACCACCACTCGTTCACCACCCAAGGAACAGAGCTGCTAGGGTAGCCCTGCGTAGTCCCCCCTGAAAGCCGCATCCAATCAACCACTTGGCAAAAAGGTACTTTTCCTACTACTACTGGCCTCTAGGTCAGAATAGGTACATGTACTATGTAATCATTCTCACTCTCACTCGTCGTGTGTTGTGTGTCTACTCTATTACCTATTAGAGTGTTTAATTACTTAGCATCAAAGTCTGAACTTCTAGACTACTACCTGCCGATACCCGCATCTTTCTTCCAGCTCACCATCTGCCTCCTGAATTCACCACGTTCATTACATCCTCATCGTCATATTTCGCACTTCCATTCGTCCAAGTCCAGACACAACCACCTTTACTATACAACCCGGGACCCGTTATTTTCTCCAATTCATCATCCATCCCCTTGTTTCTGTGACCTTACGTTTCGGCGCTTTGCTAGCGCTCTCCCCCCCTTCATCATGAGATTCCGCCAAAGACACGCGCCTCTATTTCTTCTTCTGTTACCGTCCCTCGCTCTCGCTTCTCCCACTACCGAGTCATCAAAATCCTCTAAAGGCAACCGAGCCTTACGCGCCGATTCAGCCCTCGAAGACTCTGCGTCGTTGGATTCTTCGGCTGTCTCTAGTAATCCCAAAGCTCGCGTCGATATTGGTACCAAGAATGCCCCTGTAGATGGCAAAGATGGGATGCCCCATGAAGGCCCTTTCATTGCTCAGTCCGACAAGGGACGCAGGAAGGGCATCGACACCGATGTCGACGATGACGACTCGACTCCCGATTCTCGAGACCTTCCCGTCCTGAAAAACCGCCCCGCCGATCCCACCATTGTCGATGGAAAGAAGATACCCGAGTCGAACGATGGTGTCATGGACGACCCCCATCGGAAACCACCCAAACGGGGCACTACCGGCACTGAAGGTGGCGTGAGTGAGAAGGACAAGGCGAGGAAAGCTAAGGAAGGAAGGACAGGCGAAAAGGCCGAAATGGTGCCCGAGACACCCAAGGAGAAGCCTCCTATGCCGCACGGCGAGCAAGAGAAGATGGTCAGCGATAAGGAAACGAAGACTGACAAGGACAAGAGCAAATCGGACAAGTCTACTGACGAAATAGCTGGACTTGAAGTACGTGGCTCTCCCGTCGACATCATAAACAGTCGGTCGGTCAGTTGTGCTAACTTTGTATAGAAACCTGCCGACCTGCCTGGCAAAGTATACGATGCCCCAAATCCGCTCCCGGACTCGGCAAACAAGGATCACCTAGATCTCAGCAAACCATCTAAAACAAAATCAAAGCTTGCGGTGAATGAAGAAGCAAACGAGGGCATCATTCAGCCGTTCCATTCCTTCATTCTCTCTCTTACTATGATTTTGTTCTCCGAGGTGGGAGACAAGACATTCTTAGTCGCAGCCCTCATGGCCATGAAACATGACCGTATGGTCGTCTTCACTGCCGCTTTCGGTGCTCTGCTGGTCATGACGGTCTTATCGGCAGTGCTGGGCCACACCCTTCCAGCCCTGATACCCAAGCGGCTGACCTCGTTCCTCGCCGCTGGGCTGTTCTTCGTGTTCGGCGCCAAATTGCTTCGCGAAGGCTTAGCCATGGATCCCAACGAGGGCGTTTCGGCGGAAATGGAAGAGGTCGAGATGGAGCTGGAGGAGAAAGAACATCAGGCATCCAAGAAAGGTCGACGGTCCTCTGCATCCCCCTACGCCTTGGAGATGGGTCTTGGAGGCCGTGATCGCAAGCCGCGGTCCCAGTCTCGGTTCCCATCACCGCCCCGCAGCCCATCCATGTCGCCTCCCCGTAGTCCCTCGCCCCGAGGAGGAGTCGTGAGTGAGGTGACTGTGGGTCTTTCGAACCTCTTGTCTCTCCTCCTAAGCCCAGCTTGGGTACAGACTTTTGTCATGACCTTCTTGGGCGAGTGGGGAGACCGAAGTCAGATCGCTACCATAGCCATGGCTGCCGGCCAGGACTACTGGTGGGTGACGTTGGGTGCTGTGCTGGGCCACGCATGCTGCACTGGTGTTGCGGTCATTGGCGGTAGGGCTATTGCTGGCAAGGTCAGCCTTAAAGTCGGTAAGTAAACTTTTCAGTTTCAAAACTCCTTCAACTCTCTACCGATTGGTTTAAACTAACAGACTTTTATCAGTCACTGTGGGCGGCGCCGTGGCCTTCTTGGTATTTGGCTTCATATACCTGGTCGAGGCGTTTTATGCGTAAAATTCTTTTTTTTTTACAAAAAAAAAAAAAGATAAAATCCTTGGAAATAAAATCTAAGAGCTGATCGAAATTTAGATTGGCATTTGTACTAATCTACAGCTTGTCTGTCATGTAGTTAGAGCGCAAGCAAACCATGCCGAATAATAGCAGGCGTTTATCATGGAAAGGCGATGCGAGCAGCTCGCGATATTTCCCTGTCTGCTCCCCCGCCTCATGGTCGATGGTTTTCCCCATGTACAACATAGGTGTACATATATGACGGCTTACATCGCGACAACGGTCTATTAAAACCCACTGGGTTGGGTTAGGTTGGGCTATTTAATACACACAGTAGGCGGGAATGGCAGGTCAGGTCACACACAACATAACACATCGATGCACTTTTTTCAGTGGGATGGTTTACTGCTGTCATCTATCTATCTCTGTTTTACTATTAAGAATATGGGAACGGGGTTAGATCATCTTTTTTAAAAAAGAAAAGGGGGTTGTGGATTACATGGGGTACGGAAAGGCATGTATGTATGGATTAATAGAAATGGTCTTAAAAGGCTTTTTTCCACAAAAAAGCTAGAGCAATGCACCGGACCATTTTAATGCGAATGGTAGATGGTGTTACTACCTACCTATATTGTGGTTTTACAAGGGGTGCGAGTTCTATTAGTGTATTCATGCTATGCCTACGTGGTTGAGGTTCAAATAATGTAGGCATTGAGTGTAATGGGAAAGCTAGGTTCGTAACTATGGGTCTCCGATCTTGTCGTACTAGGTAGGTATTTATGTAGGCGAGTGTGAGTTGAGTTGAGTTGAGTGACTTGTACTTTAACAGAGCGAGAAAAGGATCCTAGGGATGGGAGGGGTGAGACGTTGTATTGTCATAGAAAAGCCAGCGATTGATTCCCGTTTGGATTCATATTAGATAGATACAACCAATTGACAATATACAAGGGTCGAGTGTTAAGCCGCTTAATTATACATTTGTCTCGACAATAATTAGTAGGCTTGATCCGTTTGTCTTTTTGACTTCAGACTACCTAGCAAGCACCATCACCCCTTCTTCAAGCGTGTTGATAGTCTTAATAAGTCTGTTATTCCTCTCCTATAAGGCTTTGTTAAAGAGGCATGCATTGACTATGTAGCTTTATGACAATATCCGAGGTAGCATTGATGCAACATACCTACAAGATAGATATATTTTAAGCCCTAAATGGCGCCTCGCTCGGCTATCATCTCACACCGAGCGGATGAGGAGAACCTGAAGTAAGTAGGTCGATACGAAGTAGGTAGGTAGGCAGGTGAGATGAGTTGAGCTGCATGCGCAGACCCCGCACATTTACCTACCTACATCGTGGGTAAATATAGATAAGTAGATGGTAGGGTGGGTTAGTTCCGGTGAGGAGATGTTGGGAATCAACCCTTGCTTTGACAGTGTTCTAATATTTCGCTCAATCTTCAGGGTGAGCTACCTAGTGATATTCTCCATTTACAGGCGACTTTTTACTCTGATCATATTTCTATATTGATTGCAATCCGTGGCTTAGAACGAGATACCTACTCTGGTTGGGTGTGTTGGTTTATTGGTTCTAATTTATTCGTTATATTTGTACCTATCCACTTACTCTGCCTGAAGACGGGTTTAGAGACGACTGATGTAAGTTCGAGTCGCGAAGAAAACGGCTGATATATCAGCACGCTCAATTTAGTTTACCTACCCAGGTAGCCAAGCCACGATTTTTTTCCAAGTATCTATCTAACCTACTCAGACTCTCGAATTAGAAACGAAGAAAAAGAAAAGATGTGGAAGCCGAGTTCCCCGCCCCCACAATCGACTATAAGCCCGGAACAGCAGCCACAGCAACAAGAGCCGGCAGAACAGACCCCCGGAGGACGCCCGAGACAGGAATCGCTCCGTCAACCTGTGACCGGCCGCCGCATTGCGCAGATCGTGAAGCTTAAGCCTGAGTTCGTCGCTAGGTACAAGGAGGTGCATGCTGCCGTGTGGCCGGAGGTGCTCCAGCAGATTAAGGCGTGTAATATTCGAGACTGTAAGTTTATTTTACTTACTGATATAATAGCCATTTCTTTCATCTTTTGTAATGTGTTACGCAAAAATATTTTTCTTTCTATTACTCTTGTGTTCTTTTCTTGTTATGATATACGGACGATTCGACTATGAGGGAAACGAGAGTGAGGACCTGTGCCAGAGAGATGAGAATGGCAACAGCCGCTGTTATAATACATTCACCCTATTTCTTCAACAATCTGGAGTATTTGTTCTCTGAGTAAATTAGCTCACGGTCTTTCCACGCTGTATACACCCACTCGTACATATGTAGATGAATACTAACCCTGCCATACATATATAGATAGCATTTTCCACGACCCCGGGACCGGTATCTTATTCGCGTCCTTCAAGTACGTCGGATTCGACTATGCCGGGGACATGGAGCGCATGCGCGAAAACCCCAAGGTTAGGGAGTGGTGGGCTATGACGGATGGCTTTCAGGAGGTAAGCTGCCCATCACTACACGTGTCTTCTCCAACTCGCGTGCCTTTTCCCTTTCATATGTGGTTTCACCCCTGATTAAGATCTGTCGTCATGTGTCTGTGTTTCTGAGTGGGGGTTCTTGAGTCTACAACTATACAGCTTGCTAATGATATGAAATTATCGTAGAGTCTGGTCCCGGGAGCAAAGAACAGCGAGTCTGGTGATCCTACCTGGTGGCGGGAAATTGAGGAAGTGTTTTATACGCCGTAGTCTTTCCTGCTCAAGACGGACTTGGTAGTGTAGACGGTGAGTGAGGGCTAAGGAGTAACGGTCCCGAGTTTGGCCCAATGGGTTCCGGAAATTGGGGTTACCGGTGGTGTTGATTACGGCGTTTTCAGAATTATGAAATTCGTTCGATATTTGAGGTACGATACTGGCAGAATGAATCTGATGAAACTGTTCGCTATGCAACACTCTTTCCTCACTCGCAGTTGTCATTAACTAAATGCCTTCGAATCAGTTGAAATTGGTATATTTCTCATCATAGATAGGAATCAGGCTCTCTCCGGACTGATATTCCTCGGGGCCAACCGAGAATAGTAAGAGGCCGTGATGGAATTTGAAGAAACTCAAAGCGCCGCACACTTACGGTCCTAGAAGAAAGCATCGATCGTCATGTACTCATGACCTCCGATCCTCGGTCACCACACACGAGAGATATCGATAGCTATTTCCATATTCTATCAAAGCCAACAAAATGATCATCGTCAGTCGTCAACGTCACTGCACTTAGTGTAGTGTCGTGTATGCAGACAGGCCGGGACCGCCCGTCAGCCGCTACTTACATGTACACACACATATCCATATACGGCTCCAGTAGCCACAGTAGATTACATATGGAGACGAAGATGGAGGTGGAGGTGGAGGGTTATTCTTCGCGCCAAGCCAGATAGAAACGGATAGTCCATATGCATCCTGCCGCTTCCCCCGTTGTGACAATATCTAGATTCGGGCTAGAAAAAGCGGCTGGCTAGGTTTATCTCCATGTCTATTCATGATCAAGGAAACGCTACTGCGCCCCGTAAACGCACGCATTAATCCCCCACGCGTGTAAGTATGTAGGGTCAGTCGCAGTTTCATGCGCGGATCTAGATCCGAAGCGGCGAGTGGCGGATCGCGAGGGACACTTCGATCTCTTACCTCTTTTGCCTGGCTTGGTCGATTACTTTTTCAGTATCGGCGTATGAAGTTACTGACAGAGGGCTTGGCTACGTGTTGGCTCGCTAGACTACCTACCTACATTCATACAGTCCTGCCAATCCTTTCGTGAGAGATAGACGTAGGCGATATATTCCAGAACCTTAATTCCTTCGGTCGATGTGTGCATACAGCAACGTCAATCACTGGCTGTAAGGAAGTCGCGAGTGTCTTGACAGGTTATTGATAGACGACACTTCTTTCTAATATTATCTAGGTAATACCCTGTATCCAACATACCAGAACGGGCCAGTTTGGTTGCTATAATACTATATAAGATGAACTTAAGGCAAACAAGACGATACGCAATCTTCCAGATGCTTTTCGCCCGGGTCAAGTCTCAACAGAAACAATACATAGGTACACAAAGGCAGAGAAGTAACAGTGTCGATCCTTCAATCCGAAGCAAATGGCGCCGTAACAATTCTTGTATCCCCCCCGCCTTCAAAACATGAGCGTATAAGGAAAGTCACAAAACCACCGAATACGTCCGTAAAGTAACACGAGCGCTTCTCCCTTTCCGCAAGCGGCAACGGGAGACTCGTGTAGTTGTCTCAGTGGCCCGTTTGATGGGGGAAAGTGTATCACGTCGGGAATTTTACGAGGTTAATCCTTACGGTTCGTAACACTGCAATGAAAACGTGTCAAGGAGCAGGATGGTCCTGGTAACACATTTACCTGACTTCCATAGAACAAACAAGCGAATCCATATGCCATCGCCTAGAAAAAAATGGTTCGTGATCACGATGAAGCTGCTTTGATTCTATCTCAGCGCCAATAGTATCTCGCGTGATAAGAGCCGTCAATATAGTTAGAGCATAGCATAGTCTGGGGCTATTTGATCCGTTAGTGTATACCGTTCCCGGCAATTACGCTTTCTATTTCGTAATTCCCACCCCAATGGCTGTATGTGCCTGTCCCAGGGACCTGGGAACCAGAAAATTGGTATTCCTGCACTTTGGTACTGCAGTAGGTATGTATGTAAGTAGTAGATGTGTGCCATGCCATGCCACGCGATCGCCAAGACGCGCACAGTTGTGGATCAAGCGGAGCTGGGAAGCTGGGGCGACATTAAAAAACCGAAGTGGCGAGCTTTGGTCTAAACTAAATATACACATCACTAGCCTGTAGCACACTAACTAGTATTATCTGCAAGACATTGTAGAAGAGATACCTGCATATGTAAAATAGGAACGTATATATTCCAAGAGATATCTGAGAGAGCGGACGGGAGCGCCCTGGAAATATCCTATGAAGGCAATGGCTTTCTCCCTTACGTGGTTCGCGGCAGCCCGCCCAGTTTTCAGCTTCGCTCCTTGCGTCTTCAAATTAAGTGGTCGAGGTGGTGTACCTCGGGATAGTCGCGGTTCCATTTTGGATTCGATGATAAGGCTAGGCCGGGAATATCTCCAGCGAGGCCCGAAACGGCAGTAGGTTCCTTGGCCCGCTGATAAGGGCGAGCGTACTGGATGGGCAGACGGCCTTGGTGTTATCTCATCCCATTTGTTAGTTCTGGCGCTCGCCTTACTCGTTGAAACTCCCGCTTCGTCAGCTACGGTGTCTACTGTAGCACTAGCAACATCCGTTGTCGACACTAGCCTTAGTTGAGGCCCGGCAAGTTGAAGAGGGAGAGAAACGGCATGCGGCCAGGGCCAAGAGGGTCTCGGGCTGGATCGCAGTCGATTGGCGTGTTTGCGTCCCAGGTTTCCGAACAACCCTGTCCAAGCTTGTTTAGAATTGCAAGTTTTTGATAATTGGGCTTATCATTGCCCCCTATGAGCAAGGAGGGACCAAGGACCTTAGGTTAGCTATGAAATGAATATATCATCCTCGTTTGCTCGTCTCGTCGCCCGCTCGGGTCACTCATTGTGTCTTCCATTGCTTCGAATCCATCGAGCTCGGATCGCAGCTTGCGACTTGTCACTTGCTATTGCCGTTGACATAGGTCGTGTAAGCCGTATTCCCGACTCGTGTGCGTGTGTGTCCTAAGATCGCGTGACAGCGCAGTTTCGGCCCGCATTTTCTATAATTTTTTTTTCTTGCGCGCTTGAGGTCTTTCTATCAGCGAATTAACTCGTCAACTTTGACTTAATTCGAAAACCACACAATAGGTTTGAGCCGCTGCGGCTGGCGACTCAGCAAATATCCATCATTCACGATGATTTCTACGCGTGATATCAACGAGAAGGTAGCGCGAAGCGCAGTTGGAAGATGGTTCAAGCTAGATGGCAGTGGCCATGTAAGTTCGGCGTTTTGGCGCTTCGAGTGCAGTTTTCGTTGGCATCGCCTGCTAACTAGGAGTTTTCATAGCCCAAGCAGCGAAAAGGATCTCTCTTTCTAACCGAGATCCGCGCCGGCATAGCTGCGTTCTTCGCCATGGCTTACATTCTCGCCGTGAACGCGAGTATTCTTTCTGATTCAGGAGGTTCGTCCGTCACTATTGATACTCAGACATGTCAGCGTGTTAGCTAATATAAGGCGGAAAAGGACCATGTGTTTGCGCACATACTGCCGAGGATCCCACTTGCGTCATGGATACCGAGTATCTTCTTTGCGTAGCCGAAGTCAAGCGCGACCTTGTCACTGCTACGGCGGCGATCGCAGCAATTTCGTCGTTTTGCATGGGCCTGTTCTCTAACTTGTAAGCATGCCTTATTTGTTTGTGTTGCGCTGGTGTATGGAAGGGAATGCTGACTTAGAGTGGGGGAAAGGCCTGTCAGTCTAGCTCCGGGCTTGGGTTTGAACGCATACTTCGCCTATAACGTCGTCGGCTTCCATGGAACGGGCAATACGCCTTATGCCGTCGCCCTCACGGCGACTTTCGCTGAAGGATTCATCTTCTTTGCCCTCGCTTTGTTCGGTCTGCGCCAATGGCTCGCGCGTGCCATTCCTCGGTCCATCAAGCTCGCCACGAGTGTGGGTATCGGCCTTTTCCTGACAATCATCGGATTCACATACAGTGAAGGTCTCGGCATACTTCAAGGCGCGACATCTACACCGTTAGTCCTGGCTGGTTGTCCGGAAACTGGCTTTGGCGAGGATGGCTTATGTACCGAGGCTACCAAGATGCGTAACCCGGCTATGTGGGTTGGCATCTTCGCCGGTGGTTTCTTCACGGTCATGCTTATGATATACCGGGTCAAGGGTGCGATCATTGCGGGCATTCTTCTCGTTAGTATCATTTCATGGCCTCGAACGACGGCCCTCACCTATTTCCCCTACACGGATGTCGGCAACGACAACTTCGATTACTTCAGAAAGGTTGTCGATTTCCACCAAATCTCGAGGACTCTCGTCGTCCAGGAATGGGGTATTTCCAAGCTCGGCGGCCAGTTCGGCTTGGCTCTGATCACCTTCCTTTACGTTGACATTCTTGACACAACGGGTACCCTGGTATGTCTATGACTCCTGGTTTTTCTTTTTAACCTTCGCCTACATTGCGCGCTAACATTGGGACTTCTAGTACGCCATGGCTCATCTAGCTGATGTCGTAGACCCAGAAACTCAAGACTTCGAAGGCAGCACAGCAGCATACATGGTCGATGCCCTGAGCATCTCAATCGGATCTCTCTTCGGTTCTTCTCCGGTGACGGCCTTTATCGAGTCAGGAGCGGGTATAGCAGAGGGTGGACGTACCGGCTTGACGGCGATGACGACAGGCATCTGCTTCTTCATCTCTGTATTTTTCGCGCCCATCTTCGCATCAATCCCGCCGTGGGCCACAGGCAGCGTGCTGATCCTTATCGGCTCTATGATGATACCTGCTGCTGCCGAGATTAACTGGCGGTATTTGGGCGATGCCGTCCCCGCTTTCGTCACTATCGCCGCTATGCCCTTCACGTATAGCATCGCGTACGGTCTCATCGCCGGCATTATCCTCTACATCATCATCAACACCTCTGTCTGGCTCATCGAGATCGCGTCTGGCGGCCGCATCGTGCCAGATAATAAGTCGGAGAAGGACCCCTGGACGTGGCGCATGCAGGGCGGCGCTCTTCCTCCTTGGATGAAACGTGCCATAAAGGGAAAGAAAGACTTTTGGCGTGACGACTCGTACACTACGGAATCCACGCCCAGCGAGGGTGCTAGGGGAGACGATAACCGCAGCTTATCGGCGTCTATCAAAGGGCAACCGATAGACATGAACGGGCAAAACGAAAAGCTCGCCTAGAAAAATGTTTTGGAAGTTGAAGAAAATTACTAATGGCTAGAACGCCTTTTGGACAATATGCATTGTACATAACGCAACCAACGAGGTTTTAGACAACGTACTTATATCGCCCCGTAATTGGAACAGTTTAGTTTGGCAAGTCACATATGCCTTTTTCCTTGGAGAAGAATGGCTGACGCTGGCTGTTGCCTACCATGCTGTTCTTTTGCTATCGATTTCACACGCCGCAGTAACCTTCCGTCTCTCGCAAGGTTTGAGAGCTTAGGTATTTATTTACTCATGAGCACTTATCAATAACTCGCAAAGATCGACACATAGCACGAAATAATCCCACGTAGCATTAAATGAGTTAATCACTCTATTTGCAGCGGCTTAGAATCTTGCTGCCGCGCGGCACCTAATCTCGAGTGTATCTTCACTGTCCAAACCAAGAACCATTCCCGCCCTGTATAACTAGCGCTCCAAATTCAAAAATTCCTCGAAACGCCAAAATGATGCTTCCCAAGCACCAGGTAATTTGGGCTCAACCACTGCCTGAGACAAGTGAAACAAATACACCGAAAGAAACCTATTCATTAGACACCCATTGTGAAGTCGTGCTCGATACCCGGTGTTACGCTAGCCATAAACTGCTTCGGATTAGCTTGGGTTCAACAGACGATGTAATGGAGTTAAACATACCTTGAGAAAAACTACCAGATACTGGTCGACGCGAATTGCTACATCTTGCTCTTCGGCTTCAACCTCTTCCCAGTCATCGCTACTGGACTCGGCGGCAGCTTCGGCGCTCTTAACGTCCAGCTTATTGATCTCGTCGACCAGCCCCTCCATTCCCGGATCACTGCCGATATTCTTTCCTGACTTTAACTTATCACGTCTAAGCTTTAAAGCAGCATCGGCGCGGTCCAGAAGCGTCTTCATGACGGATGCGTGCTTGCAGGGGTGCACGCTGGCCATCTTGACATTGTTCGCAAAGAAAGGGAAATCTTCTAACGTGACTGTCTTGTCTTTGTAATCCCCCACAATGTCTTCCATCATCTGTTGCGGGGCAAGGGGTTGGCCCTCAACGTAGCCCGAAAGATAAAGACGTGGTGTGCGATAGTAAGGTGAATACATGATATAGAGCGTATACGTCCGTCGGGCCCTAAAATACGGCACAGCTGTCAGTGTCTTTGATCATGTAGTTTCCGAAGCACCGAAGTTGAGTACTAACCCTGTTCTCTTCTGGGCTTCGGTGTCTGGAATAATGGCTTCGTCATCGTCATCATCCTCCATGTCCGGGATATCGTCCTCGTCATCTAGGCGATCACCTACATTGCCCGCATCGTCGACGGTCCGGACATCTCGGGCTTTGAGGGGTTGTGAACTGCTCAGACCGCCGGTACGAAGCCACCCGTCATCGTCATCGGCCTGTCCCTTGGACTTGAAATCATCACCATCGCCAACCACAGCCTCTTCGTGCCCAGCATCTCCGGCGAAGTCGTCGTCAAGGCGACGATTGCAAGGAACGCCGCGCGTAACAAGAAACTGCTTTCCGGGAGGGAGATAGTCTACGCGCTTGGCCTCGGAGTCGGCATCAGCCCATGACCAGGTGGGAAACTTGAAGACCAGGTAGTCACCGGCAGCGAGGAACTCTTCGGGGGTGATCTGGCCGGTCTTGCGGAAGGTTGACGTGTGCGTGACAGGAGTATACTTGTCACGCAACGTATTGACAGTGGAATATAGGTAGTTCATGATGATGTTTCTATTGTGTTCTTTGGACTAGGGCGCTCGGAAGATAAGTGAATGGCGTATGTATGTATGTCTGTCTGTTGATTGTATGCGGGTAGCGCAGAAGACAAAGGGTGCGTGTAGACGACGGCAGGTAGTACGGGATTCTGATGTTGGCAACGAAAAGCACAGTGAAGAAGAGCGCAGCCAAGGAAACGGATGGATGGATGGCAAAGTGTCTCTCTCTGTGTATGGCTGGCTGGCTGCCTGCTTGTCTCAGCTGTATGAGAAAGCCGGTACGCGTAGGTCTAGGTAGGGATGTAAGGTACTCCGTACAGATGCGTAGATATGATTCACGTTGACTAGGCACAAGGCTGGGTTTCTATCACATGGCTTCTGGGACAGCGATGTCTTGGGACGCCTACAACCTTACGCCTACTTACAACTCTACCTAGGTACGTAGCCTAGGGTGTTTCAGGATACCTACATTTGTACCTGCCTGGCCATACATGTACCTACCTTGCTGCTGAGGTGGGAAGTCGCTATAAGCAGGTACTAGATGACTCGCTTTAAGTATTTGTCTACCTAACATGCCAAAGGCAACCTACCTAGATCTCTCCTTGCACCGGAAGGCCGGCTATGGCGGGGGGTGATTCATTGAGGGGTAGCTCGAAGCTGTCACCTTATCTTATCTCTGTCTTTCCATGGGTTAATTAGGTAATATTTACCCGAGATGCCAAGGCTTCCCGACAGACGCTAAATCACGGTTTATTGCCTCAGTTGAGTTGGAAATAACATTTCAGCTGGTTATTCATCTAACGGGGATATTGACGCCACAGATTTTGCGGCTGGACAATCTCTGTCTCCTTATCTCGGCTGCTCTTCGGATTACGCCCTAGGTACCCACGAAAAAGTCAAGCGAGAAAAGCCCACCACACGCTGCTCACACCCTCACTCCAAGATCGGTACTAACCAGCAGCACACGACATCTCTCTTCGTCAGACAGACACGTAGAGGTACGAATTCCCTCCAACTTCCCGACGCGAAACCTTTGAACCTCGAAAATCCTTTACTGACAGAATCCTTATCTTGCAGTCTCGCCGTCAAAATGAGTGTGTACACCCAGCGTCAACATTAACCTCCGCTACATCGATTACTGACCTGCGAAACCAGCCAAGGGAACATCCAGCTTCGGAAAGCGCCACAACAAGACGCACACTCTGTGCCGTCGATGCGGTTAGTCTTACCAATCCCCGGAATCGAGCACACGGTCAATGGAGGCCGCGGTGATCAGGATCGCATAATTATCCGCATCGAACGACCGCCAACTTCGACTTCTAAAAGAGCCAATGGCTGACAAATTAACTTCCAGGTCGCCGCTCCCTCCACATCCAGAAGCACACCTGCTCATCATGCGGATATCCCTCTGCTAAGACCCGAAAGTGTACGTTGATGCCAATCTCGAATCGAGGAATATAATTCAACCTCCATGTTTCATGCATGTGGGTGTGTGTGTGTGCGGAACTGATTTGGTGGCTACAGACAACTGGAGTGAGAAGGCTAAGCGCAGAAAGACCGTTGGCACTGGCCGAACACGGTACCTTAAGGATGTCTCTCGCCGTTTCAAGAACGGTTTCCAGACCGGCGTCCAGAAGGACTCCAAGGCTCCCTTCTAAACAAAAAACTCTCGATGTAACGGAAACGATGGTGAAGGGTGTTGAAACATTTGGCGGCGGCATGGCAATGGAACGGTGTTAACTGACATTCGGACTGGTACTTTCATGGACTCTCAGCATCTTTTGAGTTCCGAGGGATTTGTTATGCTAGCATACTCCCTCCCTCCCAAAAAATTGCATCACGATCTGGCAAAAAGAAACGGCGGTTTTTCTATATGCATGTGTATGTCGGCTCAGCATAGAAGTTGCGGGAGATACCAGGTCCGCGCATCGAGTTGCCGCGATGCATCTGTCCTCTCGGGCAGATGGTCATTATTTGGAGAACTGAACGACGGCATGAATTGGTTCGAGATATTGGGGTTCTTCACACTATTGGCCACGCTCAAATACACGAACACTACCGTCACCTCTAATGAAGTACAATAATTCCCGATCTTCTACAAGTGCATCGGCAATTTCCTCGTCTCCTCCAGGTGTGATTCTGAGCACACCACTTACATCTTTTGCCGTGCCTGTCTCCAGCATCCTTAAGCTTATGACGAAATGTGCATCATGTGCCAGCGATAACGCCAGAGAGGCATGCTCCTGTTCCAACGACGTGCCCTGCGCAGCTATCAAAGGTTCATCTGCAGACACAGTGATGATGCATGAATGTACTTTCTATTGCAAGACTCCTATTAACATTCTCTGTCCATCTGATGTAGCGTAGAATTCTCGCCCATAAGCCACTTACTTCTCGTAGACCCAAGATAACACCTCGAAGGCCCTGTCCAGACATAGTATCCCCTGCTGTAGCGAGGAAAATATCCGGCTGATCTATAACTAGCACAGTCTGTGTCCCCGGATTCAAAGCCTGGGCATGAGATAAGGCGTCCTCCAAGACCTGCCGGAAATGATCCGTCGTAGCAGAAAGCAGCACTTTCTTCCCTGAGTCCACTACGGACTGCTTGCGTCGATGATCTGAAGCCGGCGTGAATAAACTGGTTAATCCATCGATAAAGACGAAAGAACCCTTCTTGCTGGCGACATCCAGGTCTAGACCCAATCGTCTGGACCCGTCCCTCCAGAAGGCGTAATCGCGCAGGAAGCTTACGAAGACGACACTTGTGTGTTGCTGCTGCTGAGGCTCCTCCGCACCACCACCACCACCACCACCCTCCTCGAGCGATTCATCTTGTTGTCGACGAAACGACGAAGAAGAAATAAAAGAAGAGGAAGGGGGTTGTGAAGCTAGTAAGGTGTAGAGATAGCGGTGAACGAGCCAGTTCGTGCTGGACCCTAGGACCCCACTCAGCAGGATGAGCGAGGTCTCATGTGGTAGGTGGAGGTAAGGCTCGAGCAGGGGCGGTGCTCGGGAGGCCATGAATTTGAATGAATTAGTCGGGATTAGGTATACAGTATCGCAAATGTACTGGGTTCAGGTTGGGGGGAGGGGGGGTTATTGATGTGAGAAAAGCTGGGCTCAGCTGCTGCATGCAACTTGGCGCGGGGTCAGGTGACAACAAGCGAGGAAATGTTGTTAACGTTAAAAAAAAAAAAAAATGCCAGGCAGATAGGAATCGGACGGAGATCGCGGGATTGGTCTAGGGTGAGAATATTGGTGGAGTGGGATGTTGTATCACATGGCCTATCTGCCAGAATGAAGAATGACCCTACACTACACTACCTAACTCGAGGATAACGGGGGGTGTGGTGGTTTGTTCGCGTGGTCAGCGAATATTGTTCGAGATAGGTAATTCAGGTACTTCATCAGGGTCCTGCGATATGTTCATGTGATTGCTTGGCTGGTGTTAGGGCCCTGCCCGGTGCCGTCATAGTGGACCGCGCAAAGCGCTTGGGTGTGTGTGTGTGTGTGTCTGCAAGGTTGAAGATCCAAGGCAGAATAACCACCTCTGCACGAGGTATCACAGGAAGACTCTGTATTTTGGTTACTAGGACTAATTCCATTTCTAAAAATGCGAGATCGCGAGTAGTTTTCGGTTGGTGTTTATAATTTCGAAGCTTGACACGTGGTAACGCTACACCTCGAGCCGTCTTATATCCTGATTGTTTCCCTATTTGTTTGGGCCTTACCGCGCTTTGCTGCACATCTCAGGTATTCGGCAGTTCGAACGACAATGACGCAAAATATGCAAACACCCTAGCTCCTCATTCTGGAGCTAACTACTACCTGAGTGCATATTGCAATGTTACCTTGTCGAAGCTGTTCCCCACGGAAAATAGCAAACATACCTTGTTCTACTTATGACAGGATTAGCCCCATATACATGTACGTAGTAAAGAAACGTAGATATCTTACGATTATGGCCATGTGCTAGATCCTTGTTCTATACACCTGATGTAAAGAATAGGCATTATGCCGCTGGTTGTTTCGACGAGTCATCGTTGACCCAGCCTGTCGAGACAGACTTCACAATCCCTCCTTACCACCTTTGCCTTCCTCGCCTTGCTCTTCACCCACCACTAAGATACATGTATGTTTCCCAATGGAGAAATTCAGATTGCTCCTGCATCTTGATAGCTTCGGGCCTAAAGTTAAATTCCGAAATTAATTGCATGTATTCAAAATGAACCCCGTGTAAACAGAATCTCAACTGCAAGTCGCAACCCTAAACCTACTTCTCCCTCCTATAGATGTTTCCTCTTCGAATCTCGATTCATGTCCGCATGTTCTCACAGTATGTAAATTAGTCACCTACTTACAGTGATTCGGTTTCCCCGTCTCTCCGCATTCTTCGCTTTGCTTATTCCTCCAAGCATCTATTTTCTCCATTATCGTTGGGCGAGTTAGTTTCTTAGTCCGCAGCCCGCCCCGCCGTTTTGCTACATCATTAGCGCTACCGACTATACTAGTTACGACCCTTGGCTCATCGCCACGACCTTGTCACTTGCTCTCTCTCTCTCCGCCCTCTCGAGTCAACTGTTAGTATATAGAGTCAGGTAACCTTCGTGACAGATCCGAGAAGTGGAGGTGGAACGACGATCTATCCGCGTTGGCCGCGTATTAGACGGGCTCGTTTCCTCATGTATCTACACGAATGCAGCAATACGCTCTGCGGATGAGAGGGTCTATCCTATAAGGACTACTTCTATTGCGTATCTTGAGCACTCCCAACATATCATATATTATTCCCTTTACTCCTTGGTCCTGTTCATGTTTGTTTAGACACCATTCCCTCTTTCATATCCGTTGGTACGCTTTATATGTATATATACTTCCAACACACTCAAAGATTGTACATTGTGTCTTCAAACGAGAGTATTCACGGGAGGTCGAATACAGCATATGAAAATGGCGGGTGAACCCACCAGTTCCGGGCTTGGGCGCCCATGGAGGCTGCTATTCAGAGGGAGGGATACCGAGTCCACTGATCAGGACATCCCTACCAGCGAAAAACCGCCAAAACCGACATGGACTATGGGTATTCTCAATGACAGAGAGACTATTGAGGTTCCTGGTTAGTCCTTCCTTCTCCCATGTTGGATCTCAGATACAGTCTGGCTGACATGATACCCAGGGTCTGTCCTGTTACTCTCCAAGGAAAGAAACGAGCCCCTTGGTCTCCGGAATCAACCGGCTAGAACATCTCACTCATCTCTTCCTACCGGCATGCTACCGGAGCCGCCAATGTCGCCTGTCAGAGAGGAGCAGAAAAAGCTCACTTCGGACGGCCAGATCATCCTCGATCCGCAACCGGACGATTCTCATAATGACCCGTTAAATTGGCCGGCTTGGCGTCGTGATTGTGCTTTGCTCTCGCTGGGGCTGTGAGTAGATCTTATCATTATTCTCCTTCTTTCATAGGCTGTGTTCATACTTTGAATGCTTCGTTCTGAGATAGGAGTATACATACGAGACTTCCGTTATGCGAAATACCTGCGTACATAGCTGAAATTGCAATGACTGATCTCGTGTATTGGCAGTTTTTCTATGGTGGGAGGAGGCATTACGCCTATTATCGCGGCCGGATTTACCGATGTTGCTCATGGTGAGGGTCCATTGTTTTGGCAAATTCTCCCAACTTGATTGTGCTAACACATGATGTAGATTTTAATGTCGACATATCACAGGTCTCATTAACGACAGGACTGGTAAGTGTTCCTTAAAATACACCTTTCGTGATTCTCTCTTGTGTCTCATTGGTCGCAATCGGTTCGAAAACTCGATATCTAATTTTTGTCATTGTAGTACATGTTAGGTTTAGGCCTTGGCTGTGTTATATTCTCGCCAACGGCCATTTTATACGGAAAGCGGCCAGTTTACCTCTTTGGCTCTATCCTATTCATCCTTTCCGCCGTGTGGTGCGCATTGTCACCTAGTTTCACCTCTCTCATTCTTGCCCGCATTTTCCAAGGCATCGCAGTCAGTCCCGTAGAATGTCTCCCCTCTGCTACTATTGCCGAGATTTTTTTCCTGCATGAGCGAGCCTTTCGAATCGGTATATACACGCTGTTGTTGCTCGGCGGAAAGAATCTCGTGCCGCTTGTTAGTGCTGTCATTATTAACGCTCTTGACTGGCGCTGGGTATTTTGGTAAGTTGAGTTCCAGCATCAGGTGTAATAACGCTTCATCATTTATGTGCCGCTAACTCCATCTAGGATTGTTGCTATCGTTGTCGGTTTCTGCGGTATTCTCCTGTTTCTCTTCGTTCCTGAGACTTTCTGGGATCGAACGCCTATTCCGAAATCACAACGCCGAGTCGTCAAGAGACCAAGCTTTTTCAGCAGAAGGTCATCCGCCAGACATGCTGTGCCCAGGGTATCCGAGACAGCCGGCGTAAATACTACACTTACCGAGAAGCCTACTCATGAAACTAGTGATTTTAAGCCTGCGGAAGAGAAGCAGCATATGGAGCGGCCGGGGCAGCAGCGTCATGTCGGCTTCGCCCCTGAGGCGGAAGAGCATCCAACTTCAGAGGCAAGACTAGGAGACCACGATGCACCCTCACCAACCGGAGGGGCTATGCACTCGGCCTTACCATCACAAGATAATGAGACATTAGCAGATGCTACAAAGTCTGCAATCAACTTACAAGGAGAGGATAGGTTGCGATCCAGCTCTTCTCGCCCTCCAAGTGAGCGGGCAATGTCACATCACAGTATCTATTCGCCGAAGAACATCACCCCCGCGGGCAGTCATTTGCACTCACCTAATTTGCACGACGTTAACTCAGCCTTGAGTGACCATCTGTCTACCACCAACTCTCAGCGAGACCCAGAAGCGCAACGTCCCGCGCCTCATCGCCTCGTTTCGGACACAGATAGCGAAAGGATGTCATTCTCCAATCTCAATGCGGCGACGATGGGACAAGTGTACACTCACAGACTACGAGAAGCACCACGTCAATCGTTCAAGTCGCAGCTCAGGATCTTCCACGGCCGCATCAACCAAGATAAATGGTGGAAGGCCGCCGTTCGACCTTTTATTCTATACTCGTATCCTGCCGTTCTCTGGTCCTCGGCCGTCTACGCTTGCTCCGTAGGCTGGTTGATCGTCATCTCCGAGTGCGTCGCCGTCATCTACCGAGAAGGATACTACGAGTTCGACGCGCTACAGACCGGCCTTGTCTACATCGCCCCGTTCGTCGGCGGCGTCCTGGGCACGGGCGTGGCGGGCCGGGTCAGTGATATCATCGTTAAGGCCATGGCTCGGCGCAACGGCGGTCTCTACGAGCCTGAGTTCAGACTCGTCATGGCCATTCCCATCACCATCACCACCGTCATCGGGCTGATCGGATTCGGATGGTCCGCACAAGCCGAGGATCCGTGGATCGTGCCCACCGTCTTCTTCGGCGTCGTGTCCTTTGGGTGCTCACTGGGGTCCACGACGGCGATTACGTTCTGCGTCGATAGTTACCGACAATATGCGGGCGAGGCGCTCGTCACGCTCAATTTCAGCAAGAACGTCCTGCACGGGCTCGTCTTCAGCTTCTTCGTGACCGGATGGCTCAAGGACGACGGCTCCAAGTCTGTCTTTGTCTGGATCGGCGTCATCCAGCTCATTGTCCTGCTCTCGACTATCCCCATGTATATATATGGCAAGAGAGCGCGCATGTGGACCGTGAGGATGAACTTCATGGAGAAGTTTTAGCATGTTTTTATGCACCCGTAGCGTTTGGAAAGGAGATGGCGAATAGGAACGAATGGTTTTAGATGCCGGGGCTATTAGCGTGGGATTTTACGATTGGGAAATTCTGTTTGTTTTATGGTAGATTCGACTATTTTGATCATGGCGTAAGGCGTTCAAGGCAATTGGGTATACATACCAATGAATGCAATGAATGGACGACTCTGTCTTATTCCTCTATCCCCGAGGGTACCGGTGATATCGGTCCAAGATGCGAGCGTTAAATCCGCAATTCCCGACATGTCAGATGTATATTTGCTGCAGACAGGGTAAGGTATGACGACATTCAGAATTCAGTGATCTAGTTACTGTACCAAGTCAAGGTCCCTTTTGGCGCGTTGTCTCTAAATGTCAATCAAAGAATTCATTCTCACGCCGAATCTATCAATTGGTATCCGAGTTAGCATCGCTGCTCTAATTAGCTAATTAGCCGTTCATTCAATGTCGTCGATTACCCGCGCCGCGTTGGCGCAGCCGACCTCTCGCGGCTTCGCAAGGCGCTTCGCTACGTCGAGGCCGTCGCGAGCACAGAACCAGATATATACTTCGTGAGTGCTACCATTTGTTGTAAAAGCCCCTTCGCATGCATCCATTAAATGGTTGCGCATAAAGAATCAGGAAGGTGTTCATACACTTCATCCCATACCCAATTCCCATTAGCCAAGGACCGGCTGACGATCGTTCTAAAATACCCAACAGCGTCCGCCGTCCCGCCGACTTCCAAAACTACCAGCTCCTCTCATCGTCTTCGCGGACGCCACTGCTCACGCTGTGGACGACGTCCTGGTGCGGCACGTGTCGCGTCGTGGCCCCGCTGATCAAGTCGCTCGTGGAGTCCGGCGTCGGCGAACAGGAGGGCGGCGTGGCGTTCTGCACCGTCGAGTACGACGCCCCGGATATCATGAGCGGGGACGGTAGTGGCGACACACCGCTGGGGATGACGTACATGATTACGAGCATCCCGACTTTGCTGAGCTTCGATGCTGGCGAGGCCATGGTGGAGACGAAGGTCACTGATGGTAGGAAGTTGGCGGATCGCGAGTTTCTGGAGGAATGGATTCGGAATGAGGCAAGGAGACATGGCGGGAGAGGAGGAGGGGGCGGGAATGGCATTTTGGGGGGTTTGTTTGGGGGTTGGAGGTGATGGGAATTCTGATGATATTCTTGTTCACACTTGGATATTAAAGGGAATTGGAGTGATATTGATGTAGTAGCTCAGTAAGCGATGGGAGTAGCAGCCTAGTCACTTATATCAGAAGCTGTATAGGTAAGTTCTTCATTTTAAAAACCATTATCGCAGTATTGACTGAGCGTAGGTAACTCATAAGTACAATTGCTGTACAGATTATACATACTGACGTTATCCCGGAAGCCAAAGGTAGCAAGATCACCTCTACTACAAACTGTGGCTACCACTCGAATCGCCCCATACGAGTAACTGAGAAGCCTCAGAACCTACAATAGCAACCGACTAGACTCCAATGATATATGTAGAACCACCGCTGTTCCCACGTCTTCAGATGTCTAAATGAGAATATGCCAAGAAACAAAGCAAACCCGCCCAAACCAAAGTGAATGTGTCTGTGAACCTCAATACCTTCGCAGCCGAACGCCCTTCGCTATGATCTCAGAAAATGTAAATCACCCTAGGGGTATCCGCAGTAACACCAACGGCCAATATTGAAAGGGGGGCAAAAAAGAAAAATCATATCTGGAGTACACCAAAAGACCACCATTATGTCCTGTGTCTCATCTCCCAGTGCCAACTTTATTCACGCCTAAGATTTTGACAACGAGTCGCCCAGCAATCTCGGCGAATGTCTTCGCGATGGACACGAGAGGAATATCTGTATCGGGAAAAGGTCGGGTGGCGTTGATATCTAGCAAGAGAGCAACCATGGATATAAAGCTGGTGATTGAAAAGACGCTTATACTAGCAAAAGTCTCTTTACGAATTGGTACTTTGCGCTGCGTGAAGTGGTAGCATGCCGTCAGTATAGTGGCGATGCCGATCCAGGCGGGTAGGAGCAGGCGGGGGTCGTTGGAACCGCCTGTTACATATACGATCCACGAAGTTAGGTATGCGAATACGCAGCTGATGGTTAATAGTCGAACCACTGTCGCTTGTGGAGTGTAGTTGATCAGCCATCGGGACATCAAGCAATCTGTGAAGTAGAAAGCCAGTGTTGCGGAAGCGAGACACTGTACACATATTGGTCAGTACCGGTTGCAGTGCTGATGCCGTCAGGGATTGGTGGTTCTTGTTTGCTGCCTGGTTTGTTCCATCTTGTGACAATGTATTGACAGTGGAGAGAGAGAGAGAGAGGCAGGGGGATAGCAGGTAGGTGGAGGCGGACGTCATACCCAGAGCCCCGCGAGCAATGTCTCGGTAAGCATCAATGGAACCTCAATCTCGGGCTCATTGCTGTGTAAATGTCGCAGGACCTGTGTGACGAGAAAGCGGAGGGCAAGGCGCACCCCCCACCAAAAGCACGGCACAAGACATAGCAGACGACATATGGAAAGCGTGCGGTACCAGCGCTTCGGGAGGCCGAGGAGGACAGCAACTCGCGGCTGAAGCAGGGATACGGAGACGGTGGACGCCGCTGGCCGCTCGGGCTTATTACTGTCGAGAGTGCTGGAGTCGCGGCCGTAGCCGTGGGCTGCGCCGTTGGGATTCGGCCTCGTTGACGATGGCGACGGCCGTGATCTGTCCATCGGGCGAGACAAAGGCAACCCACCGGCCGAGGGCGAGTTCCTCCACCGCTCCTTGACTTGTGGAACAGTCAATTGGGTGTTTGCAGAGTACAAGGAGTGGTGGGTTGAGGGCCGCGATTGGTGTTGCGATGGTTTATATGGTTAATCATAGGAGTAGAGGATAAATAGGTGGGTGTTGATTCGCCCGAGGCTGGTTCAGGGTCTTGGTGTTATCTTGATTTGTGTTATCATGAACGAATCTACCTACAGTGGTTGAGCTACAGGGGAGGCCCCGGGAGTTTACAGGTACCTACCATCGTACAGGTACGGGCCCACTATCTAGGATTCCTACATCACTGAGCAAAATGATATTCACATTTTGAGGCTTAATCGAAGTCTCAAACACAAAAGATTTCATGAAAACAGAGAAATAAGATGGCAGCGATAAGAAAGGATCGATATCTTGGTGTAAGGCGTCTTTAGAACCCATTACTAGATATCCATTATGATGTATTGTGAGCTCAACTGTAACAAGTAGGTATAGACTCCGTCACTACATATCCCTCGAATGTCTCTCTGAGCTCAGTCCGGCTACCCAGCACACAATTAATTAAGCCTTTGCACAAACGAGGAAATCATGCATGAGCAGTTACTTAAGCTGCGAGATTTCAAGTTGAATTGATGATTAGGACCTGAGCTTACAATGGAGAAACAGGACCTCCTAGATGTAGGTAGACACAGATCTAGGGCAAGTTTCTAAATCTAGTGACCCAATAACCCAATTTTTGTAAGAAAGACTTGAGGAGGAGCCTGGGATGCTAGTTATGATCAGGGGACATACATACGCTAACCCATCTGTATTCCACATCCTGTAGGTCGGGGCTCTATCTACAATTGACGAGGCGTAGATAGCCTCACGTGTGAGTCTAGTGTATATAACCCTTCGTATAACTAGCTTACGTATTCATACGGTTACCGTTATCTCGTTGAATCTAGTGACGCTAATACGAGACAGTTTGCCTAAGGAGGATATTGTCTCCAAGAATATCGTAATTCATATACTACTCGATACGGTATATCCGATAACCCTTTGGGTATCTAATGGAAACCTATCCATGTTAAACCAAAGCATGATCTCCCCGAAAAGTCTACCAATGCTCATATCCGGTAATCACAAACTTTGTACTGGGCACTTACATACCCTTTGGTCATCTTGTTGTAGACTTCAATTATTCTGACTTGGCTATTTTCCGATCAAATGATTGTTCACTGTGCCCGACTGCCAGTCTTCCTATGGCCTTTTCCTGTCAGCCCTCCTTCGGTACCTAATCAATACACACTAAAGTTACTGTTATAGTACCACATAGTTGAGTGTAGACGCGCTCGACCTGATAATGTCGTATCTATCTTTTGGATAACACAACGGTTTAGCATACACTCTTATTCTATTCCGTGACAGTTACTAGTTTGCGACGGAGATCTCGACTATTAATATGATTCTCTTATTGTTCTATGCATATTTCATGTCTCTGGGGCTTTTCTGACATTCGGGGAAACTGGAATAACAGTACAGAAGTAAACGTAACTTGTAATCTCGTTATGTCATTTCATGCAACCTGATAAATTCAGGTTGCAGAAGAGATATCATGTCCAAGTTGTGTACCGAGCTAGGATAAATTCTATTGAACACATGATATGATAGCTATGGACGGCCAGTTATCTATCTAGCTTTCCAACATGTTCCAACATAGTTATGAATATATTCTATAGCTAGAGATTCCAATCTTGCCCACGGAAGTATTTTCTAGTACTTCAATGATATCTTTATATTAAGGGACGTTGCACGAAACCTTACTAGTTCATTATCATACCGATATTTCCTTCGTGGTGCTCAATACTTAGACTTGAGGCTTCACAAGGCCCAAAGCTGTTGATGGGTGTAACTGGCATCGTAATTGTATTTGAGCCCCCTCACTCACACACACATATATATAAAGGAGCTCAAGTCGTTTTTCGCTGTACAGTATACTCGATTCATATTGCTGTGCTATTCGTTTCGAACCCGACTTTATACGATAATTGTCATTGAATTACATAAAACGTAATGTCTCGTGTGTCACATCATCATGGTCACGATATATGCAGAAGTTAGCTGAAAATATTGCGAGCATGGCGAGAACCCTTGTTCAAACGAAATGATGATCCGAAGACAGAGAATATGGATGGCTAGCAAAATGGTAGAAGTTGATTCTGATTAGGATGAAGCTAGATAGTGAGCGATACCCCATGGGGTAGTCCCATCAAGTTTCTCCGTTCATAGGTATGTAATATAATTCCACTCGAAATGATTATTACACGTATTTACTGCTGAGTTCTGGCCCATGTAATAGTAGGTAAGTACTACAGAGACCCATCTCACCCTTAATCAAGACAGTAGCTGACGTAGCTGTATACGAGGGTGGGTTTCCCCGCCTCCTAGAATATCATCGTAAGCAAGAGCAGCACACCTACCTAGGTAGTATCTGCCCTGTTGATAGTTGTGATAGTCAAGACTCCCATAGAAGATTGCCTGTACATGTAAACCAATCTTACAACAAAAGCAGAGACAATGTTTTTGATTAGGTTTACACCAGGAAAAACTTCAGGAGGTCTACCTATTAATAGAGCTAGCGTTACAATACATATACATAGAGGCAGAAACATAGGTACACACGCGGAAGGGATAGCTTCGAGTGGGCAAGCTTGCCGCCCGCGCTACCAATACTTAGCGTATAATTGAGACCTCATTTTGGTCCATACACACATGCATACATACCACATATAAGAGTCCTCGAGTTCCACGTAAGTAGAGATATTGAAGCTACGAATCCAGTGCGGGACTATCATTACGAAAATTAAAATGGTGTTCTGCTGTTGACTAGGTACAGTCTAAGGTCCATCAGGGTGGATGGTAGGTGGAACCTGTTGATATGTTGTACAAGTGTGCCACAAAGTAGAAATCGGCGATAGGAAAGTAAACAAAGAGCACATGAGCAGACATGAGCTAGATGTTTGGAATTTTTTTTTCTCGCCTCCCCTCACTTCGACCCCACCTCTCTGCCTCAGGTCTAAGCGATATAGAGAGCACCATTGATATCATAATTACTGCACTAGTACAAGGTCGGATTTTAGCGGACACATCGTCGACTTTCCCGAACAGTTCGGGCCCCCCCCCGATGAATGGGCCCGGCGTGACGCACATAGCATCCCAGCATGATAGTGGAGACGGTCAAAAATTTGGAGGCTCATGTTCAGCCAATGGACTGACCGACACAATGGCATTGGCAGATTGGGCAGCAAAGGAGAGAGGGGTGATCAAAGGCGGACATGGGCATGAAACTTCGCAAGTTCTACATTAAGTGTAGGTATCACAAAAGTAAACCATGACTGTTTTGCCGAGATAGGTACCTACATGATGAATGTACGGACCGCACACCTGGCCACATTGACACAGATGGATGCATGCACATACTGGTACCAGTATGCCAAAATGGGATCTGAATCCTGGGAGCTTTGGCGTGGCTTTGAAAACCCTGTTGGACGAGACGGAGACGGGAGTCGCAATGACGCAGACGGCGAGAAGAGCACTAAATAAATCCTAGAGGCAGTGGATGGATTAGAAAAAGCTTTTTGGTGTTGTTTTGAGGCACAATACCTATGTACCTACACCTGAAGCAATCTAGAACTTGTACCAGTCTACCTAAATACTTACATAGGTACTTAGATACATGTAGGTACCCAACCAAGTGTTTTGTGGGCAGGTACGCAGAGGGTACAGCAGAGAATACAGCAGCAACGAATACCTCCCGTCCCCTACCTAGCTCCCACCATAGAGTTCATAGTAGGGGATTCAATGTGATGATGGCTACCTAGGTACTATTACATAGAATGGAGGGGCTGAAGGAGCAAACACATAGCTCCCCGCCCTGATACCTACTGTACATTTACAGATCCATTCACGAATACAGTCGCAGATACATTGAGAGGCACCTACGCATACTTCGTAGGGCAGCGAAGAGGTTCGGCCAAGCAAGCGCGGCATTGCCTCGCAAAGTTGCAGATCTCACCCGGCCATGACCAATAAGGAGACACTAAGTAGATTGAGAGGTGGGTCTGCGGGCGCAACAAGTACCGCCCATGTCTCGGAGTGGTAGGCGGTGAATGTGGGGGAAAGCAAAAAAAAAAGGGCGAAAAAGTTTTTTTTTTTTTGTTTTTGCTTGCTGTGGCCTGGCGGGTGGGTGGCGCATTGAGAGCATTGAGTGAGTGAATGGAAGGAGGGGTTAGAATTAGGTAGAGAGGGGCAGGAGCCCCCGCAACACAGAACTGGCAGAAACTCCAGTGCACCGTGTTGGTTTTCTGATAAAACCCACCTGCTGCCCTTCGCTCTCTTCTTCTTGATTTTCCTTTTGATTCCTCGTCACTATACCGTTAATCAAGCATTAACATCTGGAAATGTGAGTCTCTCCTCCCATCCGCGCATCCTCTCTATTCTCTCCATTCTCTCCATCATCTCCATCATCAACACTACCACTTCCATCACTTTTATCACCCTTTTTCAACGACGTTTCCCATCTACTGGTTTTCTCCATCCCTCGCATCTCGCATCCCGCATCCTTTCTTTTCTCCCTTGCATATCGTGCGCCCCGACCCATCGGCGTGGCCTTCCCAAGAGAAAGTCCATCAACTAACCTAGATCCGCCGCACAGTTTCAACTCCTAAATCTCATAGACCAGATTTCATAGCATCACATCAAGATGTCGACTAAGGCTGTTAGTACCCCCTTCCCCACAAGTTTCGGACCTCGTTGCTGCTGCAATGCCCTCGAAGCATGTGTTGAACTATCACTGTTTCTCGCGATTACTGACTTTACCTCACACAGCACCTTAACGTCGTCGTCATCGGCCACGTCGACAGTGGCAAGTCCACCACCACTGGTCACTTGATCTACCAGTGCGGTGGTATCGACAAGCGAACTATCGAGAAGTTCGAGAAGGTTAGTCGTTTTCTCACTCACATTCCTACTATCATAACTGCGTCGCTGGTTTGATAAATTTTCCCGACGGATTTTTTTTTTTTTCGCCTGTGCCCCGCCATCGTGTTGGCCATCAAACAACCCCCACCGAGGGGCACAAATTTTATTACCCCTCCTTCAAGTCTTGGCTGGGAATGACCCACTCGGTTTCCAAACATGCTCTCTAGCACCTAACATTCTCATCTGAGAAATCTGGCACGTTGTACTGACATATTTCCAACGATAGGAAGCCGCTGAACTCGGCAAGGGTTCCTTCAAGTATGCCTGGGTTCTTGACAAGCTCAAGGCCGAGCGTGAGCGTGGTATCACCATCGATATCGCTCTCTGGAAGTTCGAGACCCCCAAGTACTACGTCACTGTCATTGGTATGCTGGCCTCCCACCTCGCTACTACACACGACCTGTTGCTAACTTCCACTTTCTAGATGCTCCCGGTCACCGTGATTTCATCAAGAACATGATTACTGGTACTTCCCAGGCCGACTGCGCTATTCTCATCATTGCCGCCGGTACTGGTGAGTTCGAGGCTGGTATCTCCAAGGATGGCCAGACTCGTGAGCACGCTCTGCTCGCTTTCACCCTGGGTGTCAAGCAGCTCATCGTCGCTATCAACAAGATGGACACCACCCAGTGGTCTGAGCAACGTTTCCAAGAGATTGTCAAGGAGACCTCTTCCTTCATCAAGAAGGTCGGTTTCAACCCCAAGCACGTCGCTTTCGTCCCCATCTCTGGCTTCCACGGAGACAACATGCTGGAGCCCACCAAGAACGCTTCCTGGTACAAGGGCTGGGAGAAGGAGACCCCCAAGGGTGCCAAGGTCAACGGCAAGACCCTCCTCGACGCCATTGACGCCATTGAGGAGCCCAAGCGTGCCAACGACAAGCCCCTCCGTCTCCCCCTCCAGGATGTTTACAAGATCGGTGGTATTGGAACGGTTCCCGTCGGCCGTATCGAGACCGGTGAGCTTAAGCCCGGTATGGTCGTCACCTTCGCCCCTGCCATGGTCACCACCGAAGTCAAGTCCGTCGAGATGCACCACCAGCAGCTCGAGAAGGGTAACCCTGGTGACAACGTTGGTTTCAACGTGAAGAACGTCTCCGTCAAGGATATCCGCCGTGGTAACGTCGCTGGTGACAGCAAGAACGACCCTCCCTTCGGTGCTGAGTCCTTCAACGCTCAAGTCATCGTCCTTAACCACCCCGGTCAGGTCGGTGCTGGTTACGCCCCGGTTCTCGACTGCCACACTGCCCACATTGCTTGCAAGTTCTCTGAGCTCCTCGAGAAGATTGACCGCCGTACTGGTAAGAGCGTTGAGAACAACCCTAAGTTCGTCAAGTCTGGTGATGCCGCTATCGTCAAGATGATTCCCTCCAAGCCCATGTGCGTGGAGGCTTTCACTGACTACCCTCCTCTGGGTCGTTTCGCCGTCCGTGACATGCGTCAAACCGTCGCTGTCGGTGTCATCAAGTCCGTCGAGAAGGACACCAAGGTCAAGGGCAAGGAGACCAAGTCTGCTGCCAAGAAGAAGTAAACAGCTCATATTAACTGCTTGAGTTGATCTACGAAATGGGAATGTTATGACGGATCGGCGCTTTGATAAGGGTATTTTCGTTGGCACGTTCTGTTGATATCGGTCGGGTATGATTGCGGATGGGTACGGCAAATATCTTGTCATTTTTTTTCTCGTCCATGTGCTTCTAGCAAAATAGAGTCGTAGACCGTGTCTAGTCTTCCGACCTTGACGTGACATGATCCATACCTAGACGAATGAAAAAAAAATTGTTCTAAAAAAGTTTCGCTTGCCATTTCACAAGATGTGACTTGTATATTCTACTGTACATACTCATCTTGGTCGGGATTTAGTCAAGACGTGTGAGGTATGGTCATATATTTGTCTAACATGACATTTCATCTATTTTATGTAATGCGATGCCTCTATTTACCAGTAGTAATACATATTTACAATTACATGTACATTTTGACTTCCTCTAGAGTTGGCGGTATATATATAGACCACTACATTTAACCAGATTTCGAGCTAGCTAGCTAACCTGATTGTTTGCTACATATCCCGTATATGCTGATCATTTTATTTATATTCATTTTGACCGAACCATAGAGAGCGATCTGTGGCGAGTCGAGAACAAGATGCTAGGAAGTTCGCTTCTTCTCTGGTTGGTGATGGTGATGGTTCGAGGGTGACCTCGGCGCGACGACCGCCGCCTTGACCCCCTTCTATCGAGGTATAGCATAGTCGGTGGCCACCTTCACCTTCGCAGGGGAGACTTGCGGAGCGGTGGAGTTCGAGACCGACGAATTCGTAGGTTATGCTTATGAGTTGATTGTCATCGCTTTCTTGTTTGTTTTGGGATTCTGGTGCTTCTTCGGAGGTTTCTTCAGATGTTTCTTCAGATGTTTCTTGAGAGGATGGAGGAGGGGTAGTGGTGCTGGGGAGTAAGAGGCGTTTGGGAATTGTGAATTTTTGCCGGGGCGGCATTTCGAGCTTGCCGTCTGCGAGATCAAGACGGGCAGCACTGAGGAAGTCGCGGAGAGGCTGCCAGGCGGCGAGCGTGTGGTGATCGGGCGCCTCGAGTGTCTCGAACTGCGTCTGCGTGAAACGGACGTCGACGGGCGACGACGGGAGCATCACGTCCGTGTTATGGGCGCGGGTGATGGCCCGTAAGCTCTCGACGCCGAGGATCTGGTCGTTATCGGAGGCGACGAGTCGGAGCTCGAGGATGGGGGCTGGAGGGGTATCCCCGGCGTGTTTGGGCGCTGGCCTTGATGAGCCTGGTCTTGAGGCCGGGGCTGAGCTTGGGGACGGCCAGAAGCGGAGGACAACTGTGGATTTCGTAGTAACTACAGGTCCAGTGCCTGAATCGTTCGATTCGAACCTTGAAAGGACGAGAGGGTGGGGCGTTAATGGGGAAAAGACACGTCTTTCGGTACTGGCTAGGAGGTCTGAAAGGTGTGGTGTTGGGTCCGAGGGTTGATATGGATGCAGTATATGGCCAAAGTGAGCCGTCGTTGAGGTCCTGCCATTGTTGGACCACACAACGGGATGATTGGGAAATCCGCTGGCTGGTAGAAACTGGACGTTCTCATTCAGACCTTCATCTCTTACTAGAGGCTGGAACGGAAGTTCAAATTTCTTGATTGGCAATGCCGTGTTTGTTACAGTTTCCCCTGGACTTAGTGGCTGCGCATAACGTGCCCATTGGCTTAGTCTATCTTTCCACCCGAGTTTATCTTTACTTGTAACATCCACGATTAGTCGACCGCGATCCAAGTTGGATGGTGGATGCGAAAGTAAAGTAGAGGTCACTTGTTGTGATCCCGAAGCAGTAAGTAGAAGACGGAAGACAATATGAGAAATATCTTCTACGGCGGTGAGTCCACGAGCGGCTCTGGACTTGACATCAAGCCAGGCAACATGAAGCTACTCCCAACATCGTTAGCAGAGTGAAGAATAAGTGAAACACAGGGCTCATTACTAACCCTTCTCAAAGAATGAGTTTTTTGAACGCGACTGTTCGTGATTTTACCGACTTGTTCTAGAATTGTGTCGTCTGGCATTCCCGAGCCGAGGAGGACGACGGGGAATGTCTTGGTTTTTACGCACTGAAGTGTCTCATTAAGGTCCCTGATCACTGTATCTGTCTTGTGTTTTGTAGTGACGAGCCGGAGCATCTTCTCACGTCGGAAAGCTTCAATCTGTTCGCCAGGGTCGAGCCAGATTTTGCCCAAAGTGTTCATAAACCGCTGTGTTCCTCCTGAAACGACGTCTTAGTGTTAAAGTGCTGCCAACGTATGTTTCGATATAACTGCAATAGATGGGGGCGACTTACGCATGAGGACAGTGAATTCGTCGTCATTCAGCTCAATCCAGGTTTCGCCTAGTTGAGTCTCTAGCTCGGCTATTGATAAATGCCAACACTCACGCATCAAGCGGATAGCTAGCTTTTGTTTGGGGGTCGTTGCCTCTGACACATACCCCTGAGTTTCGTTGGTCGTGCTGGATTTAAGCCCCAAGGGCATCCAAGCTGTTCTGTTTATCATCCAGGGAAATTCAGGTTCGGATGGAGTGTCCGGGGCCATCGATAGCGAATCATCTTCCCCCTTGGTTCGGCGCCATAATATGTAATCTTGAAGTTGAGTGCTCAGATATCCCGAAGTCAAGAGACCCTGAAGCTTCTCGAACTTCTTTTTTGGCAAAACCGTGTCGGTTTCAGGCCGCAATCTATGGATGCTGGATCGAACCTCAAGCGTGGACGGGGATTCGCGCTGGCCGTCAAGAAGCTCTTCAATGCTCGGGGCTTCGGTTTCACTTTCGAGCTCGAAATGTTCCAATTCGGATAACTTCTTCCTTAGTCTTCCCCCATCCCTCATGACAATGACATGTGCAGGCTTGCCTAGCATACTGGAGTTCAAACTCCTGACGACTTCAGTCATAACTCGATTGTTGGATCTATATTGTTTGCGGACGCTAAGGTGCTTCCATCTTCCTGACCGTCTGGCGCCTTGTGGCCTGTCCTTATAGACCCGATGATCGTGCTCAGCGGCATCGTTGCTGTCGATTTGATCATTGGCGCGGCTGGCATTACTATCAGCATTGGCACTGGCATCGGCATCGGCAGCGGCAGCGCCAGTAGAATAGTTTGCTGCGTAGCGGACAGGAACTGGTGCTAATTGACGCAGGAGTCGCAGTCGACATGGAAGACATACGGCGCCAATAGGGGCGCCTCTTGCGATCATGAGGATACCTTGAATGCAAAATCAATGATGAGCCTCATTATAGGATCAATAAAAAGGTACATATCATATGCAACCGCAACTGCAACCGCTTGAATGATGGCGGCACATGGGAATTTTTTGTTATCTTATCAGTGGCAATTAAACTATATCGGGTTAGACCGACCAGACGCGTTGCGAAGACGCGGTTGCAGCAGGAGTGGTAGGCAAGTAGGTCACTGTAGGACTTTACTTCGTAGGTAGGCTAGGTAACATCTTGCTGATCTGTATTTATTTCACAGCCCACCTTCGACACATACAATCCTCAGATCTTAAAGCCCACGGCACATCACACTGCATCGGTAACAACCCGATCCCGTTGTCGTTGGCCACTACTTTGGTGCTTCTGAAACCAAACACTCGACCAGTCCACCCCAATCAGAACCCATCTATCTCCTATCATTGCCATGCCTCCTCAAGGCCATAGGCGCAGGCGGACAGCCCACGACGAAGAGGAAGAGGACGATAATTCACACAATCGGCGACCAACTAAGCGCGTCCAGGAATCCGACAATGGCTCCGATGACTCCGAAAACGACGGCGACCAAGATATCGATATGGACAGAGCCGCTGGTGATAACAGCTCCGATGACCAGCTTGTCAAGAAGCTCGTCCGTTACGCCCTCGCCTGCGAATACGCCAGGATACCGATAAAACGCGACGGTATACGAGACAAAGGTATTCGGAACTATTCCAACTCATGCGGTTACATACTGATGGTCGACCGTCGTAGTACTTGGTGCTCATGCAAGATCCTTTAGGCGAGTTTTTGACGCCGCACAAGAACAGCTGCAGAAGGTATTTGGCATGGAGATGGCTGAGTTGCCTGTGAGAGAGAAGCGCACTTTAAAAGATAAGCAAAGTAAGTCGGTCTTATTCACCCGTGAAAAAAAAACAAAAAAAAAAAACAAAAACAAACTCTCAGTTCTCTTACTACGGTGCTTGTATTACTGCTATTGTTTGAGTATGCCTACTCACCCTGCTCCCAGAAGCTGTTAAGAGAGGCGCTTCACAAGCGTCTGCATCCTCTCGCCAATATATCCTCATATCCTGCTTGCCTAAAGAATACCGCACACAGCCCGTCATCGGTCCTTCACGTCTGCCAAGCGCAGCAGAGGAGGCTGCCTATGTGGCGTTCTACACACTTGTAATCGCACTTATCACACTGTCAAGCGGTGAGCTAAGTGATATGAAGTTAAGGCGGTACTTGACACGCCTCAACGCAAGCCAGAACCTGCCAATGGACAAGACTGATAATGTATTACAAAGGCTTATCCGACAAGGGTATCTCGATAAGGTTGTGGAAAGAGTCGAAGGTGAGGAGGACGCAATTACATGGTGTGTTGGACCGCGAGGTAAAGTTGAAGTATCACCTCAGAGTATCGCCCAAATCGTAAGTGAGGTCTGGCGTGATCCGCCTGATGACTTCGAGAAAAAGCTAGAGAAAAGTTTGGGTGTACGGACGGGACAGTCTCAGACTGCAAACAGAGACAGGGAGGGAGAAGAGAATGACGAGTAGCTCTCGGATACCATCAAAAGACATAATGGACCACCTGTGAAGACTGGTGTAGCCTGTAAAAACAGTCTTTCTTTGGATAAGTGTGCTGGTGAGCAAAGATCCGATGCTATCTCATCACATACCATTCAGTCGCCCGAAAAATAGTTTGTAAGCCTGTGTGAGCCTCTGGATATCGCAAGCAGCGTGGTCGAGATCATGATTTCCCGTTCCGGCCCATCTGCAACATGTGCTCTTCCCCTTCTCGCGGAGGCGGTGGACCGCATGGCTGAATCATCTTCCGGATGAGCTGGGCTCGGACTTTGGCGGCGGGCTCGTTCTGCGCAAGCGAGATGTAGGCTAGCTGTGGTGGGTGGCCGACGAGACTCGAGTATGTATCGCGCGATATGTTCGTCCGCCATTCCCATGATGTCGTGTCTGGATGTCCCGTTCCAATGTATTTGGCCTGTAGGCGCTCAAGCTCCTGTTGCGTGCGTAGTTTGTCGGCCTATGTTCGTTAGTAATGCTTGAACCTAGGAACAAATATAAGTTTCAGGTGAATTTGTTACCATGATTTGCCGTTGAGTTCGTTGGCAGCTCTTGGAAAGGTATGTGATCGTAGTTTTATTATGAAGTAAAAGTTGTAAGTCCCTCTGCAGGTTGCGCAGTGCTCTGGGAACACTGAATGTATCCTCCTCTCTTTAGCGCAACTACCCGACTTCAGGATAACTATTAACGGATACTTGCATATTCAGCCAACCTCTTTGAATCTCTGGATCTCTCATCTCATCAATGGATATGTAATGGGTGCATTTATCGAATTCGAACATTTTACAGGTTTACATTATTGAACGATTTGTCACCGTCTCAGCTTGAAACCCTGCGTTTATAAGAGGTTGTTCGTATTCCTTTCAACTGCCGCGAGATACCTAGGCACTGGCAGTCTGTACGCGGATATTGCTTGCGCTTGGTTGACGCGAGCTTTCCCCAAAGCAAACAGCAAAAAACGGCGAAATAGAAGGGGCGAGTAGCCTGGGTACCCAATCCAGGAATTATCAAGCCGCACATAGCGAGCCGATTTGCAGAGTCTATCTTTCAAAATGCTAGACCCATGGGACGAACTTGAGACACTCCAAAAAGGGCGGCGGGACTCGCTCATATGTGCTCGTGACTTGGAGAGTATCAAAGACTCATGCATCCGAGAACATAGCAAGAAACACGTGGTTGAATGTTCGGAATGCTGGACACGCCTCATCAACCGCCTGAGAGACCGCTATCTAAACTCTCCGATCAAAGAATGGTTCTCTGGACGAAGGGCCTTTCTTCAAGAGTTAGATGATTTATTCTCTAAGGCTCGGCAAAAGGAGGTTGACTTCAAAACTATCGAAGATCGGATAGTCACTGAGAAACAGGAATGGTTTCGAGAAAGGGTCTGCAACCTTATCCTCCACTCAGGAACTAAGTCACCATCTGAGGCACGAGCGCTCCAGCAGAGGCTAAATGATCGAGATATCCCTACTAGCCAACTTGTATCAGAGTTGAGGGAGAATCTAGGCGTAGACATTGAGGAGATCTTCAAAACCTTTTCGAACAACGTAAAGACAGCGCAATCTCCATCATCACGGAATCATGCATACATAGATGCCCTATTCCAGCCTGAGCGTGACCCTGTCAACGCATCAAAGTCCCGAAAATATGTCGACATGGTTAGAGATGGGAAGCCAGCTTCGGAAGTGATAAATGTTATGACCCGTGATCGCCAGTCACTCAAAGGGGACTCAGATCAAAAGCAGAAATTGCAAAAGAAATTGGAAGAACTTCGACGCGCCAAAGCAGCTCATGAGCTTGATAAGAATAAAAGAGACCAGCTACGACAAGAAAAGGCACGAGCCGCTATGAGTAGTGCCGCCAACACCCTACCTCCGTGTTCCGTTTGCGACACCAACGTCAACGCGCAGAAATTCCTAGCGTGCGCGTTATGTCAATTGCTTAGCGATTACTACAAAGTGTTGGACAGGCCAACCTTGTTCTGCTCCGAGGGTTGTTATGAAAAAGACTACGTGAGTGCTACTTATCTACTGAGAGTGTACTTAGGATTAACGATGTACTACACAGGACACGCACGTTGCAGCGATGCACGAATGCTGTTCTGGTCTGGACTGCTTGAATCTAAGCGACGCAGATTCAGCAATGGACGTCGACGAGCCGCAGCTTGTATTTTGTCGAGAATGCGTGGAACATCTAGGACAAGGGTCTGTCTTCTGTTCCTCGCGTTGTCTTGACATGAACTTTCATCGCCATCGGGATAGAGTACATTTCCCGGAACGTGAAAGAACCCATCATGAGACATACGAAGAAGGACAGGTTGCGTTTGATCCAGAAGATGAGTCGACGTATTCAGCAGGAGATATCAAGGCGGAGGCTCTTAGTTTGCGCGATGTCATGCTCGACTGGCAGCAGAAGACGGAAGCACGTGTATCTTCATAGCTTATTGCTGAGTGTGTCTTACCGACTAATATAACGCTACTCCATCTTGATGACTACTGGCTGGCTATCTGGGCAGCGAACCAATAATTGTACCGGTCTTTGCAATACTACGCTGTGTTCCTTTTCTTATTGGGTAAGATCTACGACCTCTAAAGGCAGCGAGGACAGCTTGCTTCCTACCTAGGTAGGTAGTATTACGATCTGATGCCAGAGCGAGCTATGAGCTGCGAGCAGTCCATAATTCGGAGAAGAGAATAACTATAGTTGATAGCAATTGGCCACAAGTTATGTTGAGTAAGCTAATGAAGTTATCAAGGCAAATAGTGTGGTAGGTGAGGGGTTGGACTAGGCAAAGCACCGATCATTTTGCTATTTGTGAGTCGTGACAGCGCCGAAACGGCGATAGATGCGGGCTCGGCGCCGGTCGCTTGTTAGCACCGAGCTCTAGTGGCAGGCAGCTCCAGAAAAAGGACCAGAGCTCGGGGACTTTGCATCATCTGCGCAATCCACCCATCAAAGATCTATTGCGGTATTCCTCATTCGCTGTCCGCAACCGCACTTGATCTCCCTCACCCTACAGGTAGTCCACGGATCCCAGCCAGAAGACGAAGTCAGGAAACCTGCGAGACATCGGTATGTCCCTCGCTAACACCCTAAAGGGTGACCTGCCACAGCAGGCCCGGTCTCTGGTAAGTTACCAACCTGCTTGTTGGCTTGTCTTAGCCCATGCGTTGCGCAGCAGCCTCCCCTTCGTCGCATCTGTAGCACGATACGGTAGCCATTCTCGTTGACGTTTGCGCCCGAAAAACCTAATGCTGATGTGGCCCGCACGCTTGTGCAAGTACAGTACCGACAGCTGCTCCGCACCGGCAGCGAGTTTCAAGCCTACAACTTCCGCGAGTATGCGAAACGCCGGACGAGAGATGCATTTCGGGAGAGCAAGGGTGTTGAAGACCCAAGGCAAATACAGGGCCTCATCCAGAAAGGACTCAAGGAATTAGAGGCTATGAAGGTGTGACCTCATTTCCCCTCGGATGGCTCCCTTCCGTGTCACACGACGAGGCTGAGGACAATGATGCTGATTGATTCTTTACAGCGGCAAACTATTGTCAGCAAATTTTATCAGATCGATCGGCTGGTTGTCGAAGGCGGAAAGTCGGTACGTTTCGACATATTACATGGCTACATTCTGAATGGGCAACAGAGAGGACTAACGGGGAACTCTAGGGCAAGCAAAAGGGTAATTCCGGCGAACGCACACGGCAGAAAGACACAGGGTAAAGCCACGAACTGTATGCGACGAAACAATATGATGCGTGTGCTAACTTAACCTCAGATGGGATTGAAAGCTTCCACTTGATTCAGTATACGACGAAGGATAACGGTTGGCCATTTTCTAATACAGCACTTCAGTGTAGAGATTAGGGCATACTCCTTGTACTACTACCATCATATTCGCAAACTTGTACAGCAGGCAAAATTGTCGAACACGCCCAATTTTTTTGGCTCTGAGGAGAGCGATGAGTATAGAAATAGGTCAGGGTGAGGCTGCTCTGAGCATACTAAAGCATATCTACGCAGAGGACTATCCTGGCCTAGCCCAATGACCACGACCTAGGCCATTGGTTGCGTGTACAGTAACCTTGAGAGAGACGATGATAGATGGTCAAAATCATCTCCCTTCTGACCTTCATCATAGAATACCTGAATAAGGTCGAAACCAATAAAACCGCTGATGTGCGTTCAACAAACTGCCTACAAGCTGGTGATAGGAGTAGGCAGCGGAGGTTTAGATATTCTCCAGGGCTGTAGGGTACTAACGGTACCTAATGTAGAATAAGGTTACTTACTGCAATGTAGTGCTTGACAATACAGTGCATAGTTTTTTGATATGCACTGTATCCATCGTCTCTATACCATCTTTGTACCGTGCTAATAAATCTTATACACGGTACATGCGCCTAGACGTAGGTACCTCGCCGTGACAACAGCGCGCTTCCCAATTGTTCACAAGAGCATCATCAGATTCCATCAGATTTGCGACATGAGCGCCAGCCTCACCATCACTACCCCTAGCTCGGTCCACCATTACATGTGCCCGTCCATTTGACTCTTTACAAATCAATCATACACTATCTTGTTGTCTTATACCGAGAACCTAACCAAATCACACCGCCCCTTACCGCATTATGACCGCCGCTAGCTGGGCCTACAGAGTTTCGTGCATCTAGTCGCATCGCATATTGCATCCCTAGCAGGCTATCTCGTGCTGCAATAATGGCTCCTAATGTGAGTCTTACCCTGTTTCTTCTGCCTAGACTCAAAGCCTAACTAGAGCCTTCCACACAGTTTCGCCAGAACACACAGACACGCCGTGGCAATCGTGGCGGATATGTTGAACAAGACGACTTTGATGGTATGTCTATCTGGTACCCATCCTCCACATGTTTCTTTTGAGTAAACTTAGAAGATGGGAGACCATACTAATGATATTCACCTACCAGGGTTGCCTATTCGCCAATATCGCCGAGAATGGGTGACCATCGCGCCGCCGCCGCCACCCGATCTTACTCGCGTGAACGACATTTGGGCTACCGAGCTGCCTTACGGTATGCCCAAGGACGCACCATTGCTCCCAACCCATACACAGGAACTTCTCATGGCTGCCCGCTCGGGACGACTCTGGAAACGACCCGCTCCCGTTGAAGAAGAAGAAGTCGAGGCCGATCCCACTCTAACTGAAAAGAACGACAAGAAGGAAGACGATCCCAGCACCAAGGGCTTTCAAGTCAAGGTCTGGAAACAAGTCCCTCGTAATGCCGAGGGACCCTACGTTTCTTATCTCGGTAAACGAAGAAAAGGTACTATCACGCTGTCGTCCGATCTCCCTGCGGGGGCTGCTCCTGGTCCGACTATAACCAAGGCCACCGTCCGTCGCATCGATGCTGCTGGAAATCCGTATACGCAAGAAGTCACTTTGAACGAGGGGCAGCATGTCGATGGAGAAATCATATCTACTACTGTCGTGGCCGCGCCAGTACCAACCGTGGCAGTGGAAGCGGCTGCAACACCTGTACGAAGGCGTCCGCCTCCTCCAAAGAGGAAGCCCAAGGGACCTGGTAGAGGCCGGAAGAAGAAGCTTCCTCTGACACCCAGCACACACCACAATGCGGTTAAACCTGTGACTACGGGAGTCATACCAGGTGTACCACCAGTTGATGGAGCTCAGGTGGGTTTACTGATTGCTTTCCTTACAAATACTGTATATATCAGTCTAATCATGATTCAGGTTTTGAAAACGGACGACGAGACATCGAAGAATAACGATATCGAGATGGCTGATGACGATGATGGTGATGATGTTGAAGATGGCGAGGATGAAGGTGAAGTAGATGATGATGACGAAGATGGTGATGGAGACACAGGTTTCGTCTCGCGAGCCGATAGTGAAACCAAGTCTGACCAGATGGAAATTTCACCCTCACAGGATCTGGCTGAAAAGGCGGCTGGATCTACGCAAGTACCCCCTACTCAGGAAGTGCCCTCCTGGACAAATGCCACTCTCTCAGCTCCACTACCTCCTCTGTCACATGTTGAGGGGAGCCCTCTCAAGCACGTTATTTCTGCTCAATCCCCGGGCAGTCACCATCCCGATTCACCATCTCAAGACGATATGCCAAAGACTGCAGCTGCTGTGGATGAGGTTGAGCAAGCATGCTTTAAGTTTGAACCAGGGCTTAGCCTACCTCCGGCTATGGATGCCAGTACGGTCAATGAGTCAACCGAGACTGCTGTAATGACACCAATTGATGCACAAGTCAAGCCAGATCCCGACATAGATATGGAGGATGCTGCTCCCCTGCCTATTGATGTGCCCCCCGAGGTTGCGCCTTCGGCTGCCGAAACTCTAGAAAATCCTCAAGATACAATGGATTCATTGCCCATAGAACCGACAGATTCTAGCGAACCTATTCCTTCCGAAATACCGGTCAATGAGGGACTTCAAACCGAGATTACCAGTGTGGCGCCATCTTTAGAAACAGAAAGCCGGGAGGCCGAGGTTGCCTCATCCGGTGATGTATCCACCTCTAATGATGCCACGAACGAAGTTCAAGCAGCTGTTCCCATAGCCCAAGAGATTACAGAGCCCTCCGTGGAGCCCTCAGTCCCTGAGCCCACAGATGTTCCTCCCATCGATGAACAGCCTATATCTGCCCCTGATCTAGGGCAGTTCCTAGACGAACCAGCGGAACCCGAAGAGAACGCGGCAAATAGTCCAGACTTGTTTAGTGGACTCGAGGCGGCATTGAACCAACATGAATCCGGTAGTAGTGAGCCAGAGCCGGTGCCAGAAAAGTCGGAAGCGGCTGTACCAGTTGATGCAACGCAAGCCGCTGGGTCGCCAACCCAAACTTCCAGTTGATGGAAGTGGATGGGGGAAAAAAAGTGAAACGATGAACGCAATGATGAATAGAGTGCAAGCTTTAAAGCTTGTATTGATTTGATAAGGATTGTCAATTATGCATACACTAGATGACGGGTGCATCTGGTTTGCTAAGCGCGCGAGGATGACAATCATCTGTCATTGGATATTCTTGATGTACAGCGCCTTTTGTATTGTTAGGGATGGTTAAAGAGGCAATAATGCTCTGACACGGTCAAAGGGGTGAAAATCAATTAGTTTAACCGGGATAACCTAATTTCTCAATTCTAATTGACTATCTAGGTAGATTCTGTACTTGAAGTATGATTTGCCGCCCTTGTCAAATGCGTAGCAAGGGATGAATGATCGACTTCCTGGGAAGTCGTTGCGATGGGAGTTTCGTAGAGTAAGCAGCAGCACCCACCCACTGCTAGCCCCGCTTCTTCAACGAATCTTGCTTCTCATCTGTGACCTACCAGCCCTGTGCATCTCAAAGATAATACAAACCCTTGATGAAGATATTACTAAACGCATAGCATACAGATCGAATCATCGCAGACCGTATGACATCCCAAGGAAAGTCTAGCGGTCTTGCGAGATCTCAGCCGTGCAATCACTGGGTTCAATGATACCTGACCCACACTCACCAGAGCATCCACGATTCAAAGACTCCAGATGCTGTTCATAGAGGCACATGTCACGGGGTACAAACAAGTGTTATTTCGAACATTGTTTCTTCAAGACATTGTGAATATTTGATTCAAATGGCTAATTTCTATCTACGGTCTGGCTGGCTGGCTGATTTTACCAACCTACCTAGCAACAGAGACCCGTCATGCGCAACAGCGTCTCTCTAACTAAGTACCTAGGTACTTATCCATAACAGCGCTTTAAAGACAAAAGACTGGAAAACTCCACAAACGCCATGCAGACTTTGGAAAACAAACACAAATTGATACTGCTCCACCCTATCCATCACCTTTTGGGTTTGCTGCGCGATTCTGTTCTATTATCGAAGAAGAAGGAGGAGGAGGAAGAGATGCTAATGATGGAAGAATGCCAACCGATATGCAAGTTCGTGTAATCATGATTTGAGGCTGTCCCGGTTCGTTCGATGGGGAGAAGGGCGGGAGATAGGAGGGATGAGATGATTAGGGAGAGGAAGGGGAGGAGCGACAGCGGGAGAATGGCGACGTTGATTATAACACGGGTACCCAGCAGCCAGTAGCGAAATCTTGCCTCAGCTCCTGTTGCTGCTCCCGTTCCCTCTCGACTTTCTCCAGAGCCGAGGTGAGTTCCTCCTGAACCTCCACAGTCGCCTCGGCTGCCTCCGCAGCAGCGGCAGCGTCCTTGAGCTTCTGCTCGAGCAGGAACTGCGCATACCGCGACTTCTTGTTGTGGATGCCGCACTCGGTCTTCTGCTGGCCCTTCCATCGCCCCGCGCGCTCGTCCTCGCCGGCCGCCACGGGCGACGTCGAGTGCCAGTCGCCGACGGACTTGTAACCCTGGTCGAGCAAGGCGTTGTACGGCACGTCGTTCTCGGTGATGTACGCCTTGACTTGTGCGAAAGACCAGTCCAGCAGGGGGTTGATCTTTACTATGCCTCGCTCGTCGTCGACTTCGAGGATCGGGATCTTGTCCCGCTCGCCGCCTTGGCTGCGCCGACGACCCGTGAATACCGCCGCTACGTTCAGCTCTGCGTACGCGCGCTGCTGGGGCTCGACCTTCGCGATCCAGTCGTACAGCTCGGACGCCGTGTCGTACAGCTGCTCGCCGTAGAGCGACTCGAATTCCGACGCGGTAGACGTCCCGTCTGGCTTGAATACGTGCAGCTTGATAGCGGGGTAGCGCTCCTGCACCCGCGAGACGAGATCGTATGTCTCGCGGAAATGGTACAATGTGTCTAGGAAGATGGCGTCGACACGGGGCAGTGTGCTGTCCGAGGTCGCGAGCTTGGAGAGCATGTCGATCGTCACTAGACCTGTAAGCCCGAAGGCCGTCGTCTGGTACAGGTTGGGGAACAAGTGCATGGAGAACCGTATACGCTCTAGCGGCGTCATCTTCTCCATCTGCTGGTTCAGGTACCGCAGGTGCGGCTTCGTGAGGGTGATCTGCGGAAGACTGGTGGTGGAGGAACTGGCGGATGATGAGAAGGAGGATGTGGCTGAGGCGTAGCCTGATTCTATCTCCTCGTTCTCTACGGGCTTCATTGTGTCTAGGGCTTGGAGGTGAGGCTTGGAATGATGGGATGATACTGTGGCCATTGCGTATGGATGTGTGTGTGTGTGTGTGTGTATGTAGATGTGGAGGGAGGGAGGGATATAGTGTCTTGTACCCTAAGTGCCCGGAACGAAGAGCTGGAGACGGGGGAGAGTGGTTTTCCCCTTCTTCGTAGTGCGTGTATGGGAGTACTGGTGAGTGAGTGGGTGTAATGCTGCCGATGGTTTCTTCTGGATAGGTAGTGAGGTAGGTATAGTGGTCTGGAGTTGGTATGATGTGGTATAAAGTGATATGATGTAGTATAGAGTGAAATTATTTTCTAACGACTTATGAGAAACATAAAAGTCAAGAGCAACTGTGCGAACTATATTAGACCAAGGCCTCCTCTGAAGCGGAGATGTTTGGTCTCGTTCCTGGTTTGTAATAGTAGAGGCCGTGCTGAACAGATGCTCCGACTGACTAATTACAGCCCGACCACATCATCAATGCAAGTGCAATCAGGAAACGGTAAGTAAGTATACGCTCCATTCTACTCGGTTCCTCAAGCTCCATCGATTCACCCCTTTCTCCGTTTCCATAATTAGTAGTAGTAACCACCGATATACCTGGGGGCGCTTCTCTCTCTCCACCGGTAGGGGAGGAATATACAAGAATATACCAATAGGCTTGCTCTGTTTTAGCCCTCCCCCCTCCTTTCCTTTGGGCGTGCAGTGCTATCGCGAGCGCGAAAAAAAACTTCAAACAAAGCGCCGTTCGAGAAATTTTAGAAGACGATCACGACATCTGCGCTAGCCAGCAAGGCCGTGGTCCTGATTGGATGGGCGCCGACGTTGTTGGGATGGCGACGACTGGATATCCGGGTTCTGCCCATGGGGACCGGCTATGGCGACATCTCTTCAGCCGCATCCCGCGCCCGCCGATACCCTTTTACTACGTGTAGTGCAGGCAGGTTTTCCATAGTGCGACATGTACATGGGTGTGGTGTTCCATCACGTCAGGTTATTGCGAGACTGAAATCCACTTTTTTTTGGAACCATTGAAGACTTCATCGTTTTGCCACCCGTTGTAGAAACCGTTATAAACGACCCGAGTGTGCCTATCCTACCTACCTATGGTATGAAGCGCGATCTATTGCCTAGGTAGGTAGTCTTGATCTATACGCTTGGGATTGCGTGCTCTTACTAAGAACGTCATATTCGAAATCATCGAGTCACTGATTTCATGTCTATCCTTTTATACTGGTATCTGAGGCGATGACTCACTTTACTGTTTGTAGCTACGTGTGTTTTATGGCCCAATTCAACACTATTATTGCGTGATGTTCTTTAGCTCTCTTGTGCCATATCGGCGTCAAGTAAAACTTGTGAGTTTCCGCTTGGCCGTGACACAAGAGGGCCGGGCCAAGCCTTCAGCCCGATGACTGGCGTGATCAATCTTTATCTTTCGCCATCATTTCTTCATCTAGTGCTATTTGCGATATCACGCAATAGATAAAAGGCGAGCTTGCCGCTCCTGCACTTGAATGAACTCCGCGCGTTCGTTTTGCTGGCGAAACGAGCCTGCTTGTGGGCTTGCCTAGACCTATGTAGTGTGTAAGTCGTCGGTATGGGAGATGGATCGACATTTCCGTTCGCCAGTGTCACTACACCTCAAAAGTCGTGCTTTCAAGGCTTAAAGACCCGACGACTTGTCGATACATTCTCATATGAGCCTGTTATCTCGAGATGGACAAGCCAACACAGCGTATTTGCCTGCATCTCTTGGTGATCTATCATGAGATGTAAGACATGCATGCATAGCCGTCAACCGGTACACAGACGGGGACTAGGCCCACGGCATCGATGTCGCAATCGTCAAGATTGATGGCGCTTAACAAGCCCGGAGATAGTTATCTTTGTTGTTCCAGTTAGTGTTCTTGAACATTTTTCCTTCGGACGGTTGTCGGATTGCTTACATCATATAGTTGGCTAGGTCGCATAGGAGGGTAGGGATGGCGACGTTGCACGCAATCGCCGGGTGTCGGTACAACATGGGGCAGATATGGGGCTAGAAAAGAGCCGCCCGACTGCCGTCGTGCAGGTCCAGAAGCCTTCCTAGCCGGTTTATCCCAGGTTTTATCCCATGCAGAGCTACTGTACAGTCGATTCGCTGGGCAGAGGCCGGGGTGGGAAGAGACTTGCCCAGACCAGGCACATCCTGGCGCACGGCATGGCACACGTAAGTAGCTTATATCGACGTTTTCGACGTGCATCTCAGCTGTAGTTGCTGGTACAGAACTGGTAGTTGACCTTGCGCCGATGAATGCTTCCTACTGGTTGGCGTCTTTGTCTTTGGGGCACAACCCGATTCCAAGTACCGAGATTGCCGAGAGGGATGGATGTGGCCCGTGATGAGGGTCCCGGTGGCCTGTACATAGTACTTCCTGCCATCCCACCACACGACCTTACATGTATTCCGAAAGGAGGCCATTTTCATCAGGCTTAGGTAATATACACGCTAACTTTTGGCTCTTATCTAATCTGGAACCAATGCTGCATAAGCCACAGTCTGCCACAGCTAACGACATTTTCTCCCTTTCAACTCCCCACCGTGATTGAGTATGGTACGATGCCAGCCACAGATACCTCTGACCACAGCTGTGTTGTCATACTACGGTAAGTACCTTCTGGATCTGTTCTGGAGGCAGGACTGCCCAGCACTTTTTCATTAAAGAAAATGACGACATGCCTTATAATACCTTTCCCGATCCGAGTTAGTCTTCACGTGGACTGGCTTGGCAACCGTCGGTCAGTTCCCTGTCAGACCCTGTCTAGAATCCGATACTCCTCAATGCCTAAACATCGATCGTGTTCTCGAGTCGCGATCAACGCGAACTGAGCAGAAACCGAGGTCCCTTACACTAGTGAAAATTCAATTCGTCTGTCGTTCATACTAGGGACCGTATACTCCCATCTGCAAGGTCAGCATCTTCCCTAAACGGCGTTAACCTTGCATAGCCCCCGAAGCTATTCCTAAGGTTGTTTTCTGCATCTGGTATAAACAGTCTTTTAAGCTGTATCGATATGGATACCCAAGACAACCCCGCGGCGAAACAGGTCCGTGCTGAGCGGCCTCAGTTTTCGTCAATGCGAAGCGGCTCGTTCCTGAGTGAACACCAACAGTATCGCTCTCCTGTCCAGCCCGATCAAAACCATGGCAACTACACTATAGATACAGTCGTCGAGGATCTGCAGGGCGCCCGAATCTCGCCCTCCAAGTCTTTCGGTCCCTTTAATGGAGTGCCTAGTAAAGACGAGCCCCCGCGTATCGTCGAAGGCTTGAGCCATGACTTCAGCCACCCCAACTGTGCGCCTCCGAGGGGCACTGCATCACAGCGCATTATTGCGACCTTGATGTACAAGACAAAATCCTCCAGCGCTGCTCGTTCGCCGCACCTGGGCGCTACCTCATCCCCAAATATCCCGGCCAACTTTGCGCCGACGACCAACCCGGAGAAGTTCCCCCTCGAGCCTCCTTCATCTGACGAAGCCGAGTCGCTGGACAACATTTACGGGTCTTACGTATCCCCTATGTGCATCACCTCCTTTCTTCATCTCATGTCCTCTTTTCCTCTGCCACAAGGTGTGAATGAGGCCACATCCTCCCACCGTTGTCTCGACGACCCTGAGCATCCCCTGGTTGTCGAGCTGACCCTTGCTCCGGCGCCCGCCCCTGATTATCTCTCGTTAGTCGATCTTCGCAAGCATGAGTTGATATATCGCTTTGAGCAGGAATGGAATGTCGACGTTGTTCTCCAAGCCGACACTCTATGGCGCCGGCATCCACGCCTTGTCGTCTTCGACATGGATAGCACCTTGATCACACAAGAAGTCATTGATCTCATCGCTGCTACTATAACCGACCCCCCAGATCTTGCCGCCAAGGTCGCCGATATCACTCACCGTGCTATGCTCGGCGAATTAGAATTTGACGCCGCGTTCAAAGAGCGGGTGGCGCTTTTAAAAAACCTGCCTTCTAGTATCTTTGACCAAATTAAACTTGTACTCGATGTAACTAAGGGTGTACCACAACTTCTCAAGGCGTTCAAGAGACTGGGTATCAAGACAGCAGTGGTATCGGGTGGTTTCCTACCTCTAACAAGCTGGCTGGCGGAAGAACTAGGCATCGACTACGCGTATGCAAACGAGGTTGTGATCAGTGACGCAGGACGGCTGACTGGCGAAGTCCTCGGAAGAATTGTTGGGAAAGAGCGCAAACAGGAGCTGCTATTGGAGATTGCTAAGAAAGAGGGCATACCGCTGGAGCAAGTCATCGCGGTTGGTGACGGTGCCAACGACCTGCTGATGCTGGCCACGGCAGGCCTGGGCGTGGCGTGGAACGCGAAGCCCCTTGTCCAGATGGAGGCCAGCGCGCGCCTGAATGGCGATTCGCTGCTTGATCTGCTCTATTTGCTTGGATTCATGCGCGAGGAAATTGACATGCTGACAACATGACCTGCCTATATACCTATATACCTACCTACCTAGGCACTGGGTGCGTGGTAAGGAATGAGTCTGGCAGGATAACCTCGTAGATTTATTACCACGCCCAGAGATGAAGACCTAGAGATTCCCTGACTGTTTTTGAATTGTCTGAGATGGGTTTGTTCACATGCCGGTGTATGGGATAGGCTTCATTTAAACGGCTAGGATATCTATCTCATTTGGAGAAACCAACCAACTAATTGAGCGTGGTTGTCGAATGAGGAAAATACAGAAAGGGGTAAGCCCTTATATCAAACAGTGGGAAAAACGTGGACTGCTGCTGGCTTCTGTGATTGTTGAGATGAGGAACGTAAATTCATAGGCCTGGTACAATTCTGGGTTAGTCAAGTCTTTAATTCTGGTCCTTGTTGACTCCCTTTACGTGTAAGTAACGTAGAGAGTAATACGTGATTTCAAACAATAGAGACATTGATTCAAGTAGTTTAGCTTGTTAAAACAATCTTTCTCTTAGGCAGAGCGCAAGTAGTATCATTATGTACGTTTTGAAGGATATCTCTTGATATTTAGAACCACTATTTTCGCCTTGATCTATGCCCCATGCGACTAGGAAAGAGAGGTGCGGGACACATCGTAGTTTAGAGGTGCAACATTTGCCATTCGGATGATATGTGGTTATGTACAGGTAGGGCGGACGCCGAGCCGTCTAGGTTAGAACAAAGGAAACGGGATACGTTTGGCTGCAGACTTGCTTTCTTCGACGCACACATATCTAGTACTATAGTTTGGATGTTAGCTTCTGTTAATTGAGTGCTCTGGAGTGGAAAGGGGCGATTGAACTCTAGCTCAACATATGGATATGTTGTTATTGGGAATTACTTACGTCCTTGCCCCATTTGTTGTACTTGTCGTGAAGACGCTGTGAAACCCATGAATTAGCGACTGCTCAATTGATTTTGGAGTTGAATGCTTAGTGGGACAGGTGGTGCCAGAGGTATCCCGAAAAGGGAGCACCCCGGAAGTTGTTGATACGAAGAGTCATGGAGTATGTGTACCTTGGGGAGGTTGACGTCGGGAATGACGACGACGTTGACAGCGCTGGGAGCGTCCTTGGGCTCGGCGGATCCATCACCGCCGGGGTGATAGCGGTATTTGCCGTCTGTCGCACCGGTCTCCCAGGGCATGCCGGACTTGGCCACAGGAGCTTCGGATGTGGCGCTGGTGGGTGATGTGCCTGAAGACAAGAAGATGCTCATTAGCCGATAATTGGCTAGAAGGAGGACGAACATGGACCGTGGGAGCTGTTGATGTCTGGTCGAATGCATCAAGACGTACCGAAGTAGATACCTGCACCACCAAAAGCGAGAAGCATAACACCTCCCAGGATCTATACGGCGATGGATGGTCAGTCAGTTTGTTGGTCCTACAGTACAAGACGCTCGAGAGTGATTCAACAGCGTCTGGTTGGCGGGTGCAATCGATATTGGTTGGGAGGTCGGGATATGACGCACCATAACCTCGGGGTTGCGCTTCTCCTCAGCCTTCAGAGTGGGATCGGAGTCCTGGATGAGGCGGCGGGCCGAGGTGGAGAAGGTCCTCCTGGAGGACAGGAGAGCAGCTCGTCGGGCGATGATGGACGACATGGCGGCGGTTGGTCGAGGAGTGGAGTGGTGTTCGTAGATTGACGAGATCGAGACGACGTAGCAATCGAGTTATTGACGCTGGCTGTTTGTGAGGTCCGACCGTCTACAGAGCTGCACAAAGATCAGGCTAGGGAGCCCCGGGCGTCAGGCCATATCCAGTGTACCTTCGTACCTCTAAGGGAGCTGATTGACCAATGAGAGCTGCTTACTTCGACTAAGCTCGGCTACGGCGTTGGACTCTGACATCGATTGTGGCTGCAGGTGGTGATGGCCAGCACAGCCACTACACCGCACGCTCTTTCTGGAAATAGAGATGTGGCTGTGCACGCTGCAAGACGACCAATAACGAGCAAGAGGCGTTTGAACGTCATCACGCGCGCTGTCTTGGCGCAGGGAGGCTGCAAACCCACCACGGCACTCGCTGACCACTGACCAGTCATCGCAGAGTGGCCCCTGATTTCTGACTTGACTTGATAATTCCAAGTCCACCTTTCAACATCGCGACTCGACGTCAATTTCTACTACAACTTGTCTCACGCCTCGCCTCGCCTCGACTCGCGTCACTGCGACCTGCCGCTCCCTTCAGTTACGATTCGATTCCAGTTTTCCTTGCTTCTAAAACACCGCCGTTGCCGACTCTCATATTCCCAGCCTTCAAGTCTGCCGTGCGGACTTTCGATAATCTAGCTGTACCATACATAGCCCCTTGTTGTAAACATTCCTTTAGGCCTTCACTTTTCGCCCTACGAATCACACGCCGCTTCCGCCGCCGACGACGACGACGAAGACGACACCTATATACGTCTAATTCCCTTACCTGTCGCGTTCTCGCACTCCACTGCTGCTCTACCCAACTTGAATTCTAGCTATTCTCAATACAGTTTGCCAGCCTCCTCGATTCGGATACTTAAGAGCATGTCGTCATACCTGTAAAATATTACGCCTCAACTGAAAACGCCTTTATTGCTCAAATTGAATTTCCGTATCGATGATTCATAGCCATGGCTGCTCCTGCTCGGACTACGGACAATGAGAGTTCGCCCGCCCCTCTGTTCCCCCCGGCGCCCCCAAGTGTCATATCCTCTCGTATGACAGATATAGCATCCGAAGATGGCGATGCAATTGAAGCAGCCGTCAAGAAAATCAACCCTGCGACTGAATCGCGTCCGGGGACAGCAACTGGTACATCATCAGCTCGAGGCGGTAACTGGTCGCAATCTCTGCCACTCCGAAAGGGCCTACAGCGAGGTAGTCTTAGTGGCAGCATAGCGAGTGGGAGACCGTTGAGTTCTGCCAGTAAAACCAGTAGGAGTCATGCCCCTTTAGCATCCCAAGCGTTTTTTCGACCGATGAGCTCTCAAAAGCTTCAAGCTCAACGAGCGCCACGCCCGCCATCCCTCGGTCAGCACCGACCGAGCATTGACGACTTGCCGGACGAGGATGATCAATCCCATATTGCGCCACACGAAGTTCGCGTCCCAGCGGCCATGAATCGTAGTAGTCTGCCCACTAGCGACCTAGCTGATGTGCAGCTACCGCCATCGCGAGGTACGGAAACTACGGAGATCTACGACCATGTTACATCTACCGCAAGCCCTACGCACGGCCACTACCCAGCCGTTAGCGTGACTGATAGCGTCAGCCCATTGTATCGGAAACAGGCCGAAGAGAAGGGGCTATCTTTAAATCTTGATAAAAGCAACAGTTACCGGAATAATGCCAACGCTCTAACCCCTATCAAGACGCCGCACTCGTTCAGATCTAGCTTGTTTATGCCGGGCATGGGCGACTCATCAACTAACCGCCCAAATCATGATATGCGCGGCGCAGAAAAGTTGTCATCTGGTACTTCATCTCCGCGGCCAACCTCGAATGCAGCTGAAGCTACTACTAAAGAAGTAAACCCCAACCCTCGTCTTGGTCGCAACCATGAGTATTTCGAAGGCAATACAGTATTCTGCCTGGGTGGACGTTTCCAGAACACTAGGCATCGACCGATCAATATCGGTACCGGACTTCTTATCATTTTGCCGGCTGCTTTATTCTTTGGGGGAAGTGCCCCATACTTATGGCATCATCTGTCACCGGCAGTTCCCATCATCTTCGCCTACATCTTTATCATCTCGCTGTCCTCATTCATCCGTGCATCCGTGTCGGATCCAGGGGTAAGTTCAGCTTGAATAATCTCTTTTCGTGAATCCTCATAGACTGACGTTTCGCTTTACCTAGATACTACCTCGGAATCTTCATCAATTTCCGCCAGCGGATGAAAATGAAGATCCCCTCCGTTTGGCACCTCCAACTAATGATTGGACATTGATTAAATCTGCTGAACCGAGTATAGCTGCTATGGAGGTCCCGACCAAGTTCTGTAGGAGTTGCAACATTTGGCGGCCACCCCGCGCTCATCATTGTCGTCTGTGTGACAATTGCGTCGAGACTCAGGATCACCATTGCGTCTGGGTTAATAACTGCGTAGGGCGTCGAAACTACCGCTACTTCTTTACCTTTGTCACTTCGACTATGATCATGGGTATCTACCTTATTGGTGTCTCATTTGCCCAGATTGGTATCTATTCACATCGAGAGGGAATCTCATTTGGCGATGCAGTTGGTCATTCCCGTATTGCTCTTGCTCTGATTATATACTCCATTATCGGCCTTCTCTATCCAGCTGCGCTGACCGGATACCACCTGTTTTTGATGGCGAGGGGCGAAACAACAAGAGAATTCCTGAACTCACATAAGCTCCTCAAACAAGATAGATACCGGGCCTTTACACAGGGAAGCATGTGGAGAAACTGGGTAGTCGTACTATGCCGTCCCCGACCACCTACCTATTACCGCTTTAAAGATCTTTACGAGGAAGGCGACCAGCGTTTCGGAGAGCGGCGAAACCCGCAGGAAACTAGAAGGCCTGCTGCCACCCAGGACGTGGAAATGCACTCTGTACGGCCGTTCCAAGGTCCGGTATCCCTACGTAATGAAGTGTCGACGCCGCGATAGACACCCCTATTTTCTACCCAGTCCGGAGCTCGCTGTAGAGCCACCTGTCAAACCATTTTCTGTATTCTTTTTATTGATATTGCTCTATACCCATAATAATCGTTCGTTTCATGCACATAATCTTCTTGATACCACGGGGTTTTATTTCAAGCATAGTATTTGGTGTCGTAGTTCCCTGCCCGGCGGCCGCAAAGAAGATCTGATGTATTAGGTAGCACTAGAAGTGCTGTCTTTGCTTGTACGTGTATGTGTATAAGTTTATCTTTTTTTTTATTTCTTTGAGAAAGCGATGGTGGGATTGGGTATGCTATGCTGCGTTTTCTTTTTGTTTTTTTTTTCTCACAGAATTAGATAGATGAATGTGATGACCCTTTTAATGTCCTTCGTATGTTGAGAAATTATCTTAATTTAGATCATTGATAAGTCATCATAGACAGGAATCCAATTGGTAAGACAGTTTTAAGAAGCAGTGACTTATTCCTCTGGAGAACTACAGCGGTCATCAAAGTTAAGTAAGTTATGATAAAACAGTTTTAGCTGATTACGAAATGCAGCAGATATCCCTCTCATCCTAAGCCTCTATATCCCATCGTAGATCTAGGATTGTAAGAGCCGAGTTTTTCATCTGAATTGCCGACTTCAAAATGAATCGGTTGTCTGCTTTGGAAAAGAATGCTCGCCAGTCCTCGACGGACCGGTCTCGACCGTTAAATAGGCTTGTCATGATCAAATCGGCATGGCTTTATATATCGAGTGATTAGTATTGACGATGAAAGTACGACGAGCAGGGGGTCTTACCGGATTTCTTTCTCTTTCCAAAGAGGAACTGCGCCGGGTTCTGGCATACATGTCTCTTGGATTACGATTCTTGCGTTGGGTTTTAGTGCGGGGATTAAGGCGCGGAGAATAATGATGCCTGGATTCTTGTTAGCGGGAACATCGCGGAGGTCAAAATGGATAGAGATGGCATGAATAAATCCTTGTGTGTGTTTCGCGTAGATAGGCGTTGAGAGACATACTGTAGGAAAGAGCGTTAGTATATATATATATACACACGGAAGATAGGGAACAGAAATGAAGAGCGCACCAGTATTTATCAGACCAATTGCGCATAACCCATCGGATATGATATACATCAGCCTGCACAGTCTGCGGAGCGAACATATCGTGCGCCGCGAAAGTAACGCGTCCTTTCAGGTCCGCGGGCACATCGTCTGCGGCGCCCTGAATGACTTCCTGCTTATCTTGTACGACAATTTCTAGTTCTGGAAAGCGTCTGGCTAGATAGATCGCTACGTTTCCGCGATTGCCGCCTATGTCTACGACTTTTGCTTTCCCGAGAGAAGACCAAGCGTAGTTGTCGATCCCGTGCCGGATATCGTATTCAGGATGTGCCGTGAGGGCTTTCATGGCCCCTGAGAATCGGAGAGCGCGATCTGGAGATGCGTGGAAAAACTCGTAAAGAGATAGGGGTGTGTTGTGGGCTAGCGAGAAAGCCTATGTAAGCGTGAGAAGTTGTATCTATTCGGTGCGATTTGTTCTTGAGATGCGAGATTGCTTACTGTTTCGTTGAGCTCCTCGGACTTTGGCCATTTCTGCATCGCGTCGAATGTCTGTGTAGACAGTTAGTTAGGCAACTGACACTTAAGGAAATTTATATAAGGATTTACTTTAACAGATGCAGGCCAGACTTCGCGAGCAGACATCACGAGAAAGTCTCTAACGTTTGGATCCGTGATGGCTTTGGATATGTTGGTGTGAGCGACCATCTCTGGCTCGGGCTCGCAGAATGTTCGCATAGCCATCGCGTAGCGGAGAATCCTGCGGACGTTCACTTCGCTCAAACCTGTCTTTGCCGCGATTTCTTGGAATGATATTTGGCCCCCAATAGGAACCATATCCGCAATACCTAGATGGCTTATGACTTGGAAGGGTAGTAGCTTGTTTAACTAAACATAATTAGAATGAATGCTTGACTTGTTGTATTAAAGGGACTTACTGTTACTTCTTGGATCAACAGTGCCATGGGAGATAGAAGAAGATCGTGAAGCTCTGAAGTAGCGTCGAGTATCACATTCTGCATGTCGAGAACATCGTCGGGGCATCTACGTCAAATGAGGGCGTTGGATGACCCTTCGATCTGAGAATTTCGTCAAACTTCGCAACCGTATTGTGGATTGTTGACGCGAGCTCAACGATGCGCGTTGGTGATACTGGTTTTAGGGATGCCATCACAGGCTCTACTTATTTTCTACAACTGAATGGAGGTAGCTGATAATTGAGAATATGAGAAAGGAGGATACGGACAGAAAGCAGCATTTAGCAGTATTTGAAGGGTTGTGAGATGGTATCACGGCTGAAAAGATACGATGACCTGAAAGCCACCATGAGGGGTATCTCAGCTCGCCCCCCCTTAGGGTGGGCTACAAGGTTCTGGTGATCAACAAATACTACCGATTGTACATCTGAGCCTTTTGTATGATTTGTCTTGCTGCTGGCGCGTTGACTCCCCAACATCGAGGCTTAGCGTTGACAATATATATGCTCATACAAGGGTATCACAACTGGATCTAATGTGGTCTTTCGTGTTCCTCTATTTCTAACTTGAAGAGAATATGTTCATCTACCTATGGCAATGGATGATGAATTTCTCGAAGAGAGAAGAAGAAAACTTTAAATAGGTTAACTTCAATTGGTCATTGCATTGGATGGGGAGTGCTACGTACTAGATCATGAGTTGATGGGTCGGTTTTTCGCCTGCAGCTCTGGCAGGCTTCCAAAACACCAATTTTAATGATTATACAGGATAGAGAATCAGAGGGTTCCATGAAACCTGGCCGATAATGGCCTGAGATATAAGAAGTTACTCCTAAGAAATAAACTTTCCATTGTAAATCGATTGTCCAGCGGCTTTGATCTAGAAGCCTCATCGCCATGTCTTTTACAAAACATCATGTGATAACATGGTTACCAAGACGCCTATCGGCGTATTGTCTGACTGAATACATCTGTGTTATGAGAAATTGCCTTTTAGAAAGGCGTAGGTGACTACAAAGCTCAGGAGATCTCTATTGGTCCTGAAGGAGGATAAGTCAAGCCCGACCTGTAGACGCCACTCACCTGAGAGGCGCACCTTGCTCGCCGTATCCCACGACACGCCCCCTCGTTTTCCTATTGTTCTAGTTCTCAATTAAGTTGGTACAGCGTCTTGATACTTATGAAAAGGCCCGCTCCTTTCGATGGTCCTCACACCGCCTAGGCCTCCAGCATGGCCATATCCATCTGATCACACCTCGTCTGTCAGGTGATATAGTCACATAGCCCTAGGGGTGGCTGTATTAAACCTATTGTCTATATAAAGGGGTGTTGGACCCCCTTCGAGAGTTGGAAGGTTCAGGATTCAATGGATATTGACGCCTATACTACCCCTTCTGCCTACCTACTTGACTGTGACTGGCCTTCTACCCACTCTAGGGCCCTTCCACCTGACATTGTCATTGAAAATCGCCAAACTCTTCGTTTTACTCACATCGACAGCATCGAGGATATTGAGATAGCCCTCGTCATCCAATCACGCAAGATGTTGCAAGGATGGTACGTCGTGGCTCGATCAGATTCGGAATGGTACAGTGATCACGATCGTTGCGGTAGGTAGAAGAAGTTTCTGGCCAATAATAATGAAGAGGCTCGTATGGCATGCGACCTCACGCAACGTGACTCGAAATAGCTTTATGATTACTTATGCAACGTGAGAAGAAACTAACTTAGGTAGTTTCCTATTGCTCAGTTCAGAATGCCACCCTCATCACTGTATCTGTTGCTTTCGGTCCAAAGCTGCAGAGCCCCGAAGTCACGACATTGATGCATTGATCCCCAACCTGTCACACCGCCAATTGATGCATTCCTGAGTTCTAACGTCGGGTCTGCTGAGCACATGAGTGCTTGGCGGAGATAGTCGAAACAATGCTGTACGTGATCATCATGTAAAGAGCGCCGAAGAGTATCGGCGGACGTATAGTCGTGCTTGCGACGCCCAAGATTTGTCGCTGCATAGTATCCATGCCGAAGCATGTCCTAAACACCGTTATCAGTGGCGTTACATGTCTAGGCCAGAAACCCCCCATCGGAGTTATCTTACTAGACAATGCAATTGGTGGAATGCTGACACGCAGTATCGGCCCTGGCGACCAGAAATATTGACTTGTACAAACCCTCGACCCTCTAATATCCATGTCAGTAAGGACAAGACACATGCAATAAATATCTTAGGAAGACACTCACTAGGAATGAGCGTCTCCCAAGCTACATCAGAAGAAGTACTTGGTGCACCCGCATATAATGGCTCTTCTTGGAATAGTCTCGGTGTGGTCAACGCCGAGGGCATCACGGTGGCTGTTGCGATTAGATCATGATTGGTGCGGCCTCTGATCTCCAACGCACCTCCGTTGCTAGGAGTTTCTAAGAGCAGCGCCTCGTGTAGGCCTGTGTTGCGCCAAAGGTATCCAGCTCCAAAGCCAAAGGAAAATGCGAAAGAAATATTTGCAAGTAGGATAAGTTTTGCTGAACAACCTCAGCTTGGTTGTGGTTCCTCAAGAGTGGATGATTCGATGTCATCTACATATAAGACTCGGCAGTTGTCATTGGCCATCTCGGCTATCGCGTGGTGACGAGGCTCGGGAACGCTTGAGTAATATTCAGCAGCACGAATTTGGTTGATGCGAAGAAGTCTATAATCAAGGAAGATGGGTGATCCTCTTATAATCACCTGCGGGTGAAGATTATTATTCGTGCCATTACATATTATGTTCTTCACCTATCTACACCAAGAAGTTCCCCACAGTGATGACCGAGCCCGTGGCGTTATCCAAAAGCGCGAGTGAGATGAGTTGTGAATATGCAACTAAAAATGCTCACGGTATCATCCTGCGTGAACGATGAGACACAATGAGCGGGGAGGTGAAACCCAAAGTGAGAGCCTGACTGGTGAATTGGCTTATGAAGGTATCACGACTGATATCGACATGCTTGTCTGATTTGTCGTCAAGCTTTTCAACGGAAAGCTGCACCTAGTGATCAGCAACACGATAAGTATGCCGGAATGATGTGGGCCAGGTGATGACAGGGAAACCGGCGGAGATGCATGCCGGGAAGCGTTGAGGGGCTCACACGACTGATCTAAGCCAGAATGGAGGAACGATTGAACTGAAATGGCTTCTGCTTGGAAATATAAAAAATCGCCCGTGTAAGCTTCAGTCACAATGGGCTTTTGACTGGCAGAGTTGTTCATAGTGATCAATGCTTCTCTCCTGAGCATAGAATTCTTTTGGAAATAATACAACACCACCAACATAATGCGTCGACTCCTCAATTCACCAATGGCATTAATCCTACTTGGATGTGCCTTAGGTGTTCCAGTAATTCCACGAGGTATGTCTGCTAGCCATCCTGATCAGCTAGTGCTAGGCATTGACCTAGGTGTAGAGGCGTCTCCCACCGGGAACTCTGACTCAGTATTCGCAACAGTTGATTCTGTCAATGCCCGCAATGTGGATACAAACTGGTATACCGATTCAGCGTCCGGGATGGCTGAAAATATCAATGTTCGTGACAAGAATACGAACTGGTATACCGATTCGGCATCTGGCATTGCCGAGTCTCTCGACAAGAGGGCTAGTAGCGCGGTTCAAAAAAAGGAAGAGTACGAAAGGACTCTAAGAGAGCGCGTTTACAAGAATATGCGAACAGAGCCTTTACGTGAAAGCAGCGAAAGAGGTAAGGCACTCTTCGAGTTTACCCCGAAGCCTCGGCATGATCTAGTCGATCGTTGGCACGTCCCAAGCGAGCTTCGAGAGCGCTTTGAGAGCACCTCATCGGATGCTGAACGCGTCAGCATCTTAAACTACTACCTGATGGTGACCGACCGCGAGCCCAAACCCGCAGCAGAGCTAGGCTTTACGCCGACATTCGATGCGCCCGGACTCACCCACGTTAACGAGGTTGGCTACGGATATGCACTTGCCGGCCAGCACCAATACCACTGCGCGAACCTCGTTGCTGATGCTGTAGACATTGGAAAGGACAACCTGAATGACCTTTACCTCAAGCATACGATTCATTGCCTGGGTCTCATGAAGTGGCTGTCGCCGCAGTTGACCATGAAGCAGCCCACGGGCTACCTGCTGCCTTTTGCCAACGAGATAATGCACCACCCCCAAACAATCGATAGCATGTTGCGACAAAAGCGACATGGCTGACGCTCTATCAGCAACAACGGTTTACATCCACTGCGGCAGAATATGATCTTGGCTACCTAAAATCTCCGGATCCATTCCTTTTCATTGATTGAAGGCTTCCAACATCTCGGGCATGAATTCTTCTAAGGCCCCTTTGTCAATAATTATGATGGACAAGTTTCATATTGGTCTTAAAATCTTAAACCTAGCACGTTGCTTTATAAGTGCTTTTCATAGTCCAAGTAATAGCTATACCTCAAATCGCTGACTAGAATGGCCAAGAAATCAGTATTTCCTGCTGTTACAGAAGGTGAAGCAGGTACAGATTGAACAATCTATCCCCCGTTTTCAGGGATACAAAGTAAGCTTGAGTGCTGATAGCAAGATATTCTGCAAAGAGACCCCACGGCGCTGTACGATCTTGCTTGCGTCCCTGGGTAGGCTTAATTGTTCTCTTCGGGCAAGATGAGTAGAGCTACACCAGTTTATATGTATCTTTTATCGTCATGCGGCCAGCATGGGGATGAGGGCGTAATTACTTTCAGCCTTTCTCTGGCAGCCGCTATGACATCTTCGTCTGGCGGAGTACCATCCGCCCACATGACCTGTAACATGATAATATTTTCATCTTCAACTTCAGGAAAGTCTATCGGATATATAACACAGCCCCCGGGGCGAACAAACCATTCTGGAAGCCTACTATCGTATTTATCTCGAAAGATGTGGAAGTACTTGGTTGCGTGATATCGATAGTAACGTGGCCTGTTGAGCTTGGAGGCCATGATAGGCAAGGGGCACTCGACAGTTGCACACGAACTTGACAACAAGAATTGTATCAGTTTGTCGAGCTGGTCCGCTGTGGGAGGATACATAGTGCGCGGTCCTGGAAGATTAGCGGGGTCTATCCAGATCTCCTTGCACTCTGTTTCGGATTCCCCTCGGTCAAACAGCACCACGCCTCCGAAGATCTTCGACTCAGCCCAATAACCGACTAAGTCAGCCACAGCGCGCGGATACTGTTCGTGGTCGCGGTACGAGCGATGGTAGAATGCAGTCGGGGGTTCTGCCTCCTCATAAAACCGGTACCGTTCGTCGCCAGCAGCCTTCAACCTGTGCTGTTCAACAGCCCAGACTTCATAAGCCTTTCTATGCTCGTTCTCCTCATCAAGTCCATATAAAAATGCAGCGATTTGATGGAAGGCTACTGCTAACATCTCAACAAGGCGAAGGCAGAACGCGCGGGTGTTGGGTTGTGCATCTTGGTATCCCTGTAAGAGCGCTGGACTAAATCTGAGAGACGTGACATGGAATGCCAACCGAAATTCGCGAACTTTCTCTAGGGCACCGGGGCATAGATTTTCATGTTCAATCGCAGGGTGTCCATCAGGCGCGCCGTAATGAAATTGAGCAAATGACGAACACGTTGGCAACCCGTCAACTATCTGGGCCAGCGTGAACTCGGCGAGTTTAGTGCGGAGCAGATTTGATATGGCTAGATTCAAAATGTCTAGGTGCTCAGAATCCAGATTATCAGGAGGCAGTGTCTCAGCTAGTGTTGCGCGTACCGGAGGAGGCACAGGAGGGAGGTCTTCCGGGGAGATGCGGGCACGCATGGTGCGCTTGGAGTTGTTAAAGTCTAATGAAATGTGCTGGGATATTGGAAATAAGAAAGTCGCTTATAGAAACGGCTAATCTACTCAAGTGGCATACATAGGCGTCCAACTTAAGGGAGTACGCTTGGGACGCGGAGATGCAGAGAGGAGGAGGAGGAGGAGGAGTGGGCCAGGCGTCATCCGGGCTATCGTGTTACCAATTTGGATACAACTGGCGTCACAAGCCGTGTTCTGAATGGGCGAGATGGCTCGACTCGGTGGAACCTTGGTATTACTTAGAAGACAGCAAACATTTCGTGTTTGCTATACAATTAATAGATTGCATAGAAACCTATGGGGGTACTAGGTATACAACTAGAAAAAAACACCTTCGCACGCCGTACATGTGAGTCGCCTACATGCTTCGGCCGTACAATCAACTTTGAAGTGCGGCTACTCAGCCCGCGCTTATTTAAGACACATTGACGGGTCTCGGGAGTTAGGAAGGCTGGCCAAGTGTGTATAAGGTTAATGTCGGAGGGTAAAATTAGGAATGGATCCGAATGGGCCATATTATGGACTGCAGAAACAATAGGAGATTACTGGGAATAACTTCAATAAAAGTCCTGACTTTAGCCCTTCGTTATTATAATGACATTGATACAGGACACTACATAGCGTAGACCTCAATATAGCATGAAAGCGTGGTACGCATGTTTTTCTTTTTTCAAAAATCTTTTTCCCAGTTATTTTAGATGCTATTGTTTTTGTACATCTAGGTGATAGTTTGACGTTCTCTGAAGTAAGGGACGGACACTACATGTCACACTGCCACATCACATTTGGTGTGAGCAGAGGTTGTCAGGTTCCTTGACAAGGGAATGTTCTACCTCTTACTGTGCCGTAGATATAGTAATGTACTTCAATTGTGACACTCTACATAGGGATAACGGCCTCTTCACAGTAGTGGCAGTTTGACGACCTTGTGATTCGAGAAGTTGTCATCCCCCCAAAAACAGAAGCTTGACAGAAAACAAGCTGTCCAATTTTGTTTGTCTAATGATATAGTTTCACAAGCATTCATAAATAGTCATGTATAATACGTTTATCTTGAGTTGAAAGACGATATTATTGTTTTCTATAACCGAGTTTATTTCCAAATCTTGCCACATAGAAATATTCGCCATATCTATTCCGACTTCTAGAGTTGAAACTAGCAGATGCCGGGTTCCTACAACTTCCACCACGCGGGTACAACACCTCATAATGGGCCGTATTATGTTGAAGTAAATGGACTTCATGGATTCTCATTAGCAGATCTTCGTGGAGGGGTATACCGGCCAGTTCTTCCAAATGACGAGAGGTTCACGTCTGTAAGTAGTAACCATGTTGGATTTATAAGGTAATGATTTTGGTGCTGATCTGTCAATAAGCTTGCCATAGCTATCAATATTGGGCTCGAGATGTTAGAGTCACTGGCTGGTAGAATGGCTCTTAGCGGACTCGGTCGTGCTCTCGTGTATGCCCGTGCTCAGACACCAGATGGGAGATTATTATTATATACCCGCTGTGCCGCCTATGCAGCGCGGTCCTTCTACCTGTATAGCTATGAGTAAAACCGTACGATAGCCGGATAAAAACCCTATATAACCTTTAACTACTACTTCGCTCCTTTTTAACCCTATATAAGTTAGTATATATTGTCCAACTATATAGTAGGAAAAGGGAAAGTAAAAGTTTGGACTCTTTTGCTTTTTTTATATTCTTTAATTATTTAAAAAAGAAAGGAAAGCTTCCTTTTTTTCTTTAGGGACCTTTAAGGGGGCCCTTTTAACCTCCTTATTTAGGTTTTTTTTTCTTTATATTCCTCTTTTTTTAAACCCTTTAATCCCCTTAGCTTTATTATATATAATTATTCTTTTAATATTTAATAATTACTTTATAATCGCTTTTATTTTTATTAAATCCTTTATTATTATTTATAAGTTCTTATTAATTTATAGCTATATTTTAATTAACTTTTTAATTAAAGTTTTCCTTTTATTTTTTAATAACTTATATTATAGGATTATATATTATAAAGTTTTTTTACCTTTTATATATTTATAAAAAGAAGTTAAAAATTTTAAAAACTTTCTTTTATATAAAAAAGCTTTAAATTTTATTTTTCCAATTTATATTTATATTATTAAAGCTACTTTATACTTTAAAAATTTATAAAACTTTTATAATATTCTTTTTTTATTAAACTTTTACTTTATTATTATAAAGTAATTATATTTTATTTTAATATAGCTTTATTTTTTTTTTATTTTTTAATTAAGGTATTATTTAATTTTTTATATTACTTATAGGTCTTTTTTTAATTTACTTTTTAATTTACTATTTTTAAAATACTTATATAAATTAATTAACGCATCTCCCACTTGACCTGGCCACCCAATTAAGCTGGCCACCCCCTTAACCTATATAAAAATCTAATGTTTTAATCTGGAATAACTTAACTAATATTGGTCCCACATTTTAATGATTAGTACCATTAAATCCATTATTTAATAAGGAATCCAGCGGTATTTTTTACTATTTTTTATAAAATTTATTAAGCGAGATATTAAGCAATACGCTAAAAGGGCGTTAGGTAAGGATTAATTTAGTGCTTACTTTAGCGTATTGCTTAATAACTCTACGAATATAAGTCGTATAAACTAATGAAGGGTACCGTTAAATAGCTCTTTTTATTACGAATCTAATGGTATATTTTATTATCTTATACAACCAATAGCCGTAGAGTTATTAAATTATCACGTGATTAACGCACCGACGTTTTTTGTATGGGCTAGGGGGGTGGCCAGCTCAATTGGGTGGCCAGGTCAAGTGGGAGATGCGTTAACCTTTATTATAACCTTTATTAATATTTTATAATATTGTTACAATTAGGATTAAGGTTAGTTAGGTGTACTGGCGAAAAGGGCTCAAAATGGGCATAAAAAGGAGTAAATTAATAACTTTAAAAAGAAAAGATAATCTTAAATAACATATAATTAATAAAACTATTACATTTATATATAAAAATAGGTATAGTATAATTAATTAATATCTTTATTATTTAGTTTAAAGTAGAGACTTAGGATTTATAATAATTATCTTTACCTTTTTAAATAAATTAACTTTAATTTATAGGTATAAGTAGTTAAAGGCTTTTTAAAGCTTTATAAATAACTCCTTATAAACGGTAGTTAAAGATTTAAACGTTATAAAATAGCTTTTAGGGGCTTAAACTAACTTTATAATTACTTTAGGTTAGCTTTATTATTAATTTATAAATAATTAATTAAATTAATAAAACTTTATATAGTTAAAGTATAGGATATTAGATTAAATTTTAAAATAATAATACTTAACCTTTATAAAAAATATTAAATAATTATAAGCTTAATATTTAATATAGCTAATATAAATAATAACATTACCGTTTAATATATAAGGCTTAAATAATATAGGAGATTAACTATTATTAATTACCCTTTAAAATAAATATAATTTTTTACTAGGAATAGATTAAAATAATAATTTTATAAGGATTAAATAAATTAATTAATAATAATTTTATAAAGATTAAATAAATAAATAAATAATAATTCTATAAGGATTAAATAAATAAATAAATAATAATTCTATAAGGATTAAATAAATAAATAAATATATATATAAAACGGATAGCGTATATTTATTAAAGCATTACTTTATTTAAAGGGAAAAAACCCCTTTAAAGCTTTTTTTTTAACCTATTAATAAAATAAAAAACCTTTAAAATGCCCTTTATATAAAACGGAAGCATTAATAAAGTATTAATAAAAAAACTTATAATTATAAAAAGCTTACTTTTAAATCCTTTATAGGATATTTTATATTTTAATAAATTTTAAAACTATAATACTTATAAGGTATAATAACTTCTTAATAATTTTAATAAATTCTATTTATTAATAGAGCTAAAAGGTTAAGGTTCTTAATTAATATAAATATTAAAGGTATTATTAATATAGGTTAAATTGCTTTTAGTTTAATAATATTCCATAATTAATTTATTAATAAATTGGTTACTAAACTTAATTAATTAAAATTTATAAGCTTATAATAATATAACGCATCTCCCACTTAACCTGGCCACCCAATTGACCTGGCCACCCCCCTAACCCATACAATAAACGTCGGTGCGTTAATCACGTGATAATTCAATAACTTTACAAATATTAGTCGTATAAAATAATAAAATACACCATTAGATTCGTAATAAAAAGGGCTATTTAACGGTACCCTTTACTAATTCTTACAACTTATATTTGCGGAGTTATTAAGCAATACACTAAAGTAAGCGCTAAATTAATCCTTACCTAACGCCCCTTTAGCGTATTGCTTAATATCTCGCTTAATAAATTTTATAAAAAGTAGTAAAAAACACCTTTAAATTCCCCTTTAACTAATAGATCTAATAGTACTAATTATTAAATTGTACAATAAATATTCGTAAAGTTATTAAAAATTGAAATAATAGGGTTTTATATAGGTTATTAGGGTGGCCAGGTCAATTAGGTAGCCAGGTCAAATAGGAGATACGTTAAGGTTTTTATTTAAAATATTTAATAGGTTTATTAATAATATTAAAAAAAAGTATTTTATTAATAGGGTTATTTTTTCTTTAAAAGTATTTATTATATTAAGGTTACTTTTAATTTTAAATAATAATAATATAACGCATCTTTTACTTAACCTAGCTACCTAATTAACCTAGCTATATTTTTAACCTTTATATATATATAAAAAAAATCCCTTATTTTTTTATTAACAATTATAAAAACCCTTTATAAAAAAAGTAATTTATAGCTTATACTTTAAACTATTAAATAAAACTTAAAATTATCCGTTTAATACGTTGCTATTATTTATAATGTTCTTTATATAACATTTACCCTTTAAATAAAAGGTTTTAAATTAATAAATAAAATATTACCTTTAAAAGCTTAATTAACTCCAAATAAAAAAAAATTAATTATATAATATATCTTTAATTTTATAGTAAAATTATTTCCGCCTTTATATAAATATATAAAAGATATAGCTAATTAATTAATAGTATTATAGGGTTAAAAGCTAATTAAAAAGAATTAAATATTAAACTTTATATAATAAATTTTAAATATTTAAATATATTTTAATTAAAAAATTAATTATTAATAAGTATTAAATAAAAATCCAATTAAATATTATATTTAATTTATCCTTATATAAAAGATAATAAATAAAAATAATATTTAAAAAAAAGATATTTATAACTTTAATAAAACTAGGTTTATAATAAGTAAAATTATCTTTAAAATAATTATAACTTTAATTAAATATAAATAAAAACTATAAGCTATTTAATTAAACAATTTAAAATGGTTTATAATTATTTAAGTAATTTTATTATATAGTTAAATTACCCTTTATATACTTCCCTATTCCTTTTACCACTTTTAACTATTTAATATTAGGATATTTAATCTTTTAAAACAATTATATAAAAAGTAAATCGAAAGCTTTATATAGATATATATTACCTATATTTAAAAGGAAAATTTTATAACCGCATTTTTCTATACGTTTAATAAAATAATTATTTTAAATAATATATAAAAAGGATTTAAAAGAATAGGTTTAATATTATATAATTTAAATTATATTATTAATTAATTAAATTATTTAATTATACTTTAAATTAACCTTTTATCCCTAATATTATTTAATCCTTATATAATTATAACTTTAAATAACCTAATTAAAGCTAATTCCCTTTTTAAATATATTAAATAAAGGATTATATAATATTAAAATAGCTCTTTTATATTTATTATTAAAAGGTTAAGCTAAATTATATATAATATAATTAATGTTATATATTATTTTACATTATTAAAGGGAAAGGTTAAAAGCTTTTATAAAATAAATTATAAGTTTAATAAATATTATTATATAAAAAGAATTAAATTATAAAGTAAAGGATCTTTTACTATTAAAGATATTAAGGATTAAATAAAAGTATAAAGTATTTTTAAAGTAGAAAATTACATTATACGTTAAAGTAATCGTTATATAAAGAGGAAGGAGATTTATATTTAACATTATAAAGCTTATAATAAATTTAGCTATAATATATAAACTTATAAAAATGTTATAAAAACGTTTAACAATTTAAATTTAAATTAGTTTAAATTAATTATATAAATAATTATTAAGATATTTTTAAATGTATATATAAAGGTTAAAAATATAGCTAGGTTAATTAAGTAGCTAAATTAAGTGGAAGATATATTAATTATAATTTTAAATATTAATTTATAAATAAACTTTATTTATTTAATTAAGCTTTAAAGTATTTTTAAATCTTTAAATACTTTTATTAAAGCTTTCCTTTAATTATATTTTTATATTTTTATTATTTCTTTATTAAATAGCTATTCTTTTTTTTTAAAGGTAATTTAAACTATTATAATTCTTTTATTTTAAAAGTAGTAATAAGCTTTTTTAGCTTTTTTTATTATTATTATTACCTTTAATAACTATTATATAAAGGCCTTTTATTTTATTTTTAAAGTTTTTTTAAATATAAATTTATTTATTATTTTTATAAATTATAAAATAAATATATTAAAAACTTTATTAAACTTATTATTAATTTATAAAACTTTTATTTTAATAATATCCCTTAAAGCTTTTATTATAACGCATCTCCCACTTGACCTGGCCACCCAATTGACCTGGCCACCCCCCTAGCCCATATAAATAACATCGGTGCGCTAATCACGTGATAATTTAATAACTCTACGAATACTAATCCTATAAAATAATAAAATATACCATTAGATTTGTAATAAAAAGAGCTTTTTAACGGTACCCCTTATTAACTTTTACGACTTATATTCGCGGAGTTATTAAGCTATACGCTAAAGTAAGCGCTAAATTAATCCTTGCTTAGCGCCCCTTTAGCGTATTGCTTAATATCTCGCTTAATAAATTTTATAAAAAATAGTAAAAAATATCGCTGGATTGCTTATCAAATAATAGATTTAACGGTACTAATTATTAAATTGTAGGACCAATACTGGTTAAGTTATTATAGATTGAAATAATAGGATTTTATATAGGTTAAGGGGGTGGCCAGCTTAATTGGGTGGCCAGGTCAAGTGGGAGATGCGTTATTAAATTTATTATTAAATCTTTTAACCCTTTTTTAATTTTATTATTTCCTTTTATAATATAATTAATATAAAGTTTTATTATATTATAAACTTTAAAAGTTTTTTAACCCTTTAACTTTTATAATTTAATAAGTTTTAAAATAAATAATAAAGGTTAAAATTTCTTATAAATAAATATTTCCTTAATATTTTTCCTTTCCTTTTTATTTTTTATATTAAGTTTTATTATTTAATTCCCTTTTAATTTAAAGAATATATTAATTAAATTATTATTATTTATTATTATATTTATTTAATCCTTTTTACTTTTTCTTTTTAATAATTTTATTATTATTCTTTTATTTATATATAATATAACTTTATTTTTTCTTTATATAAATTAATAATTATAGTTTTTTAAATAATAAATATTATTATATTTATTAATTAAAGGTTTTTATATTACTTTATAATTAAAGTTAATATTTAAAAGTAACTTTATTATATTAATTTTTAATCCTATAATATTTTAAAAGGTTATATTATATATTATTAAATAAATAATAAGGTTAATTTTTTTATATTATTATTAATTTATAACCTTTTTATTAATAATTTATTATTATTAAGTTTAATAAAGGTTAATATTAAAAGAGCTTTAAGGTTAATTATTTTTTTATTTATAGCTTTTATTTCCTTTTTATTTTAAAAGCTTTTTAATTATAATATATATATTATTTTTATTTTATTTTTTTCTTTTATTTTTTTTTATACCTTTTATTTTAAATTATATAAGCTTTATTATAATTTATATATTTCTTTTTCTTATTAGTTTTTTTTATTAAATATTCTTTTTTTCCTTCTTAATATTTTAATATTATATAAAGGTTATATTTTAAATTCTTTTTATAATATTTTATAATATATTTATATTTATAATAATTAAAATATTATATAATTTTTAATTTTAATAAAAAAGGTTTATAATTAAAAAATTAAACTTTTTATAAAAAGCTATTATTATATATTGATTTTATTATTAATATATTAATAATAATGCATTTCCCAGTTAACCTAGCTACCTAATTAACCTAGCTACATTTTTAACCTTTATACGTATATAAAAAAAATCCCTCATTTTTCTATTAATAATTATAGAAACCTTTTATAAAGAAAGTAACCTATAGCTTATACTCCAAGCTATTAAATAAAACCTGAAATTATTTATTTAATATATTATTATTATTTATAATGTTTTTTATATAATATTTACCCTTTAAACAAAAGGTTTTAAACTAATAAACGAAATACTACCTTTAAAAGCTTAATTAACTCCGGACGAAGAATAATTAATCGTATAATACATCCTTAATTATATAATAAAATTATTTCTACCTTTATATAGTTATATAAAAAATATAGTTAACCAATTAATAGTATTATAGGGTTAAAAGCTAATTAAAAAGAATTAAATATTAAACTTTATATAATAAATTTTAAATATTTAAATATATTTTAATCGAAAAATTAATTATTAATAAGTATTAAATAAAAATTTAATTAAATATTATATTTAATTTATCCTTATATAAAAAATAATAAATAAAAATAATATTTAAAAAGAAGATATTTATAACTTTAATAAAATTAAATTTATAATAAGTAAAATTATATTTAAAATAGTTATAACTTTAATTAAACGTAAATAAAAACTATAAATTATTTAATTAAGCAATTTAAAATAGTTTATAATTATTTAAACAATTTTATTATATAGTTAAATTATTTTATTATATATTATTTTAATAAGGAAAAACTACTTTATACCTTAATATAAAAATAATAATATATTAAGTAATTAAAAGATTATATTTATAAAAAATAGTTAAATAATAAATAAATAAATTATAAATTAAATTAAGCATTTTAATAAATATATAAAGCTTTATATAAAAAGATATTATTACCTTTTCCTCTTTAATAGCTATAAAAGCTATTATTTATATAAATTTAAATTATATTATAAAAAAAATAATATTATTACCTTTTATATACCTTCCTATTTCTTTTACCGCTTTTAACTATTTAATATTAAGGTATTTAACTTTTTAAAATAGTTATATAAAAAGTAAATCGAAAGCTTTATATAAATATATATTACTTATATTTAAAAGGAAAATTTTATAACTATATTTTTTTATATATTTAATAAAGCAATTATTTTAAATAATATATAAAAGGGATTTAAAGGAATAAGTTTAATGCTATATAATTTAAATTATATTATTAATTAGTTAAATTGTTTAATTATACTTTAAATTAACCCTTTATCCTTAATACTATTTAATCTTTATATAATTATAATTTTAAATAACTTAATTAAAATTAATTCCCTTTTTAAATATATTAAATAAAGGATTATATAATATTAAAATAACTTTCCTATATTTATTATTAAAAGGTTAGGTTAAATTATATATAATATAATTAATATTATATATTATTTTATATTATTAAAAGGAAAGGTTAAAAGCTTTTATAAAATAAATTATAAGCTTAATAAACGTTATTATATAAAAAGAATTAAATTATAAAGTGGAGGATTTTTTATTATTAAAGATATTAAGGATTAAATAAAAGTACGGGGTATTTTTAAGGTAAAAAATTGCATCGTACGTTAAGGTAGTCGTTGTATAAAGAAAAAGGAAACTTATACCTAGCGTTATAAGGCTTACAGCAAACCCAGCTATAATACATAAACTTATAAAAATGTTATAAAAATGTTTAATAATTTAAATTTAAATTAATTTAAGTCAATTGTATAAATAGTTATTAAAATATTTTTAAATACATATATAAAGGTTAAAAATATAACCAGGTTAATTAAATAGCTAGGTTAAATAAGAAATACATTATAAATAATAATAAATATTAGCTTTATTTTATTATTTTTAAATATTATCCTTTTATAATATATAATATTTAAATATTCTTTTTAAAATAATTATAATAGTTTTTTATTTATATATATTTTTTAAATTTAATTTTTTAAAATTCCTTTTATAATTATAATTACCTTTTTATATTATAGCTTTAAACCTTTATTAAAAGCTTTTATTATTTATTTTTTATTTATTACTTTTTTTAATATTATGTCCTTAAATATTATTATTATATTATTATTATATAGCTTTTTTATTATAATAATATTATTTTTAAAAAATATTATATTTATTAACGCATTTCCCACTTGACCTGGCCACCCAATTGAGCTGGCCACCCCCCCCAGCCCATATAAGAAACGTCGGTGCGCTAATCACGTGATAATTTAATAACTCTACAAATACTAGTCGTATAAAATAATAAAATATACCATTAGATTCGTAATAAAAAGAGCTATTTAACGGTACCCTTTATTAACTTTTACGACTTATATTCGCGGAGTTATTAAGCAATACGCTAAAGTAAGCGCTAAATTAATCCTTGCTTAGCGCTCCTTTAGCGTATTGCTTAATATCTCGCTTAATAAATTTTGTAAAAAATAGTAAAAAATACCTCTAGATTCCCCTTTAACTAACGGATTTAAAGGTACTAATTATTAAATCGTACGGTTAATATTCGTAAAGTTATTAAAGATTGAAATAATGGGGTTTTATATAGGTTATTGGGGTGGCCAGGTCAATTGGGTGGCCAGGTCAAGTGGGAGATGCGTTACTTTTATAATATTTTTTAATATCCTTTTTTTAAAGTTATTTATTTATTTTTTAATTTAAATAAGGATTTTTTTATTATATTTAAACAATAATACTTTATTAATATTATTTAATTATATAATAATTATTATTTAAACTTATAACTTTAAAAGGTTTATTATTATATATATAATTTATTATAAAGCTTTTTATAAAGCTTTTTTAAAATTTTTTTAAATAATTAAAATATTATTTCTTTTTTTTATATTTAGTTTTAATTCTATTTATTTTATAATTAATTTATAAATAGAATAAATTAATGATACCCTTTTTATATTTTTTTATAAAAAAAATCCTTTTTCTATTTTTTTATTTATTATAAGTTATAATATTAATTTAAATATTTTATTTAATATTCCTTTAATTACTTTTAAATTAATAGTAATTTACTTCCTATTAAGTAATTATTATATTATAGTTATATTATTAATAGGTTTATCTTAATTTTCTATTATATTATTAATAAATAGGTTATTTACTATTATTCCTTCATTTTCTTCCGCATTTGCTATCTATGCCTAAGATGTAAGCCTTTTGCTAGGTAAAAGTTAAACTTCCGGTTATAGCGGCTTAATTTATTTAATGATTGGGTTTGAATCCGAAAAGTTATTAAAGGTTTTTCAAGATCCTCTCTTTTACCAGATGGGAGATTAGAACCTTTCACAGGGGATATTTCCATGATGGAAGGGTACGTTGATTACTTCCTAAGGAGGGTGAGAGAGGACTATCCTCGCATAACACTTCAGAGTTTGCCGAGCGGAACTTTCGCGTCAACGACATCTCTGATGCCAACATCTCATCTGGGAGACTTTAAACCAAAACAAGCAGCTGGATTTACCTATAACATCGAGGTATGATTCATAACTAATTTCCCTAGAGGTATACTACATCGTAATCGTATTTCCAAATGGCAAGCGAACATCTTTTGACGGAAACATATTGACGAAAATTGTATTTACAGCACGTCAAAGGTAGGGCGATAGTATATGCTTCTTATGCAGAAGCACGGCGAGGGTCCAGAACAAGAGCCTTTTACCTCGAGAGATGGCAGAATTTCCTATTCGTCTTAGCATGTATTACAGCGCACGAGATGAGCCACCTCTTCGCCCTGTATTTGTCACTTCAGGCTGACTGGCCCCCTACTCCACCTAGGGTAACTTATCATGGTTATGAACAGAGAAGCGGCGGCGAGAGTGGCCGCTGGCTCGAAGGTGCACTTTTTGGTGGATCTCTAGAGCTTTTCAAACGCAACGACGAGGGATGTGAACATGTAAACTCGTTTTCCCTTGGAACCAATACATGGACTTCTGACTAATCACTCGTCTATAGCCTGGCCGCCCATATCTCCTAGATCAACACGGCTTTTATCACCGCATTAATCCTCAAAGTGTTATCGAATTAGTGACAAATCCTTGGCGTATGTTAAACACCAAATGACTATTGGCGTTGCCGAGCAAAGCTTACTTGAGATGTGTTAAGTATACCGATTCCCGTTCTCATTCGGCCAAGCCGAGACAAGCGATGAGTTAGTACGGCAAGGACTCATAAGGCTAGCACCGACTTCAGAAGACACAGTTTCGATCCCGAATAGAGTACGGGCCATGCAGATCCTAAATAGCATACGTGGACTTCGGGGTTACTCGATTCATATCGACGGTTTCCGTCAGCGGCCAGCTCATGCTAGTTTGCCTCTTAGCGTCACTACTACTATGGGGGAAGTTGGCGTATCTCTATCACAGATATAATAAGCTAGCCCCAACTGCATCATCCGTTGATTAAGGAACATTATGATACTTCATATCGCACAGGTTGGTTTTGAGGGGATTATGGTCATTTGCAATTTCGCCTATGACATAATTATTACTTCACTGAGGGAGGCTGGTGTAATCGCCATTCGAAGCATGTTTCTTGTTGGGAGCTTGTTGAGTACTCCTGCGTTGAACCTGACGGTCACGTTCCCAAAGGAAACTGGTGCTAATTATTTCTGAGAACGCATATTTCTACCTATCTGTAGGTGCAGGAATGACGAAAATGTCAGCAAACTAGTACCATTAGTTTCAACATGAACAAATATACTGATGCGGAAAAAAGAAGTGCCGAACGCACCATAGGATTATTGGGATCTTTTGCAGTGTGCGCACCCGAAGCCATAGACAACTTACATGTATTGGGCGCACGATGGTATGCAGCACATTCAGCGACTGTAACACAACTGGTATAGCTATAGTGTAATTACTACCGTAATTATCAATGCGACAGCGAGGCCTCCTCGACTCTCTCGATGAAACCCAGTGACTCCCTTATAAAACTCTCCGGGTTCTCTTCTGCTACCCAATGAGCAGCATCAGCCACGAGAGCAATTTCATAAGCCCCAGCGTGGAGAACTTCGTCACACATGCTCTGCGCAGCTTCGCGATGTCTGCTCTTATCACCGCTCAAGCAGAGTGTCGGAATGTTCAGCTTGCCATTTTCTGATATCCATTCCCGGTGCTCTTGCGCATCTTGCTCGAAAGCTTTGTACATCTCAAAAGCACAGCGCAGCGCCCCTGGCTGTTCATACGCTCGTACATAATGATCCAAGTCATCGTCTGTGATAGCTGCTACATTGTATGCGAGCTTCTCGAAGAAGTGCGACAGATATATGCGCTCGCGGCCGGTCACTAAAGCCACTGCTAAATCAGGTACACAGTGGAATATGAAATGGAACTGTTGGACCGCGTTTGTTGTTCGACTAGTAAATTTTAGCTAACCGCCTAGGTGTGCAAGCCTCATGTCAGAGAAACGTACTCCTCTTCATACGCCGTAGTCCCTGGCAGAGGGCATTCGCCCCAATTAAGACTCGCCACCTGCGCTGGATACCTCGCAGCGAGTGTATATGCGATCATCCCACCAATATCGTGACCGATGACATGGACTTTCTCTTTGATATTAAGTGTGTCCAGTAACAGCACCAGATCACGAGCCATAGTCGATTTAGTGAATCCTGTCTGAGGCTTGGAAGATTTTCCAGCGCCGCGATAGTCGGGCGCCAGGACGCGGTACCCACGTGCTGCGAGTGGGTTTATGACATGTCGGAATTGATATGATGTCTGAGGAAATCCATGAATGAGGAGGATGACCCCTTTCAAATATTCTGGTTTCCATTTCGGTGTGGATTCAATGTAAGCGATGCGAAGTCCGGATTCCGCCTCAGCTACGCGATGCAGACAAGTGGGACCAAACATTTGTGCTGAAGCGATTTCTTCGCCAATACTGACAAGAAATTATTATGCGCGTAGAAATTCCTCCGATTTATGAACGACATTGGATGACCTTGGCTTATAGATACGTCGTGAAAGGTGCTTTATAGGATGACGCTGAGTGGGTAATTACAACAATGACGCTGATGATCTCGATTCGGCTAGGCACCTCAAATAGAGACGGTAACAGGAGCATTGCCCATATAAAGCTGGTAGAGACATACAATGCCGCAGATATCTCGGCATATCTAGTCGGAGTGATTACTATTGTACTTGACGCAACATTGCTCTATAATTACGCAGTGTTTAGTTTGACGGAAACTTTATGTATTTCTCATCATGTAGATCATGCAATGCTACTCTGCCAGACCGGATCAAGAGCCCACCCCCTTCAATTGCTTATTCCCGCGATATCATTGGAGATGAAGGCACATGTAGGATCTAGATAGGTACCAGATGCGGGGAAGTGGCATGCTAGTATGCAAAGTAGGATGCAACGTTGTCGTAGAAGAGATGGAGATCTCAGGGGCCTATAGCTCTAGACTGCAAGAGAAACTCGGCGCCGGGCGTGCGAAAGCTTGTGCAAAGCTTGTGCAAAGCTTGTCTCCGATGTTGTGACCGGCATATGTGATGACATGGAGACTGCCCTCGTGGAAAGAGGCGCCGAAGATAGGAGGACAATAGCTGCTGACGGCACATTGGGAAGGGAATCAAGCGCAGCTATAAAAACTTCCTTTATCCCCTTGTTTCTCAGCCTACTCACGCCAAGCAGTTGAGTTGGTGATGTAAGACTAACATGCACACAATCAGACTTGTCGCGGCGCTGGTGGCGGCCGCCCACGCAGCACGCCCCTTTCTTGAAGGACCGGACACGGGCCTTGACCGCATCGTCGGAGATCTCGCGGTCGGTGCTTTGCCCGACCTCACTGAGATGGTCTCTCTACACGACTTCGACTGGGCAGCTCGAAATTACTTACCTACTCTTAACTACACCTACTGTATGCATGCGACGATGTCCCACATCTCCTATCTTCTGCGGGTGGACTGACACTCGTCCAGATCGCCAGGCTGCCGGAGGCGAAGGTTCATACCGCAACAACATGGAGGTGTTCGCGAACTACCGCTTCATTCCGAGACAGATGCAGGACGTCACTGCATTAAACTCTACCTTGCCGTGCGTGTTCCCAGGTCGAATGGAAATACTATGACTATTGGCGTGATAGCTAAGTTGCGCTTAGTACTTCTATTCTGGGTTACAACTTTAGTCTCCCTTTCTTCATCGCACCTGCGTCTCGTGGGTTTTATGGCCACCCAAAAGGTGAGGCTGGCCTTGTCGAGGCGGCTGGCCGGGAGGGTATCCTATATTCTGTAGACTCTATGCCTATCAGCTGCCGACCCAAGCTTTGACTAACCAGGCATGCAGAGATCTCAATTCGCTTCACTCTCCATAGAAGAGGTCCACGCACTCAAGATGCCCGGCCAGGTTCTTTTTCAGCAGGTGAGTGAAAGCCTACATCCACTCTGTTAGCATCCACTGATGCTTTTTCTCCTCCAAGTTCTACCGCGCGCCAACTCTCGAAGAAGACCAAGCCAATCTTGACGAAATCGCTAAAGTGGGTGCGCTGGGAATCATGTTGACTGTCGACACACAGTCATACGGCTCACGAATAAGGGGTCTTCGTTATGGCTTTGATATCACGTACGTTTCTGGCGGATATCCCTTATGGACTTCTGCTAACTGTAGGTGAACAGCGAGAACCGCGGTTACCGGAACGTAACTGTAAGGATAGGGCAAACTCGAGTCTCTAAACCGTCTTGCTGACCTCAAACTCTAATACAGTGGGACTATTACAAGACCCTCCGTAATATGACAAAACTCCCGATCGTGCTCAAAGGTATCACCAATGTCCACGAGGCCCGAGATGCCGTTGCTCACGGGGTACCGGCCATCTACCTCTCCAACCATGGGGGTCGCCAACTCGAGACAAGCCCATCAGCTCTCGAGGTGGCCCACGATATCTACCTGCAATCACCCGAGATCTTCCAACAGATCGAAGTATACGCCGACGGTGGTGTTCGATATGGATCTGATATTCTCAAGCTCTTAGCCTTTGGTGTTCGCGCTGTCGGCCTTGGTCGCCCTTTCATGTTCGCCAACATCTTCGGTGTCGATGGCGTACAGCGCGCTATCCAATTGCTAAGGAATGAGGTCTCTCGTGATGCTTCTAATTTGGGGCTTGCAGACCTGAAGGCACTCAACACTTCTTGGGTAAGTCTCAGACAGCCGCTCAACTTGACTTGCATTTTCGTCCCTTGTTCATACTGACTTGCACCTGTAGATCCAAACGGTACAGAGTGCCTGGGTGGGATTCACATAGTTGGACAACTATTGAGCAGAGGCACGGGAACTCACGTGTAATATGGGCCGCGCGCATCACAAGGTTCGATATCTTATCTTTCAAGAGAAGAAAAAGGACTAGGATGAAGATATCTGACGATCGGGCTGAATTACTGGGGATGCGCACGTCATGAGAATAATATAGAATATTTATAACAGAGATACATTGACCATAGAGAGCTGCACCTATTCCCATTCAATAGCGAATGCATATGGGCGGCTTTGGGCGCGATGATCGAGCTAGAGATTTCGAGGCTATTGCTCGTTTCATCGCCTTCTCCTTGTGCTGCATCTAGCTGCATCTAACCCTGGGCTACATCTATCTACCTTATAACCAACTGAAGCACATATCATCCGTAGCTAGGCACTCTTAACGAAGTAGGAACCCTGGATACACAGGGTCGGTTGGATCAATATAAAAGCTCATACGTCCAACTAAGCCAGCGCGTCCCCTGACTCGTGGGATACATGCCGGGATGCCATTATTCAAGGGACTGCTCTCTTCTTTGACAATATCGGCTTCAAAAACTGTTTCGATTATAGAGCGGTGAAGGAGCGTTGATCGGCCACCGCCAAGCCGCCCTTGGGCCAGAAGCAGGGCCAATCTAGCACAGGTCCCAGAACCGCAAGGGGACCGGTCAATTTGACCGTCAGCAAAAACAGTTACATTTCTCTGTTTGATGACATCTGTGTCATCTTGATCATCCCTTTCTTCGTTGAAGAAGATCACTCCATATAGATCATGACTGTTGTACGTGGCTCTATCACCGAGTTCGGCTTTGATCTCTCTTCCCAATTTGATGAAATCGTCACATCGAGAAGGCTCAACTTTGAGGCCGAGCTGCGCGGCATCGAGCGTTGCGTATACTGCTCCAGAAAAGGCCAAGTCAACTTGGACGTTGATATCCCGTGAAGGCACGGCAACAGTTATATCTCGTGCTAGTTGATAGCTCAAGACATTGATGAAATCAGCATAGACAGGCTTGCGTTGCTGGATGGCAAGGCGGGCGGTAACTCGACCTGAAGGCACGTCTATGACGACGTCGACAACACCGTCGACATCCGGAAGTTTGACAATGCCTTTATTCACAGCCCAGTAGCCTAAAGCGATGGTGCCATGGCCACAGGCGGTCGAGAAACCGTCTTTGTGCCAGAACAGAACGCCAAAATGGGCACCAGAATCGTCGGGAGGCACAATGAAGCCACCATACATGTCAGAATGACCCCGAGGCTCATGGCAGAGCGACCGACGGAGATCATTTAGGGGGTGCGCTAGTGTGGCTGCAACGGCAGAACGTCTCTGGGCAACGGTATCCCCTTTAGGTAGCGTGTGCGGGGGAAGCTGTTCGACGATGCGGAAAGGCTCACCCGCCGTGTGCCAGTCCTCGGACTGAACCCAATATGGAGCATTCTCAGCGGCCATGGGGTCTTTCGCAGCAGTTATCGAAAACAATACAAGGCCGCGTGGTAATATTGAAGATCTCCTAGTGTTAGGCTCCAAGACACCGTGCTGCACAAGTAACTAATATGCATCAAAAGTTGCGGAGTTGAGATGCCGATAGTTCGTTTCGGCAGCTGGTAGCCGACAATTACCTTGTCAGGAAAGCATCAATGAAAATAGAAATAGTGATTGGCTGGAGATTTGTAAAGACTTGTAGATGCGGTTAGAACCGGATCAATTGCGATTGGTCCCCACGTACGCTCTACTTACATAGGCGTGTTGATGCTCGTACCATCAGGCTCTGTATCTGTTACGAATAATTGGGAATGACAGAAGGGAATGTAAGCTAAGAATTCTAGATATCCACATGCTAGCACACCAACTATCTGAACAGAGGGGTCAAGGTCCTTACAGGCAAGCTTCCAGATGACTGTAAAGGTGGATTGCAGATACTGTGTAGTGATAAAGCAGTATTACAACGCGAGGTAGATGTAATTAAATGAACAAAGATAACTAAAGTCTGACCCTCCTCCTTCTATGGCTCAGACCTAGCGTGATCCTTAGCTTAGCTCTACTCATTTAGGGCTGACTGCTACTTTAGCCTCTGACAACGAGAGCAGATGGTGTACATAGCCTAGCATGGTCTGGAGTATCTGCAAAACATAAGATAGCCTTATCATGCCTTTGGTGGCTTGGTTCTTGCCCCAAATCATTGGTCTGGTTAACTATACCTCTCTGAGAAAGGTCCTAACTACGTTCTTACATGTAATCCCATACTAGGTGCCTAGACATAGACTGGGCAAGCTTACAAGCTGTCACACTGACTCGTATTGTTATTATTCAGCTAAATAAGCCAACTATGATTTGCCAGAAATGAGAACTACTTTGATTTGGGTAATCGCTAGTTAAATATTTCTAGTATTCCCCCGGGTTGGCTAAAGACGAAGGTTAGTTGACAGAAGTGGAGTCCTAGAGTGGACGTGTCCTACAATGCAAAGCTCTGGCACGGGCTTACGTGATATAGCAAACAATGTAGTTGTTGTTAAGCGTATAAGATGTTGGGTATTTCCAATGCAACCTGTGTCTCCGCAGGATTACATCAATAAAATAAATAAAAAACAAAGGCGAGCCGGTCGAACCACCTATGAATCATTGCTACTATTCACGTAACCTGATTCCATTCTCTTTATTGTTTGACTACCAACTGCAGTGGAAACGGTAACATGGCTACAAAATCTGACCCCATCCCATGGGCCGATGGGCCTTTCTCTTTGATAGAAACCCCCTCTGTGAAGAGAAAAGTGAGTTTCCTAAGAGTGACAGAGAGCACCAGTACTAAAGTCCACTTAGAGCGACCATTTCTACTTAAAAGCTGCCACAGAGATGGCACATGCTCACAACGTTCTAATTCGAAGCTTGAACGCAATCCTTCGTCAAGGACCGCATATTCCCACCTCAACAGACCCGAAGTACTGCGCAAAAGATGTCGCCGATTTTCTGAACTATGTTCGCTGCTGGGTGCAAATGGTCCATCATCACCATTGGGTCGAAGAAGAGTTCATCTTCCCCGAGATGGGCAAATTCAGCGGTAAACCTGGATTGATGGATGAGCCCCGGCATCAGCATGAATCATTCCAAGCAGGACTGACAAATCTGGAATCATATTCGATTAACACAAAGCCTGAGCAATTTGAGTGGAAAGGCCCTCAAGGCATGGAACGTATCATCGGCAGCTTTAGCGAACAATTAACCGGTCACCTCTATGATGAAATTGAGGTCTTATTGACCATGGGCGACCTTGATAGCGAAGAGTTCAAAAAGACTTGGCTTAAAGCCGAAACAATAGCTAAGCAATCTGGTAATCTGAAACTGCTGGCAAGTACCATACATTAGCGATGCCATGAATAAAGTAGAGCACTAACGAATGACAGGTTGAGATGGTTCCTTTGGTTCTGGGATCTGCTGACAAAACATACGAAGGTGGAGAAGACTTTCCACCGTTCCCTTGGTTTATGCCTTATGTTGCCCATTACGGACTTGCCGCTCGAAATGGGTCATGGAGATTCAATCCTTGTGACTTCTGGGGAAAGCCAAGGCCTCTAGCGTTTGGCGACAGTAGCAGCAGCATTGAGGATTAGACTGTCAAACATTTCCGTTGCTATACTCTCTGAATTACTCCTTATTATTACGCGTAGTGAGCAAGACTAACTAGCATTGAGTTTGGAATTCTAGGATTATATTTTGCACTATATATTGAAGATATATGTCTACACTGTAGGCAAACCATTGCTAGAAGTCATTCAAATAACTATTGAACTATAGAAACTACCTATATTCTTAGGTAAGGAGGGTTCTACGCCAATGAGACACTCCCTAATTCCTGATTAATAGAATCAGAGAAAGCCCATGAAAACCGATGCTAGGTATGGTAGTATTAAGCATTCTTTTTATTACCCCAGAACATGAATGTAATAAGTATGAAGTGGAGGAGTCAAATTGAGTGCTTAAGCCTACAGTAAATACGCTAGCACATTATCATAGATTCAACAATACGGAGTCGTACCGTATCTACGGGCCTACGGCTCCTATTTGCTGCCTTTACTTTACTATGAATGGTTCGTTTCAATTACGTAGGTGGCACACTAATGGCGCTGATTAATATCGTGGAATCCAATCGCATTGAATACCTAACATATTGCCCAGTATCCGTTCCAGTGTAACATCTCAAAAAGTATTTCTCTTTTAGCCGACTAGTTCTCATCGCCTGCGGAAAGTAATTGTAACACGGTAAGCCCTCGTCGGCTTTAGTCGTATATCTATCGAGTTGGCAAGCGGGGAGACTTGAGCCAAGGGCGACCGGCAATCTTATTAGTAACCATACCACCTTTGTATGCACGGTAATGCATAAAGAGAAGCGATCCAAACCCCCCAGATATGCCAAGTCAGCCTATCCGATGATGGTCCTCCCAGGGTTAGGCAACGGATTGCCACTACAAGACCGGGTGTGACAACAACTAGTCCTGGCGCCGCCCAAATTCTCGCTTCCCAATAATATGTGCAAAACAGAGACCAAAAGATGACAGGGCCTGCTATTGCCCAGCGAACGAGTCTATCTCCTAGAACGATAGGTGCTGTTTGTCGGCCACGACTGCGATCGCCTTGTTGGTCCCTTAGATCCTGCATATGCATAGTCGTCAAAGCCACTCCGGTGAGAATAAATATCCAGGTTGCTCCGGTTGACGTCAAGTCATCCGAGGATCGGCCGCTGGCGACCTTGATAGAACCAAGATTCCACAGCCCATAGCCGGCAGAGATGATGGCATTTCGAAGAATACAGTTCTCATCACCCCCCCCTAGATCACTGTATAGCCAAAACAAGACGGTCAGAAGTGCCGTCTCATAAGCAACGTCTAATAAATAGTTACATGCCCACACGATAGGAACAATAAGTAGTAAAGCCCGGCGAATTTGTATTGGAGTCACAAGTCCACTCGGAATCGGACGCCAAGGTTTGTTGAGCGAGTCCTCAATGACTGCCTCGGGAAGGCGTTGGTTGCTGAGTTGAAAGACGAGCAAGGTGGACCATACGAAGAAGACGACGCTTGGAAGCCTAATAACAAGCTCCAGTGGCTGAACATGATCTTCCAGATTTATGAAAATTGGACCTGAGAGAACACCACAGAGGCCGAAGAGAATTGTTGGGCCAAGGACGGTAGACATGTCATCCCTGGTTGAACGCCAGAAGATCGTTATGATGTGGCTAGCCTTCGACGCTATGGTGCTACCCAGATACTGGGATTGAGGGGGGCGCGCATGCTCTGCAATTGTTTTCTCTCCATCTTGACCGGAAGAGTGATTTTCGACAGTTTTAGACATAGTGATGTCATGTGAGCGATTCCGTTGAGTAGATCAGGTTATTATGTCTCGGTCATAATCCCCCTGTTCATTCTAGGCGTGACTAGATAGATTTTGAGTCGTTATATAGATGAAGTATTCATTATCATACGTCATTTTCAGGTATCTTGGAAATCACCGCGCGTAGACCTCGATGACGCCAGTGCATATCCGTGAACCAATTGATAATTGTTCAACTACAAAACGTGCCGAACTCTGCAGCTTTGAATAGACCCGGTGTGCAGGTTGGTCCAATTGTAGCTCGTGTGCTGTATCATGTTATTCAAGATAAGAAATTAGCGTGTACACGTCATCCGTCGTTCAGACATTGTCGTGATCTATCGGCACCAAACGACGCTGCAGCGTATCACGCCGAGTACGCCCAAACATCATATGCTGGAGGGGCAACTTGGTGATCCGACTACAGCCTTAGCATCGGAACGAGGTCGTGCAGCGGAAAACTGTAGGAAGAGTGTATCCCAGAGAGATTGTTCCGAACAAGTATGAGCCGGACTGATGAATCTCGTATCAGATTACCCAACCTCCAACCCCAGTCACGCCAGCCTCCTTGCCTTGCCTGAGTTTTCTTCTGACTGCGAGGTGTTAGCATCTTCACTAGATGCAGCGTAGGGTAACTCACAGCCATCCATTCCCTCATGCACATGCTCCGCATGTTCTGCAGAGTACTCCCATAACCGGCAGCACCATAGTGCAACTAGTGCGTCCACCGTCTCCCGCAATAGGGGCGCCGTCACAATTAGCCGGTGCGTATCATCGCCGTCATCCTCGACTGCGACAGCGTTGCCGTTTTTATCTTCCCACTCCCACCGACCGTCTCTTTTACGAAGCTCGAATAGGGGCTGGGCATTCTTGGCGAACCCCGGTAGGCCAAAGCTATTAGTCTTGCCGGAGACATCTAGGGGCAGGGCTTTAAACTCGGAGCGCAGACGCGCCTTCTTCAAGCCTAGGTGTCCTAGCGCTCGCCTCGTGGCAGCGCGGGCGAAGAAACGCGGGCAGTTGGAGGGGAGCTTGTCGTAGAGAGCAGTCGAGTGCTCGAGAGTGAATACGTGGCGGCGACGATCGCGTAGCGAGGGCTCGTTATCCGCGCTCGTGCGCACAGTACGCTCGACGCGTTCGAGTGTCACCTTGGGCGTAGCACTGGTCAATGAGGCGATGCCGCGATCGAGGTGATATAGCGGCGCGGACGATGCTGATTCGGCGTGAATAGTCTGGCCGGCGAGCACTAAAATCGTCGGCTCAATGACGTCGTCGGTGGGGTCAGTAGCGGCCGTCGCTTCGGTGTAGCATGGCGGCCGGTCGGCGGTCTCGATTTTGGCTGACATTATTAAAGTGCTAAGAGGAGTTTCATGGGAGAGAGACTATCAATGAATTACATTGCAAATACCGGTAGACAAGTCTCGGCGTCAAGCAGACGGAAAGTATCCGAAAGAAGCAGAAGGAGGGTGGCGCAGCTAACGTATCCAAGTCTCGGCGTCATGCTCTGTGTGTTATGCCTCCCAACAGCCTGACTAATGCGCAAGCTCCGTGCCATTCAGCACCCTCACCAGCGTAGTCTTTTGTATAATAAAGATATAACTGTGAATAAAGCACCCTGATATGTATATAAGATGCGTGTGCATGTAGAACGCATGCAACCAGACCAGAGATAGTCAGTCAAGCTTTTGGCCAAGCACGTGAGCTGCGCCACATGGAATGAGAGAAAGTCTTGGGAAGCGGCGCAGTATGTGACTTCAACCACTAACGGCCATTTTGGTCTCGACTTTCTGTCTTTAATCTTGATATTCTCGTCAATGTATATTGTAGGAGCATGAAACCAGCTACCGTAAGTGGTGCGAGTTTCATTAGGCGTAGCTGGACTATATCGGAGTTGTTGATTTGGCGTATATTTTGATGGCATGAGGAAGAACCGCATTCCTCCTTATATGCAGTCATACATCCGCTTATATAAGAGTACAGCTTAGCATCATGTTATTTTATTCTAACATACACAATTAGATTTCGTAAAACGATTGATATTATTATCGTTTTCCGCCTAAGCCCCATAAGCGAATTAGTGGGGAGAATGATACAGATACTGCTCGCCTAAGAAGGAGGTATTCCATCCCACGCCATGATTTTCTCGACGTCCTGGCTTTGCTTTTTGACTTTCCTACAGTTCCAACAAATCAGTCATTTGGGTTATACGTTTTTAAGCGTTTCTGGCGACTCACTTCAGAAGGAAGGTCAACTGAATAATCATTATCTGCCGTTTGTGGTTCTCGATCCTGAGTAACCCCCCTTGTATCTCTTTCTCTCGCCACCACCAACCAAGTGGTCTACATAGTCCAGACTGCACTTTCTCAATGGATTCAAGGCGGTATGATACAGTAGTTCTGGCGTCAACTAATCCTTCCAGACACTGTTGAACTAGAGCTTGATGATTCTTAAGGTCTTCATCGGCTTCTAGTTCAAGGCCCGTAAAATAGGGGTAGATATCCTGGATTTCGCTTTCTGTTTCATTCAGCGTCTGTCGAATGCGACATATTTCCTCGTTTGCCCCGCGCAACACGGCGAACAGAGTTGCACAGAAGGCAAACACTCCAAGCGCAAAGGTCAAGATTCCAATGATGTTTCCCGTCACCGAGAGAGGACTGTCGCTGCATTCTGGACAGGTGCCAGACATTGCAGGCTGCGCCATAGTGCTTGTCCTTGGGGGTTTTCGTGATGATTTTGAAGTTCAGCTCCAAGTTAGTTGATTGAAGAAATAGGGAGGACAATGTACACGATAATCCCATATGCATGCCTCTATTATTATCTCCAATTTCTTGGACCCTGACAGGATAAAACTACCGAATGTAACACATTTAGTGGCGTTTCGATCTTATGATCAATTGGACAGCCTTCTACATATGTTCATGCATTCTTGCCCACATGGTTGTCTCGCCCATTTCAATTTGCTCCTGCCTACAAGCTTTGGAATCATATTTTTGCACATGCTTGTGATTTGCCGAACTCAGCACTTATCTTATCATGCCAGGAAAAATGTACATATACATCAAGGACCCGATCTCTACCAGTATACTACCAACGTAGCTTCATTATCGTAACATATCCATCCGCTCATAAGATTACCAATATGGCTCACGTTAACAATCGTGCACAAGAGGTAACTAATGTGGCACAAGATCTTGATATTGGAAAATACCTCAAAATTTACTTCCACTTGTCAGAACGAGTGCGGGACAAGGCCTCTCGCGACATCCAGCCCATTGCTAGAAAGACCCTACATTCGGCTAGTCCGCTCGCATTGACGCGCTATGATGATAATGGAGAGATACAATATCTCCTGCCAATGCACGGTTTGTTCATCTGATATGACTATAATATCCCGAAGAACCTGTTGATAACTGTAATATTAGCTTTAGGAAGTCTAGCAATTCGGTTCGACACAGAACCCGGATCGATCCATGCATTCAAAATATATGTTAAGACGGGGTCGGTGAATGTGGCCAATCCGGAATCCTCTGGACATAGACAAGACTATTTTGTTACGCCTGGCCAGAAGTGGATTGATGGGTTTGCACACATTGGAAGTGTTGATAGGAAACTTCCTGATGATGTGAGGCAATTCGTCGCAATAGACCCTGGAACCGGGTAAGTGACCGCTATGTGGCCTTTGTTAACTTCAACTGGAAAATGACTGATCCTTTTAAGTCATTCCGCTGAAAATCAATTGACCGGCAGTGATGATAATGGTGGAATTCAGATTCAGATTATCCTTGGAACTCCTCACCATAGGGTTGGAAGGTCAAGCAACTCGGGCTTCCAAATTTTCGTTAAGGATCTCAATGGACAGCTAATAAGCTAACCCCCCCCCTCACGAGCCATCTCATCACGGGCCACTTCACACTTAGCTAGCCACTTCACTTCTGAAGCTATTTTCATCAATAAAATAGCGTTTTCATCGCTATTTTCGGTGTTTTTCTTAAAAACTAAACTTTTGCAACTTTAATTATATCTTTTATATTTATATCCTTACGTTTTAGTATATCTTTTTCCTATAGTTTATTAATATATAAAATTTTAAACCTTAATTACCATTTAACCTTTTATATATATATTATATAAATAAACCGTTAATTAGGCGTTAATTTTATAGCCTTTTACTTTAATTTAGCTTTTTTAACTAGTTTAGATTTTAATGCTTTAACCTTTGCTTTTAAAAATGTAATTTCTTTAGCTTTATAGTTAAATGCTTTATTAACCTTATTAAAAAATAACCTTTATAATAGATTATTAAACGAAGGGAATTGTTTAACTAGTTTTTAATAAGTTAATTATAATTTAATACTTTTATTAAACGTTTTAATTATTATTTTAATAGTTATTTTTAAAAAATTAAGGGTAATAGGTTATTTTATAATTATTAATTTTAAAAAAGTAGCTTTTACTATACTTTTTACTTTTAATATTATATATTTTAAAGATAATACCTTTTAATAATCCTTTAATTATATATTAGCTATTGCTTAAATGTTTTTAATTATAACCTTTAATAAAATAGCATTTTTTATAGCTTTATATATAAATATTATATTTTTTTTAAAGGCTTTATATTAAAATGCTTTATAAAAGATTTCTTAACTTTATTTTTTAACTTTTTTTTAAATAAATTAAAAATTCCAACATTTAAAGCTTATATAATATAACTATAATAAGGTTTATAAAAAAGAAGCTATATTTTATTTATAAGGTAAAGTTAAAGAAAGTTATTATTTATATAAGAATTATAGCTATTATAAATTAAAATAACCTATATATAATTAAAATAAGCTTATATAAAGAGGATAAAAAGGTTTAATAGTTAATTTATTATAATTTTATTATTGGTTTACCTATTAAGTAAAGTTTTAAATTGTTAATCTTTAAATAAATTATAGTTTTTATTTAGAAATTATTAATTTTATACTTAAAACCCCTTTAAAATAAGAAATAGCAGTAAGGCTTTACCTTTAACATTAATATATTTAAGAGAAGTTATCTATTTACCTTTTTTAATAGCTTTTTTTCAAGCTAAATATATTATAGCTTTAAAAATAACCTAATGATTATTGTTGATCCCTTAATTAACCCCTATTTTATTTATATTAAAGAAGTATTTTAAAAAGATATTTATAATCTTAAAAGCTTTAAAGCGGTTAAAAAATGCATTAATATTAGCTATAATTATACTATTAATATATATATATTATATTATAGTATTTTAAGGCCTTTAAAGTATATATATATTATATATATTATATACCCTTTCTATATATACTTTAAAGGAAATCCTTTCCTTCTTTAAGCTTTAATTTTATTAAATACCTATTATAAAATTAAAAAGACTTATAATATTATACTTAACCTTTAAAATTTAACTTATTTATAATAATTTCAAAGCTTTCCTTTAAGGTTATTTATAATATTATTAATTATAATATACTTATATATAAATAAATAATTAAAGCTAATGCTTTTTTAAGAAATTTAAATTAAGGAAAGTTTTTAATAATAGTTTAAAAATAAAGCTAATATAATTTATCTTTAAAAAAATAATAAACTTAAAATTAACTATTAAAATTTCCTAATAACCTTAATTTAATAAATAAAGCTAATGCTTAATTATTATAATAAATAAATGCTTAATTTTTAATTAAAATTATAAAGTTAAAGAAATAACTTCCTAAAGGAAAAAAGGTTGCTTAAAATTTAAAGGTAACCTATACCCCTTTTAAATTATATTTAAATAAAAAAGGAAAGAATTTAAAAATATCAAGTCTAAATAAATTAAGGTATTATTTTAACCTTAATAATTTATAAACCTTTAATAATTAATAATATTATTAAAATTAAAGAAAAGGTATTTTTAATAATAATAACCCTTTATTATTTAACTTTAATATAAAGTATAGTTAAAATAATTATATATATTTATTTATTATTATTATATATCTATAATGCTACCTATATAGTATAGTCCTTTTACCTATATAGCTATAAGTAAAACTATATAATAGTTAAATAAAAACCCTATATAAGTTTTAACTATTGCCTTATTATTTTTTAACCTTATATAAGTTAATATATATTGTTTAACTATTGTAAAGGGAACTAGGGGGACAGCTAATAGGCAATAATAATAAACCAATAAACCTATACCCTCTTATTAGGAATTAAAAAATAATATATAAAAAGCTTTAATTAATAAGTATAAAAGGTAAGGCAGTATATATTTTTTAAGGTACGTTATGGTTTATTTAATAGATCTCCTTTATTTAGCTTACGTTAAGGGTAACCTATATCTTATATATATAAAAGCAATAAAAGAAATCAACATAAAGTATCCATTATACTTTTTCTTTTATAATATTTATACCTTTATTCCTAGCCCTATTATAATTTTCCTTAATTATTTTTCTATTATTTTTAATAAATAATAACTTTATATTTCTTTTTTTCTACTTATTAGCCTATAGCATTTTATATATTTAGTTTTTATCCTTTTGTTTTTTAGTTTGCTTAATAGCTATATTTAGTTCTATTAATTTAGTCCTTCTTCTTTGTTTTTTATTTAAAGCTTAATATTGCTTTTTATAATTAATACTTTTTCCTATATTTATTTAATTAACTTTATTTATATAGGATTTATAATCTTTCTACCCTTTTTATTTATAAAGTATATTAAATATTAACTTATATTTAATAATATTAAATAAATCTTCTTTTTAAAATATAAGTAGTATTTATAAACTAAAGGATTATTAATTAATTAAATATTAAATATAATTAATATTTAACTTTAATATTAAATATAGTTTAAATTAAAGGATATCTTTATATATAATACCTTATTTATAATTTAAAGTTAAATAATTATTAAAGCTACTTTAATTATTTAATCAATTACCTTTAAAAGTATTAAATTTTTAATTTATTTATAATCCTAATAATCTTTAACTTTTTATTTTTATAAAATAGTTCGGTACCTTATTAATAGAAGCTTTTAATAAATTATATACTATTTTATTAATATTTATTTAATTACCTATTAGTTTTTTTATAAATAATAGGGTTTAAATATATTTAGTAATTATTTTTTTAATGCTTTAATCTTTTATTAATAAGTTTATTTTAAGTAAAAATCCAATAATAGTTTTAATTAAGTAAAGGAAGGGCAATTTATTATATAAATAATTAATTAAAACTATTATATTAGTATCCAAATTATATAATAGGATTAAAGGCTAAAAAAATAAAGCAATTACTTATAAAATATTTAATACCTTATAGCTTTAAATATTATTTTAAATATATAGTAATAGGCTAATTAGTTTTTATAGGTAAGGAATATTATTAAATATTATAATATACTATATTTTATAAATTATTTTAAATACTTCTTTTTAATAATTAATTATTACGTTATTATATTTAATTATATTCCTAAGGATTATATTAATTATATATATTTAAAACTTTTATTTATTTATAATAATAATATAAAAATAGTTTTATATAAGAACCTTAAAGTTATATAAATATATTCCTTTTAGAATAACCTATATAATTATATATACTTTAATTAAGGATAGTATTTATTTTTTAAATTTTATTTATATATTAATTATATTAAAGAACTATTTAAAGCTAGGTTTTTATATAACTTTAAGCTTATTAATAAGAAATATTTAAAGGAAAGCTTTTAATTCCTTTAAATTTACTTATTATTATTATATATATTTTATTAAACTATTAATTATATTATATTTTATACTATTAGTTTTCTATTTATACCTTTTAATTATAAACAGTAGGGGCTGATTTTTTATATATAGTTAGTTAGTTTTTTTAACTTTTATTAAATATTAAAAGGGTATTTAAATATACTTTATAATATTATATTAGGAAATATTTATATTTTTAAACTAGGATTTAATATAATAAATTTAATAAATTAATTTTTAAAGGTTTTATTATATATTTAAAGTAAGCTTATTTTATTTAATTAATAATTTAAGCTATATAAAAGGTATTTAAATATTTATATTATAATAAATATTTAAATAAGGTTTATATTTTATAATTAAATTATATTAAATAAAGTTTTAATTAATAATAATAAGCTTTTCCCTTTTTATAAATTTTTTAAAGTTTTTTAATTTTATAAAGATAAATAATATATAAAGCATATAATAATAATTATAACGCATCTCCCACTTAACCTGGCCACCCAATTGAGCTGGCTACCCCTTTAACCTATATAAAACCCCATTATTTCAATCTATAATAACTTTGCGAATACTGGTCGTACGATTTAATAATTAATACCTTTGAATCCGTTAGTTAAAGGGGAATCCAGAGGTATTTTTTACTATTTTTTACAAAATGTATTAAGCGAGATATTAAGCAATACGCTAAAGGGGCGCTAAGCAGGGTTTACTTTAGCGCTTACTTTAGCGTATAGCTTAATAACTCCGCGAGTATAGGTCGTAAAAGTTAGTAGAGGGTACCGTTAAATAGCTCTTTTCATTATAAATCTAATGGTATATTTTATTATTTTATACGACTAATATCCGTAGAGTTATTAAATTATTACATGATTAGCGTACCGACGTTATTTGTATGGGCTAGGGGGGTGGCCAGGTCAAGTGGGAGATGCGTTATTTTTAACCTAAAGCTTATTAAAGTATTAAAGCGGTTATTGCTTTAATTAAAGCAATAGTTTTTAATTTTAAGGTTATTAGCTATACCTTTTAATATAAGGTAATAAGTTTTAAATAAAAATCCTTAACTATAATATTTATTAAATTAAAATGGTAAAGGTATTAATTATTAATATTATATATTATAAATAATTAATAGTTTTTAAATTTAAATTTAAGAATTAATATATATATATATTTAATTATTATAAAGCAGGTAGCTTTAATAATATTATTTATAAAGAACTTACGGAAGGTAGGGGTTATATTTAAGCTTAATATAAAAGTTTTAATAGTTAAAGTATATAGTATTTTAAGTATAACTTTAAGGTTAAACTAATAAG